CCCCCCCCCCCCCCCCCCCCCCCCCCCCCCCCCCCCCCCCCCCCCCCCCCCCCGCCCCCCCGCCCCGGAGTCATATTGGAGCTCAATGGTGAGGTTTTATGAAAAATTTTTTGTCATTGGAGTTTGCGACAACAAAATAATTCTTTTGTTTGTTCTCCCGAGAAACTTTTTAGCCTTTCGTAGCATTCCACTTTTTAGAACTTCATAGTAAGTTACATCGAATTTCATCGAAAAATAAGCCTCCGTTCAGGAGTTATAAAGTTTTGAAATCTAAGCAGATGCTGCAAAAATTTTAGCAAAATCTGAAAACATTGTAACTTCTAAATGGATGCTTTGTTTTCGATGAGATTTGAAATTCGATGTAGCTTACTATGAAATTCTAAAAATTGGAATACTACGAAAAGATAAAAAAAATTCCCGCAGGGCAAGCAAAAAAATGACTTTGCTTTTGCGAACTCTAATGACAAAATGTTTTCATAGAGCCTGATCATTGAGCTCCAATATGACCCCCCTCCCTCCCGGTGACAGCAGAAACGTCACTGATCTTGTCTTGATGTTTGTTATGTCATGTATATTTATTTCTTCTCTGTGTTGTTCTCTCTTGTTACTTATTGTCGCGCTTATTATTTTCAAGATTGGCACGTTTTTTCGTGCTTAGACTCAGAGAAAATATATGATAATTATTCTTCTCTGACTACTTTTCTTCTCTATCAAAAAGAATCATCTTTTTGATCAATTACATATTACGTTTTTCTTTCAACTTGATTGTTCATTACAATCAATCGAACTCGATTGCCCCTTGCAATCGTTCCAACTCGCGTAAACTACTTGCTTGTGGAGTTCTTATTTACAACTATTTCTGTTCATTGAATAAACAATTGGATCTTCATCCGATATTCAACACTATTTAATTTTCATTGTTGTCATTCTGCTATAATCAATACTGTGGCATCTGGCATTTTTATTAGTTGCGCCTCTGATCCTTATCAAGGCGTTACACCCCGCGCCCCTCCATAAGTTCCATTTAGGACCCATGCTCCGAAGCTGAGATTTAACATACCCAGAAATCCTGGATAAAACACTGGTATGTACGAAAAGTTTTCTTTGAATTCAGCCTTAAAAAGCATATTTCTCGATAACCGAAATTTATATTTTTCATCTAGATAGTTTTTACTATTGTCTACTTTTGATCTGTTGTTATTTTAATATTTAGTAAACATGTAGTTTTTGGTCATGTCGTATCCGGACAATCGGTTGTTGATGCAATTGAGCATATACCTATAGATTCCAGTAATAACCGACCATTGAAAGATGTTGTCATAACTCATTGTGGACAACTTGTGCTTGTATCAAGTAAAACTACTGCATGATTCTTTTTCTCAAAGAAAAAAAAATGATATGTGATATTTATTTCTTTGTTTAGAAACTCATAAGAAAAAGAAACATAACATTTCAACAGGAAATGAAAGTAAGAATGAACAAGGTAGTGAAAGTAGTTCATCTTCCTTAGAGGAGGATAAAAAAGAAAAAAACAAGAAACGAAAGAAAAACGAAAAGCATCAGCAAAAGAAAGAAGCAAAACGTTTAGCAAAAGTTGCTGCTGGCCAAGAAAATAAACTTGAGCAATCAATAAATAATGTCAATAAAGAGCCTACTGAAATATCTGGTCGTGATATAATGGGTCTTAAAGGAGTTATTGACCCAGATGAAATACCTGAAATACCCGCTCATAAATTTCTCATGCGAGGCAATTTGATTGATAATAATAATGAAGCGTCAAATAATCGGTAAGCAAGTTTTTTACTTTTTTATTCTACGTAGAAAGTTATATTTTTCTTTAGTGACAATAATTATCGGTCATCAAAAAAAATTGATTCCAGTGGTCGCCCAGTGAAAGGTCGTGGTTTTATGGTATGATAATTTCTCATCGATGAATTTATTTTTAATCTTACCGTTTTTTTCTAGCGATATAATGGGAAAAGTCGTTCACGATCACGTACACCACCACATTGGCGTTCGGCAGTTGAAGATCGCAGACGTTTCGCTGATGGCAATGACTTTCGTAAATCAAACGCAAATGAGAACATTGAGTTTAACAGCAGACGTCGCCGTATTGACGATGAAAAACTTGATATTAATAAAGAAGACCATCATTCACGTCGACATGAAAGACGAAAAGATGATGATCGTCATCACTTAACTGAATCAATATCAAGACATAAGACGGAAACAAAATCGACAAGTCCAAATAAGAATCGGAGTACAACTACTACTAAATACAAGGAAAAAGACACGCTTAATAGTCCATTACATCATCGTTTTCGCTCACCATTACCAACAACTGATCCGTATAAAAAAAAAGATTTTGGTTCGCGACATCGTCATCAATCACCATCAACGTCAGATGAGCAGCAACAAAACAAAACAGCTCAGCCTCATCAACGACAATCATCTCGTGATCAGGCATCAGCACGTCATCATCGTCGTTCAAAAATGTCTCCAATTTTGCGTTCTCGAGTTCGTTCGCCATCACCAATGATTGATCAAGATGAAAAGAACGAATCTCGATCACGCCCTCGTCGTTCAGCAACTCCACCACCATTGCCGGCGATTGATCTCCGTCAAACGAAGGATTCTCGCCGTTCAAAAACTCCTTCTGTTTCATCTTCTCGAGTTCGTTCAGCGTCACCGAACTCGAATCAATTGGAAGCTGAAGATTCTCGACCGCTTACTCATCTTTCTAAAACGCCTCCAACTTCAGCTTCACCAGTTCGCTTGCCATCACCTGAAGCGGATCAGTTTCAAAATAAAGATTCTCGAACAATTCATCGACAATCAAAAACTCCACCAGATTCTTCTCATAATCATCCATCATCACCAGCGATTGTTTACAAGCAAGATGTTGACAATTCTCAAATACACCATCAAAATAATACAAACATAGTTGGTTCAAAACCTTCATCCACAAAACGACGTAAACGTTGGGAGAATGACGAAGAATTTAATGAACGGCAATCAATAGCACAAGCAACACAACATGCAAGTCTTGAAGAGGAATTACGTATGATTGCACAAACAAGTGCAGCACAACTTGAACCATCAAGTCATTTCGTTAACATTCCACAAGAATCACAAATATCAACGACTGTTAGTAAATCTAAATGGGACGATGAAGAAGATACGTATGTTGCTGTAGACTGTTAAAACTTTCGATTTTTTTCATTGATATCTTTCATAGATCATCGAAGGGGAAAACTCATCCTCCAGAGATAACTTCTGATATTGCTGAAAAAGTTGATAAACCGTCATCGATTGGAAAACAACAAGAAAAAACATCATCAAGCTACCATCGGCGAGAAAAAGAACCAAGTCATGAACGTAATCGTGATCGACACAGTCGTGAACATGACCGTGACAGGCACAACCGTGGGAATTATTCATCACAAACGAGCGGTGGTCGATATCGTCATCGAGATGATTATAATAGCCAACAAGGTGGAAATCGTCGAAGATATTCTCCCCGAGCATCTTCTCGTGATCGTCATCATGATCGAAATGATAAATATCGAGGTAAATTTATAAGTTTGATATATCTTGTAAAATCCTACAGTTCATCATTTTTTTCTTATGTTAAAATTTCATAAGAAATGTCTACTGCTTTTTGATATTTTCTCAGAAATATTTGTATTCAAAGTGAGTATTGATACTTCAAATTCTTTATGCGCTAGAATATTCTGCAAGTTCGAGCTTTGACAAGAGCTGCAATTAGCAGAAATTACATAGTTAACCTTACCTGAATATCATCGTTTCTCGGTTGTGTGTTTGCTGCACTACAATAATGGCAGGGAATAATATATTTACTTTTAAAATCAGTTTTCAATTGATTGTGTAAAATTAAATGTAACTATAATATGAATATCTTCAGAGTCTATGCTATGCATTGGGTAACTATTTTCATTCATCAATTTACGAAAATTTGATTACATGATTTATGTTTTAAAATAAGAAAAACTCAACTGATTTTCATAAATTTTTGTATAATTAAAATAATATGCTATAAAGAAATGTATTTTATTTTCCTACGGAGTATAGTAAAATATGATAAAAATAGAAACAAACTTTTGAAGAGCAATCAAAGTTCTATAGTTCTCTAGATAATGTTAAGATGTGGGTATGTGTCGCTGTGACATATAGAATGAAATAGTAACTTGATCTTAATATACCTTAAGTGACAGAACGCAGACAAAAAAACATTGGGTTATACTAATTAGACACCAAAACCACTTTAAGCTGCATAAATTAGGCCTTTCTCCCGCAGTAAACGGTTCTTTTTAGATACTGACAGTATGATGTCAAGTCAATTAAAGCAAAAAGACTGTTTACAAGAAGTTGAAACAGTCATTTGTACTAGAAAAGCGTATATATGCAGTAAATAACAATTTCCGCCTTTCAAAAGTAATGAAAAAAGATAATAGCAACAGTAAAACAGCTCTTAGTTACACAGTGGAAAGTATTTCGATGAACTGATCGATAGAGTTCTATCGAGTCCTGTTGTATAGCGAGAATAGAACGATCAGTCATGAAGTAATCATATTATGTTAATAATCTATGGAAGTTATTAGTAATTACCAATTAGAAAATGGGCATACTAATTTTGTAAAATTTCAAAGCGATCGATAAATTGAATCGTATAATCATAATCTATTCATATTCATATTAGAATCCAGTCATACTAGCTGGATAAAAAATATCTCTCCTATAAACTATTAGCGACAAAAATAATTCATGTCTTATTTAAATATACGATTTGATTCTTGAAAATTTAGAAAAGCTACGACATATCAGTAAATTATCTAATATGCGTGCCCAACTGGACGTATCATAGATTCGATTTGTTACTTTTAGCTTTAAGATCTAAAAATAATTTCTACACATCTTTCTACTATTCTGTTGTGTTCTTTATCTTACATGAAAACTACATAGATTTACTGATTAGAGAAAATGATTCAACCATAGCATATGACATTTTCGGAAGTAGTAGTAATGTTTTTGAATGATAAACATCGCATATTAAACAATACTCAATCCATCTAATCATAGAGAATGTGTGATCAAAAACAAGAAAATTTATCGGTAACAATGTTCTTTATTTCGACAATGTACAGATGTAAACGTTTGTTATTGTGATACTCTTTATTTTCTGTCTGGGAAAAAAGTAGTTGTTGTGTAAGAGTAGTTGTCTAAAAAGCTAAAAAAATATCATCTCTATTTCTTAATCATATTCGAGATACTAACTGATAAAGATTCTTATGATTTTTCTTATCTATCACAAGATATTGCACGTTATTTTTAGTCATCTAACATCGTAGTTTTAAAAAGATGAGTATATCGTTGTTCGGATCAACCTTTTTTCCCCGCTATAATATCTTTTATCTGTGCAGACTGACAGAAAAGAACAAATCTGTCTACAAGCTGTCTGAAATATTTCTTTTAGTTATCAGCAAGAACAGATATATACATAATACATATCCTCGATGTATCCAATAAAAGTATCATATTAGCGATAACATTTTTTATGCGATTTTCTCTAAATGTAACATTAGTTTTTCTGATTAGCAAAAACAAGTATATGAAGGACATATTTCATTTAATTCGGTTGACAAAGAAGTATAAAAAAAGGAGTAATTCTCTATAATGCTGGCCGATAAATAATTAAATAAAATAATGAATCACAGTTATATCAATATCCAAAAGAAATCACGAGCATCTATTATATTCATTCTATTAAAAATAAATATTTTTCTAGGTCAAGATCGAGAGCATGATCGACGAAAGGACGATCGTGAACGAAGTAAATCTAAACAAAAGCAAAATTTTAAAATATTCATTCGCTGTATTTTTCTTTCTAAGATAATCGTCGTCGTAGTGCTGGTCATTCGACCCATTCAGATCCACTGACACGACATAAATCGAAACGAGAATCACCAAGTTCATCCTCATCGCCATCATCATCATCAAATAGTTCATCTGGATCGTATGTTTGATATTTACTTGATTATTTCCGTTTCAAAATAAAATGAACACTCATTTGTTTTAGACGAAATGAACGTAGTCGAACATCGCCTGTTCAATCAACTGAACAGAAAGAAATAAAAAATGTATCTTTACCATGTGCATAATAACTTTGTTACCTTACATTGTTTCCCTAGTTCATTTCTTGTCTTTTTTTGTTTGTGTCAAAAACTATAAATTTGTGTTGTTTTTTTTTCAGATTTTTTATATGAAAAAAGTCTTTTATTCATGATTGAAGAAACATCACCCGTAGCAAACTGTATCGATACTGACAGAAATGATAATAAGGAAATATTTACACGTCCAAATATATTATTAACTGGCCTGCGACGATCAGGTAAAACATCTATACAACGTGTTATATTTACTAAAATGGCACCATCACAAACACAGTTCCTTAAATCAACTCCACAACTAACAGTAAATCGATTCTCATGTGGTTCATTTATTAGTTTTCAAATTCAAGAGTTACCCGGTCAATTACATGTATTTCCATCTTTACATTTTCCAAATAATGACGGTGCAAACCATGTTCATGCATCAATGTATGATGATGATGATGATGTAACACATCTTGTTGGAGGCGGTTATAATATGGAACGTTTATTGAAAAGATGTAATGCTGTTGTATATATAATTGATGCCCAAGATGATTATGCTCAATCAGTATCAAGTTTAAATATGATTATAGAATCAGGTCAACGCGTTAATCCACGATTAAGATACGAAATATTCATACATAAAGTTGATCAGTTATCAGAAGAAGCAAAAATAGAAACTCAAAGAGATATTCATAATCAGGTATAAATCAAATAAATGAAGATGACATAATTCATTGAGTTTGTTCAAATCATTTTCATTTTATGTATCTTAGAAAAGTTAAAGGGAAAGTCCCACAATCGATCGGTTGACTTTTTTTGTAGTGGCTAGATTTAATACGGGAGACAAATTGATTTTTTTGTAAACGTTCAACGAATTTATGTGCTATCTAGCAAACACTAGAAAGAATAATTTTAAGATGAGTTCTACATAGTGACAGGTCGTTAAAAGATTAATTTCATGTGAATATGTCAAGTCTTTGAATAGGATTGTTTCCAGGAATTGGAGTATCTAATTTACTATAAAATATTCAGCTTATATGAGCAAGACTCTTTCATTATGATTGTCTTGATATAGAAGTCAAGAAAAAGTTTGAAACAGATGCAAGTATCTGCGCATATTGAAGACTATGCATGCAAAGTTTGCCACGTTTATTTACGTGATAATAATGTAGTGTTTTGAAAAATTTTCAGGATATTTCTAGTTAATTGAATTTCATATATTTTACATGAAAGGCATATATTATCCGTGGATATATTTGTTTGTCAATACCAGATATATCGGAATATATTTTTCGATAAGTATTACTATATAAATCATGAACGTTTTTCTATTTTTGACATTATTCCTTGTATAGACAGTCCAACACTTCTGTATGATATTGATGTACTATTTTTCTCTATTTATTTATTGGATTAAATGCTTCTGTGTAGAAATCACAATGTGATCTAACTATCACACTTCTATAGAATTGAGCCCTTTCTCATGAACATATGTAGATATCTCATCAGTAAAAGTGACCTATAATCTTATAGTGATACCATCTAAGATAATCAGAACATTAAATGGTTTACTACAGAGAACTAGCAAATGATTGTAGAGATTCCAAGCTTTTACTATGGCTGCTGTCTGATACGAAAAGATCATTTAAACAGAAAAAATACAATCTTATATGGTTTTACCTTATCATTATCTACACTGTATCACGTAATTGATATTTCGTCTATGCGCTCTTCTTCATAGCTCAAACTCGTATCCATAGGAATTATCTCAAAGAAATCTCAATTGATTTTGTTTTTCTTTCAGGTGCGAGATCGTTTTCCAAATGGCACTGCTAAACCAGATACATGCACAATTACACAACCTGAATCGAGTTCAAACTCTCAGAATATATTAATAAATTTCCATCTGACATCCATATTTGATCATTCTATATTTGAAGCGTTTTCAAAGGTCATCCAAAAATTGATCCCACAATTCAAACATTTAGAAGAATTGCTCAATTACCTTATATCAGCATCTAATATTGAACAAGCATTTTTATTTGATGTACAAACAAAAATAAGTATTGCCACTGATTCATCACCAACTGATATGCAAGTAAGTGTTGAAAAATAAATCTCTGCCGATAAATAACAATTCGTTTTTCAACTTCAAAGATGTATGAACTATGCTGTGATATGATCGATCTATTTATTAGTATGAGTCAAATATATGGACGGCCAAATGGGAATGTTGTTCAAGCTATTGATGACGACGCTGACAGTGATAGAATAATACGTGATGAACAATCGGATGAACATACTGAAATGGATTCTGATGGAAATAATGAATCTGTTGCGAATGGTACTCATTCATCAGCGAATTCAGATTCGAATAGTAAGAAATTAAAAGTGCTTTGTCAAGGACAGCATAATAAATCTATTTGAATTTGATTAGGTTCATTAAGTACAACACCGGTGAGAGATTCTTGTTCTTCGTCCACTGAGGCAACAAACGAAAATGCATCAAATGTATTTGATTCCATGTCTTCAAGTATTGTAAAATTAACCGGCGGTCGAGCACTTTATCTCAAAGAAATTAGTCGTCATCTAGCATTGATATGTGTCTTACGTGAAGAAGCACTTACAAAACAAGCTATCATCGAATACAATGTCAATCAATTAAAGAAAAGCATTTTAGAATTGTTTCGTTTGACTCATCTGACATCTCCTGTAGCATGATAGTATGGTTTCTTTTTCTTTTATACAACTAAAAACAATTTATATTTTATTCGTTTTTTTTCTATCCTGATTGTGCCAATTTATCAGGAATTCAAGTTCGGGTTATTGTCTGTTCGGTTTTTAAAAGCCCTTTTTGTTGTCTTTCGCATGCCTTAGCATTATTCTTTTATTCTTGTACATAAATCTATCTATTTGATTGGATAACAGTAATACCATATTGTTTATTCTTTGATTGATAAAGTATTATTGTTTGTCCTTGTTCTTTCAATTAATATCCTTTTCTGCACGCTGGTACAAAGAGTGTGTTATCTGTTCGGTTTCACTATGGTTTCTTCTATGCCAGCTTTCTATTTTTTATGTATGTATGTATGTATGTATGTATGTATGTATGTGTGCAAGACAATCGTTATTTTTTTTCTTGTGTTTTTTTATATACGCATATTTGTACTGCTTTTTTGTTTTTCTGTGTGCAATGTTCTTAATTAAAAAAAAGGAAAATGAAAAGTGTCGTCTCCTATCAGTCACCTTTTCTCTACATAGCTGGCTAGATATATGAATTGATAGTGAGGACATAACTGTACAGTTTTTGAAACGATGTTTTTCACAGACGAACGCTTAGAATAACAGATTATAGCCTTGATCAATTGAATATGTTAATTTTTTAATCGATATATTATTGTTATTCTTCTGCTCTAAACTAAATTTTGATATGTGCTTGGTGGGGATAATGATGATAGAAAGGTATCTTTTAGTGCCGTTGAAACATGACACGATTTGAAGTATCGCTCACATTGAATCATTTAAGATTGTCTACCTGTGATCATCTAGCATGCCGTTCAAGTTCTTTTAAATTCAGCATCATCACTGAGATATGTGGTCTTTTTTTCTCCATAAGTTATATAGTCAATCAAATAGGTTTAAATTAACCTTGAAATAAATGGACGAGTTATGACAATATTTTACTGGCTTTTCAAAATCTTTCTAGTAGATTTCTAGAGAAGTTTTCAAACAAGTCGATCACCAGTGTCAACAAAATAGCCTTTCTCAAGTTGGAGTACTAGTTTTTATAATTTAGCTCAGAAGAATCAGTTCCATTTCGATTAGATTTGACAAAAACTCTGTAGAACTACTGTCACAAAATCAGAGCCTAGATCGACATGAATCGTCTTCGTGTTGGAACTCAATGAGATCCTACAATTTGAATCGATCAGATTCAAGCGGTGAGACTTAGTATTATTCAGATGATTAATTAAGGGAGTTATGATAAAATTAATATTGAAGCATCATTTAAATGAGATACTGAGGAAGTCCTGTTCACTTTTTGCGAGTTTTCACTGTATATATTGGAACACTTGTGCATGTGGTAACAACGGATATCGATCTAAAACACCAATTCGCACATCATCTATCTAAATATAGCACTCTTGTGTCATACAGATATAAATTCATAACTCAATAAAATCAGGAAAACTGCCTGGCATTCTAAAAAGAGCAGAACCGAAAATCGAAAAGGATCAGCGGGATCTTACAGAAACCCAAACAAAAGCCGACAATTGAAGTTTTCATGTGATCCGACCTTTGAATACTAATCAAGAGATGAGCAGAATATGCTTGTCAGAGCTGTTAATGATTTCATCAAATAGATTTGCATCGAATATGATTGGTGAACAAAGTCTTAATACATCTATTTATATTATCAACTGAGCACGCCTTTGATCAATATTAGGTTTACATTCGCAATGTTAATTTGTATTAAATATTCTATTAAGTTCTCTTTTTTGCTAACTCCTATAACTTGGTAAACTGAATTGATAAAAGATGAAAACCGTATTGTTAATTTAATGAGTAAAGCCTATAGCTTTAAACCATTCTATTTCGATGAAAGCCATGAAATAAATTTAAAGCTTCTATCTTTTTGAGGATAATAAGCTTTACTTTTTTAGAACTTCTCATAATACTTTGTTCATTTTTTTTGATTGCTAGTTTTTTCAAATCCCAATGAACATTCTTTTGATTTGACTTTTTTAACTTGAGACATTCGATCAAATACATGCTCGTTACATTTATTTTCTTATTCAAATTTGTAAATACAAGATAGTTTGGCCACATATGCTCATACATTTTCAATGCATACTTTGATTTTATGATGTTTGAATGTGGCTAAAAATTGCAATAATTAAAATATGTATTCGAACTGCTGAAAGATTGTATGATTACCAAAAAATTCGCTTCTATACTTATATTATTCTTTGCAATAGAGTAGTGATTAAAATTATTTCTATTATTTTTCCGTGATAAATCAGGATAGTTCTTGTGAGACTTATAATCTAGAAAATCGCTAAGTAATTGTATTCTCACTTAAAAGCTGATCCAAATGCTGAGGGACGAGTAGTTTTAAGTCAAAACATGGTCACCATATATGAACGTAGTTGGTAAGCGATTGATGATAATCATTAGATGAGTTTTTTTATAGACGAAAAAAACTAAATGAATGTAGGAATTGAGAATCAGAGAAAATTAGAAGATATTAACAGAGAGGATGAATAAGTTGGGATAAAAAGAATATCACTGTATGCGGAAGAACTTAGGAGAATGGGTAGAAACCAATAACAAATAACGAAAACAGTTAGTGATTTTAGAATGACCTCTGTTGTTTCTATGATACTTCTCCGAATCACTTTTATTAGTCAATGTTGACTCTATCAGACTGCAATGTAGTTATAGATAGATTTACGTACAACATTACTTTCAATTTCCTTTTTACTTTCGTTTTACTATTTGTTGATCGGTAAAATGAAATGAAACTAAAAATTTTTGATAAAGAAAGTCTTCATCTAGTCACTGTCTTGTTAACTTTCCTACGAATTAATATTGAAAGAAAAGCAAAATAGAATTTAAAAAAATATTTTGCAATATTATGTAGATTGATAAAGTAGAATTTTTTCGACATGCATCCAAGGGGGCAAGTACAGGTTTGGAACGCCCAGCACCTCAGTACCTTTTCAGCACCTTCATCACCCGCAGCACCTTCATCACCCGCAGCACCTTTTCTACAGTGAGATTTACTTCAGTCGTATGGAAATGAATCGGGAAATCTACCTTCATTTTCAATAGTAGAGGTGAATTTTTTCTTGAATTATTCACAGAATCTGAATGAGAATTATTTCAGAATAGAAAAGCCAACAGAAAAAGAAAAACATCCTTCGAAAGTAACCGTATATCATTTAGCAAAATGATATACCAAAAAATTTGATCCTTCTTTTATTAGCGTGAGAACTAACACTGAGCTCTGATTATTTTTCAGAAGTTTATTTTTCATTCTATCACTTTTGCATTTGTATAGCTTCTGCTTTCTCTCAGGTAAGTAAAAAACATTGTACGAAATGCCATACTCCTTAAGAGAAAGAAACCTGCACATAATTTTATTAGCTTGAGAAGCATCATTGAATTTTCCACAATTTTGTTGTGTATTTTATAAAAGCTCAATTTTTAACACCTGGACTCCCCCTCAAGGGTTGAAAAAACGTTTTTGTTCTGGTTTTAATATAGATAGTTATACTTCCATAAAGGTAAGCTTTCTGATTACAAGTATTGTCTCAGTTTTGAATTTCATCGAATAATAAGAAACATATGAAGCACTCTCTCGGAGCCTTAAAAAACAGTTACTGACCTAAAGATCTATGAATATTCGATTTATACTGTTTGAAAATAGGTCCGTTCGATGCACAATGTTTTTTTTCCTATCAGAATATATAAGAACGACTTTGATATTCAATCTTTTTTCTCTCGATAAATTTTAAATACCAGCTCCGATCGGGTCATACAGTTACAAATACTGCTTTTCTCAGTCTTATGAAGTGTGGTTTTTCGAGGTGTACCAGTAAGATTTTCTTATCGGATACGTAATTAAATGTGCTCTTTCTAATGAAAGAGTTTTCAACTTAAAACTCGATGTAATGTAAAGCGTTTTCGCACCAATACTAGTGTTGGAATCGAACTTCTGTCATTGCTTGGCTGATATTTGATATTTTCAAACAGAATAATTCCTATGCGACTGAATATAAATATTATATTTGTTTTCAGCACAAAATCTGAGCGGATCTAATTATTTCTACAACTTTTGTTTTGGTCAGCTTTTTACGTCTGGTCCCCTTCAGGATTATATGAAAACAAAATATTTTATTCAAAGCAACTATTTGATTGATTATCAATTGATCTATTTTATCCCAAACATCATTCCCAAAGTTTGGAAACTTTTAACATTGTCCGCATGGCTTTTGGAGTAAGTTTCGTTTTTCGTTATCCATGACGGGGATCAGGGGTGAAAATTTGACCGAAAATAAAAGTTGTAGAAATAATTAAATCCAATTAGATTTTGTGCTTAAAACAAATATAATATTTATATTTAGTCGCATAGGAATTATTCTGTTTGAAACTATCAAGTATCAGCAAAGCAATGACAGAAATTCGGTTTCAAGAGCAGTATTGGAGCGAAAACGCTTCACATTACAAGGCGTTTTAATTTGAAAACAGTTTTATTAGAAAGAGGACATTTAATTACTTATTCGGTAAGAAAATATTTCTGGTAAACTTGGAAAAGCTACACTTTATACAATTGAGAATAGCGTTATTTCTAACTGCATGACGCAATCGAGGAAGTATTTAGCATTTATCGATAAAACAAATTTTGAATATCTAAGTCGTTCTTATATACTCTGATGGACAAAAACGTTCTGTATCGAAGGGGCCTATTTTCAAACAGTATAAATCGAACATTCATGGACCGTTGGGCCAATAGCTGTTTTTAAGTCTTCCCGAGAGTGCTTCAGATCTTTCTTAGTATCCAATGAATTTTAAAATCTAAGATGATATTGGTGATCTGTGAGCTTAACTTTATCGAAATATAACTACTTGCAATCAAATCTGAACAAAACGTTTTTTTCGATCCTTGAGGGGGACTCCAGATGTTAAAAATTGAGTTTTCATAAAATACGCAATGAACTCGTGGAAAATAATCAGAATTCAATGATGATTCTCAAGCTAATAAAATTAGGTGCAGATTTTCTGTGAAGTCAGGTTTCTAATTTGGCACACCTCTTTTTTGATCGTGCAATTAGTGTATTCGCCAAGACTGACTGAGAACAATCAGTTTCACAGAAAATGTTGTCGTCCTGTCGTATACCACTCCTTTATTTTACTCTTCCTTTTCACAGCTACTAACATCGGTAGCATGTTTCAGCATCTCTAGCACTTGTTCAGCACTTTCAGCATCCGCTCAGCATCTGTCCAGTACCTTCGGTCCTTTATAGTAAAATTTGATGCTTGGTGCCAGCACTTTCCCCCTTGCATACACCTCTATATAAAATAAAAAAATATGATTAAAGATAACACATATTTATTTTGTTTACAACGAGTTTCCAATGTAGAATTCTGTATGTATTAAATAGAGATACCTTATAAGTGAATTTAGCACTGTATTCAAGGATGCAATTATTTACTCAATGCGCACCGATGCAAAAACAGAAAAGAAGCAGTCACACAAGTATCTTACACATTCTCCACCCTCATATCTCTCTAAGAACTAATGAAGCGACAATTCATTCAGTACTCACGAAAACAAGTCAGAATCTATTTTAAATAATACAAAATCGTTAAAGTAAATGGACCAGCACGCTCATTGCTACTCAATTCGAGTATCATCTCTTCATATCTGTTATGATCTAAATGGCAGACGTCAATATAAAATACTGCAGTTCGTACACTTTTCTTATTCTAAATTTCCAAAAGAAACTATTTAGCTTTTATATTTTCTCACCTATATTTACATTTGAAGTTAGTTATAAAACTTAGCGCTCCTAAAAAATAGAGTTGTTGATATGTATGAGCTGTGAGAAGTACTATAGTACGTATACTTTTGATAAATCATTTGAGTTTAATATCGTTATGTGCTATTGTAAAATTGTTGCACTGTATGAATGACTACGAATGAAATGTTTTTTTTAATCAATTTTTGATTGATTGTATAAAAACTAATTGTAACTTTGAGCGCAAGAACCTTCAACGTTTATGTGGTACTTTGATTAATTATTTTTTTCTCTCTTCAATTTAAATTATTTCAATTCGACAATTTTCAATAAATAACATTTGCAATATTTTGTTAAAATTTGACGAATTACATTGGTGATGAAAAGAGTGTTTGCTTCGCTATAAATTATAGTAAAACAAGGAAGAATAGAAGTAAGTTTATGGAAATGATTAACTCGATATAGATAATCTTGAATGTCACGATGTTACTATGACATACCGAATGAAATGACAAGTTTGATATCGATGCTTTATATAATAGAACGCCAACAGGAAGATGTTGGGTCATGGGAACCAGACATGTTAACGGCTCTTTACTTTTGATATTGTTTTTGTCTGTTTATCATTAAGTCTCTTGTTTTAGATACTACTAGTATGATGGATGTTAATTGAATGAAAGCAAAAACGGAACTGTTTACAAAAAGTTGCTGGATTCATGTACTATGAAATGATATGAATGTACGGAACATATCTCGGATAATTCATATATATTATTTCTCTAGAGAGTAGATAAAAAGAAAACAAAATATCAGTAGCACATGAATCTGTTTTTAAATGAAAGTATTTTGATTGAATGCGTGTAAATTAAATGTATAGAGCCTATTGAGTGATGTAACATGATGAAAAACAAAACATAAACCAGGAAACAACAAGACTGAATGTATCGGTCATGCAAGTTATTAGCAATGGCCAATTTGAAACTGCTCACAATAATTTTGTGAACTAGCTAGAACGATAGATAGTTCAATGAACCGTAAAATCATAACCGATTGATAGTCTTGATTGGATTCATTGAAAGTGATTAAGAAAACGTTGCCTCTAACGTTCTAGTAGTAAAAATATGTTCTATATGTTAAACTATCGAGTTTAAGTCGCAAATATTTAGAGAACTATCATAGGCCAATGATCTATCTATTATGAGCACCCAACATGACGTTTCATAGACTCGATGAATTCTTTAAACCTCAAGAAACAACTATTACTGAAAAGATAACCTGGTAGATATGGATTCGATTTGTTACGTTTAACTTTCAGATTAAAACATAATTTCTTAAGGTTTTTCCCGTCCGCGGGAGAAGTAATTGCTGTGTGGAAATAGCTGCCTAAAAAATGCAGAAGGTATCTTCTCTGTTTTTCAATGCGATTTGAGATATTCAATGATAGAATTTCGTTTGATTTTTCTTATCTGCCATATGATATAGTCGTTGTTTTTATTCAGTCAACATCACAATCTTGAAACAATAGACGTATCTTCGTCCGGGTCAACCATTTTTCTTTATAATTGTCTTTATCTATGCTGACTGACAGAAAAGAGTAAATCTGTCTACAATCTGTCTGAAATATTTCTTTCGGTTATCAGAATAAAGGAGTATATATAGCTATATATAGGCTTAGCATGTGTCCTTCATAACGATCTTATTAACGATGCCTTTTTTTATGCGGTTTTCCTTAGATGCACCGTTAGTTCTTCTTATTACCGAGTATTATGACGTCGGATATATTACTTCTATTGTTTATTACTAATAAAGTATAAAAAAACGGTGATTATCGATAATATTGAGCTATCGAGACAAAAGATCATGAATCAAATTTATTTCTATGAAAGAAGACGTGATAAGGACTCGTTCGCATTCTTTCATAATCAGTAAATACCTTCGTAGATGAGGATTGCCAGCGAGCTGAAACTGTTCGTAGAATTTTTCCAGAGATTCATTGGCGATATATATTATTTAAGATAATCATCGTAATAATATTGTTTGTTCATTCAGATCGGATTCGTCTATACACGCCGTAACTGACTGTGAGAATTATCTAGTTCAAATTTATTGCTATTGTGAATATAGACAGCCCAATGTACAGGAAAAGTGAGCGTTAAGGCTTACCACAATCGATTTATCATCAGAAAACTTGTTTGAATTCGTTTTGTTTAGTTAAAACTTATAAAATTACCAAATAATGATTGAGCCCTTTCTGGAAATGTTTATATTTGCTCGCGACGAAATATGAGATAGTGAAAGCTGATATTTTTAGTTGACATTTAGCAGCTAGCAATATATTTCTTTTATTTTAAAATCAATTTATTTTACGATAGAGATTGATCTAAGTATAGTTCATTATTCAAAAATTTACTGATAACGATTCCTTTAGTTTAATTGACTTTATTCACTGTTCATAAATATGGACATCATTTTTCTTATTCCATATGCGATTTCAATTTTTTCAACTTTAACTAAGTAGTCTCATTAATGCCTAGTTGATTGAAAAATTCTACTTCGTTTATTTATCATAATTTCGAGTTATTGATGTATAGGCAACGTTTATCTGACTCACAAATATACTAATCATTAAAACTATAGAAATGCACTTTCATATACCGCTAGTGAAGTCGACGAAGTTGAATAAAGCATCGAAAAAGTCTGCTGATGGCCGATGTCTTCCAATAATCTAAGTCTCTCTGTTATCAGAGAAGGTAGTGATGTTCTTATATCGCTCATTAACATAGAGTATTCACATAACTATCGCTTCTTCATTATTTTCATAGTTGCATTTCATGTAGAAACTTATATTTTCATTCATATTTCAGTTTATTAGACTATGATATAGTATCTGATCCGGTGCCATTTTCTCGTTTCTGTGAATTTTAACGAAATGCGAAAAAACTAATTGATTCATATTTCTCATACCATATCTTATCTAAATTATAGAACAGATGGGAGAATGCCGATCTATTTTGGCCATCATTTGTAGTCCATCGGTTTCTATTACTTTATGAGCATCAGAAAATGCGAAACGTTTGTTATGAGGAACTTTACAAAAACAATATTGAAGCCCATCTATTTTTTAAAACGAAATCGACCGAGCATAAGCTTCAATACTATAGAGATCACTTCTTTCTCGAAAGCGATAAATAATGACTAGTTCATATCTTATATTTCTAAAGCAAAACTGAACTAATAAGCAATTTTAGCGATTGACATCTCTCTCTCTCTCTCTCTCTCTGTTCCGTCACTTGATCGGCAAGTTATCAGCGAGTTTGCTTCGTCTGAGTGATGTTCAATTGATATGATGTAGGTAGATTCTTTTTCTATAGCTCTACTTGCTTGTAATACTTATAGAACAGTTTTTCTTTGTCTGATGAGATTTTCCGAATTTCGCGATGACAAAAATTCAAGGTAAAACCTCTTGAAATTCATTTGAATTTTATCCGTTTTATGATAGTACCAGGCTATGACATAATCTAGATTTTATTTTTCTAATAGCAATACTAGATAACTGAGAGATTAGCCATTGACTGAGTCTAAATTCATATAAAAAAGTTATACATCACTGATACAATGATGATTCCGGTGCGTGATTCTTTATTATACTATTTTTTCCTTAATACGATAGAATACGTCATCTGCATAAAATATAGACCATCGATTTTCACCTGTTAAGTCAACTAAGCAGAGAAACATTAAATATTTTCCCTTATTTTTATTGCTTATAATTCGTTATCCGATCTTGTTTTCCTAATCTATTTCTTAATTTTTACTGAGTGTCAATAACTATACGTTTGTATTCATTTTTTTCAGATTGTTATATGAGAAAAAGATTTTTCACTATGGTTGACGAAATATCATCAGTAATAAATGATAACAATACATTGTTTTCACGGCCAAATATATTATTAACTGGCCTGCGACGATCAGGTAAAACATCTATACAACGTGTGATATTTACTAAAATGGCACCATCACAAACACAATTCCTTAAATCAACTCCACAATTAACAGTAAATAAATTCTCATGTAGTTCATTTATTAGTTTGCAAATTCACGAATTACCCGGTCAATTACGTATTTTTCCATCTTTACAACTTCCAAATAATGTCGGCGAAAGCAATGCTCAATCACCACTATTTACTGATAATAATACAACACATCTTGTTGAAGCTGGTTATAATATAGAGCGTTTATTGAAAAGATGTAGTGCTGTTGTATATATAATTGATGCTCAAGATGATTATGCTCAATCAGTATCAAGTTTAAATATGATCATAGAATCAGGTCAACGCGTTAATCCACGATTAAGATACGAAATATTCATACATAAAGTTGATCAATTATCAGAAGAAGAAAAAGTTGAAGCTCAACAAGATATTCATAATCGGGTATGAAATAAAAAGGAATTGATATAATAGAATTAATTGATTTTCTATTAAAAATTTTATTCAAACTAGAAGACTTGATATAATTTTTGCCGATTGAAGACATTTTTTATAAGAAATCTGTAAACGATAGTTATCACAGTTACAGATATATTAGAATATGTGTTTTGACAAGTATTAATGTACTACTATTAATTATATGAATAGAAAGATTTGTCATCATGCCGATGGAATCACTACTATGAAAAACGGATAGCGTAGAATAATTTATTAGTATGCGTCGAACTTTACTATTATTTTAATTGTAACAATTATTGCGGTTCTGACACATTTTCTAATAACGGTAACAAGAAAACTTGTTTTATAATAGCTATAAAAGAAAATATTTTTCTATCTATTTATATTAAATCTCATTTTTTTAAAATAGCAATTTACATACGCACAGAGATATATCATTAGAAAAATAAATCAATGCAGTTCTAGTAATTCATTTTAATTTCGCACATCATTGATCTTTTAACTTTAGATAGCTTTCAGAAGTATGCAGAAATGATAATTATTGAACGAATATTATTATAATATTTCACAATAATAATCTAATCATAGGAGTTAGTAGAAATCAATAATCTATTTATAGATTTTCATTTAGTTGAGTAACAAAATGAGTAGCCCGAAGCTCGCAAATATGACTTTCACCAATCGGTCTTTCGCCATTGGCGAAAGCTATATGGACGCTTACCTATTCTAATACAGTTTCTATTATGTTCTTGCAGACTTGCCGAACATACATCAACTTTTGATTTGTAGTGGAATGGTTGAACACCTGTCGTTATTATAGTGAATTTTTCGAGTAAATTATCGTGAATGTTGGCGAATATCCACCTAACTTTCATCACTATACATCATGGGCATTCGCCAGTGTACCCCCCCCCCTGNTGATTAGGTTCATTAAGTACAACACCGGTGAGAGATTCTTGTTCTTCGTCCACTGAGGCAACAAACGAAAATGCATCAAATGTATTTGATTCCATGTCTTCAAGTATTGTAAAATTAACCGGTGGTCGAGCACTTTATCTCAAAGAAATTAATCGTCATCTAGCATTGACATGTGTCTTACGTGAAGAAGCACTTACAAAACAAGCTATCATCGAATACAATGTCAATCAATTAAAGAAAAGCATTTTAGAATTGTTCAATTTAACTCCTCAGATATCTTCATCTCCTTTACCATAAAAGCATGTTTGTTTATAAGAAAAAAAAAGAAAAATAGTTAATAGATATTATGTATATATGTATATGTTCTGCTTCTTGTTCTGGCTTCAAAAAAATCTATCAGGAATGCATGTTTCATTTATTTTTTTTTTGGCTATAAAATTCCTACTTGTTATTTTTTTTTTGTATGCGTTACCATTAGTCTTCATAATAGGAGTGAAACAGAATCTTTATTCTTGCCTACAATCAAACTCAAATAATCACACACAAATTAAAGTCTGCACGCTTTATTATGAAGATTTTTCCTTTTACTGTTAAAAAAAATTAATATTTAACTTTGAATTAGTTAGATTTAGAATATAACCAAATTTCTACTTTTCATCATAACATGTATATCAATATTCCTAGCTGATGGAACACAACATTAATTCTAAATAGTTTATTGTTTGATTGATAAAGTATTATTGTTTGTTCTTTTTCTCTAAATTCATATTTTTCTGCTCATAAGTACAAATAGTGAATTGTTGGTTCGTTTCTTCATTTGTTTATTTTTTGGTTCTCTATTTCTTATGCATATGTACACAAAAAAGTTATTGTTGTTTTTTTCTTGTGTTCTTTTGCATGATTGTGCTGCGTTTTGTTCGTATACCCACAAATTTCTTGATTAAAAAATCAAGATAAATAGTACAAATCGGAAATATCGATTTTTTTGATGATAGATTTATTTTCAAACGCTAAAAAATCAAGAATACCTTGGATTAATTATCTCACTAGTGAGACTGAATGTTAGGTAGGATTGCTTTTAAATTAAACAAAAAACTATGAAATAACTTTTTACTTCAAGTAGAAAGAGTGTTCATTCATCATCTAGTCTATATTGAAATTCTTGCATCGCAGATCTTTTGTTTTACCATGAAAATAGAATTTTAGAAAGTATGATTAGAAGCGAGCAAATCAAGATGTTTGATTTTTTTTAAATAATAATGAAATCCGAGGAAACATACTTAGTTTTCTACAGAAAAATCTTTAATTTGAAAAACTCTTCGTTGCTATTTTATAACAAATGCTTTTCAAAGCATAACACTTTAATATATTTCGCAACTTTAAAAACGTTTCAGAATAAGCTGAATTTACAGTGAATTCATGTTTAATTTATAACCGCGGTACACTCCCAATTAGTTTTGATAAAAATCATTTTTTCATACATGAAAGCTTTGCTAATGGAATGATTAAACTTTAAAGTTATCCATCAGTGAAAACTCGTTAATAAGCATAATGCTAAGAGAAACATTTTTTTATTATATCGATTTTTAATAATGAAATTTGATGACCCAAACACAAGAAGGCGTGTAAAACTATCAGAGTATAAATTTCATCAGTTCGAAAAATTTGACTTTTTTAGTAGAACTGAAAACTCTGTTTGTATCCCGTTGGAACAAAGACACTATTTCATTGTTTGATATTTCGAGACACAGCAGATACTTAAGTTAACACAATCAAACACAGTGTACAAGTAGAAATAGAAAATTGAAGAAAGCACTTTTTTTAATCTTAAATCATATTATCGAATTGTTAGCCATTCTTAATTTAAAAACGACAAAGTCAGAAGAAAGTAATTTATTTCAGTCTCTTTTTATATTATTATCATGCCATAACCCAACTACAAGGCAAGCGTAATTGTTCAAATGAAGTCATGTGGATGTATAGTAATAGATTGGTCGAATAAAAGACAACACAATTTATCGCTTGTTATCCAGATTCAATCATAATTCTAGTCAGAATTATTTTAGTATGAATTGATTTAAGATATATGAAAATATTGAATCCTATCAGGAATATAACCTAATCTTGTTTTTACTTTCAAATACATAATTTCTTGTTGAAAGAATATTAGAAAATAAATTATTTACAAATTTACAAACCTAAAAGCAAACGGAATAATATATGGTATTTTATGAAAGAACTTTAAGAATTAAATTTCAAACTATTTAACGATTTTATATGAACAAATAACTTCTATTATTCAATTATACGGGCAGATGGTTTTTTAACTGAGTACTGTTTTAGTTCGAAATAAGCATCGACTAGATTGTGAATGCATCTTAAGACTATTGTTCTTTCATCTAATCAGTTTTCTTATGGCGATTGTATACGGAATGAAGGCGATCCTATGTCATCATAATTAATGTAATATTTGTAGATATTCTCTTATTAGCCTCTGTCTCTGTACGTATATTTTTTTACTGAAGTATTTTGAATTATCGTATACCTTGATGTTAAAAAAATATACACTGGCACATAGTTAAAAGTAATCAATGGAAAGAAAACAATTGTCCAATACATTTCTTAGAATGTTCTATAGCAACACAAATATCATTTTTTAGTTCTTGTTTTTTTACTTCTATTTAAACAAATATCTCAAAAAAAAAAGTAAATTTTATAGTACAAATTGGATTTTATTATTGGTACAAAAAAAAACTTTCGATGTGTTTACACATCTCTTTTGTTTATTGTAGTGAAGGTGTGTGATCTCTAAGGAGTTCTTTTAGGCTTGATTTTTTCTTTTTTTTGTCGTTGTATTTGTTTCGTCGTCGTTGACGAGTCTCCAATAGTAACTTTACAATTCACTTCCATCATTTGTTTGAACAAAAAGAACGAGAATGATTCATCACAAGCTACTAAGGCTGTCGCACAATTGTTCTCTCTCTCTCTCTCGTTTTTCTTTTTCTTTCGTCGCCTTCGTTACATACATTCACTACTCTATAAAAGACATCAGCCCGGCTCGTACACTGTCAGTCAGTTGCAACAAAGAGACGTGTGAGAGCAAACAAGTAATCACTATCAACACAACAATTTCAACCGTTTTTCAAATAAAAAAAAGCTAAACTATTCGTATGTTTGGAGCATTTTTTTCTTCGCTGATTTTGCTTCAAAAATATCTTATTTATTAGATCATGCGTGAATGTATTTCAATCCATGTTGGGCAAGCTGGTGTTCAAATTGGTAATGCATGCTGGGAATTATACTGTTTAGAACATGGTATTCAGCCTGATGGACAAATGCCATCAGATAAAACAATCGGAGGTGGTGATGATTCATTCAATACCTTCTTTAGTGAAACTGGAGCTGGCAAACACGTACCGCGAGCTGTCTTTGTTGATTTGGAACCAACTGTTATCGGTAAGAAGAAGAAGAAAAAAGAACACAATTGAATAGAATGCTTATGAATAATGGTTTTGTTTTAGATGAAGTACGCACTGGCACATATCGTCAATTGTTTCACCCCGAACAATTGATTACTGGCAAGGAAGATGCTGGTAAGTGATTAATTTTTTGTGGATGTGTTTCTCTATTATATGTACACTATAATTTTAGCTAACAACTATGCTCGTGGTCATTACACCATTGGTAAAGAAATCGTCGATTTAGTACTTGATCGAATCCGTAAATTGGCTGATCAATGTACTGGTCTTCAAGGATTTCTCATCTTTCACAGTTTTGGAGGTAAATTTTTTGATAGAAATATTATATTTACAAAATTAGTTTTATTTCTTCCAAATAGGTGGTACTGGTTCAGGTTTCACATCATTGTTGATGGAACGTCTTAGTGTTGATTATGGTAAAAAATCAAAACTCGAATTCGCTGTTTATCCAGCTCCACAAATTTCAACGGCTGTCGTTGAACCATACAATTCAATTTTAACAACACACACAACACTTGAACATTCCGATTGCGCTTTTATGGTTGATAACGGTTCGTAAATTTCATTCAAATCAAATCAATATAGTATTTTCTTATTTTATTCTATAGAGGCTATCTACGATATTTGTCGTCGTAATTTGGATATTGAACGACCAACATATACCAATTTGAATCGTTTAATTGCTCAAATCGTTTCATCAATTACAGCATCCTTACGTTTCGATGGCGCACTCAATGTTGATCTTACTGAATTTCAAACTAACTTAGTACCATACCCACGTATCCACTTTCCATTAGCTACGTATGCTCCGATCATTAGTGGTATGAAAAAAATGATAATTAATTCTATTATCTATTGATATAATCTTTTTTTCTTTTCTATTTTAGCCGAGAAAGCTTATCACGAACAATTAACTGTTGCTGAAATAACAAATGCTGTTTTTGAACCAGCCAATCAAATGGTTAAATGCGATCCTCGACACGGTAAAATTAGAGATTTCGTATTTTCTATTTGGAATGAAAATTTTTAGGTAAATATATGGCTTGCTGTCTCTTATATCGTGGTGATGTTGTACCCAAGGATGTCAATGCAGCCATTGCTACAATTAAAACAAAACGAACAATTCAATTTGTTGACTGGTGTCCAACTGGTTTCAAAGTTGGTATCAACTATCAACCACCAACTGTTGTACCAGGTGGTGATTTAGCTAAAGTACAACGTGCCGTTTGCATGTTATCAAATACAACAGCTATTGCCGGTATGATTCATATTGTATGAATGTTTTTTTCTTACTAATATCTTGTTTTGCTTGTGTTTCAGAGGCTTGGGCTCGTCTTGATCATAAATTTGATTTAATGTATGCTAAACGTGCTTTCGTTCACTGGTATGTTGGTGAAGGTATGGAAGAAGGTGAATTCTCAGAAGCACGTGAAGATTTAGCTGCATTGGAAAAAGATTATGAAGAAGTTGGCGTTGATTCAGTTGAAGTATGAAAACATCTTTTGTTTGTTTTTCTTAAACAATTTCTTTCTTTGATTTCTTCTAGGGCGAAGGCGAAGGTGAAGGTGAAGAATATTAGACAACAATTGACGATACCTATCTTATATATCTTTGTACTTCTTATTATTTTTTTCTTTTCTTATATTGTATCTTTAAAAAAAGGACATGAATGAATAAATAAAAGAAGAACATTAGACTAATGTCTTTAAATTCATAGCGAATAGTTTGCTTTCATTTAGAGAGAAGCATTTTATTATCAATGATTTCTAAATATATGAATGGATTGTTTTTATAAAGATAATGGCATGTATATATATGGTGAAATTTGATCAATTGATTCTCTGTGAGAGTGAGAGCATCATCCGAAAATTTTCAATTCAATAACAAGATGCAAAAAAGCATGCAATCGAATAGAAAATTAAAAAAAACATTATTTGAATTACTTTTACTTGAAGGATGTCACAAAACTGCTAGAACATCACATTGATAAAGCATCTCTTTGATTTAGTGTATGTTTTGTCTGAAAATTCGAGAAACAGTAAGATGAAAGTTTTTCCACACTCGCATTGCGTTAAAATCGAATGCATTCGTGATGACAACAGCTGCGTTTAAATATATTTCTATAGAATAAGCAAATAATCTATTCTTCCATGGAAATATACCAGTACTTAAATAGATAATAGTTATTAAACAAAAAAAAACATGAATGCCGAAACAACTTAAAAACAAGCGTCTCCTTTAGATAGTTTTTAGAATTTAACAAGTTTTCAAACGAGAAAAAATAAATAAAATAAAATATGTCGAGTTCGATAGAGTAATTTATACTCAATACAACTATGTGCACACAAGAATGATTCGCTGTTTAATGGTATACAAAGTAAACTTACAAAAAAACTGTTGAAAACATCGAATATGCTACCAAATGTATTTATTTCAGTAGTATGATCAAGATCATAAATAATTGATGCATCTTGTTTCAATCGACTTGAACTAATGTGTTAAGAAACAAGGTTCACATGATCGGGAATACAATAGAACGAAAGCATCTGGAACAATGGCAATATAAAAGATTAGGCAATTTAGGAGTGTTATGAAAAATATTGTGAGGTTTCGTTATCGAAAAATTACATCTATTAAAGCTTTTGATAGATCAGATCTATCATGGCCAAATATAACAAATACAGAATAAAAACGAAATACTATTTTTGTTATTTCTGACGGTGACATATATGATCTGTTAGACGCTTGAATTAATGTGATCTTTGGTAACAAAACAATAATGTTTTTCATAGTAGTATTTTACCTACAAATCTCCTTCTTTTTGTAAGGCACTACTCGTCAACTTTATTACTTAAGAATGAAAAATATTTGGTGTTTCTTTACACTTCTTGATAAACAAAATACGATAACAGTACGAATGAAATAAATAATTAGTCAGCTATGATGGTAGTTAAATATAACAACATTGATACATTGACATATGTTTCTTGCATAGGAAAAATGATTTTTCTATTGAAAAGTGTTAGCGAAGACTATCAAAAACATCTATCGAGTACAGGTTTATATCGTCATATTTTGTTAGTCGTAATAAAACCGACACAGTTGAAAAAGAAATTTGATTCGAATTTTGAAAAATCATTTAAGAATTCCTAGAACACCCTTTCTCATATAACTTTCATGACAATTTGAAGTTTTCATCAATCAATGTTTTCTACTCCTCTCCTCATTTTGTAATCTAATCTGAACAAAAGGTTAGACAGATTTTTCATATTGAATAGAACAATTACTTTATCCATGAAAACAATTATAAAAGAACTATTGTCAGTGTGATGTCAAATGTATGTCATTTTGGCTTGATACTTGACTTATCATTATTTTATCATTGATAAAGAATACTTGTATAAAATGAAGAGAATACTTTTTATAATTTAAAAAGAAATAGCTAGTTGCTGCCAACAAAATTACTAATATTACTTCACGACTATTTGCAATTCTCTGTACGTATTCAAGATTTATAATTACTAAGTTGATAATGTCTCGATAGATGATGTATATATTTTTTATTTAACGATTAGGTATGATGCAAAATATTATTTCTACTGAAAAAATTTACTCATAAAGTCACATGTTTTTACTACTTCATACATGAAATAATACACAGTAGATTAGATAAAAACGAAATTTTTTATGAATTATGAAAGGTTAAATATCTTGTCATATTTTATTGTATTACAAGTACATAAAAAAGTAAATTTGATAGCAGATAATGTCATTGATAATAAAAAGGCCATTTAGACTCAATATAAACTTCTCCTCTCTGTAATCTATTTTTAATTTTATCGCTCAACTAGTCGTTTTTCTTTCTTCATAAGGTTAAAATATGAGATTTTTATTATTAGTTTTCTTTTTGTTTTTGGGCTCAATATAGTTCGAATTTCCTGGAGTTAATGAATACTTAAGACTAAATCCGATGAGGAGAAAAAAAACTGGAGTGACTAATCACGATGGAGTGAAGTATTTTATGAGAGACTCCATACAATGCTGGAATTTATTTATTGTGAAAATAGTTATAAAAACGAAATAATCCCTACAACACGATTGACATTATTTTCTAACTAATTCATTTTAGCTAATAGTTGTACCAAATATGTTAAAATTTATATTAATAACCGTATTATTTCTACCGATTGCTGTCGAATCGAAAGGTAACATTTTTATTATCCATTACAATACTAATGATAATGTGCATAGATCGTTGGACTTTTGAGAATTCTAAAGCATGGCCCGCTACTTATAAGTATTGTGGTGGAAATCTGCAGTCACCCATTGATCTAAATTTTCAAATTTCGCATGTGGATCCTCGTCTTAAACAACTCTATTTTAAAGAATTATACTCACGTGGTAAATTTTGTTTGAATACCATTTTTCAATTATTTTAATTTACTTTTCTTCCTTATAGAACCATTAGAGCTTTCCAATAATGGCTACTCGGGTAAGCATCTTTACATATATGAGAAATGTTCCAAGATTGAGGAACAGGCATTCCTTCTAAACTCACTTACAATTCATTGAATGTCCAAGGAAGTTTGGCAGCAATGCTTATAGTTTCTCAATAAACTAGAAATTCCCTTTTCTCAGTTCTTGGACACTGCTAATATATATATATATAAATATATTGTCGTTCTGGATGAAAATAGCCATCGTCGAATAATTATTATTGCTTTTGGCTGTATTAGCATGATATTTTAAATGCATGCATACAACAATGAATCATGACCACAAAACCACCGTACCTTTTAATCATGCTCATGTAGCAAAGTTTGATTTCGACATGTCTACTTTATTATTACTGAAATTTTGTCATAGATAGGAATTCTGTTAGTAGCTATGTTGTATTGAAGAATCTGCTTTTGAAATATTCATTAGAATAGTTCAAAATTACTATCGTACAAAAAAATCAACATTTGCTGTCAGAATATATTAATGAAACTACAATATAACTCAAGTATTCTAAACCGAATTGCAGACGGCTCTTAGCAACAGATTGCTAAAACGTGGTGAAAATCTGAGATGAAGATTTATGCAAACATCTTTGGAGTTAGATGATCATAAGACAAAGATTAGATTTGAAACATTATGACAGTAGCTATTAATCAATAGAGAAGCAAATTAGTTTTTGCGATTAAGATTTATTCTTGCATTCATTTATCCAAAATATAAGATTAATATCATAAAGAATAGTAGAATATCATAAAGTGTGGTTTATCTATTTTTTGAGATAACATTTGTTTTCTATTAGCACAACTTGAATTAAAAAATCATTATGTATTAAAAAATGTTGCTCCAGAAAGTGAAGATTATAAAGTAGAACAAATTCATTTTCATTGGGGTCATTCAGAAGATTATGTTAATGGATCCGAGCATTTACTTGAAGGGCTACCATATCCATTAGAAGTAAGTTTTTAATTAATTAATAGAAAACTTCCTCATAGATTCATACATAGATGCATATAGTAACATATTCAAGTTGGTTTTCAAATTTTAGTGAAGCAGTGAAGAATACACGAGCACTTGCTGTTATCGGTGTTTTCTTTGAAGTAAATAAAAACTTGTGCCTGTTTTACAAATATACGTTTTTTTTTTATTACTAGTTTGGTAAGGAAGACAATTCATTGCTTGAACCTATAGTTAAGACATTAAAACATATTCAACATAAAGGACAAACTGTCTTTATTGATGGAAATTTCGATTTAAAAGCTTTGATTGATGAAAAACGCTTATATCGCTATTATCGTTATGATGGTTCATTAACAAATCCACCGTGCTATGAATCGGTCATATGGAATGTCTTACCCGAACCATTACAATTATCAGTTAAGCAGCTTAATGCTTTTCAAACTTTACGTGCAGAAAAATCTCAATTAATTAAAAATACATATAGATCAATACAACCTCTTGGTTCCAGAAAATTATTTCGTAGTTTTTACTCACAAGATATTCAAGAGGATGACATTCAAAGAAAAATTTTAGTATCAAAAGGACATGATCAATATTCATTTGTCAAGATGAAGTTTTCTTTTGTTTTAATCAGCCTTTTATTGTTTACTATATGAAAAAAAAAGCTCAATAGTTATCTAGTATTTTTTTTCCCCTATAGAATATTTCTGTATTAATCTAAATTCCTGAATTAATATTATTCAGATAGACGAATAAAATATACCATCTATATCTTTATAGTAAAGATATAAAATAAATATTTTATTTTTACATGAACTAGATTCAAACAATATATATTTTCAGATAAAATCAGTTCAATAAAGATTTTAATGTGTCATTATAATAATTAGATATGAAACCAAATAATAGCATTTGCATTACACTTCGATATATCCAATGAGAACACATTGTGAACTGTCTTATCGCTTTATTTCGCAGCCATTACTACTCCAATGGTTATGATGAATAATAAGAATGTCTGTTATAGTTCAATTTTTTTTGACTGTTGTTTTTTCGAGTTATAGATGTTGTAACTGATTCTTCATTATTTTATCTAACTATGACCATACAGAAATTGTACGGTCAAATCTAAAGTTGAATTTTCGTTCATATCTAGACTTTGGAATCGCTAGAAATTCTTAAACCTACTGAAACATTACTTTATCTTGGGCATATACTTCCTCTAAAGTATAGCCAAGAATCTGTTGCTACTTTGCAATGTAATTATTTCGCAAGAGTCTATGTCAAATGATATAGTTATCAAATCTATTTATGGAACAATTTAAGGTCAATTTTCAATTATTCAGCTTTTACAGAATCCTATGAGCATAGATTGAAAAGCGAATCAAAATTCGCCTATTCATTACGCATCATGATCGATCAAATGGATATAGTCTCAAGCAAAAAGAAATCTACGGGTAAGAAGTGTTCTCTTGTCGGCGATAAGAGCCTACTTGAAAACAAGATTGCTATGTTCGATAGAGTCGAATAAATGAACATTAAAGTTTCTTCACTAATGGAAAGTCTACTTAGGAACACGCTTATCTTGCTCAGTTTTGTTTTCATTTACTACTGTGACAAGAGAACGAGGAATTCATGTAATTATATATATATACATATAATAGACTCTCACCGTCAACTATTTACTGGGATTGAATGATTATGAGAAGTCATTCTAACAATTGAACAAGAAAGAAAGGTATTTTTCTTTCGCTTATTCTAGTCGAAAGAATATTGTCAAAATATTTCAATATTTTATTTTTTCATTAAATTCCGCATGATATCATTAAATTATTTTATTCATTATTTTTTTTATTTTTCTTGTAACTGAAACTGTCCTTATTAATATAAAGTATCATTTAACAATGGATCGATAATTCTTTTTCTTTTTTTCTTTTTTCTTTTCTTCACACTCAAGTTTGCGACTATAATAAAGAACTGAAAAGAAAAAACATGAATTACAAGCGGCAAATATTTTTCTTCAAAACAAAGAAACTTTCTTTTTTTTCATATTCCTGTTCCGTCACCATCACCACCGTCACCAACAAAAAGAATACGTATGTACACATACACACACAAATAAAATGGATCGTGATAGTGCCAATGCTACTCGTTTACGTGTTAATCGCATCGCGTTAACTCAACAACTCAATGTTCAAGAGCTCATACCTAAACTTGTTCGTGCTCGTATTCTATCTGTTAATAATGATATGCCATATATAAATGAAGGTACAACAAGTATTGATCGTGCTCGTCGACTAGTTAATTGTCTGCTAACACCGACATCAATTGGCAAAGATGTTGAACGTGGTCAGCGTCCAGCAAATTGGTTTCTGATATTTCGTAGTATTTTATTAGAAAATTCATCTAGTTATGGTGAACTTGTAACTGCTCTTGATAATACAGTAATACGTACACCAGATTTTGCTCAACGCGCATCCGATGCTTTTGCTGATAAAACGAATGCTCCACGTTCACATGAATTTCGTGAAAGTGTTAATAAAGAATTACTTCGTGTTTCGAAACCAAAACAAACTGATGAACAAAAATCAAAGACTCCAATAAAAAGTAATCAAGAACAAATAACCAAAATTGAATTTGATCCGTATGCAATGAATAAAATTTCAATTGAAGGAAGTTTTCAAAAAGTTGTTGATAATCTTACTTATCTATCACAGGTATTCGAGAGAAAACAAGTTGTTTAATATTAAAAGAATATTTCAAAAATTTGATTTAGATTCCTGAACATTTATTTGATCAATTATCTCGTTCCAAACAAACATACGATTGTGAGCAACTTGATGCTGAACATCAAGCATTTGATGATATGCGTCGTCTTGAATTAATGAATAATTTGATGAAACAAGAAAGCGCATTGGCTAATCAAAGTGTATTTGATACAGAAATAGTTGATACAATTCTTTCAAATTCAAAGAATCATCATTATTTTTATAAATATTTTATTGCTTTGTCATCTATTTATGGGATTCATTTTGATCGACAATTTCTTCAATCATTTATTAGTTCTCTCGATAAACAAGATAATTTTATTAAAATCATTGATAAAGGTTTTCAATTATATCATTTCTTACACGGTTATGGTCGATATGAACTATGTCGACAAGTTATTGAACGTATTGTACAAGCATTAACAAAAAAAGTTAAACAACAACAACCAACTATTTGGAATTATTTATTTCGTGCATGCTGTGCACTTATTCAAATTCATAATCAAGGTGTAGAAATAAAAGATGCCTGGGCTAGAATTGAAGCTGCAAATGAAATTGCAGATAATCTTAAAACGACTGGCATTGGTAAATTTACTTTCTTGTAGGTGATAATATAACATTTATTATTATTATTTAGAAATTCCCAGTAACGATTACGCTTGGTTATATTTTTCAGCATCTCAAACAGCATATGAAGATGCTAATTTCGATGCTTGTATTCAATATTGTTATAGGTAACTCTCTCTGGTTTATTCAAAGGTTTAATTGTATAGTTAATTTTTGAATTCATAGAGGTCTTACAGCAGTCGATAAAAATAATCATTCATTAATTGTTGATCTACTTTGTTCACTTGCACAAGGATTAACATCAAAATGGATTATGAATAAAGCACAAGCAACAGCTGTTATGGCTGTACAATATGCAGCGTAAGATTTTAGTATAGAATGTCGATGAACAAAGCTCGATTACTTTCATTGAGTTACTTACTCAATTACAAACTTTTGCTTTATGCTAAATTGAATCAGTGAGTTTCTAATGAAAATTAAGTTAAAAAATCCATATGATAAATAAAGCCAATAGAAGAATCTAAAGCGATTTAATCTGTCACAGTGCACTTTTCAAAATATTTGAGAGTAAAAGTCAGGACGCTTGCGAACCAAATCTGGTCAAAATTCAAGTGTTTAATAGATAGTTCAATGGATATTTTTTTTCGGATTTTAAATGTAATATTCATTTCATTGCAACTGAAGCTTTCTATTCAACAACACTTCTGAATATAATCCCGTAGTCATGGTGATTGATTGGCATATATATTTTCTGGTTAATATAATAATATCTGTTAAAATGGACACATCATTTTATTGCATACTGCATGGCAAGTACAATCAACAAAAATAATTCTAATAAATAGACAGATTACTGAGACTTCATGATACTACTGTCGTTCAATGTTAAGAAACATTTCTATTTGCCATTACTTTCTTTCAAATGAAAGCATATTGCACTAATCGATATCTGATAAAAACAAAATATTGCCTTTGAGTAAATCTAGAAAGTCTATTGAACTATGACACAATATACTCAATTATGATTTTCATCATAGGAAATATTGTGGTCGTAATGATCCAAAATTTGTTTATGCGCTTCAACAACTTGTTCAATTTTCAAATGAATTTATTCAAGACGCACGTACTGTTGAATTATCCAAGGTAGATTATAGATATGATATTTTTTCTGAAGAAAATCTCATATTACAGTTTATTTTGATGAACATTTTAGTATACATTTGATCGAGCTCGAACAGTCTATGGTTATGAATCAATCGTGGTTGCTCATTCGCATCGAGCTTTATCGAAAAGTTTAATAACACTTGCTTCGACAACTTTTTCTCGTCGTATTACACAAGAGAGTCCATCTGACAACAAGTCTACAGATTTTTCACAAACACCTTTTCTTCATCATGCGAATGAGGCCTATCGTATAGCACAAGATTGCTTTGGAGTTGAAGATCGAATTCGTTTATTTCCATTTAAAATGAGTCTTGCTCATGCCTTACAATCACGTGTTTCATCCGATCAAACTGAAAGCAAAGATTCTTACTTTAGCGATGCGATGGAATTACTTGAAGATTGTCTTACTATTGCCAAAGATACATTTGGAACGATGAGTTTTAAAGTTGCACAAGTTCATCGACTTCGATCAGCAACATATCTTAGCAAAAAAATGTAGAAGAAAATTGTTTTTTAAATTTATTTTCTGGATGAACTTGTCTGTTTTGTTTAGGTATAATGAAGCTGAACAACAGTTAAATACATGTTTACAGATATATAAACTTTGTTTACCATCAAATAGCTTTCACTATCTTGTAACAAAAGCAAGTTTAGGTTTAATTTATAAACAACAAGGAAATTATGCACAGGCTTTAACAAATTTTCAGAGTATATCTTCATTGTTAGGTAAAGCTTTTCTTTTTTCTTTCAATTAAATCAAAGATCGATTTCTTGTTTGACAGATACAAAAGCTCAATCATTTCGTTGGATAAATATGGTTCTTGAAAGTCTTATTGAATGTTATACTCATATTGAAGAAAGTGGACACAGCGAAGAAGATCCGGCAACATCATCAATAGCTCATAATGCAGCAGAAAAGGTTCGCGCAGAATTGTACGAATGGCGACGTGCAAATGTGAAACCCGCCGATTTAATGAATTTAATTCAACAAGAACCAGCAAGAACATTACATCAATTTCTTCATGATTCAACCAAATTTCAAGAAACAACCAATCGTGTTCATGCATTAATGCATACACAACAAAAAGCAAAAACTCGAATGTCATTACCAATACCAACTACGAATACCAAAACGCATCAAGAAGCGTGAACACATTTTAAATTCTGATCAATGATTGAAATAATAGATATTGAAAAAAATAATAGCAAGGCATTGCTTTAACTCTACAGCAGAAAGTTGTGTGGCATCTTTTCAAATGAATTTTGTTCAATTCATAGGGCTCACATAAACTAAGCATCAAATCCAGAATGCTTTCTATAAGAATGATGAAGATTCCGAAGACTTCGAACTATAATAGATGATAAAAATATCAATTGTCATCTGTTATATAACTTTGTATGTCGATAGACAACAAAAATAGTGACGTTGCTAGTGTCGAATTAAAAGTCTGAAACGCCAGGGACTATATGCTTGAGCATTTAAAGATTGAAAACTTCTTCGAAATATTTTTCATGAATAATGAGAACACAATCGGATATTATTCATCAATTTTAAACTCGTTTATATGTATCAAAATTAGCTATATTGTATAGTATTCGGTTATTTTTTATTGAGTTTAGTTGAGTTTATATTGATTTTTCGAGAAAGAAAGATGAGATGCCAGTTCTAATTCGATGTTGGTTCAATACGGATGCGAACTGCAGATCAAGAAGTACGTTCCTAAATAGCTCATGGAAAACATTTCAAATTGAAGTACACATTTCGTTTTACGGTTGAAACCAGAGGTGATTGATTTAATTCGAATTGTCATTTCTAATAATTGTAAAATTTGTGTAAAATCGTTACAGTTAACGTGAAAATATAATAGTACTCAAGAAAAAAATTACATCTTATACAGATATAATCAATATTTTCTAACAATTATTTAAAAGAAAGCTGTCGATCAGTAATGTCAATTCTGATTTGCGTGTCATCTTTCATACAGATTGAACTTTCGTAGTTATTTGTAACTTCAACAATATTACTTCATATAATATTTATATCGTTTTATTTTTAATGATCAAATAATATATCTATAGTGATCTAAGTTTTCGATTTGCATAATTTATGAATGAATGACGTCATACTAACACAATTTGTATTCCTACAACAATATGTTGATAAAAAAATTTAGCAAAATCATTTTACATTTGGTTTGGGTTTATCAGCCTAACAAACTTTTCTAAAAGTATGTTGAATAATAATTTCATGATTCCTGGATATACTTAATCTTCAACAACTTGATTAATTCTCAGAATCGTTAGAAAAAATTGGAAACTGTTCAATATAGATGTGATTAAGAAATGAAGCAACTATTTGGCCTATATTCTTTTACATAAAAAGCAGTTTATTCAACATTCTAATACATAAATTGTTTCATGATTATAAATGCAACAAAAACGATAAAGAACATCTATGGATATTAATCATATTTATCAGTCTAAAGACGTTTTTTATATGATTTGAATTTTATCTCAATGCGAGTGCATCGTTTTAGAGTTTTTCCTTGTTTAAAACCCATAAAATCTAAAAACTTGTATTATTCATATTTCTAACAAAACACTAATAAAGCAATCAATATTAGTTTCATTCGGTTAAATTCGTCATAATTCTCGAAACTATTGCTCATAGTTGTGTAAAACACTTCTCACTCTTTTTTTCAATAGTCAAATGTTGATAAGCTAGTTTTGTCAAAAATCTATAGATCAATGATGCTTCGTATCTAATAAAAGCAATCTAGCTTATATGGGGTATTGACAAGTAGCTCATCGTTACATGAACAGATCAATATCAAATTGTTGTCATCAATGTCGATAATAGATCAACGCTAGGAGAAGAAATTTGACTGTCAGTTTGTCCATTATTTTAAATCAAATGTATATAGAGTATTGGAATACTACAAAAAAAAAACTCATATGATTTATTTTGCAAGTTTAAACATCAAATTGAAACTTAACCTGAATAGGAAGAGTTCATATTGAGCTTGAACAAGTTTTTGGGACGATTTGTAGTGAATAAAATTACAAAAATAACTAATTGGTAGTCAGCCTAGAAAAAATTTTTGACACCCGTTTTCAAAAATATTTCAATCAAAACAAGATTAAAATTCACAACTAGTACTACCACTGTTCTTGAGGATTAGACTTACAAAAATTTTAAAAAACATGTGATTTCTGATCAAAATTAATCTAGATCGTTGTTCTAATTATCATCAATACAATCTATTCTCACAACTGACTGAGCAAGAACACTACGGCAAGAGTGTCAGAAAGTCAATATTTGACAAGAAACATATCTGATCATTTATCTATATAAAAACATTTCTGTATTGAAGAATGAATTTTCAAGGCGTATGTATAATATATATCGAAACCAACGAAAAAAGTACAATTCATTTCACTTTAAATAGATCTAACAAAAACAAAAACAAAAACTGGAACATTATAAACATCGTAACATCACAGTTTAACTGTGCCAATTGCACACATCAATATAGACGTTCATTTACACTGTATAACAATCATGATTATTTTTGTGATGTGATCTTTTTGAAACTGTTGTACAACAAAACAACGTACCAAACCATGAACATGAATGAAGTTTATCAGATAGAATACGTCGTCCATTACTTAAGCCATGATAATATCTTGCTTCGTAAGAATTATGTATTTCTATTGCTTGTTCAAATACATTTCTTACATTAAAATTAAGCATTGACGAACATTCTAAATAAACTTTAGCTGAACAAACATGTGCCAAATATTCTCCTTGAGATTGACTGATTGGTCGTTGTCTTTTTTCTGCTAACTGTTCAAGTGTTGACGGATCATTTCGTAAATCAAGTTTCGTTCCAACAAGAATAATTGGTACACGCGGTGCATAACCTTTACGGGAAAAAAACAGATATTTTTAGAAAATATCGAGAGAATAAATCATTGATAATTACGATTTAATTCTGGAATCCATTTACTCAATATATTAGAATAACTATCTGGATCAACAACTGAAAAACAAAGTATGAAAACGTCAGTATTTGGATATGCCATTATTCGCAGTTGATCATATTCTTCCTGAAATATCAATTATTATTATAATAAATGAAACAAAATAAAATTGCTTACTTGACCAGCACTGTCAAATAGATTGAGAATATATTTACGATTGTTCACTGTTACTGCCGCTAGAATATTAAAATACTTGAAAATTATATTGTAACTTTTTCTCATCTATAAACCTGCATAATTCTCAAATATGGTTGGTACATAAGGATCTTGTGGATATTCTCCATCTTTATAAACAATACATAATGTCGTCTAAAAGAAAATTTCTTTATTCGTATTCATTGATTTATTATAATATTCTTTTGTCTTACTTTGCCTGTGTAGCCATCACCTCAAAGAATGAATATTAAGTAAGATTTATGATAAACTAGAATTTTGTTTTGCGTAACTTACCAACAACCACAACTTTAATTTCTTCGATCGTTGATACAGCTGTCGCCGATCTACAGTTATTCGAGTTTGATTTTGGCATTTACTAAAGCAATAAGAATGAATGAATAATGGTTCATACATCTGATAACATTCTCATGACTCTTTGTAATACTACAGAACAAACGAATCGATCATTCATGTGAAGTACAAAAAAAAGGAAAAATTTGTATGGTCATTCAATATTTGATAATAATTCTTCTTTTATTTTTGGTATGCTTACCTGTGAATTTACTGTTAATCAGCATTGAAAAGAAATGCGATTGTCGTTTTGTGATATAGTCAAATAAATATGAGAAGGTATGAACAAAAAAAAAAAGAAAAGAAAAGAAAACAATATGAACACTTTTTTCTTTCTAGTTACTTTACTGATGACCTGCAGAGGAGGAGACAATACAATCTGAATGAATAAAATGATTCATTCAAATATATACGATCAATCGATTTTTATTTTTGTATATATATATAGATATATATACATGCATACACATATGTGTTGGTAAATGTGTTCAGTCAGCGAATCGGAATGAAAAATTAATAGAGGTCGTTTTCTATATTGACCTTTTTACAAGGTACATAACGTCTCGATTAATAGATGAACTTTTTCGCACGATGATTTTTGAAATCTCTTTAATAATAACCTTATTAGAAATTGATTGAACAATTGTTTATAGTCATGCAGGATCCAAGAGCATTTGTTGGGCTTACCTGAATGTATGCAAATGATCACAATGAATGTGTGTTCAAGGTGAAAATCTTTGTTGATGTTGACGCAGTACACATACACACACGCTCACTCACACGACGAAAAAAAGACGAAAGGTATAGAAGAGTAAGGAGAACCGTTTTTTCTTCTTCTTCGTCGTTGTCGCCGTAGTATACGAGATGTTCTTTCTTTAGGCTTCGTTCTTTTTCTTTCGTCGTCCTCTTCTTTTTTTTTAGGTGCACTTTAATAATCTACATCTAGTGTTTCTTTTCTCTTCATTGTCTTGCGAAATATACTGTCATATCATTGATACTTATTCGTATTCTGTTTCTTCATCACAACAGATAGCTACACTAATCAACAAAGGAAAAATAAAGATATAATTATCTCGTATCAGATGACATCTAATAGAAGAATCATTATAATATTGTATACGGAATATTCGAATATCAAAATCAGAATTAGAATAAGAAATAAATCGATATTAAAATGCATTCTTAATTCATATAATGTGGAATAATAATAATTCAGTTGCATAATCCATAATCGACGTTCATTAAAAATAAATAGAAAGAAAGAACTTGTATCATATATTCAATAGAAGATTATGATAAATATTTGAAACAAAAAAAAAGGAATCTATTATTATTTTAATGGTGAAATAATGAAATCAATTGACATTCTTACGTATTTGCGAAAAAAGTCAACTTTTTCATTCACAAAAAAGAAATGCTTATTTTTATTGAGTTCTCTCGATTGTAGCAACAATTTAATTTAATTTTTCACAAGCAATAATCTACTTTCATGTAATACGATCATTAATGTTCAAAATATTTTAAAAAAATATTATTTTTGTTAGATTGACAATTATTTCTTTTCTATTAAGCAAATCAAATTAAGGTCCTAATTTCGTTTTTTTTATTGATACTTCAAAATAATACAAAGAAGAAGAAAAGCAACCTCACACTGTTATCATAATAGTTTTAGTCTTATTAATGAGATATATTGTATCCAAATGCATTGATAATTTCGATGAAAAATGGTATTATGCTGCATATGGCAAAGATGGGCCAAAATGAAACACTACACCAACGTGTAAAAACCATAAATGAAAGTGCGATGGCACCAATTGAATGCAGTAATGTTGCTATTAAAAATGAGAAAAAAATAACAGTCATTGGTCAATCAATGAAAGCCTAGAATCACATACTAGCAAGTGTAACTTTATTTCGAAGTAAACTTGGTCCAAGTAGAAATATAATTAGTTCAACAATAAGTAATGCAATTGAGAAAGATAAAGCAATGATAAATCTTATAAATGTAATGTTCGATAGAAAATGATAGATTATATTTACAATCTTACCGCGTATCAGTTAAATATCGATAATCCGATGAAAAATCGCAAAAACCAACGTATTGATCCTACATAAATTTAAATTTTTGTTAATTTATTATAATTAAAAGTAACAGTTAGTGTACGATAAGGATATTATGAGTAGTCATTGCAAATAGAAAGTAGTCATCGATTTTAGTATAAGCAATCGATTTAAAATAAATTACCACAGTCGTATATTTACTGTTTTGTTAAGATAAAATGAACAACTAATCTTTTTAGTACTGGTCGCTATTCTCAACGAAACTCTGTAATCGTACTAGTCAACAATTATTCATTTCTAGTAAAACTGTGAAGACGTGAAAGTCTTGACAAAATAGCATTGACCAATGTATTTGTCTATTTAAAAAACAAGCGGTCAATCAGTCAGAAGGTAACTTTTTTGTGTTTTCGAAATTATTTTTAGGATTTTGCTTTCAAGAAAAAAATTCCAAATTTCAATGAGCATCTATGAAATCAAAGATGTGAAACAATTTTGACTGACTTAACAAAGTGATCGATTCATTTTTCTGTTTTATTTTGTATAAAATATTGTCAAACTTTTCCATTGCCATTAGCAATTTTCCCGACCAATCCTGATTTCTGATGAAACAAACTCGGTGGTAAAAACTCATAGATAATATTTTGTTTTCTAAACAATTCAGTTTTATGGAGCAATAATTATTGAAATTTACTCAAAGATATAAATAAAAGTTGTCGCTGAAATCTAGCTAGAGTCTCAAAATCTTTGCAAAATGAAATGACTGTCCGTGTAGTGCTACCACTATGAAAATCACTATTTTCCTTATTATAAAAATACTTTTGAACTTATTTACAAAACTAGCTAATAGTTGTTTAATCGTATTTCAGAAGAAAAATTATACTTCTAAAAAAGATTTCTCTCTGACTTTGATCAGTTGATATTTAGTGCCTAGAAGAAAACAAACAGCATACATTTTTTGCTGAAACTTGCGTGTTTTAGATTAGTTGTGTGGAAAATCTTAGACGATGCTCTTATTATGGAATACTTGTGACACAATAAACATACTTACTCGTTCCTTGAATATCATAATAAGTATAGACAGATGTGCCGACATGGCTGTAAAACGTGCGAAAACTCCGTTTGCTGTAAGCATCTGGAAAACAAATATATCTACTAAAATTTCTGTTTTTTGTTTTTAGAATATAATCAAGAAGAAAAAAAATACCAGAATTAACTTTTTATTTTCAGTATAAGATCCAAAATGTTGAGAAGAAAAGCAAATTAAAAGGAAAAAAATGAACATTGAATATACGACACGAGGCCAAATAAAATGAAATAAAATACAAGACATTAGTCGAAGTGAGAGAACTTTAGAGATTCAAATTCTCTTGCATATCGTCTGTTTCAATGAAAACAAAAAGTGTCTTATTAGAACAAGTGAAAACAAGCAATTATTAATCAGCTCAAAAAAAAATGAGAAATTTATATTTCAAAGTTAACGAAAATTCTTCTGCGTTGAAATAAATTAAGAACAGATGTAGCTGTCGGAAAACGTTAAATTTATGGTAAATTTTGATAATTATGATCATAGCTAATATGTTGCTGTTGTTGTGGTGGTGATGGTGGTGGTGGCTGTTGTTGTTTTTTAGAAAGAAAACCTAAATCAACAAAAAGTATGTCACCATTAGCAGCGATAATCATAACTTGTTTAGTCATAGCCATTGTTGCTGCTTCACTATCTAATTGAAATAATTCAGTAACAACGCTATTACCATTTTGTGAAATCTCCAATACACGTGACCAATGTTTTTGCCATTGACCATTAAAATATTTGCCTGATGTCATCGTATCTAATACATAACATTTTTCATTATTTATTGCTTGAACAGAACATGGCCAACGGAGACGTTGAGTTCCCAATAAATCTGCGTCAATAATTTTTATTATACTACCAGAATTGGCATCACATATATGAAGTGAAAATGTATAAGCAATACCTAAAATAATATGGAATTAAAAAGTTTCGTTTGAAAATGAGTGATAATACAAAATTCTCAAGTTTTATCTTTTAAAAGATGATCTAATGTAAATTTTGTAGTATAGAACTAGAAATCATCATGCAGAAAAACCGTGTCAGACATTATTGATCAACTCTACTGACTGCTGTATATGAATAATATTTTTTGTTATATTATAATAGATAATTTCTTATTAGATTTCTCGGATATTAAATGAAATCGATATGCAAGTATGTCTATTAAAATAGATGGAGTTACAATTAGCAACAACAGCTATTCTCTTGTTTGATATATCAATTCTGTAGTGCGTGAATAAAGAGGCTTATTATGAGAAGTATTAAATTATTTACCTTGATTATACAAAGGTTTACATGAATGTTCAATAATAATATATAATCTTTGTTCGTAAACAGAAATCAATTTTGGTCGAGCTAAAATAATCAATTGACTGAGTGATTTCATACAAAATGAAATAAAACTTCAATACCTTCATCATATTGATCCGAGTGATTATAAATTCTCCATTGTGAAATAAATTCAAGTTTATCATCGAATCTAATCACACATGAATTTCGATAATCACATACATAAACATCTCCCCGTATATTATCCGTATCAATACCTAATGGTAAAAATGTACCCGATTCACCACTTGAATCTGTTTCTAAAAGAAGAAAGAAAAAGAAAGATTATAAATTACAAAAAATTTTTCTGCACCTTTAACACAATCTAATGTTTGTCCATTATCAATATCAATCATGCTGACTGTTTCATCATGTGAAATATAAGCAATATTCTGTTTTTGATGTTTTTTTGATATAGTTATACCACGTATACTGGGTGTCAACGGAATTGTTTTAAGTAGTTCACCATAATCATTGAGTATAAATAATTTATTACATATGCCTAATAAAATCTTTTTATTATTTTCTGTTATAGCAATAGCTTCGGGTTCTAATGCTGATAAATGATCAATTTTAACATATTTATATGGTACAATATTTGTCGATGATTGTTCAGTTAAAAATGACGGTGGAGCAGGTGGTAATGGTGGTGGTGAGTTAAAACTTTGATGTGATTCAATTTGATGATAAGTTACTTGTCCAATAGTATCAGCTGCTATGGATCGATGCCCTTCAAAAAATGTTAAAGCATTACCTGATTGTTTTTGTTGTTCGACAGCTTGACGAATATTTCGTATATGAGATTCAATTTTTTCAAGATTATCCCATAATTGTTGTTTATTATTATCTGTATTTGTCTGAGATTTTAAACGTTTTAATTCATTTCCAACTGTGTTCGTATTTGAGGCTAAATCAGCATAAATTTTTTGTTGCCGTTGATAATGTTCTGTAATGTTCTGATCAAGATTCGCAGCTATACTTTTTACTTCACTAGCTATTGAGGATTCTTTCCGATTGATTTGCTTACGTATATCATCATAATCGTATTTCAAGCGTGTAATTTGTTCTTCGATCTCGTGTTCTAAATGTTTTTGATCTGATAATAATAGATCAACACGTGATGGTATAGCAGGACTTATCGATGCTGATGGAGTTGGAACAAGATAATGTGTATCTTGTTGAATAGGTTTTGATGATAGTCGATTTAGTGGAGTTGATAAATCATTATTTATTTGAGAATGAACACGAAATGAATTATTTGTAGGAGCACGAGGTGAAATATCCATAGTAGGTTGAAAACGTTCGTTTGATAATATGTTAGTCTAGATTGAAAGAGAAAATGATTACATTTTTAAAACTAGATTTTTATTAATATTATGATTAATTTGACGCCTCAGTATTATTGTAGTTTGAACAGAGAAAAAGTTCTGAAGAATATTTTTGAAAATGACTCTTAAAATCTTTCTACTTTTGTCCGGAGCTTTAAGTATGGCTATGAGGTACGCTTGTGAGAAAGTGAAAATAAAAAATATTATTTACTTGATTGGTCAATATTAGTTCATTAGGTTCATCTGAAGCACTTGATTGCATTGATAAAGTTGATGGAGATCTTCTGTTCATCATTGGATCACCTGCACCAAAGTCATATTTTTCATTTTTTGGTCGTAGAAATCGTTCTGGAGATTGCCCCATTGGAGACGTCATTGAAATACTATGATTAGATATTTTGTCGACTTGTGGTTGTTGTTGTTGTTGTTGTTGTTGTAGAGTAGATACAATACTTGCTTGCGGTTGATAAGTATTTATTATTGGTGCAATTATAGAACGTCTCGCTGTTGAACTACTAGTATTAGTCTGAACACTGTCGGCACGACTAACTTGTTGGCTATGCTGTCGCGGTGGAATAATAGCGTACATCGAGGATGAATTACGTATTTGAATATCATTATCGTCATCATCATCATCATCAAAATCATTTTGTGAACGTGATGCAGTTGAAGGACGGCTGTGAATTTGTGAAGTTAGAATTGTTTCTTGTGGAAATGAAGGATATGTACGTTCACGTGAATGTTGATTAATAGCAGTAATTATATCATGAAGATTTCCTACGTCTGAAGTTCGATTAGACTCAGCAATTGATGCAGGTTGTTTAGATACTTCTTGAGGATGATGAAGATTTTCAGTTGCTTTTTGCCATTGACCAGGCAATGGTGGAGCTGCTGGAATAATTCTAAAAAGAAATTAACGTAATATTCAAAATGAAAAAAAAACATTATTTTTCTTTAGTTTAAATAAACTTACCCAGGTACAAGAGTATCCCATGTCATTTCTTCATAGGCTTCTTCATGTGCATGTGATGGTCGTTTACTAATCGATGCCGATGATGTTCGATGTTGTGAAAGATGTGTTGCTTGCTCAAAAATTTTTGTTAATTCATCACTTCTTCCTGTTGATGCAATACTTTCATTTCTTCCTGTTGATGCAATACTTTCACTTCTTCGTTTTTGTTGTTGTTGTTGCTGCTGTTGCTGTTGCTGTTGCTGTTGTGGTGTAGCTGTTGCCTCAGCATAGATTCTTACTAAATTTGTAACTGATTGTGCACTCGATACACTTGGCGAACGACTTGTTCGTCCATTTTGTTTTCCATTAGTTTCCGATGATCTACTAAATGCATGAACGAGTGAAGTAATTCCATGTGATTTTTTTCGACTTGATGTTGACTCATGACCATTACTCTCTGCTATACTAGATTTACGTCCACTTTGTTGTTGAGACATTTGAGTGGGTGTTGAAACAGTTGGTTGATATGTAACGGGTTTCTTAGGTATGGGAATAGCTGGTGCAGGTTGAACACTCATGCGCCATTCTTGACTTAGTATAAGATTACGTGGTAATTCGTTTAATTCGCTCTCGTTAAATTGTTCAACCTGAAAGAAGTTTTCTCTTTGTTGTATCGTTGTAAAACAAAAGGCCAAAGAAAGTAAATATATATATATATGCGTATTTGTGATTCTTTATTTTGAAAGTAATACCTTTTGCGACAGAGGTATGTCGTAAAACAGAAAGTGAAAAGAATCAAATGAAAACAAGTAACTTCAATCCTTTTTCTTCTTTGACTAGTTTACGTTTACTGATTCTTACTCATAAAAAGCTCGAGGACAACCATAAGTATTCTTATCTTATATTTCTTGAAGAGGAAGGTTTTTCTTTTCTTTTTTCATCTCAGATTTTTTCGTCAAGAAAAAAAAATAAACATCATAAAGTAAAGAAAAAAGAATCATTCATTCGAAATTCATCAACTAAACTTACTTGTTGGTTGCATTTCGGACATGTAACTCGATTATTACTGATCAATTTATCGCGAATACAACTGAAACAATATGTATGTGTACATGGCAATACTCGAGGATCTTTGTATTCTCCATTACATATTGGACAAGCATGTACAGTTTCTTTTTGCGTAAGTGGCGGCGCTGCACTGCGCACAGTAACACCATAGCCAACAGCACCATTGCTTCCACCACTATTGACAATACTATTTTTACTACTTGACGGACGACTTGTGAGAGATGTTTTTGATTGTCCAGCACCATCGCTGTAACGTGGTATTGAATTATTAGTTGCAACGCGTGACATTTTATCTTTCTTATTCTTATAATAATTTATAAATAGTAAATTTTATTCATTCGTTTAATGTTTTAAATAATAAAGACGGATAATTTTATTATTTGCGACTCTCTATCAAATATATATATATATATACATCTAAAAGAAAGAGAAAGAGAAAAGAAAAGGTGTATTGATCACTTATGGACGACAACGAAAGAGAAAAAAATCTTTGACGTTTCGTTTCTTTCGCTTGAAAAGAGTAATACATCGTCAGTTCCGTTGACAATGCATTGTATTTACTACTAAACAAACGCATTCCTACCATTTATAGTTCTACTCTTTCTCTCTCGCTCTGTTACTTTCTCTATTACACAGTCTTCTCTTCTCTCTCTGTCTTTCGCAACATTTATAGGCATACAATCGATAAAATAACTGACAAACGCATTCACATCATTCATATTTTACTATATTGTTGATAAGATTTCAAAATGGGATCGAAACTTTCTGTCTCATTGCTTTTTCTCTTCAACGATTTTAAAATCTATAATAATAGATTCTATGTTCTGTCTAATGTCAAATGTTTTAATCGAAACCCTCCAGCAAGCAGACAGACTGGTTAAAAAAAATGAAAACTAGAAAATGTCTACTACCATGTGTTTTGAAACACTTGAAATGAGTGTGTGTACAAGTATGTATGTGAAAGCATATAGAATCTGTCTTGTTCACTATTTTTAAGAGCTACCTATCCAGCTACTACCTACTACTTGCTAACGCTTTTTTTATTTTTACTAAACACGACAACGCTAAGAGTGAAGAAAGGAAGACAACGACGCGGCATAAAAAGAAACTACGTAAAGTGGTTATTTCATTTTTTTCGAACATAAATAAATGAAAAAGATGTAAACATCATAATAAATCTAATACACAAAACCAAAAATAAAAAAAGAAATCCGAACGATTCATATGTGAATAGATAATGTAAACGTATCAAATGAGCTAAGCACGCGTTCAATTAAATAATTAAATAGAAGAAAGGATGGTTGGATAGCTCCACCTAAAGGATTAGTCTCAGCTTGATAATCGAACAATAAAATAAGAACGAGTCATTCTAATTGCTCTTCACTCTCATTTATAGACGTGTTCAAACTGTTAGTTGAGGGATTAAATTGACAAGGAGAGCGACTAATTTTTCTATTCTTTGTCTTTCTTCTTTTCTCACCGTTATTCTTTATGTTTAATATGACCCTTTTTATTGTTCTGTCTTATTCGAACCAATACGTGAGTATCCATGTGCTGTTGTTCTATTGATCATGCGACATATATACATGAGCTTAAAAGCAACAAAAGCTCTGCTATATACTCTATCAAGCAAATAAAGGTGAAGAGAAGAGACAACATCACGTCGTTGTCAGACGATGTTTTACTATTTAACACTCATTGAAACATATGAATTGAGAGAATAGTGTATGCATGTATATATATATATATGAGAATACAACGCCGAAAACGAGCCTTAATCATACTGAATTTACGATAAGTAGGGCTTCGCTTATTTTATTTTATTTTATTTTATTTTATTGTAAACATCAAACGAAAAAGAAAATATGGTGATGTTTGGAAAGGAAAAAATGCTTACTTAATTCTGCTACGTTTTAAATCCATAGAAAGAAGTGTGAGATTATATTCGAGAATGCGAAGGTACTTCATATAATCTATTTGACCATAAGGATTAACAACTGCTAATTTCTATCTATTTAACAAGGTTATCAAGCTGTAAGAAAAATTAGCTTTTGGACGAGAGGAAAAATCTTTTTTTTTGTTGGATTTTGCTAAGGAATATTACATGTAAGATAAGAAGGAAAAAAAGATCATGAATGAAAATTATGTCGCATGGGTGAATTTTTTGGATAATGTTTTATATGAATAGATTGTAATATGATATCAAATTCAAATAAAGAAAAGTATTTTATAGCGCGACAGCAAGGTGTGAAATTTTTACTCAGGCGCGATGACTAAAGTGGAATTTAAAGTGGTATGACAAATATAAAAATGTTGAAAATTGAATTTCGTCTAAGCGTAATTTCATGTTCTTTCTAAAAACTATAATTTTTACTATGCTTATTTAATGCCACTGAAAAAACTGAACACATTAAACAAAGCTAAAGAATACTTTCTTTTTGCTTTCATAACGCATCATTGAGTATATTAACTTAAAAGTTTTTATTTTCATCATAAACGAAACCCTTTAAATTTATGAATATCGTTAAATTGTTTCATTTGATGATAATGAATATGCTCAGATAATAATTTTACTGTTTAGATACATCTAAAATCCAAGTTCAGCAGTCAAATGTTTCATATGAATTATAGAATGGTGGTGTATGTTTGCTTTATAAGTCATCTATTGTGATAGTTTTTCTTTCAAAATATAAATCTAAAAAAAAAATTTATAGAACAATAGTTTGAAGAGACATATTTCATTAGCTGCATACAATTTCTAAGGTATCGATTGTTTAAGCACAAAAAGAAAGAGAGAACAGGAGTTGAAGCAATCAACAATGATATTTGATTCGATAATTGTTCTTCTTTTTAGAAAACAAAGTTAGCAACAACAACAAAAAAAAGACGAGTTCATACTACTTCGCATGAGTTTCCATAAATGTTTTACTCGTCATTGAACTCAACGTAATATACAAAGAAGAAGAAAAAAAACTCATTGTTAGACAAAAAACGCTAAGAGAAGAAAATGATTTTTATCGAAGTTGATTATACACGTTGACGGACAATTTTATAAATAGCTGCTGAATATTCAATAAATATTGGTACACAACTACATAAAGCAAATATTGGCCAAATACGTAAAGCACATTGATGTTGCAGAAGAAAAAATACGAGACCAATAGCAGCAGATAAATGTACTATTATTGCTTGAAATAAAAGGAAAGAAGTTATTGATGCTACTGGCTAAAATTGTACTCTCCACTCTGTCGATCTTAGCTTCAATGAGAATTGAATACTTGAAAATTTCTCTGGAAGTAGTTCATAGATAATGTAAGTTAAATAAACAGTAAGATCTATATCAAAACTGCGTAATCTACGTTGGCTTCCTCATAGATAGTATTTATGATTGCTTTGCATCATGCAAACTGAGAAGATAAGGACGTTCTACGCCGGATAATAAGTTATTATCAATTCTGCATAATATCTATTTCTAGTTAGAAATTTATCTGAAGTTCATCAAACTATCAATGAGCTAGATCATTTTTACTAAAACTACTACGGTCATTTAAAGAGAAAAACACCGTCAAAGTCTATTCGCAAGTTTACAACTCAGTCAGAGTTTGATCAGTGCTCTTTTTCTAGTTCTAGAAGATGTTTTAATTAATATGTGTGACTACTGCTTGATGAAAACTTCAAGAAAAGAAAAAAAGCCATACTGATCAAAATTCGTATATCCATAAATATACTGAGGCTCTGCATTTTTCGTAAAATAGAGAAAGAAGTTCATCGTTTGAATAATAAAGGACTATCAATTGGCCTATATTATGATGGCTAAAGGTCGACACCTACTAATTCATAAAATATTTTCCTATATTTGAAGTTGCTAGGAAAACATTTTTGAAAACAAAATGGTCATCTCTTATTATAATTGCGACTAAAACTAATGAATATTATTTGAACTCGCTGAGGAAAGTGCTACACATGTTATGTAAAAGAATATGAAATTTCTTGTGCTAAATCATGCCTATATTTTCTCTATTACTTAGTGTTATATAGATTCGACTGAGAAGTTCTCTTTTCTTTCTACTAATATAAACTAATATCAGGTTCATTGCTTTTCTTCTATTAATAAATTATCAGAAGTCTACTATGTAATCATTTTGATGTGATTGACAAACTAGTGGTTAATTAAATAACTATATATTTATTAAATGATGAAACCATCCAATAGATATCTTTCGGTGCAGCGTTGAAACCATGACATTTGTGTAGTAGTATAAAAATCTTACACTAATGTCGAACATTCTCAAAATTTCTGTTATTCCATAAAATTCATAAGGCGTGTAAAATTATTTTCTCAGTGAAATATTGACAAATAAACTATACTGTTTAAAATTCAAACAAGAGAAATTTCAATAATATCAATTATTTGTGTTCGAAATAGTTTCTTACTTGTGATTTTCTGAAAGCCTATCATTCGTATGTAGTTACCGAACGAATGGAAATTTCTTTTTCCAAAATCTAAAGATTAGTTTTGATACTACTGATTTGTATTATCTCTAGACTACTTTCAGAATTCTTGCTCACACCACGACTAAGATTCATGAGGAAAGAGTATATTTTTAGCCAGTAGCGTATTTCATATTAATTTTACAAACCAAGAAATGAACGAGCAAAATTTATCGATGTTATTCCAAGTATTAATGGTACTAATTCTAATACACAAAATATAATTGATAATGAATGTGCAGCAAATAATCTAAAGAAAGAGAACTATATTAAAGACAAAGCATACTCTATTTTTCAATATTACTGATTTCGATAAGAATTGAATGATCCATCATCTCGACATGAATAGGCATTACGCTCCTAAAAAAATATATCGAAAGTAGAAAATGATTTTCAAAATTTTGATTCATTGTAACCTACCCAACTCCAAAAACACAGTGCAATAGCAAGTAAATGAAGAACATGAGTCAGAAAGCGAGCAGAAATCACATGTAAATACATTTTCAATATTAATTTAATATTCAATCGTTAAATATGGATTAGCAAACGGTCAGATGAGTAACCATAATCAGCGATCATTACTTGACAACAGCCTTTCTTATCATTTTCAATATAATAAAAATGAATTATTAAAAGATTGTTAATCTTAAAATTATTCAATTTTTTATCCTATTTTGTCGAGGAAATAGTTTAAATAAAGGAACTCTCAATAATTTAATTGGTCTATCAGAACACCAATGAAAAAGTATATCAGCTAGGAAGACAGACAAGACATCACTGAACATTATTCTTTCGTTCAAAACTCAAGAATCATGACAGATTCAAAACCAATTGTACCAAGTTGTACGTAAAATTATTTTTTGTAGAATTATCAATATATTACCTTTGATATTTTAGTTGTTGTACAAGAAGAAGGTTCACGAAAAGTTTTAGTTTATTTAAATATTCCCGAATTAAAAGTAAAACGATCATTTCCAAATTTTATTAAAAAAGTCCCAGCAAATGGTGAACAAAGAACATTGAATTTTCAGCATCAGTAAGTTTAAAAATCATGCATTCAGGTTTTCTAATCTTAAATAAATCTTCATCTAGATCGTTGACATTTACAATACATGTACAAACAAAAACTAGAGAATCAAAAGTATACTCACTATCAATTGCACGATTGCCAGGCAAAATTCGACCTGAACAATGTTTCATAAAGGTTCGCTTTTTCTTCAAAAACAAAAGCCAGCTTCATTTCAAGTTAATTCTATTTATAGTATCAACGTGGTGGTTGCTGGGCTACTTTGATTAAATCAGAACAAATGAGTTGGATGAATAGAATTTGTGATGATTTCACACCTGGCTTAGATATTCAAGAGAATGATAATCGAATGAATGAAGCGTCGGCTCCAGTCGAATAAAAATATATACGAGATACCAATATGCCACCGCAATTTAATTTAGTATCAATTGCTCCTTCTCCACCAGCATGTAAACCACCAACCAGCCAAATATAATATGTCATATTCGCTCAGATACTGCTTTGAATGTTGACGAAAATGATCAATCTATTGTATATATATATATATATGTTTAGCACTAGGAAATATTTCTGTTTTTTATACTGTTATTGTTTGTTTGTAATGCGCAAATTTATGTATGACAATGTGGAGTTTTAATTGAAACAATTTTTAACTAATATTTGAAACAAAAAAAAGGAATTTTAACTCAAAATTTTTCTCAAGCAAATTATCAAACCTATTTTCTTTTTTTCCAGTTCTTCCTTCGAGAAAAATTACGATAAACCTTCGACTCTCTATTTATTAGAGATCTGTGAGATTTATTTTCTATTCAAAATTATTAATAATAATGCCATACCTTCTAAGTAGCCAAAGCATGACATTAGTTCTATTGACGATGTGATTTATTTATTTGTATTTACTAATAGACCATCCGATCAAATTCTATATAATTAGTATTTACAACTGAATTTCTATTTTATTTCTATACGAACAACAAAAATTTTCTACTGTTCTGTTGCTGAAAACAATGTCAGTTGAAATGAAAAATTCAATCCAAAACATATCTCTCCAAGCATTGACAAGAATTCTTTCTCAAGTTTTACTTGAATGTATTGCTAATGATATCTCTAAATTTCTATTAGCTTTTAATAGATTCCCACTCATTTCTTCTTCATCTAAAATATAAATAAAATAAAATATTTTTTTCAGTAGGCTCAATCAATTTTTACTAATTCTATTATTCAATTGATAAGTTGATATTTTCTTTTGAAAAATATTTTGCCAAGCAGTTTGCATAGACATATTTCATATGTGATAAGATGAAAAAAAACCAAGTCCGTGACTCTCAATGGAAATTGAGAAATAGATTATCTGTTGTCATTCACTTACGTTAGTCGAACTCTTTTCTTCTCCATCTGAATGAACTTTGCAGAAAACAACAACTTTTCGGAAATAATAAATAATTTCAGAGAGAATAGATTGCAGTAAACTAATGAAATTTTATAATAGATTCCATATCGTAAAATAGTTTATTCAGTAAGATACGACAGAGATCTACTAAAGTGAGAAAAAAATGAGCTGTCCTTTCGTTCTGTCTTTTGTCTTCAGCCATCCATAGATATAGAACGATTCCTTCAACAGACTATACTCGAATTTATAAAACATTTTCAGAAAATAGAAAATATTGATAAGAAATATTCAGACTAGAAAAAATTTTACGTATTTGTTCAAAGATTAGATCCTGATTGTAAGATTTTTTGCTGAATTTCGAAAATATTTAATCGAAGAGAAATCTAACTAATAAAGCTGTTCATCACTAGTAAAATTGTTGCAAAGAAAATTTAAATACTAGTATTCTATTCATTGGTTTCTCAGACGATGATATCTAAGCTGTATAAATTATGTATTTATATTGAACTCAAATGCGAATTCATCCATTGGAAACAAAAACAAAATGCAAAATAGTAGGAATTTCTGAAAAGTGTCAAGCTCATACTTCTTCATATTTATATCATAAATATGTAGAGAATTTAATTTACTCTTCTATCTAGAATAGTATAGGCTGGGCTGCGATTCGACCTATATTTCCTATAATTCCTATATTTTCAAAAACGTCCTATTTTTGTCCTATATTTTCCTAAAAATTCTTATTTTTCCTATATTTTATCGAAAAAAATAGAAAATTTCCGAAAATCTCTTCATTTTTCTATTGTCTTCAGACGAAAAAAAACTTTTAATGTGTATAATCATGTGTTTGGACAAATTGTTGTAGTATAGTGACATTTGTTTCAAACAATATTTTTCCTTTCGCCTATTTAGTGGGCTGACTGAGAAATTGTTTAATACTAAGTACAAAATACAAAATAGTTCAAACTGGAAAAATATTCGCCAAGTGATCATGTACTAGTTTCGGGTTTTTAGTGAAGTTTTAGTTGGACATAAAAGCTGTATATATATATCCGAAAGAACATATTTTTTTAAAAAGTAACGACATATTCTGAAGCCCGTGAAATTTTACACCATCCTGTGTATATGCATTTTCATTTACACTTATTCATTACCAGAAAAATTTGAGTTATGATAAAATACAAAATAAACTTTGGAAAATAATAAGCTATGAATGCTGATTATCAGAAGAATAAAATTAGGTTGAGATTTTTTTTGGAAAGCGATGTCCGTAATCTGAAACGTCTTCTTTAATTATGAGAAATAGCATTTGTTTTTTCAAAGCTTATGATTTACTTTATTGTTATTTATCGATTTGTGAAAAACTTTTATAATGATCCTCGAATTAGCGACTTATTTCAGTAGAAAAAATTTCATAAAGATCTTGACTACGGTTGAACTGTTGATAACAACTTCATTAAAACGATTTTCGAGCAGAGCAGTCAAAAAAACAGCAAAACAATTCAACAGAAACTATGTATAAAACATCCTATATTTTTGTCATTTTTTATCGAAAACCCTATATTTTTGACAACCTTGATCCTCTAAGAATTCCTATATTTTTAAAAAAGTGCAATCGGAGGCCAGAGTATAGGTATCAAATGTCCTTTTAAAAATGACATTTGTAATGTGTTTCTTAATGATTATTATCAAAATCAAGTAATCAAGTTGCTATTATAGTATCATACGTTTATCAATATTTTATATAGATGAAATCGATAACATTCGGAATGGAAAACAAATTGCTATTCTTTTTTTGAACAAATTGTCGATTTTATTCGCTATGATTTCATGTTATTCTATAATCGCTTGTATTTATTGTCGGCATTTTAGTACTAATCAAAATGAAATTATTAAAAGAACCTGCCGCTAAATCTTCTTTTTTCATGCTGTTCTTGAATACATTGTTTATATACAAATCTACTCAACAGTTTTATAACCATTTTCTCGCATCTTAGAAGAGAATAAGTTGGTATATATAGCTACATATAAAATCTTATCTCTTTTGTTCAATAATACGGAAAGTCCATTATAATCATATAAATATGTCGCTATTGAACGTTTGTAGTTGTCCGACTGTTGATGATGAACATGTAAAAAACAGATCATCCTAAACATAAAAACATATTTAACAAATAGAAACGATCCCAGACAACTTGCTTTAGTACATTCAATTATTTTCTTGTTGTTTTGTTTTTTATAGCGTCATATGGTACTTTTCCAGTCGACTACTAATACAAGTACCGTATCATTTAGTGGCTTCTTTTCTTGCTACTATCAATGCACAAAATAATGATATTCATTGAACTGTGTGAACTTATTTAAAACATCAGAAAAAGAAATACATGATGAGAATCAATTGTTTTGACTACAATCATTTTTTAGCACTTTTGTAGAACATATCTGAATTCTATTCTAACTTTTTTTCCCTTCGTAACAATTCATTCATCTGGTATAGACGAGAAAATAAGTGCCTACATTCATTTAGCAAGAAATAGATTTAGTATAGCTATCTCTCATTCAATATATAAATAGATTGATTTTTTCGTTTCTTTCCGTGACAATGAAGAAACTCCATTTTCCACTTCAAAACAATTTTCTTTCTTAAGTGTTTACCACAAAATGATTCTATGTGTCTGAATAGAATTACATTTCAAATAGACAAACTATAAAAACTACCTACTACTTTATAGTTACACATTTATAGACAAGCAGATTGCTCATTTCGAATTAATATGATAAGCAAGGAGAACTAATCAACGGATAGAACAGAACAAAGAAGAAGAAGAAGAAGAATGATGATTATAATAGTAAAAAAAAAAGAAAGAGAAAAATGAATGAGCTTTTTTCTTACGCACGAATAGCATAGTATAATTGAGTTTTTGATTTGTTCAATTGGACAATTATATGGCATGCAATATGAATAGAAGAATGTATGAATGAAAAAAGAAAGTCACAAAATAAATATAATCGATTGACTTGATGAGAAAAAAATAGTACAGATAAGTATTTATTGAATGTATTTCTCCGATTATCAAGATAACTTATTTAAATGAACATGTTGCTTCCTAAAAACGAAACAGCAATCAACACAAGCATTGCTTCCAAACAACCAAACATTAGAATTTCAAGTTATTTTTTTTAAATTTCATCATATTCAAGTAGTATTTTCACTTACTTTACTTAAATATGACAAGTATTTTAACATGTTATCAATTAAGTTTGAAAATAAATACAAATCACAGCCGGGAGTTCATAATGTCTATGTTTACATTTAGTCATTCATCTCTTTTGTAGTTTTATCGACAATATCTTTGAGTGTCTCTTCATTGACATCATAATATCAATATCAATATATATATATATATTTTTATTTTATTTATTTATTTGCATATAGAGCTGTTGATAAGGTCACATGAGTACCTCATCACTAGCATCTATTCAAGAAACAGCCTGAGGCTTCCTTAATTCACCACACTCCTTTTTTTCTTGCTTTACTACTAGAAAATGTCTATTGTCTTTCTTAGTGTTCTATAGTAATGATGAAGATTACAGTCGACAAAAAAAAATTGCAACGAAAAATTTTTTGCATGAATATTCAAAATATTTATTTAGTGTTTATTTGTCACAATATAAAAAAAAAGACGCAAGAATAACATCTTTTATTGCATCTACACACATACGTGGATTTATAGTGATAAAATTCTTCTATTGTTGATTGGCTCTGTATGTTCAAGAAAGAGAGAGAAAAAAACGAATACTTTCACATAAGAGAGATGATGGGATTGGCTGTTATAATAATATTTTTTCTTTTTTCTCTTCTGCTATTCATTGACGATAATAAATCGATCTCTTTCTTGCTCGTTTAACGGAAATAGTCAAGCAAATCATTTGTCTGTGAGGGTAAGAAAAAGATGAATAAAAGAGCTATTTTCTTGCTTAGCAATATCCAAAAAAAGAAGACAGTATCATTAAGAGTACCATAGTGAACTGGAAATTTTTATATTATCCATTATTTTTAGTTCTTATCAATGACTAAGTCATTATCAAACAACGAAGACATTGAAAGTCTCAGTTCTAATAATCATATATATTCTTATTCATCATCATCATCTTCTTCTTCTGCATCAAATCCTTCGGTTGATTTAAATTCCCATTCACCTATATCATCATTCTGTGGTGATATTGATGATGAACATAAAAATTCACAAGAAAAAACTCCATCAACCAAACAACATATTGTTAAACCACCTTATTCGTATATAGCATTAATAACGATGGCTATATTGCAATCTTCATCACGTCGTTTAACACTGAGTGGTATATGTGAATTTATTATGACTCGTTTTCCATACTATAAAGAACGCTTTCCAGCTTGGCAAAATTCAATACGTCATAATTTAAGTTTAAATGATTGCTTTTTGAAAATTCCACGTTCACCAGGAAATCCAGGTTATAATAATTGTTTCAAACATTTGTAGAAAGAAAAAGTTAATTTTTTCCTAATTTTTAGGTAAAGGAAACTATTGGACATTGGATCCCGCAAGTGAAAATATGTTTGACAACGGTTCATTTTTACGTCGTCGTAAACGTTTTAAGCGTTTAAATCAACATCATTCAGCTTATTTTCATCATCCACCACCATCATCATCATCATCATCATATCATCTGTTACCTTTGCCATTTACTCCTATGAAACGGTATGCTCCATTAGTAGTACCATCACTTTCTTTCCCATTGCTCACACCAATATCAACGCCAAATATTCAAATGAATCAACAAACTTCATCAAAAACTTCATTTACAATAGACAATCTTATTGGAAACAATAAAACTAATATAAATTCTGTTTAAGAACCTAGTCAGTATATGTCTGTCTGTGCCTTCCTTCTTTTTCTTCTTTTGATGTATGTATAGTCATAATAATATGATGATAACAACCAGTAAGAAAAATTCATTGGTCAGATGTACACTGATAAGAAATCTAAATTTTACAGAACGTTGTTCTTTCTTTTTCCTTTTTCTTAGTTATTGTCATCATGAAAAGCAATAAATTTTATTCTCAAGTAAATCAAATAGTCGACATTTCATCTGTTTTTGATGATATGCATCTACGATATCATTGTACTAACATAAGTCAAAATAAACAAAAAGGATAAATATCAATTGTTGTTATTTTAATAAGATCTCTGTATATACTTTCATTCGCACAATTATCGACAATAAAGAGAAAACAACATGTCGTTCTCTTCAATATTTTCTATGTTGTTGGTGTAAGGCTACAATCGTATGAAGCCTATTTTAAGAAGAGTAAGCAATAACAATTAGCTTAATCTCTCTCGGCTTCTATGGACAAACTGAGGATGAACATGATATGAGAACGAACACAGCTGTGTAAGCCTGGATGTTTTTGCGTATCTATTCGTCGTGGATGAATGCCATGAACATACAAATACATTGCCGAAATGTTTTCTTTATAGTGATGCAATCTTTTTTTAAGATAGAAGCAGTTTTCTCTATGAGAAAACGCACGACCATATTTCCATGTTGTGAATGATGGAGAAAATTTTCAAACCCGATGTTGCCTATGTAGAAGTAATTATTTAATAAAAGTATGCTTGCATAAATTTCATGTAGATTGGTAACAGAAAAATAAACCGTTTGGTTAATATTGTTTTTCATATTTATCTACAATGAAAGCGTTTTTAATCTTTTTTTTAACCTGAAATATATGTCAATTGATTGGAAGATACTGAAATTTAATTCTTTATAAAATTTACTGAGAAAACTTGCTATGTCTTGAGAAGAAAACAACAGAAGGAGAATTTTCCACAGACATAGGATTTTTTCAGACTACTCTTAATGATGAAACGCGAACTCTATTTTCTTACTCTGAATAATTTTTATGCATTTTGACGTTATATTGATTTAGGCTTTCTTAAATCATATGTAGTACTACTATGTAGAATGAAATGATACAGTAACTGAGAGTCTATGCTTGATTTAATGAATATAGAAGAAAGAATGACGAAATTGCTAATTGTGTTATACAACAGAAAATGAAACAAAATTTCCAAATTGTCAACAGTGAATGGCCATTGTTTTCAGCTTGATATCTATTTCTTATAGTACAAGACATTTAATGATTAGTTAATAATAATTAATATACAACAGGTGGAAAAATTATTTAAATAGTAGATTATTTAATGATGCGTATATCTCAAAAATCACTTAAGTCAGCTAGAATGATCTTACGTTAGTTTCATTATATGATTATCTATAGTGTCTATTATAGAGTTCTGTTAAAGATACAATTACAATATGCCACTTTACATTCTGCTAACATGAACTGATTACTTCCTATTGCAAACGGTTTCTCGGCTGTTTTAATTTAAAAATTTCTTTATCATATGTCTTTCAATATAGCCAACGGTATTGTACATAACCAGTACGATTCACTCTTACTGTTGTGTAATTATGGATTAAAAAATCTTCTATTATTTTGACTTATACAAGAAATTTTCTATCAAAAAATGACAAATGATTTTTTTTTCATATTGTATTTCATAAAATGTTTTGATTACAATAGATATTTCTTGTTGAAAAACTTCTGCCAATTTGTTCACCCTTATACACCTATCTCAAACACATCTTCTGTATGTGACATAAAAACCGACGGTATCCCCTATATAAATTTTTGTTTACATCGTGAAGAGTAGGATTAAAAATTCATTGTAGCGTCAGCTATAATCAAATTGCAGATTTCATTATATACGTACGCAGTTCATTTTTGTGTATAATGTTTGATTCATTAAAAATATCTTTGCATTATCAAGTATACGCTAAATGTCTCGTCAGAACCATAATCAATTTTTACTTCTATTTCTTCTTCTTATTATTATTAACAGAACCATGTTAGATAACTTAATTGATATAATCAGCTTTATATTGACCAAAAGTCTTGACATACCCAGGAAGCTCTGTTGGAAATAGATGTATTAGATTGAAAGGATCGATAGAATTTTTTCAACAAAAAACATCTATTTCAATAGAACATCTCAGATAATTTTCAATGATCATCTTAATTGTGTATTGAACTATAGAATTTATGAAATATTCTATAAGAAAGTTTTTTTTTTAAATTTTTGTTAGAAAATATTCGATGTGGTCCAAAAGAAAGAAAGAAAGAAAGCAAACTTTTAAAACTAATATTCAAACAAAAGTTAACGTGAATAGTACTGGTCATGTGTAGTACAGTTATTTATATTGAATTAAATATGGTAAAGAAAATTTTAAATTAAAACAAAAGTAGATAAGTTTATAAAAACAAATGGTTGAATAATATTGAAGCGATGAAAAATAGCATAAAATAATTATATTATTAATAGAAACTCAATAGATCAACGGATGTGTCTAAGATTTTCTATTCTCATCCTAGAGACTATGGGATATAATCGCTGTAACAATCTTTGTATTGTATTGTAGACATAATGAAAAGAGAACACGACAGAATATACCAGATGTCTGTAGGCTTTTAAATAGAGTTGTCTTTACAATTTTACCATAATATTGATTACCAGTAATTATGCTTCATATTTACTCTGACTAGTACGTGTTCATATTCAAATAATAATAATTCTTTAAGCTACAGAAAACAATGATTTTCACGTCAAACAACTATTGGGTTTCCTAGTGCTTTGATGATGTTTGGAGAAACGAAAAAACGATGACATAAATTACTGACAAGATGACTAACGTAAGAAGCTATGTATGTATCGCTCTTGTTCAGTGTTTACAAAAAGATATCTTACATATCCTGTGTTCATCTTTGATGAATAATTTTCAGAAAATTAGTTCTAATTATGACTAGAATTCAAACAGGTTCAATAATAAAACGCTGGAATTGATTTTAATACTAATATATATATATATTAGTACTAACTTCTAGATGACGCATCAAATTTAGGAAAAATCGAATCAATGATTTAGTTTAATCTTGACATTTACTACCAAAAGAAATGAAAATGAAACAATTTTCCAAAATTGTTCTTTGGTAAATATTCAATTCTCTCATGTTTTAAATTGTTTAATAATTAAGTATCAATTTTGAATGATCTAGCTAATTTTATTAACATATTCAGCGTATGGAAAATTTCCTTCCTAGGGAAAAACGGAATTGAAAATTTATTTTTATTGATATAATATACACGTCGAAGCAAGACAGTGACTTATTTATTATTTATACGTGACAGAGAAGGAGAAAAATTAATTATTTTCTTTTGTGAAAAATAATTATTAAAAAGGAAAGATACATCTTCTTCTATTGACTACGCACAAGTAGAATGTGCTTCAAAAAGTCGTTAATATTCATTTTTGTTGTTTTGGAAATTCAAACTTTGAGACAAATTATTTAAATGATACTTGAAGGCAATCGATCTGTGTGCTTGTTGCAAGTGATGTAAAGTATTTTGCTGACAACTTCAAGAACAGTCCTTCAAATTAGAGTGAAGAAATTTCTTTAATAATTCAAGCTTTGCATTTTCTTTCATATGCTCACTTATATCGGTGTAATAGGATGGGAAGATCGAAAGGATAAATTCCAATCATTATTAGATTTCTGTCATAATAGTTCGAGGAGAAAAGTAATACGAAAATAACACATAGACCAAAAAAGAAGAAGAACAAAAAGAATCAACAGCAGTGATAAAAACCTTAGTTTATTAATGATTTTTATTCTTGTTTATATCAGTAAATAATATTTTAGAACAAAAACCGATAAACATTTCTGGAATCCTTACAATTGATCGAACTCTTATTAATTGGATGAGAGATAAAAGGGTTAAAGATAGACTTATAATTCAGTAAAATAAAACAAAAAATGAAATAATCGGAAAATAGGCATAAATAATGGTTGATGAAAAACACAGAAAAAAAAGGTGAAAACACTTTACATATATCTGTACAATTAATTTAAGAATCAGCTGGTTGAGCTAAAGCCAATAGAATCATTTTAAGTTCAGCTTTACTGATCTTTTTATCTCGATTACAATCACATCCATTTAGTAATGATTGTTTAAATTGTTTTAAATCTTCATGGTCATAATCCTAGAAGAATCATACAATAGATTCGAAAAAAATAGTTGATCATCCTTTGAATAGTACCTTTTTAATTAAATCCATAAGATCTTTAACAAAACCGTCAAGTTCTTCGTCTTCAATTACTTCATTTCCATCCTGTATTTAATAAATGAAAACAATAGAAAAATATTTTATTGAAAATTTTACTTTATCATAAAGTTGAAATACTCGATCAAGATCCTGGGATGTTATTGATGAGCAACCCTATGGCAAGAACAAAAAAACAAATTGATAATTAGTTATTTTTAGTCACTTAGGAACTACCTTAAATATGGGCCGTAAAAGAAAATTTTCTTTTACTGGTAAAAGTCTAAAATGTTTTTTTTCGAAAATAATAATACTTTCTCTCTTGATTCTATTGCTTACTTTGTCATTTCACTAAATTGCAATTTTCCATCACCATTTGTATCAAATATTTGTAACTATAGAAATTGAAAGAAAAGAAAAAACTGAAAGAATAAAATCAATTTTTTTACATACAATAGTATCAGTATATTCAATCAGGTTTTCTTCAGTTAAATTAGTTCCTCGACGTTTCGTTAAAAGTGCTTTAATAAATTGTTTTAACTCATCCGCTTCAATAAAACCGGAACAATCAGTGTCAAATTGTTTCCATATTTTCATAAACTCTACACTGGATTCAAGTGGATTGTCTTTACGAAAAAGAAGAAGAAAATTTTCGTCTGTCGGTAATATTTCTGCTAACTAAAAACAATAATCTGAATAGTTGATAGATTAGAAAAAAACAAAACAAACTTCTCCAATTTCAATTTTTCCATCTTCATTTTCGTCATAAGCTTCTAAAAAACATTCTTTTAATTCTTTTAACACACTATCAGGTATTAACTAAAATAAAAGATATTAAATTAATCAAAAAAAAAATCATAAACTTTTTATGCTAAAAATCATTTTACTTCTGGTCCTGCATCATTTATATTAACTGAGGATGCAAGTTCGCGTAGTAAATCATCTAATTCATGGCCTTCAATAAAACCATTACCTAGTTAAATTAAATTAATGAATAATTTTTATTTTCAAAATATATATGATCTTACCATCAGTATCATAATGACTCCAAATTTCTATAAATTGTGCTGCCGTCAATGGTTTCAATTCTTTACTTTGTTCATCACGAAATTGTCGTAAAAAATTTTCCTTTTTAGTTTGACGTTGATCTACTTTTACAATAGTCGACATCTAAAATTTCTCATAAATAGTAAAGATTCATTCAAGAAAAGAAACTTCTATCGAATTAATGAAAGACAAATGTTTTTCAATCAAACAAAAGGATTGTTGAATTTAACCAGAAAAAGACAACTATATAAATATATCATGTGCAAATGAAACTAATGTGCTGTGCACACACACAATATCTAGAATAAAGTCATTTATCATTTTTTCCTGCCTTTTTCCGTTCTTTCTTTCGAACGTTTCTTTTTCTCGTTTAACATCCATCTAACTGAAGTAGAGTGTCATCGCTCTTCCGATTCGTTCGGGACGTGATTCTGAATGTTACTACTACGTAGAAGCGGCTCGTTAGTGTTTAAATAGCATCGATGCACTTAGGAAAATGTGACGAATCGACAATATGTGGGCAAGTAGATACCTCGATGTTATGTGGCCAGCTGACGCGCGTATTATTCTTATTCATGAGTGTTGCATGTATTTCATACAAGAATAAATAATAGCAAAAGACTTAAATTCAATGCCAAAGAAAAATATAATTTATCGAAACTAGTAGAAACAGAATATGTCGTTGATGAGCCTTTTTCTCACGTATTTATTTCATCCAAAAGAAGGAAAAAGTGAATGATTTCATTATACTACCGTTTGTCTGCTGGAAAATATTGAGCGGTAAAAACAAATTGATTGCATTATTAACAAACCTTGTCGTTTTCTAATCGAATGTTTACATTCACTTATTCAATAGCCTTATTAGATTTTATATATAGCTAGTGATATTACTAGTTATATTAGTAATCGCAGTTGGATCGTATGAAAAGAATTCTAATGAAATTGTTACAAATCTGATAGTAAAGTAAATTTTCGTTATCAAGAAAATTGCTTTTACGGCTGCATTGTGCTGCATATGAAACAATGAAACTAAATGTATAGCAACAAAAAAAATGATCTATTGAATTTTTCAGCTGTCTGATTTATGGCAATTTATTAATCTATTATTTATTTTTCCTTTTGTGTAAGATGGAAACTACTGGAAATACTTGTTGTCATACTACTTTGTTTATGCAATCAAAAATGAAATATATTTTGCACATATTCGTTAGAACATTTTTGACTAACAGAAAAAGTTCTTCCTTGAATAAATCGTTTTTGTAGCGACACTAGCTGTATTGTGTAGGAGAAAATGAGCTACGCATACGATAACTACTACGTGAATGTTGGGATACTTTTTGAAAATACTTAAAAAACTGATTGTCAAGTTTTGATTTAGAAATTTACATGTACACAGATCTGAATAAGTATAGTCTATTTCTGAACGTTTAACATACCATTTCTGTAGAGTTATACGCACATATAATTATAGAGTACTCCAAGAATTCATTGAACAATAATTCGTAAAACTAAACTACTTATCAATTTAAATCAACTAATTTGTTTTCTAAGTGAAAGATACCACGGTGAAGTTTGCATTTGCGTGAAGAAACTTACGGTTCTCAATGTATTTCTTTTGAGTCGTATAAAAAGTCAGTCTTTTCAGTTTCTCAAAGAAAAAACATTTCATAATGTCTTAATGTCTCTGTTTCAAGTTATTTTGTTGGTTTTTTTTTCGGTGAGATTTATATCGACCGCATTTCGGGATATCGTTAATATTCATCTGTTTTATTGTCTAGGTGTAAAAGAAACCTACTAGTGTCAAGTCCAATGGTTATGAAACTTATAAAATCAAGTCATTGTTGGTAATTTATCAGTCATAGCTCGAAAATGTAAAATGACCGTATACGTTTCATATTTATCGAACTTGACACTACTGTTTGGTTTCTTTTTTTCAGCTAAGTAAGAAAACCAATGTATATTGACGATATCCCGAAATATGGTTGATATCGGTCCGACCGAAAATCTAAATCAACAACACAATTTGAAACACTAAAAGAGAGACATTAAGAGAACATGAAATATTGTTTTTCTTGCCACTGAAAAAGACTGCTTTTTTTATAAGACTCAGAAGAAATACATTGAGAACCGTAAGTTTCTTCACACAAATGTAAACTTCACAGTGGTATCTTTCACTTGGAAAGCAAATTAGTTGATTTAAATTAATAAATAGTTTAGTTTTATGAATTTATTTATCAGTGAACTCTTGGAACACTCTTTAGGTGTATGTTCAACTTTCACCAATAGACTGAGCTAATTAAAATCTATTTTTATGCGCAATTTCAAAATCAATACTGGAAAATCAATACTCCTTGTAATTTTGCAGCTGATTCAGACACTCTTGTTGAACGCAACGCTGTAGAAGTGTAGTATCTCTGCAATAGTTAGCTACCATCAATAACTGCTTTCATGATATTCATAGCTCATGTGGATCTAGACAATTCATACAAAGTCAACTGAAAAGCAACTAATCACTTGAAGGGTTTCCCTAATAGTATACAATCATTGACAATTTCTAAACTTTGCATGTTGACAATAATAAAGATATCATATAGTATGATATTTTATTGCCAGAATTTAATCAACAGCTGTTATTCTTGATTGACCATGTTTAAGTTATGATCCAAGAGCCTCTGTTTCAAAACCATCACCTATTAGTAATTCTATGATTTTTGATGAAATGTCTTTTACAAAAATATGATCTAATGCAAAAATAAGTAACATCTTCGCGAAACTAAATGAAATACATCTTCTATTGGCAAATATTAGTTTAAGTGCAATTATCTTGTTGACAAGATTTTACTGAGACACTTAGAGAATTGACAGAATTTAACTTTATCGATTCGAGTTGTTCTGAATGTAATTCGTTGATGGAAAATACACTAATTACAACTTTTTGAAAGCAGAATAAAAATCTAACTGAAAATTAATATCAAGTATTGCTTTTCGAAGTTTATTGATCAATAAAACATTTTGAAAAATAAAGAAAACCAATTTATCATAATCAAATTATTATTTGTATATTTATTTGTGTTATAAATTCTTTCTACGTTGCTTATAACCAATAGAAAAATACTATTAATTATAAATTTATTAGTCGAATATATTGTATCATTGTAGTTACCAAAAACAAAATATTGACGTTCTCATTGATTTTTTCCAAATCATTTACATGATCCATGTTAAATAATGTTATCATTACGTTCATTTCTCAAAAATTACATACAAAAAGTATTCTTCTATGGTTTCAGATATTAAAGAAGAATCAAGATATCTTGAACTTTCACTCAACGATGAAATAAATATCTATATGAAAATCATTGATAACAAGGATGAATGATTAATTAAAATTTCAATTTTATTGAATAAATTCGGCATCACCATGTCACACTTTCCTATTCTCTTTAAGCCTATCTATTAATATGAATATTAAATGGAACAATATTTATCATACTTTTTTATAACAATATGAATACATGGTATTCTCTAATATGTAATGCATTATAAAAATATATTACATGCGAGTACGGTTTACCATCACTGCTCGATTGTTTTTGTACTTGGTAAATTATCATTGGAATATGCAATAGTCTCTGTTGGTTGCTGATAATTGAAAATCGATCTGTTTTCTGATTGCGTCAATTCGCTGGAAAAATCCATTGTTCAATATATGAGAACTAGCACTCATTACTATCCTTATTCGATGGAAACACTACTGTATTTCAAAAATCGATTTCTTTTTTGTACCTATACTACAGTGACATTCAGTGTTGGTAGATACTTTGTGTGAACTTTTGTGGCGAACTTTGTTTTCTTTTTCCTTTACACAGTTTGACCTCTCTTTTTATCATTATGTGAATTTACTTAATCGTAGTAATGTTTTTTGTTATGCATAATTAAATTTCATATTTATTTTGTTGTTTATTTATTGTTTGTAATAGAGAGAGCAAAATAAGTAAATATATTAGCCTGGCAAAAGAAAAAAAAAACTTTTATTGCTCTTATCGAGTACTCCAAGAATGACCTATTTATTATTATTAGTATTATTGACGATTCATTTTTAACAAAATTATCTAGAAAAAATTATCTTTTTCGAAAGATATTTAATCAATTCTTATTATCGATTTTTTCTTTTATTATAAAAAATAACTAATGAGAATACACTATTATTTAGGGTAAAATAAATTAGAGTTTGTTGAATTTTATATACTCAATATAACTCTAACATCATTGTTTGAAATGCTGCCTTCGTTAAATAGCCAAAATGAAATAGTGTATGCTTCACCAATATTTGTTGCAAATTTTTGACTAATATAATCTGCAAATCCGACAGCTCCATCACAATAATAATAGACACCCAAGTGAGCTGCATAAGTTTGACCACCGAACGAAAAATAGTCTGATGTTTTCTGAATAACTCCAGCATAAGATGCACCGGCTGGATTACAGTAAACCCACGGCGAGAAAGATCCTGTTTCAAAGCCACCATTTCCTATTAATTCAACAGTTGGTGCCGAACTGCCAGTTACAGAGATATCATCCAGTCCAAAAAAGCCAGCATCTTCACGTAGAGCAAATGAAATACGAGTTTGGTTAGCAATAGCCACATAAGTATATGTATATTGTCGATAAGGTATCATATTCGGACAACTTGTGCAGACAGTGAATACAGTGATGCCGGTCCAACCAGATGTACATGCATTGGATGTAATTGCTGAAAAGAAGAAAAAGACATTGAAATCAATCATAACTTGATTAATTTGTTTTAGTTACTTACTAACAGTTGTAGCACCTGTGGTGACTGTCGTTGTGGTTAAAGCTACAAATAAATCAATTTGAAACTAGGAAATACGAATGAAAAATCTATCTACTTGTTGCTGAAGTGGTTGCTAAAGAAGAAAAAAGAAACAAATAAATAACATTTTAGCCTATCAGTGCTGCTTTTAACTTACAAGTCGATGTAATTGTAGTTGTTGAAGTACCTAGTCAAATGAAAGAAGAGATTTCAGTAGAGCTATCGAATCCAAACTCACTTGTAGTTGATGAGGTTGTTGCTGAAAAAGATAACAATCAAAGAAAACTCCATTCTAGAAAGACAACTATTTAATTTGAGTTGTAGTTGATGCGGTTGTGGAAGTCGACGTTGACGTTGTTGTACTGCTTGTTGCTGATGTTGTCGTGGTTGTTGTTACTGATGTAGTCGTAGTAGAAGTTGTTGTTGTTACTATTAAAATAAACAATGATCTCCGGCGAAAGATATATAACGAGATTAATGTGTACTTGTTGTATTAGTTTTCGGTAAGATTAACAAAATGATAGTTACTGCGAGAGCGGCAAGTATAATTGATAAAAGAAGACCTGCAATTAGACAAGCCCAAGGTGAGCAACATGGGTAGAAACCACCGCAGCATCGATGACGACCACGACGACGACGACGACATTTTTCTTCTACAGTATTAGTAAGAGAAGCTCGTCGATTATTTTTCTCACATATGTCGAGAACGAATGGATTATTTATTATTTGATTTTTTCTTATAGTTGAGGTAGACTTGAAACTGTCTTTGAACGTATTTCTTGAAACAATCTTTGCTCGAATTTGATTGCAATTTAATTGTGAAGCACTTCTCTATGCAATTATTATTTCAATAATATACATTTCAATATAAGAACTAACTTTTTCAAGATGACTTGTTGCAGTCGATAATGCATGATTTTCAGAAGCCTAGAAACAGAAATATATTATATTATACTTATAAAAATTTAAAGATTTTACATGATTGGATATCGTCCTAGCAGATAATGGTATTTGTGAACCATGCTCAAGAACACTAAGCATATCATATAAAATGATTGAATAGGCATTGTTATGAGTAGAATAACCATTAGATGGTTGCCCTAGGCCGGCTGATAATTTTGGCTTATCATGAAACTTGTGACTAAAGCATGATGATATTCGAGATCGAGTAACTCGAACATTTGAGATTACTGTTTTATTCCGCTTGACTTTATCTGGATGAGAAACCGATGCTGTATGGGTACAATGTACCTTTAGATTTCTCATATTAATATGAATTTGATTGGATTCAGTTGCTTTTTGATCAAATCTTCTAACTGATGTGAGTGGAGAAGATAATTTTGATTTTGTCATGTTTTATGAAAAATAAGATGCTACTATTTAAATAGCAGATACACATTTTTTGATAGTAAATTTTAGTAAACCGATGGACACTTACGAATTGATGAAAATGCTAAACAAAATATTTCCTAATACCTATAATACAGATTATGGAAGTACGCTAAATCTGGGACGTAACAGCTAGTCGACTTTTTCAATTGTAATTTTACTGACCATTATTTTCTTTTATTATATATACTTACATTTGGCATACTTTCAAGTGTGTTATATTAGCATATTAATATAAAACAAATGATTCTGATGAATTCGAGCTTCTATCTATTTACATAAAGTTGAAGACAATCTCTTTGCTCATTAAGAATTCTCTCTTTATTAGGTCTAAAACATTGTCACATGTTTCTACAAGATTATTGCTGAAATATAATATTATCTCCGATCACTATTCATTATTGTAGTCGTTAAAAATTCTGTTTTTTCTATAAACTTCAATACCAAGTGATTCTTGTTCTATTTTAAGTAATAAACAAGAATATTCATATGGTAACATTGATAGTAAGTTTAAATTGATAATCTTTCATAGAATTTGAGACTCTTCATGAACAATCATACAAGTAATGAAATTAAAAACGAAAATCTTCAGCATAAAATAGACAATCATACCAAATAAGTCAACAGACTTTTTTCCAACTAGATCACTAGTACTAGTATGATTCGTTTTATTTTATATTTCCTAGAAGATGCATGACAGCCGACATAGAAATACAAAAAAACAATGAAAAAAAAAGAAACAAAACACACATAACATAATTGTTCTAATACATTTATTGGTACTTTTAAAAGCCCATACCACCCATACCTCCCATACCGCCGCCCACTAGAATAAAAATAATAATAAGTAAAAGAACTGTAACTATTTAACAATACTTACTGCCACCCATACCAGCTGCACCAGCATCTTTTTCGACTTTAGGTGCTTCTACAACAACACATTCTGCTGTTGTTAGTAGTGAAGCAACACCGCTAGCATCTTGTAAAGCGGAACGAACGACCTACAACAGAAAAAATATAAATGTTCTTAAGTATGAAACAAAAAAAGGATTTTATCTTTTCATACTTTAGTTGGATCAATAATGCCAGCTTTAATCATATCAACGAATTCATCACGTTGTGCATCATAACCAATTTCAAATGGTAAACTAAGTACTTTTTCTACAATCACGCTACCATCTTTACCAGCATTTTTAGCAATGGTTGCACATGGCATACGAAGTGCTTTTCGAACTATTTCAATACCTAAACGAATTCAATCATCTTATGAGATTTTAAATGTATGAATCAAATTGTTTTTTTATTTACCAGTTTTTTGATCAGCATTAATTGCACCAGATTCATTTTCCAATATTTTAAGACATCGTAAAAGAGCAACACCACCACCGGGTACGATACCTTCTTCAACAGCTGCACGCGTTGCATTTAATGCATCAGTAATACGATCTTTCTTTTCGTTGACTTCAACTTCGCTGCTACCACCAACTTTTAAGACAGCAATACCATTTGATAATTTAGCTAAACGTTCTTGTAGTTTCTCTTTTTCATATTCTGAATTGGTTTCAGTGATTTCTTCTTTAAGTGAATTTACACGTTGTTCAAGCATTGATGGATCACCTTTACCACGCATTAATAATGTATCATCTTTTGTTACAATAACTTCACCGACACGACCAAAATCTTGAACAGTTACTTCATCAATTTTAGTTAAATTAGCTTCATCGCCGAAGACAGTACCACCACAAGCAATAGCTATATCACGTAATGTATTTTTACGGTTATCACCAAAGCCCGGTGCTTTAATAGCACAAACTTGAAGGCCAACTTTTAGTCTGAAACAAATCGAATTCACATTTGTTAAAGTATTTCCAATTTTAGTCATAGCTAGCTTCTTGACGAAAGATAGTTCACCTTTTTCTACAAATTCATAGATCATATAAAAATGTCTCTCATATTCGCCTCTATTATTCCTTCAAGTCGGAATACAAAACTACTCTTACGCTGCAATAACTTATTCTAAAAAAAATATAAAACGTATTAGTTATTATATGAGACGAGATGCAAAATTAGCATCATATGCAGATTCAAAATTTTCCATTTGCGACATGAACTCGGTCGACCATCACGTTAACATTAACTACAACAAGCTTTTAATGCAATTTATATTCGATTAAAATGTTAAACACAATTTAGTTGTGCGTGACTTTACAATATCGATATTATCTCTGAACAAGACATCCGATGGTCCGAATCATTCAATTCTCCGTTTAGATCATATTTTACAATAAACACTGCATATAGATATTAAATCTGACTTGCCTCGATCAATTTAGGAATCAAATATTAGAAATAAAGTTAAATCTTGTTTTCTTTTCATATACCTGTTGATAACAAGTGTTGTAAGTGCTTCACCATCAATATCTTCGGCAATAATAAGTAACGGTTTACGTTGACCATTAGCTAATTCTAATGCTGGTATTAATTCTTGTACTGACGAGATTTTCTTTTCACTTAATAAAAGAAAGGCATCTTGATATTCACATTTAGCCCCTTTGGTGGTGTTAATAAAATAAGGTGAGATATAACCACGATCAAATTTCATGCCTTCAATTATTTCAAGTTCATCATTAAGTGTTTTACCATCCTGTAAGAAAAATTGATAGAATACTATAGATTATTGTCCTTTTGGATAACTCTTACTTTAACAGTTATAACACCATCTTTACCAACTTTTTTCATGGCATTTGATATAATATCACCAATGGATACATCACCATTAGCTGATATTGTTGCAACTTGCGCAATTTCTTCGGGTGTTGTTACTGGTTTTGACATTCGTTTCAATTCAGTAATAACAGTTGTTACAGCAAGCATAATACCACGCCGAACTTCAATTGGATTGGCACCGCGAGAAATTTTATCGAAACCTTCTTTAGCGATAGCACGTGCAAGTATAGTTGCAGATGTTGTACCATCACCTAGATAGGAAAAACTTTATTTATTTTATCTCATTTAAATAAATCTACACACCAGCTTCTTCGTTTGTATTATTTGCAACATCTTGAACGAGTTTGGCACCAATATTTTGAAATTTATCTTTAAGTTCGATTCCTTTAGCAACTGTTACACCGTCTTTTGTAATTTTTGGCGAACCCCAGCTTTGTTCGAGAATGACATTACGTCCCTAAAACAATATAAAATGTATAATTTAATTCAATAACAAAAAATTCTTGAACATACTTTAGGGCCCATTGTAACAGCAACAGCATCAGCAAGAATATCAACACCTTGTAACATAAGTACTCGAGCATCGGAACCAAATTTTATTTCTTTAGCTAATGAACGTCGTGCAACATGTTGAATCAAAGGTGATGTTGTACGTGAAAATGTATTTGCAAAACGATACATGTTTAATGATTGTAATGTTCTTAAATTGATCGATAAAAGTAAAGTAAACGAATAAGATGGAGCTCTGGATGAATATTTGTATTATGCTTATTCTCCTCCGTATCGTAGTTGATTGACCTCCTCTATATGAATGGATCGAAAGTATCTTCCAATCAAAACAAAATACAGAATCGAATGAGAAAAGGACCCAAACTGTATTATAAAATATTCTCGACGATTCTAGCAGGTCATAGAAATAATTGTTAAGATGGTGAGTTCGATAAGAAAAGAAAAAAATTTTAATAGAAAGAAAAATTATTTTTATCTAGGCATCGTCAGCATTGAAACGTATTATTCCATTATTTGATCGTGTACTTGTTGAGCGATTTGCAGCTGAAACTAAAACGAAGGGTGGAATACATATACCAGAAAAAGCCATAGGCAAAGTACTCAATGCAACTGTCGTTGCTGTAGGAAAAGGTCTCAAGCAAAAGGTAAATTTTGATCTTTTCATCTTTGATTGCTTTTTTTTTACTAGGAATGATTATTTTTTTTTACTTTTAGGATGGTAATCATGTACCAGTGAGTGTTCAAGCTGGCGATAAAGTTCTATTGCCAGAATATGGTGGTACCAAAGTTGAAATAGATGATAAAGAATACTTTCTCTTCAGAGAAGCCGATATTCTTGCTAAATGGGAATAATAAATTAGTTACGTTTTTGTTAGCAATTTTTTTTGTATGCTTAGGCAAACGATTTGTTGTCGTTATTTACTGTTGCCCTATGACTTTGATACTTATTAGGTAAAACATACTTCCAGGGCTTTTTTTTTATTCTATTAATAAAACAACAGAAAACAAAGCACTCCATCAACAATAGCTAATCCTATTTTGAGAGTTCTTGATAAATACAATACAACATATTATGTATTCAAAGTCTGAACATATATATATATATATTATTGAAGGACTAGTTTTCAATCTAGTAACAATTTTTCCGATGAATATTTTACACATTTGAATGCAAGTTATTAATCAACAACAAAAAATTGAAGTGTTTATCTATCTTAGTCCTTTGTTTAAATATATATATATGATTATGAATTGTTTGGTGTTTATCTTATCAGTTCATATAAAATATAGGTGAAGAATTTCTTTTTCTTTTTCTCATAAATGGTCTGATTAACACAGAAAGAAAAATGTATTATGGAAAATATCCAAGCGAATGTTCAAGTGATTGCTGCTGTTGTTGTTGACGTTGTTCTTCGCCATAGAGATAAGCACCTTGATCTGTATGACGTAAATATTGTCGATAATCAATTGGTAATTCTGTATCACCAATTGAAAATGAAGCAACACGTTTTGGTTTTGATTTAGATGCAGAAATATTGAATTTAGAAGAAAGTGAATGAAAATTCGAATTCGATGTAGATGGATATACTTTCGTATCATTTATGATATCTTCTCTTGATTTAAGTATACATGGTACTCGATGATCATCATCAGTAGATTTCAGTTTCTTATTGGAGACATTTGTATTAATTTGATGAATATTGATAGAAGCTTTTCTATAAAAGTAAATTTCTTTTTTTCGAATCGTTGCCATCACGAAAAATAAAAAAACAATTTTCTTACGTTTGATTATTTTGTAATTGTTGTACAAGCGAATAAATATTTTGATCTTGATCTAAGCATGGTGTTGATTCATAATGATTATTATTATTATTATTATTATTATTAATATGATTATATTCATGATTTTGTTTTGCTGGTAAAAAATCTAATTTAATAAAACCATTTATTAATTGCCCATTTGGAGAACGAAAAAATATATTTTCATTACTATCGGATGAACGCATTGTTATATTTTCACGTAAAAATTTCGGTACGTAGTTACCAATATCACCATAAGGATTAAGTAAAATTTGTGGTCGAAACAATTGACCATCAACCATTGAATTTAGTTTTTGTTGATTTGGAACATTATTGATTGCTGTAATAGATTTTGTTAAACGCTTTTTATTATGAAAATAACGTTTTTTATTCATTGTACTGCCGTCTGAATTCGATGTTCGATCAAATGATGCTTGACGTTTAATAGATATTTGATTTTTAATTTGTTCACTAGCAACAATATTTAATAAATCATTAACAATTTCATCAGACTCATCTTGTATTTGTGATGATGCTTTTATAAAATGCCGTTGTTTTAATGTTGAACATGGTGACGACATACAATGAATGTCTTTGTTCATAGATAATACTTTAGATGTGTCATGAAAAAGAAGAGGATGTTGAACATTATTTATTGGTAACGGAGACGACGAGAAGAGATTACGAGGGCAATTTGTTGTCAAATAGGCAACATCATTTGAATTGACATTTGCAGGCAAATGATTATTCTAACAAAATAAAAAGAAAAGAAAAGAAAAGAAATGTTTGTAGAAAATTTACTTGTTTATATTTTTTTGACTGATTATCAATGTGTCGATGTTCCATTGTTGACATAGGTCGATTTCGTTGAAGATATTTAGTTCGATTTTCTTTTGTTATTTCATTATTATTATCATTTGTATGTATTAACGTTGTTTTGATTGATAACGTGGGACTCATTGTTCGTTGAATTATTAATTTACGCATCATACAACACAAATCAAATGCTGTTGATTCACGATGTAAATCAAACACATGACAATCAAGAAGCGAACTTGAACTGCCAAGATCAGGTTTTCGTATAACAAACAATAGAAGTGGTGGATGACATGATGTTGATCGTGAAAGAATATTGTATTGGGATTTATTAATTTTTGTATAAAGTGAATGAAAACGTTGTTGATGTTCATAGCCTATGTAATAAAGGAAAAAAACAATTTCGTTCATTCAAATTGAAATAGACAATCGATTGCTATTTACATATAGATTTGAGGATGTGTTTTTGAAGAAGTAGAAAAATATCATGTAATGAATTACATAAGAACAACAACCGATAAACAAATACATATGTTATCTCGTGAGTAAATAGTAAATTTAATGAATATAATCAGTGCATCAGTCTAGTCTAGTCAACTCAACTCTTTTATGTTATAAAAGAAAACTAATTTTTTTGAAGTCATATTCCTATCAGATAACTATGTAAAACAAAATCATAAAATTTGTTCCGTTATTGGTTACAAACCCAAAAAGAATTATGAGCATTTCTTGAAATGTATAGGTTATGTTTATTGTATGTCAAATAAGGAACTGTTGAGATAAAACGTAGTCTATGTACATAACGAACGTGTTGTTTCTATCAAAGTACGTTAAAATTCAAAGCGGATATAACAAGACGATCAAAGAAATGCTCATAATAAAAACAGAAGAAAATCTATCACAAGTGATCTTATCATCAATTCTACATTGATCACATGTATTCTATTATCGATCTGCGGGAAGTATATTTGCTTAGAATTCATTCGATACTTAATTTTACTAACTTACTATCATATTGAACTTATAGTTTTTTTTTCTATACAATTTCCCCTTCTTGTTATTTCTCGAAAATACGGTCAAGAGATCTTATCATTTTATGGTGTAACAAAAGTTTATAATAAAATTGTGAAAACTAACTAAAATGAACAAAAGAACATTTTAAAATCAGTTGAAATCATCTTTATTTACAAGCTTGTTAGCAAACGTTTAACTATTTTATCCAATGATATATTCATTATTACAAGTCACTAGTACCGAGTACAACTTGGTTACGAATAGACACTCCGATTTTATGAATAATGCTTTTTGTATTAAAACTTACCGATAGGTAAAAAAGCAGCTTGTACACTTTTATGTTGTGGATAGTCTGTATTACTGATCATAAATGATAGCTTCAGTAATTGTATATCAACAATTGATTCAAAATTTGAATAAATTAATGAACGTTTTCTTTTGACAGTTGAATCATGTTCAAAGATTAACAAATCACAATCAGATATTATAATACGACGTTCATCATGAATTCGTTCTTGAAAGTATGTCATATATAATTCACGTAATGGTTTTTGAAATGACATAAAATTTAATGGAGATTTTCCTAGTAATATTGCACCTAAATAAGGTAATTCTATTGAGTAGACAACTGAAGATAGCATTCCGGTATTGAAAAAATTAAAATAAACTTGAATTTTGTATTGCTCGATGTGACAATAATGACATTGACAAACGTCGGGGTGACAGTGGTCTACCGATAATTGTATGTATCTACGTGTGAACCTTGCATTTATACGTGAACGAGACAGATGTTCAACAAAACGGTGAAGAACGATGGATCACATACGTGGTGAATATTTATTAAACAAAGAGTAAAAAGAAAGAAAGAATCCGATTAAACGAGAATGTGCTTCTCGTGATGAACGTAGGATCATATTTTAGTAAGTTAAACATTGAAAAGAACAAAAACGAAATTCAAATCGTATGCATGAGAAACAATGAAGATGAAGTTCAATTAATTGATTAAAGCATACTTAGTTAGAAGAAGCAGAAGAAGGAAATCAAGATAAAGTTAACCATTGTGTAGTTGGCCTGATCTTAAATGTACTTATTTGAAGGTTTCATTTTTTAGTTTAATCTTTACGATTGATTAATTTTGCGGTCTGTTTTCAAAATTGTATTTTAATATCAAATAGTTTTGTTAGTACCATTCAATCCACTAGTATGTGTTTAGTTGTCTTTCTATCAGTAAGAGAAGTTCATTCAGATATATTTTTATATACTAGCCGTGAAGTAAAAAATCCATTCTCTAGATTTGGATTAAGTCTCGCATGATTCAACATCGAGAACAACTAATTTATTTCAAGTAGATATGCATCTCTTTGCCATATCTTAATAAGATAAACTCGCATACTTTTTTCTTGAAACTTATTTTTAAATCTACAACAATCTTGATTTCAACCAAGGAAGGTAAATATTATACTTTTTTACGCTTAGGATAGCTAAATGATCTTATTCATTTCTGGAGATCGAATAGATTTAACAGTAGATGTTCAAATCGGCGAGCGATAGAGATGTTTTTGAAATTTTCAAAATGCCCCTATCTGTGTAGCAGGTGAATATGTTGACTGAGCAGAAAAAGTGATATTTTCTGCGTTCGACACTCGATACCACATATGTTGTGATTTAAGTAGTAGCAATAAACAAAACTTTACCGATTGAAAAGAGGGTCTGAATGATTTCTCTACTCAAATCTTAAGAAATTTTCATTTTTTTTCAAAGTGAAACTACTGAGTTTTATACGTATTTTTGCTCACGAATTATGATAAAATTGCTCGTTCGCCTGCAAAATTCGATCAATTCAAACAAAATTTTTCTATGCTATCTTGTGAGCCATCGTTTTCTCTCTACACTAGATGAGGGTGTGGCCCATGCCTTAAAAATATGAATAAATATGTCTGACAAAGATTTCTTCTGCAAGGCTTATTTAATAAACATAAAAGAGAACGAAAATGCATTTTCATTTATCTAGAAGGTATGAAAATGTTAGTGTTTTCTTTTTCATTTTGCACTATATGCGCTGTTTATTTATGTTATTTATAATCTATCTTGTAAAATTTTCAATTCATGCTTGCTTATTGCTTATTGACAAGTATGTATGATATGCGGCACTATTGCCAATCAGCTTGTGTCTACTTTTGATTAATGAATAAAAACCTATTCTGAAAGTTTTATTTATTTTAATCAACAAGAAAGAAATGGAAAGAAGTCTTTTGTTGTTTCATCAATTAGCACGGGGTATGTCGGCCACTTTTAATTTCTTTTTTCTTAATAGATTTTCTGTTGCAACATAACCCATCATACCTAATGTCAGAAATATTAATAAAATAATTAATGCTACTCTTATACGAATATATGGTGCTATTATATAAAACAACACGAAACCAGTTGATTCCCAAAGACGATAATTTGAAAAAGCAGCTTCATTTTTATCAACAAATAAAATACCATAAAAGGAATTGATTTGGGTTTGCCACACAGCATCGGCTAAACCCCATAGACCAGCTAAAATAAATAATACAAACATTCGATTTTCTGTTGGTTTCCAAATAAACATGGTTATAATTAACGAATAATTTATTACAGCACCAATCATAAAACATGGCCAACGACCCATAAATTTTACTAATTGACCAAAACATGCACTACCTATGGAATCGCAAATACCATATGCAATAAAAATCAAACCAACATATTTAGCATTAAATGTGCATGTGATAAAGCCCTAAACGAAGAAAAAAAATAAATCTAAAAAAGTAATAGTGTTTAATTACTTGTGTAAATTGTGCTCCAATAAACGATTGTTCTAAACCTGACCAAATGGTCAATGGAATAAGATAGATTTGTTCAATATTACACATATGTTTAGCTGTTGAAACAAGTAGTGTAACAGAATGACGTAGCATAACAGAAATTTGATCTAAATTGAAATTGGTTAAAATCCATTTCTTCTTTTCTATCAGTTTTATTTACCTTTTGATGCTTTTCGTCGTTGGTTAAGAAAGCATATTATTATTAGAATTGAACAAAGACTTATTAAAATATATAAAATACAAAGAACATTAATCTAAAACAAAAAGAAATATTCATAAAATTAGATTTAATTTGTTTTTTCTTCAGTACTGTTTTTCGATCAATTTGATTAATAACTTCAGCACCTTTATATTCTTGTTCAGTAAAATCTGCACCACATCTATCATATTTTATTCTAACTGTTGTATTTATTCTTGTTCCATTAGTTCCGGTTTCTTTTGGTTTAAGTACTACATATGATATCAAATTTCCCCATACTTGTCCTATAAAAGCATAAGTTTCTTTGATATAAAAAGGCAAATTAAGAAGCAAACCTGTTTGAAAAAATGTAAAGAATATACCAAAGAATCTATTGACAATAACATTTTTATTCAAGAATTTATTCTCTGCATAGATTGTACCAATATCAGTTAGATAACTACATTTTGAAGTCCATAGCGGAGCAGCAGCTAACCCAACAAGTCCAGCGGCTTAGAAAAAGCAATGAATGCTAATAAAATATTTTCATTTTTTCATACCTGGATACATAAGATATGCTTTTGGATAATAGTTTGCTGCTACATATAAAAGATACCTAAAGAAAAGATGTCAACAATCATATAAAACGGATAGAAACTCACACGTATAAAATGATTCAAATGCAGTTTTATTGCAGTGTCTTACAGAAAAAATAGAAAATATCGTTTTTGAATTACAACTCAATCACTTATAAAGGTCTTCTGATCAATGATGTATCATTGCGAAATGATTTTAGATCTGAACTAAAATTATCAAATAATTAGTTATACGGATACTTTTAAAACGAGATCTACGATTAGAAGAAGGCTTAACTCAAACTAATCTGTTTAAGATTTTATACTTATTTCAGCGTCTAAATAAACAATAGCATTTAACTATCCGTGTTGATATCTTATAACAGAATACCTTCACATTGAATTTGAACTTTTCTAGTGTATGTTGGTACTAATGACTTATCTCTTTTACACATTTCCATCATTATCTTAAAATCATTTAAAACATTTGTATGAGAATATTATCAAACTAATCTAATGATATTCAATGTACTCACGGTATTTGAGACATGACAATGGTCCATTTGAGGCCGAATATAGATATTAATGGATGTGGCAAAAATATTGCTGAAATAATAAGACATGCATAAATGATTGATAAAGAATTAACACCAACATTAGCTTCTGTATTTAATGAACTTTGTAAATTGCTTATACCACTAAATGCAGTAAATTGAAGAAGAAAAGCCGTGCAAATAGCTAATAGATTTTTATATGTTTGAAAAGTAAATTTTGTTTTGGACGTAGATTCACTTGGTGTATCATTCTCACCTACAGTATTTTCAATATGTGACTTCAATTCTGAATCAGATATAGTAGAAGACATAGATTATGTCTTGCCTTTTATTTTAAACTGAAACAAAATATAAATAATGATCAACTATCACTTTCGTATATTGATAAGATCAAATTAAAAATAGAATCGAAATAAAATTCATGATTATATTTTATATCAACGAATTTCTAATCCTTACGAGTGGGCATTGTGGAGAATTGTTTTTTTTAATTTGTTTTGACGTTCGAACAGATTTGTTTTCCGCTATTGATATGAAACGAAATGATGTAACTTTCAACAAAAGAAAAAGAAAAGAATACGATATTTTATTTCATTTCATTTCAATAAACAAAAATAAAATTAGTAACATAAGATGATTGCATACGATCATTGATTTTTTTCGATGATCGACTTGCAATTGAAACTAACACAAATTGACCTCATATTACTATCAAAAGCAACGTGCTTTTATCTGTCTATTTAAATACAATTCTATGTTGTGATACTTGATAGCCATCTCAATACATATGCATACATATTATCTTATAGTTTCCTTTATAACTAGAATGCAGGATTTCGTAATCTCGTTTTTTTACACAGAAGATTTTCAACTGGTATAAAAATCTGAATTGAATATTTTTCTGTGATAGATATCAAAAACCTTTGTTTGTTATTTGATTAGAGGATTTCTTTATTCTTATCAGTATTATTCAAAGATTTATTCAAATTGTTGGCATGATCATATGTACAGTTTTAAGAAACTGTTGTATAAAATTTTGTTGAGTTTGACAGCTAAAAATGAATCCATGAAAAAACGATTTCTATTGTAACTAATGAAGCTTTCCACACTACTTGTGTTATATCATAATACAAAGAAAAATATCATCTCTTCATTATCAGTCATTGGTAAATTTATTTTTGAAACTTTGAAATAACATCAAATAAATATAATAATTGTTTGTATGTAACTAAATTAATTATCTAGTAAATTCTTCACATCATCTTTAATTCGTTCTTGTTCTTCCACTGATAAACCTAATCTATTCATATGTTGACACATTTCCGATTCTGTCAAAGTATTGTAAACTTTTTCATCTAGACAAAAGAATTTTTCTTAATAAAATGAGTTTTTGTTAGCTATCTACTACTTACCAGGCATTGTCATAAATCCGCTTAGTTCGAGAAACGCAAAATTACATCGCTCAAATTTTTCCCCATCTATATTCAAATAAAAAAATTTTCTCGCTTCAAGTTTTCAAAACACTCACTCGTAATCGATTGGCGAAACCAAATAAAGATACGTAAGACATTATCTGCCGATGAAAATGAATCACCTTTTACTATGGCTACATTATGAGCTATATTATTTAACATCAAATAATTCGTTATTTTATACACATCTCTGGAAAAAGAATGCATTATAATATTATTTCATATATTGTGTATGAATTCCTACTGTGAGATTTTATTGAATTCATCAATATGTTTTACTTCGAAAGCGAATGCTTGAGGTTGAAAGGAATCCAATAGATAACAATTTGATTTTGTATGAAATACAGAACATTTCTTAAAAAATATACTTTTAAATTATAAACAAAGTTAAAAATAACTTACTAGTGTTTGAATAAACATACGACCAGGACAATACATGCCATGGAGATGTAACTGAAACATAAATTTTTATTATATAAACTTGATAATAATATCTTACATGATTTACAGATGCATAAGCACACAGAGAATTAAGGCCAGCCACGATATATGGATGTGCACTTGCAGCAACGAATTCACATCCAAATACAATACAGTCAGCAGTAACAACCTATTTAGATCCATGCATAGTGCCTCCAAAACTTGATTATACATACATATTTTGTTTCGATTATTTGTCCTAATAGTAAATCACATAAAGAATCCAAACACATAGGATTAGCTACTGTGTGAATCTGAGTAATCAATAGCAACTTTTATTTTTCGACTCTTTATGCCACATACCATCAGGAAAAATAATCGAAATTAAATTATTTCTTTCTATCACCTGTGGTTGTTCAAGTTCCCGATACGGTACAAGTAATACATGATAAGGTCGAATTGGAGCAGCATTAATTATTATCAAATGTTTATCTGTTTGCTGTTCATTGTCTAAAGAAAAAAGAACCTAAATATCGATCAGAATTTGTATTTGAGTAATAATAAAAAAGAAATTTCTCGATCTCACTTCTGCATCTTTAATTTTGTTAAAATGAAATTTCTTGTTATCGAATGGTATATTCACATGTTCAAATAGATAGGGCACTCGACGTTTTTCTTGTCGATCTCTGTTTAACTATTTTTAAACATAACTTGATTTGAAATCTTTCAAAAAAATAAATAACTTACTCCAATAATATAATTTAGGTCACCATCATCAAGTATTCGCTGTTTGGCATTATAGTCGATTGTAAACATAAACAGATCTTGACTAACAGCATGTTCCCATTCAAAACGCAGTAAATTATCGAACTAAATTATATAATATATAAAAATCATCTATTCACAAGTCTACGCGGATCAGAAAAAGAAGCGATTCTAATCAAAATATATTCTTAGTTTTCTAGCATGATATTTAGTTCATTCTCACAGAAAACTTTCGCTTCACTATTGTGTTTATGAGATAAGTGCAGACTTCCGAAAAAGTAAATTTTGAAAGATAAAAAAGACTTTTCTCTCACTATTAAAAGACGTACAAGAATGCAAACAGAAATTTTCTTGTCAGTTCTGTAATTGTCATTACATGCGAAAGAAAATGATCAGAAAATATCCTATTTTCAATAGCTCCCAAGCAAATTTTCTGGATATTTCAGAAATCAGTTACACATGCAGAAAGAAATTTCTCATTAATTTCAGATATAACTAATAATATGAAAATGAATTAGAACACAAAAAAAAGTAGATTCTCCAGTAATTTTGGTAATTACCTGAAATTACGCAAACACAGAAATTCTTCTCATTCTTGAGGGCATGGTCTGTGAATCTATATAAATATCGATCACTAAATCTATACAATATGAATAGAGAAATTATAGATATTTCCGTAATTACCAGGAAATTTGTTGATTTCTTTTCCTATTTTATGGTAGTTTTTGAGGTTTGTCGAATTTTCCTTTTGATGTAATTGTAATGTCAGTAATTTTCCAGGAAGTTTGTAGCTAGAGATAATTAACTTCTAAAATTTCTTGAAAATTACTTTATTTTGGTTTTGACATGTGGTGAATAATATTGCGGTAATTACGAAAGTTTCTGATATTTACTAAAACTTGAATTTTTCATCTCTGTAGTCTTTGAAATATGCATATTTAGCTAGGAAGTTTGCTTTTTCTAGAAATCTGCCCAGTGCTGATAACAAATACAGGTAGCAAATGTGATAGAAGTGTCAACCTATTTCCTGTAACTAATTTATCTTCGACTTGCTTCTCTCAATTAATAGTTCATGTTCTTGGTCGTGGGTGATGCTTTTTGTTGGCTTTGATACGAATTTTCATGAAGTCAAAACAACATGTGCTATAAATATTTGTATTCCCAATGGCATGGAGAGAAGAAACAGAGTAGAATGCTCATTCGAAATTAATAAAACATTTAACTGATGATTGGAATATTTTATTTCATCGAGTCTGACTAGGAGATCGTCTACGTTACTGAATTAGCTCCTAATTCTCTATGTGAGAAGAAAACCTTCACATTACTATGTCTCGTGGTGCAATGATCATCCTTGCAAACGGTCGACAGTCTATAAAGAGGTCGCTATTGAATTGAAATGGTATGTTCTATCTTAATCGATTCGGTTAAAGTCCCTGATGTCAATCAAAAAGATTATATTCTTTGATTCAGTTAGTGTTTCTTTCTAAAATTACAAGTATAAATCTTACCTTGTTGAATTTTTCATCAGTAAAGCATGAGAAATTAACAGAATTTGGATCGAATTTAAAATGCTTCCACATTTACGAAGGAGAACTGTGAGTCTACTGAAATTATAATAAAGGTAAAACAACACGCAATACTTATTCAATTTTAATTGGTCAAAAATAAACAAATCATTTCTTTTTTCAATATCTTTCTTCTGATTGGTACAAATACGAGACTAAATTGAGTTTTGTCTCACTGAAATTATTTCTCATATTTCAAACAACTTTCCCGAAATGGCTACAAATAAAATACCTGAAGTCAAATCACCAGTTGAACAAACAAAGGAACTTGCTGAAGCATTAACGTACGTAGAAAGCTGATTTTTAGTTTCATCAGAATTTTCTTATCTTTTGCGTTTAAGTGAGTTTGAATTAAACCATGGTGTCATAAGTGCAGATAATCAAACTAAAGAAGTATCAGCAGTTGATGTCAGTAACTTCATTTAGCAAACAAGCTGTTCTAATTATTTTTATCTTAACAGAAATTTAAACACAGACTTGAACGTTTTGGAAAAATATCACCTGAAGCAAAACAAATCTCCCGTGCGTTACGTTTTGGTACATCCCATGTATGTAAATCAAATGCATAATCTTGTTCATTTTATTTTTTACTTTTCAATTTTGAAGGAAGCAATTGAAGGTACAGCTAAAAAGCGACGTTTAGAAAGATTCGGAGTTGTTCCTAATTCTGAAGTAAGAATCCGAAGACCTCTGTTATTGACATGATTTATTATTGTTTCATATAGAAAGATACACAGCAGAAGAAACGTCAACGCGCTGATCGTTTTCATTTGACTAATACAAAGTCAACTGTCGATGAAGATACAAAGAGGAAGCGTATCGATCGTTTTGGCCTTGTAACGTCATTGACAGTAAGAGAATCCGTTGAATCATTTAAAACTCAAAATGAAAACTACATAGTCTCTATGTGGCTTAATACAAACAGTGTAAAATGTGCTCAATAAAAGAATCGTTATAGAACAATATCCGATTGTAGAAGGTAACAACAAAAGTTGTTTGTATCAGAAAAAAGAATCTTCATTCAAAGAACGAGTTGTTCATTGCATTTTAACCAGTATAAAATGCTCATTGATATGTGTGAGTTGTAATCCTGAGTAGCAAAGGCATATTACTTCTACTAAAATCTTTCATAATATGATCTTTCAATGCAAATGAGCTAATTTACGTTTTTACTGAAGTGAAAGTCGCTGGTATAGCATGTACTCTTTTGATTATCATTGATGATAAAGGAAAATCAAAACGATATTCATACACGGATCAGAATGCTTGGATTCAACTTTGACCAGTATCATGGTCAGTTGGCTAATAGAAGAAAGAAAAGAAAAAGGATTCGCTGTTTGACTACTATATAGTAGGTTTATATTCACCAGAACAACAGACATAAAAATAAAAATAATTTTATGCATGCTAAAAATAATTTCAGCAATATTCAAATATCGACACAGTTCATAGTTTTTCACTTTTAAAAAACGAAATTTTTGGTGTTTTTCTAAGGTAATATTTCCAAATATTCTATATTTCAGACGGCTACTACTGGAAAATCACCATCAACAACTTCAACAGTGCCTGATGCAATTAAGAAACGAGCTGAACGTTTTGGAGATATATCTCAAGTAGCCAAAACCAATACAATAAATGTATGAATAAGAATATTTCTATTATTTTAATGCAAACTTTTCTATATTTTAGGAACAAAAACTTAAACGTATTGAACGATTTACACCAAAGCCAAATACTTAAAATTAACTTGAATTGCCTTGACTTTTGTTTTTGTTTTTACATTTTTTCTTTGTTTTTTGTTCATAAACATGATAAGACAATTTTCTGTGTAGAAAATTTACTTGAAATCGAAAAAATTGTTTATATTTAGACGATGACATCTACTATCCGACCACGTCTATTCATAACTCAACAAATGCCTTCACAGTTTATTCATGCACTCGAGCGTGTATTTGAACTTGATTATCAAGATACTCCGACGCCTTTGTCTCCAGAACAAATTTTATTTCGTATTCGTGCTCATCCACCAGATGCAATTCTTTTTGCATCAAAAATAAAAATTGATAAAGAATTATTATCAGCAGTAGGTGATAAACTCAAAATGTTAGCGACATTTTCAGTTGGATATGATCATATTGATGTAAAAGAATGCCAAAAAAGAGGCATACCTATTGGATATACACCAGGTAGAAGAAAGATTTAGTTAATTAAGAATAGACTATTAACTTGTGCTTTGAAAACTCTAGGTGTATTGACAGACGCAACAGCTGATTTAGCTGTGGCATTATTGTTAGCAACAGCAAGAAGAATCACAGAAGCTGTGCGAGCAGTTCGTGTGAGGCATCATAATAAGAATCATTTATATATTCTACTTTTATTTAAAATTTAAAATAGAACGGTGAATGGGGTACATCTTGTGATGTGATGTGGATGTGTGGTAAACCTTTAACTAATGCTACAGTCGGCATTGTTGGTTTAGGACGTATTGGTTTAGCTATAGCACGTCGGTTACAACCGTTTTCTATTCAACGTGTACTTTACAGCGGTACACGTGAAAAATATTTTGATTCCAACGCTGATAAAGCATTCTTTAAATATGTTCCATTTGCAGAATTATTAGGCGAGTCTGATTTTGTGATTATTGCATGTGAATTGAATGAATATACAAAAAATATGTTCAATAAGAATGCTTTCGAACAAATGAAAAATGATGCAATTCTAATTAATATTGCACGAGGAGGTATCATTGATCAAGATGCACTCTATGATGCATTGACGAATGGTCTTATTGGAGCTGCTGGTAAAACCTCTTATTGACAATCGATTAATATTCATTGTTATCTATAGGTCTTGATGTGACGGTGCCAGAGCCATTGCCTACAGAACATCGACTTTTAACACTCGAAAACTGTACGATTTTTCCACACATTGGAAGTGCTGATGTGTCTGCACGTCATCAAATGGCACAAATATGTGTGGATAATTTATTTAATTTTTTTAGTGCCAAACCGATGGTTCATCAGCTTAAACTCGGGGATGCTTAAGTGCAACATATTTTACGATTGATTTAATTTTAATTTACTTTTCTCAAAAATATACATCTAATTCAGGTTAAGATAATAAGCACGCTAGATTAAATTGCTTGTATTTGATTTATTTTTTGATTATGAATAATAAATTGAGAAAAACAAAAGAAAACATCAACTATGAACACCACCATCGACACGAATTATGTCTCCATTTATGAAACATCCATCTTGAGATGCTAACATAGCCACGACGCCAGCCACATCTTCTGGTTTACCAAATCGTCCATTGGGCATTCTTAAATTATCAAATAAACGATGATTCACATTTAACGGCAATTGAACATTCTTATTCATGGGCGTATCGATACCACCTGGAGCTACAACATTTGCACGTACATCTTGAAGAAGATATTCTCGTGCAAGAGCTTTTGTAAATGCAACAATAGCCCCTTTACTTGCTGCATATGCAGACATAAATGGATGACCATGTAGAGCAGCTGTTGAAGCGATATTTATTATATTACCTTTTGTAGTTACTAAATGAGGAAGACAAGTACGACACATCAGAAATGTTCCAATCAAATTTGTATCAAGAACAGTACGAAAATCTGATAATGATGTGTCAGCGACTGAACTTGTACGTAATATACCAGCTACATTGACAAGAACATCGAGATGACCTCGAAGAGTTACATATTTGTTGATTTTTTCGATCACTTTTTCTTCATCCGTAACAGACATTACAGCTATTGAAATCCGTTCTGGGTGAGATGATGATTGAATCGTTTCTTTTAATCCAGTTTCATTGAGATCAATACCAAAAACACAAGCACCCTCGTCGACCAGACGTAAAAGTACAGCTCGTCCTATACCGGAACCAGCTCCAGTAACAATAGCTGTTTTATAATGGAACCGATTGCATGCAATAGCTGGTACATTCTGTAGACAAAATAATTCAATTTAAAAACATCATTCGTTACTATTTCGATGGATGATTTTATAGTTACCGATGTATTGGCTTGAACATTCATTATTTCACTCATGATTGTATAAGAAAAAGATGACGATTGATGATTTAACTTTAGTTTTTTAATTTTTTTCTAAAATAATCACAAATAGATGGCACACTAGTCGACGATCTTGACTTCGATCTGTCCAGGTTCTTGTTTTTCTTGAATATCAGACAAGATTCTTTTGCCATTCCTTCTGTACAAGATTCTTGTCTGAAAAAACAGATCTTGACTTTCTGGCAAGATTCGTGTAGACACAATCTTGGCTGGCGAGGCAAGAAATGTCCCGCCAGGCAAGAATCTTGCGTTCTTGTATTCTTGCCTGATTCTTATTTATCTGATCAATCAGACAAGATTGTGTTTTTCTTGAATAACAGACAAGAATCTTGTTTCTTTCCTGCCTCGAAGAATCTTGTCTGATATTCAAGGAAAACAAGAATCTGGACAGATCGAAGTCAAGATCGTCGACTAGTGCATGTTGTTTTTTTATAAATCGTTCCATTGTTTTCTTTTTCTTTCGTGCTCGTACGATATATGGTGAAGTATATGAACATGAATAGGCCTCTTTATTGTTCTCTCTCTTCTTTGATATACCAAGTTGCCTATGGGTACATGAACATAAATGGCCTGCTTTTTTTTTAAAAAGCTGCTATTGAGAGCATATGCACTACGTCACTGAGAGAGATGAGTTATAAAATGAAATTTGATCTACTTAATGTAAATCATTGGTGTTTGTAACTTATTGCGTATTCATGATTTTCAACTATGGGTTTTGAATTCGATCATCGCATACATATGTGTCTCTCGATTTAGACACAACTATCGCAGGTTGCTGCTGATTGACGGGGCTTGTTGATTGATGATATTGGTTAGAAGCTTTTCTGGATAGCAAGGGGAGAAAGTGCTGGATAGGTGCTGAACAGGTGCCGAGATGCCAATTGTTTTTTTTAGGATACCGCATAGACTAAATCACTACATTGTGATTGATTAGGAGCGCTCTCTATCAGATTCATTGTGTTACTTCAATACTAGCGAATTATTTAAGTATCCAATCAGAAATTCACTCATTTTACAAAACTGTCTAATTGTAATTCAATTTTTCTTACTTAGAAGAAACTGATTTTTGTGCTGTTTTTCTGATATACAAAAAAAGAGAAGAAGTTTCGTTCAATAGTTTTCAGTTACTTTACGAATTCTTATTTGTTCCATGGGATAAAATGCGTTTTTCATATTGTTTAAAGGTGGCATGTTGTCTGTAATATAGCAGTATACTAGCAGAAGTACCCAGTGTTGCCTGGAAAAGTTCACATTTAATATATGCAAACAAAACCCCATTGTACTTGAAAAGATCTAAAACGCCTAATTAGTAGGAAGAGATATATACAACTACTATTTTTGCCCCGTGCCGATTTTGNTCTCATAATAACTGTTAATAAAGTATTAATGATATTTTTCATACCTTTTCTTGACATAGACGGCTAAAATTTTTATCTCACATATATCTAATAGAAATATTTTATTTTTGAAAGTTTTAGCTCTCTAACTAAACCTACGGGTGAAATACATCAACAAGAGTGAAATACATAAATTTTTGTACTGGAATTTTGCATATTGTTATTTTGAAATTATTTCAAAAATCGAGTTCAAAAATCGATCTTTCACCAGTAGTTTAAGCTCGAGAACTGAAACTTTCAGAAATAAAAAATCGGTATTAATATATATGTAATAAAAATTTCAGCTCTCTAGTTCAAGAAAAACTATGAAAAGTACCGTTAGCAATTTATTATCAGTCATTATGGGATACCCTTTGCATGTGTAGTGTTTCTAACAAATGATGCGATTCTCCACATTTTATAGGTCACTAAAGGTTTTAATTGTTATCTTAGGCCATTTTCGATGACGATACGTCTAACTAGACCGTGAAGATAAATGAAAAACTTTCTTCCAGAACATTGGAACAGAATTCTCTTCTTCCGCAACGTAGTAGAAGCCACACGTATTACCCATATAGATTTTTGAGATTTGCTTTATGAAATTTTAATATTTTCATGTAGTGGTTGTCAGAGAAGTAGAGTTTCTTCGATATCATTGAAAATAAAAAGATCTTTTGTGAACCATTTGCACCTCATTGAATATAATCTAAGGACCAAAGAGTGTTGAAATGGTATTGGAAGAGTGCTATGGTATTTTCTATCATAAATCAGTATTTTTCTATGGCAAAAACACCAAATCTGAATACTGTTAACCTATTGCTAAGCAACTTCTCAATTAATATTTATGTTCTAATTTCTTAATCTTCAGCAGCACCCACAAGTGCCGAGCAGGTGCTGAACAGGTGCAGAGTAGACGCTGGACAGGTGCTGGATGCCAGCACTTATCCCTTGCTGGATAGTCTGTGCTCTTTTGACAATTTATGAGCAAATGCCTAACTAAATTCTAGAATAGTGTGGGAATCTAAAAATAATTTTTTAAGTCTGTGAGTCTACTGTCTATCTATTGGGAAAAGTCCACTTTAAAATCATTCGATTGTATGATACAAAGTTAAAATCAAAGCTATACTGAATATGAAATTCATTCTATCGTAGATATTCAATTAGTCTTATAATGAAGCTATATCCCAGAAAAATGCAAAAAAATCATCTCTTATTGCTAAATACAACTCCCAATTGTCAGCATAAGATGCAATTTTTGTAAAATGATAATTATTTTAAACCTATGATAATAGGTTTATTCGTAGCTGTAGAAAAAGTATTACATGTTGATGTTTTGTCGTTGTTGATATGAGATATTAAGAGAAGAGTCAGAGCAAAAAAAGATGTAAAACGAAAGATACATGAAAAGATATACTAATTCAAGTTACGCACAGTGATCCTTTTTGATATTATGCATATATTATTTGCACATATATGTATGTGTGTTGAGAGATCCAATTTACCATGCTCATACAGACAAAAGAAAAGATTTCTCGTCTTGGGAAGCTACAAAAAATAACCAAAACAAATTTGAAATAGCATTTTCAATCGTTTCCATCAATAAGCTAAGATTTATATGATTGATTTTTACCATTATTCTTTATTGTAGGATTATACAAGTTTAAATAGATATTGATAGCACTTTCAAAACTTCAAAACTACTACTCACCTAAAATGTTTGACATGATGAAACTCCTCCATAAGAGATTGATATTCTACCTTTAGTTATCACAATGAAGACAAAAAGAAACAAAAAGAATTAGATTATTATGTTTGCTATAACATGACTCTTATTGTGACCCTCAACGAACTGTTAGTCATAGTTAGCTGTATAAGCCAAATGTTGTAGCACATCAATAATATTTCAAATACCTTTTGTTTTTGTATTATAACATGCGACAATGGTCAAAATGAAGAATGGAGAACTTATGCTATTAAAATGTGATTTTGAAAACAGAACATAAGTATTTATCCTGTATTTAAAATTGAAGATTCCAATAAAAGAGATATTATCATATTTCAGTTACACTCAAATAAAATTGAAGTTTATATATATATAGGAAGTATTAGAATTCTTCAATGTTCTCAATTGAAATGTAGTTGGTGATAGAACGCTTTAACAGAAAAGATCATTAGGTGAGTATCTCTTGAATAACACTTCTTTGTGTTAAACTATATTTTTCTTTGATTTTCATACGGTTCACACATAATTTACAAAACATTAACTGTATCAACCTATTCCTCTAATCGAAAAAAGCTTTTTAAAAATTTTTGTATGCCTAAATTAGAGATATAATTGCCTTCTATCGAAAGTTAATTCTCATAAAATTTCAAAAAATATATACATAGGTCCATATAAATGAGTAAAATTCAATAGTTACTTTGTCTGTCACTTTTTTTTACCTTGGTTGGGCTTATGATTTATCATTCAATTTATTCAAGATACGTATATTCCATGAAATTGTAAGTAAAAGGACAATTCAGGTATGATTCATTTAATAGTAAATAAATAACTAAGGGCGTAAAAAAAGTTGAATCTGTTAAGAAAAACATTCTTTTGATAGCTAACATAATACTCGATCATCTTGTTTTTAAGTCCTTGACAATTTTATACTATGAATATGAATAGATTGTTGTTTTGTCTACACATGGCTCGAATGTAATTAAAAATAGTTTTGCATATGCCGAGTAATATTAAAAAGGTGAGATTTATACCAAACATAATTTTACCAATGAATGCTAACATTTCATTCCATTGTTGTTGTTATTGTTTTTTTCAATAAAAAAAAATAAGTGGGCATTAATACGAGTGCATTATAGTATACATGCAATAGAAAAGTGGTTAGTTATGAGACAAGAAAAAGTAATAAATTCGTTTTCTTTCAAAAAATATAAAAATAAGATAAAAACGAAGTGTTTATTTAAGCCATGCATCATCTTGCAGAGTTGTTTGACTGCCACGCCGTTGTAACCGTTGTTTTTGTTGAAAGCGTTCAAGAACTTCATTACTATCTAACAAAGATGTATCATCTTTTTCAAGTTCACGTAATTTTTTTAAACGATGTTCATTTTGTTCGGCAATTCTCTATTTGTGTAAAGAAATATTTTATGTACGTTTGTCCAAATTTGCTTTACTTACATTCAATTCAAGATTAGCCATATTTGTTGGATCATCTCGATCATAGAATCCAGGTGGATCAAAATCATATCGGTCTCGTCTTCGTCTAGCAGTATCTTCAATATTTGTAACAAAGATTCCATCAACCAAATCAACACGTTTCGATGGTGAAATATACTCTCCACCAGTAAGTCCTCCACCTCCACCACCACCACCACGCATTAAAATAGAATCATCACGGAAATAGCTTGGTTTAAATTCATCATCGTCATCTGTTTGAAGAACACGAAGTAATTTGTCATGTGCTGATGGCACAGTTTGATAAGGAAACTGTGCTGTATGACGCATATATCCTGGACTTTGTTTACGTTGTGGATGGGGCAGTGATGGTGGCCTGTAGGAAACTGCTGTTTGTTCTTCTATATCGGATAAAAGAGCTGCTTGAGATTTAGAATGTTGTTGAAGGCGTGCTTCTTTATCTTTTAACTGTCGTTTCAAATGTTCCAGACGGTTAAGTACCTCGGAATCGGATCCATCAGATCGAAGAGAAGCAGTTGAATTTGTTCGAAATGGACCATTATTATTGAAGTTTGCTTGAAGACGAGGTCGATGTGTTTCTAAATGATATAATAATTGTTTAGAATGATTATTAATATAATAACTACAATCAAAAAAATATATTTCATTGAATGGCTCCTAGAGAACTTGTTTTTTTTCAATACAGTTTTATTTGCATAGTAATGATAAATGACCGATACATAATTCAGTATTGCACCCATCGCTTACAAAAATCATTCATATCAAATAGTCAAATTGAACCAGCGAACGAAGTAAATCGCCTAATTGATTTATTACTGTTCAATCGAGAGTAGTTGCTTAAAAACTATACTGCCAAGTAAAATACTTGTATTTCCTGAGTAAAACTGATTTTCGATTTCAACTTTGCTCGAAGACAGACCATATTTAGTAGAATCTCATGTCTTTATATTCGCTCATATCCTAGAATAGGAAATATCGAATCTATTGATCAATATTGATGCGCATCTTTTCTACTCAAAAGAATTTTATCAGTTAGAAGACGTATTCGATTATATGGACAATTATTTAACATATAAAAATTACTTTTTCTAAATCAAGTCATTACTTTGATTGATAATAAATTATTCATGAATGAGATTCAAAAACAAACGAAAAATAAATCATAGCGTTAGTACTAATGAATTATGCAATTACTCAATCGCACATGTTTAGCTTGTATATTCTCTCTCGTGTCATGACATTGCAGATAGTAGTATTTTGTTTTCGCGAATAAAAACTTTTTAACGATGAACTCATTCTTACGAGGACAACTTGTCGAATGATTATGATGTTAAGAGAAAATTCTCAGATATTGTATGTCGATGGCGTACTAGAACCTTCAAATAATTGATTTGTTAGTAATAAATTAAAATGAACTTTAACAACAGAAATATTACAAGATTAGTATGTTATTCTATCCTGTATAATGAACGGAATAGAACCGACGTGTAATAGAATGAAAAAAAGAGCTGTGAAAAATATCCTAAACTTAAACATCAGTACCTACGTATATAATGTGGTGTTCATATTGGTTAGAGGTATATACGGTAAAAAAAACTAGCGACTTACGCGGTGGCTTTTTTCGAGCGGGTGGTACATCTATATAAGCAACAAGCAACAATAAATAGCAATAGAACGCTTTTTAAGATTTTATTTTTTTTATCTAACCTGGTTGTTTTGGTGTTGGTGGTTTTCGATAAGTGTCTGGAACATGTCCATCATCATCATCATCGATTGGTGGTTGAATCAATTCATTGTCATCAATGATAGGTGGTAATTGTTCTTGATTTTCATCATCAAACGACTGATGTCTTACAACATTATGATTTGATTTTTGTTTTTTATCTTTGTTTTTTATTGTTGGCACAGGTGGTGATGAACTTCGATAAACGGGTTCATCTGATTGCTGTTCATCATAAGTATTTTGTCTATCGGCTTCATTATTATCGTCACTCAGTAATTTAGATTTTTCTGGTCGTTTTGATTCTAAAAATTGAAAAAATGTTATTATTGCCCGATACAACAAAGTAGTTAGAAAACTTCGTACTTCGTTTTATCGCAATTTCTTCTTGTTGTTTTTGCCGCCCTAATTCTTCTTGTAGACGTTGTTGATGTTGACGCTCTTGTGCTTCTTTTTCTTGTTTTCTTGATGCTTCTTCAGCTGTTTGCTTTTCCACTTGCTGTTGCCATTCAATATGTTTAGCAATTTCACGTTCTTCGTCAGCTCGACGTCGAGTTAATTCTTCCGCATTTCGTTGACGTTTTTCGTCGATTTGTCTTTTTAAATCTTGTTTATATCTTTCTTCACGAACCAACTGCTCGTCTGTTTTAATTGTACCAAATATACCATTGCTAACAGCACCACGAGCATGATTGGGTGAACCAGAACGATCCTGAAAAAATTTATTCATAAAATAAAAACTACTTGCAACAGAACTTTTGTAATTAAAATATGAAATGATTTTCAATATATGAGAATAGCATAGAACTAAGATTTTCATCTAGCGGCAATTCAAACTATAATTCTTTTGTCTAACGATTTTTCAAAATTCAAAAACTTATAGTAGACAATTTGTTCGAAAACATAAATTTTTTGTCTCAATTGGTCAACGTATTCTCACTCATGTGAAGATAGACTGACTTCGCTTGCTCATCATATTGTAGAATACAATTTTTTTCATGTCAATTTTTAGCTGAAATAAATATTTTCAATGCAACAGTATAATTCAAATACTAATATATTTAATAAGATTGAAAATTAGCGCTTAGAGTTATACCTTGTCATAATTATTTTGCATACTTATTCATACAAATCTAAAGTAGATGTCAATTGGAAGAATATTTCTGTCACTATCAATAGAATGACTAAGTTTTTTAGTTTCATTTTGTACGCAACAATATAGATTTCATAGCTGGAAAAAATGTTGAATTACCGAGTTTGATGGATTTTGCTTGTCTCCGTTATAGAAAGGTGCGTTAGTTATTGAACTTGGGCCAGCACCTAACGAATATATCTTATCATCAATAGCTGTGTACGGTTGCTGTCCTTGAGGTGATATATATTGTTGTTGTTGTTGTTGTTGCGGATTTCTTAGATCACCTAAATTCGCTACGACATTACCATCTTTATCACGCATTGGTGCACCACCACCACTACGACCAAAATAATTGTAACGATTTATTTCAACTTCTAATTTTCTTTCATATTCATCTTTTTCCTGTTTAGCTTGTGCTTTTCTCATTTTTGCTTCACGCATTTGTGACAGAAGCTCTTGTTGATAACGTTTCTTAGCTGCTTGTTCTGTTTCTTTATCCTTGTCATGGCCTATTTGAAAGCCATCATCATTATTTCGTTTTGATCGATTATCATTACGATTTTGTTGTTGATTTCTCTGTGGTGATGAATCATTCATTGAATCAAATGATATATTTAAATTAGGCCCACCACCTGTAATAACACTTGCTGAACTTGAAGAAACTGGTGGTCGATTAAGAATTCGAGCAAGTTCATGATCAATTGCACTACGCTGATTTAATCGTTCGGCAAGTAATGAATTTAATGCATTTAAATCTTCAGTATAATGTGCACGAGTAACACTTGATGAATTGCCAGCAGATAATTTACTACTTTCTAGAATAAAACATTTAAATTAGCAAATTATTTAAGAAAAAAAGAACTTTTACAATATACCTAATTCTAATTGTCTTCTTCTTGCTTCTAATTCACGTATTTGTTCATATAATTCTAAAATATATTCTTCACGATCACGAATATATTGTTCATCATGAACTTCTGACAAACGTGATCGTGCTCGATTTGTTGTATATTCTGTTGTAGTTGTCGATGATGAAAATATATCATTTACATTTGAAACATTAGTCGTTTTTTTGTCACCATTTTTCTCCCATGGTGCAACAACCTTTCCATTTTCTGCAAATTGTACACGTCGAGTTGTCTTTTCACGCGTGGAAACAGGTTGTGACGTGGATTTATGTTTTGGACCATGTTGAGACCGTAAAAAGTCATTATATTCACGTTTTAAATCATCTTTGAGTTGCGCACGTTTTTCTGCATGCGCTCCAAATCGATCAAAAAAACCGAACTGATTATTATTAGTATTATTACGAGCGTCGTTTTCAACATGACGTGGTTGTTGTTCAAAATCGTACGAGGTTGATTGTGATTCTGGATAAGGACTAGTAGCGATTGGACGTGGTGAAGGAGGAATATAAGTTTGTCTAGATTGATTACGAGGTGGTGGTTCGTTTAAAATGCGAGCAACTTTGAAGTCTAATCGATCATCCAAATTAGTGGATGGTAAAGTTGGAGGTTGACGAGGAGGTGGGGGCGGCGCTGGTGGCGCTGCTAATCGTTGTCGATTTGTTTGTTGTCGATTTACTTGTTGCCGATTAGGTTCTTTGTTAAGTTTGGATCTCTGACGTTCTATGAAATAGTCAATATCTTGAGAAGCATCTAGCATGATTTTGTTGTTTTTGTTTATATGTACATAACGAACTTTGAAGTATTTTTGGCAAGCAAGCAGTTAACAATATGGCGAGAGCTTTTTTTCGTTCTTCTTTTTCAATTCTATATGAATTACAAAAAATTACATTAGCATATTTTTTCGCCATAACCGATTATATTAACTTAGATACCGGGAGGAAGATAATAAAAATTACATTCAATAAAGAAAGCGGTAATGATCGCACTCTACAGGAAATGAGACAAGCAAAATGGTCACATACTATCGATTAGACTTTAAGTTTTACATCTTAATTAAAGAAATCTATTTGGTTTTTGCATTTAATTACATTAGCTTTTACTGATTTCTTACTTGCATTAGTTACGAGAAAAAAATGTTTCTCGATATTAATAGAACACTATTGAATATATTTGAGATACCATTTTAAAATTAGATGAGTTCAGTGAAGCAGAAATACTTATTTGATTATTGAGAATCAATCTAAGCGACTGTGAATTCGTTTTAGTCTACATCAGTGATTACGGATTACACAATCTTCATCCCATCAAATGATCAAAAGTCTGTGGTAGAAAATGCCAACTATGTCAATGTGGCATGACTTTATTAATTAGTTCAAAAATGTGATCTCAGAAAATTTCTGTTACTTTCCTTTGAATTTTCAAATCTCTCTACATCGCAGTAATGTGAGACAATACGTAATTATATTGCCTGCAAACAGGTGTAGTAATTGTAATGCGAATGAATGCATCCAATATTTCCTTTATGAAACATTTATCTTTTATATTTTCATATGATTTTTATATGTTCACGTGGAAACTTTCTCCGTGTTTGCTTTGTTTTATGAATTTTCACGCCTGGGGAAAATGATGAATGGGCTAAAAAACAATTTATGACAGAAGATTTTGCACTAAATGGCATGACTTGAATTTAAAAAAAAACGTATGATTCAAAGTACAGTTGAGTGATTACGAAAAAATACAACAAATTTTCTGAAAATATCAAAAGAGAATTCAAAAGAGGCTTTGAAGATGTGAATATTTGAATATTAGAACGAAAACGCTTCGTTTCTGTCTTCATAGAGATACATAGAAATACAAAAACAATAATACTGTGAAGAATATACAGGAACGAGAGCATATTTGTTTTAGTCTAGCGAAAACTGAAAGAAGTTAGAAATAATTTTCCGTCGACAAAGGTTTCTATTTTCGTTACAGATGTGTTACTATTGTCATATTTTACAATATAATCCTGGTGCTCCTGTGTATCAAGGTTTCCATTGTCTCGATCGTTCAAATCTTCATTCGAAAGTTCCAATGAATCAACGAATATATGACTGTGACCAATCAATTATTCCTATCCCTTCTGCTCCTCCAGCTGACGGTATACTTATACAATTGAAATTGAAATTGATCATAGAATTTTTTTTATGTATATTTCGTATTTAGAAGAGCCTATTGTTAAATCAAAGTCAAAAAGAAAACTATTCAGCCAATTGAAGAAAATTTTTCTTCAATAATTTTGAACGTGTGCTCCACCTTTTTTAATTTCTGATTCATACCTAATAACATTTATTATAATGGCGAAGCTGTTGACTGTTGATCATGAGACAAAATAAAATTATGATTTTTCTACAATATCAAAAGTTGTTCGAGTCGATAGGAATTCTTATCAGTTTTGCTTGTTACTTATTGTTTTTATTCTTTTGTTTGAAGTAAGCTTGCTTATAATAGACAATGATGATAAGTGTACGTAAGTGTTTGTATTCAAATTTGAGCATCTTCTTTTCATAGTAATTCAGTTTTATTTATTTTTCACTACTTACTCTAAACAATAGTGTTCGCAGTGAATGTCATATATTCATCATCGGTTACATGAGACTAGCCTAGAATCCGAAACAGAACTAGTTGTTCATCATGTTTATAAAAGTAAAACGATAACAAAAACAAAAACTGCTTCTATATACAATAAATCGAAATTTTTACACGAAAATACAAAGATGCAATCATCAGTAAAATGGAAAATAAACCGTTTTAGTTTTCTTCTTATTATTTTCGCACTACTGTTAGTCGAAGAACATTCGATGGTAAACTTGGACATACAAACGAATGGCGTGCAGAATTTGTAGTCGTTACTACACATCTCGCTAAGTCTATTGTGTCCCTAGTATACATTGATGAATTATCAATTAGGCGAGTCGTTGTTGAGCAAATCGATGAAGTCGTAGAAGTTGTTGCAATAATAAACTTTTGTGATTGCTGAAAAGATGGTACAGTTGTAAGACAAAATACAGTGTTAGGATTCATTGCCGGAGAAGTGCAATGTATCTAAATTAAAAAAGTTGACACTGACTTATTCTCTTTGTTTAAACTTACAGTCATTGTCTTCGATTGCTTAGCTGGAACAAGTAATGGTGGCTTTAAATCTGATTATTAGTTTTTGCAGTTATATAGGGTTGCTGTGTACTTTCAAATACCGCTGTTTTAAAACGTTTGACTGGTAATGATGTTAGATTTTGTTGTTCATTAGATCGTTTATCTGATAGATGCGGATGATATCCAAATGATACAATAATGTTAGCACGAACATGTGTAACATTTAATGTCCTAGCTTTCATTGCCCATTTATCACATTGAGGTTGCTTTAATGTATAATTACTATCAAGACGAGTATATGTTTTTCGTAATTGCTCAGCAAAATACATTTGTAACCAATAGATAACTATTGTACCACTATCAATACGAGACTCACGCCAATCACGTAATTGTGCAGACTAAAATTTTAAATGAATTTACATAGGTAAATGATGAATAAAACATACCACAGTTCGCATTGGTTCACAAATAAGACCTTGAATGCCTGAATTAGAATCGAAAAGATAATATTTGTTCAATATCCATGATCCAAGATCACTATCAATCAATGGAAAAATAGTTTGTTCGAAATATGTTCGAAATTCTTGTGTCCAATTTCATTTACAACGATCATAGAAACGTATAAATGTTTTCATATCCGTACATAATAGTAAAGATTTTATTTCAGCAAGATAAAATTGATAATCTGCGTGTGTTCGACCATTGTGTAATAGCCGTGCATGTAATTGAGAAAAGATATAATTCCATGTATGAATAATACGTAAATTTGGCAAAAATATTGATAAATAATTATTTTTCAATGTATTCCTGTCGTTATCAATTATATGCAAACATCGCGATTCAATATTTGGACATTTTTGTTTTAAATATGTTAAAATATATTCGTAGACATCATCACAACAACGAGTAAATAGTGCACAACCTAAAGTATGAGAATTTTTTATTAAACTAATGATGAAATCTTGCAAAACGATAATTTTCCGTTGAGATGACTACTAGATGATTAGATAGTCTGCTGGGAAGAAATCCAAGATGTACAATCGTTAGTCATTGTCTCAACGTCATATAATTGTTTCAATGCACTCTTTTGTTGATATTTTTCGAATAATGTAGCTGTGTACTCATGATCGATAATATGCCAAGTAAAAATGTAGAGATTACAAGAAATCTTTAATTCGCGTAGGCCCACTCGTAAACTAATGACAATTTATCTGAATCTATGATTTGTGTGGCTCCCATGAGAATGATTTTCTTTGGCAGAATCCTAATTGAAAAACTTATAAGAGCATGATTAAGAATTTGTTTTTTTTATAAGCTCTACTTCTCAACTTCGTTCTCTACAAACTATCATGTTTATATGAAGCTCGTAAATAAGATTAGACGAAATGCTAATCGCTAAACATTTTTGATTCGGTAAAACAAGAGTTCTTGTAGGAGAACACAGAGCATCTTGTTGTGATAGAAGATCAGGATGATCTTATAATAGATTAAATTCATGCATAGATTCATTTGAGAATGCAACAACAACAACGTTTGGTATCAATGTAAAACGAACAATATAGTTTGGTGTTTCACTTGCAAAACGATATAACTCTGATATTTCATCTGTTGAAGCTACAAGACGACGAGCTAATCGTCTTTTAATATTACGTATTTGTTCGATGTTTCGAGATCGAGATAAAATGTCAGCATTAACTTTTGTTTCACTTAATGTGTTCGATAAATTTGAATTCTTTAATGATGTTTTCTTCTGCTTATTTTGACTATCATCAAATGTTTCATTGATTTGATTGGAATTATTTCCTTCATCATCTTCATCATCATCATCATCATCATCATTATCATCATCATTATTATTGTTGTTAGTAGTAGTATGTTCAGTAGAATTGTGTCTTGTATATTGTTTAAATATTTGCACAGTTTCAGCATTTGATGCTACTTCACAAATAAGTTTGTTAAGAAGTGATGGACGTGTATGAAAAAATGGCTTCGTATTTTTTTTACAATTTCCATGTGGAAATTCTTCAGCAACATTTTCATTGCCAAGATATTGTACAACAACTTTTGATGGATCGACAAGTGAAACAAATGTTTGTTTTTCAAAATCTTTACTTTTCTGCTTATTCTTTTGTCCAGCATGAAAATAACATTTCTTAATTACTGGACTATGTGTTGGTAAACAGCGAGCGGCTATTTTAACCCAACGATAACCACCACTACGCCAATCGTCTAAAAATAATATACAACACATATGAATTGTTTCTGCTTCATGAATATTGAACAGAATCAACTAAATCAATCAGTTTTTGATGAAGGATCAGTGATGCCATTACGAGATCTATTCACAATCTTTCAATTATCGATGAAACTATCTATTTTCACTTTGTGTCTCTATTTTTTCATATATGAAGGTGAATATTATAGTGTTTTGATATTAAAATCAATGCTTAGCAGACAATCAATTGAGATTTTCTTATCCGTTAACATTCTAATCCGCCATATACCTATGGATGTCTTCCATAGAGTTTTTCATTATTCCAGAGTTTATATAGCGGATGAACAATGGTATTCACTGGAATTCAAAAGTTTACTTTCATGCCCAATATCAAGTTTCAATACATAGACTTCACCAGCTTTCGGTTTGAAAGGTGGCGTTATTGTACATATTGTTGATGGTAAATCAAAGAGAGGAATAACTTGTGTAGCTTCAAGCGATTGATGTCGAGTGAACGTCGGGCAATTTTTTGTCATGTTTAATTTCTATTCTACGAAAATATTTAAAAAAGTGAAATTTCCTATTTTTCGAATGAATAGTAACTAGATAGCTTCTCGATGTTCGTTAAATTCGATCGTGAATATAAAACTACACGTCGACGCAAAGGCTTTCACGATTTTCGAATGGTATTCATGGAAAAGATACAAACGAAAACACTCACTCGAAAATAGGAAGACATTTAAAAAAATTCTTTAATTATTTTTTTCTTAATTTTATTTACAAAGTCTAGCAATTTATCGCTACGATAAACGATGCAAGTATTAGGAAATTCAGAAGAATATATATATATATATATATATTAAATATATTCGATAGGTGTCACTATTGTTCTCACATACATGGGTTTCAAATAAAAATACATCATAAAACTTATTACGATTCGAATTGTTTTCGTTAAAAGAGATCTTTACAGATATTATTACGTAGAATTATAGCCGTTGAAATCTAGCCATTGGTCACACCTCCACTTTTGCTTTGTTTACTGCGTAAGAGTTATTATACATATATACATCATCAGGAGAAACGAAACGATATCTTTTTGAATTTATCATCTGATGCAATAGGGAAAAATACTCAATATCTGTTCTACATAAGGTAAGTGAGCAAATAAGAAAGAAAAAAAATAAGACATCGGATATGAATTATTCGGGAGTAAAAAGTCTTGTAGTTTGTATCTGGATTCAATCAAAGTTTTTCTTTTTAGTTGTCAGTCTACTTTAATACTTCAATTGGATTCATATCATAATTTCGAAATAAAACTCGAGACGTGTTAGTGTAATTTCTCTTGTCGTGTTTTAATTACAAAAGATGATACGATAATAAAAATAGCTTCTTTTACACATTTTTATTCGTCCATAATTAAATTACGATAAATATAAACTATGCTACTTTAGCGTAGGATATAATTGAGAGATCAAAAAGTGTTAAAGATTTCCTATTGCGCAGATCTTTACTTAAACACTTTTATCACGTGTCTAGAGACATATATTAGATGTAAAGCAGTACTCAACAAAATTCGTTTCACATCATTAAACATACTGAAGGACATACACAAAATTAGTCCATGTAGAGGATTTACTTGATAAGTAAAGTAATCAGACGCAGTTAGATTTTTTTTAGAATAACGACTGAAATGATAGACTGAGCCTAAATCTCTTCATATCTGTAAAATTTTATCTAATTACGTTATTATTCATTTAACTGATGACTGTTAATTATCTCGTAATATAGTGTATTCATTGATTCAAGAGATTTGTTTAGATTTTCACTTTTCGATAGATAGCTATATTTATTTGTAGCTCTTACATTTCATTAGAATCTATTGAAGTGTACTGAATTACTTAACACGTTTTGTTGATGATTCATTTGAAATTTTAATACAAGTTTTCAGTTTTCTATCCATAACTAATTGTTGAAGGTTTCATATTGCAGAATATCATCTGGGTGTACGTGTATTCGAATGAAGAAGTTTAGAAAATTGATAAATTGCTTTTCAAATGCGTCTTACTTCGTTATGTAGATTCTGTTGAAACAAGAAAAAGTTTTGATGAATTTTCAATCACGAGTCTGTCATAAAAATAAATCTTATCATCTTTTTTAAGCTCATTTCAAATTTAAATTATGCTTTCGAACTTTGCAAAAATCAGTGATTCAATTGAATTAAGTAAATATACTGTTCACTAATGTATCCTATTTTCAATGTCAACCGATGACTTCCTTGGATTTTTATTTGGATAATCAATCGATAGGAAATGGTTAAAAACAATTGGTTTTGTATAAAATTAGAGCTTAAGTTAGATCATAGCGTTATTCGAAAAATTATACAAACACGAGTACAAAAGAACACGATAGGTCTGTAAGGGTGTTATTCTTCTTACATTTAAGTCCTCCTGATAGAGTCTATCTTAAAAACAATTAATCATTGACCAAGATACACACGTGAGTATGTCGTAGGAGTAATAATGATATTTTTCATTTATTTATATCTTTATTTGACAATAAATTGTCATTTTCTTTCCATGCGTGTTAACAGATTATACAGTATTTTATTTTTCCTGTAATTAGTATGTCAAATTCGATCTTATCGATCATTTGATTTATCTGATGTTGATTTTTTTATTTTTATCTTTTATTCTTAATATTTTTAATAATTGACCAATGATGATGTGGTAAAAGGTTTGAGATAATCAGCATGATTGTTGATAGTAAAGTGCATCTTCTTGCATTTATGCCGCTGGTCTTGAACATGATGATCGTGCAGGCATGTTTCTTATAAAGAAGAAGATGCTATATTAAAATGCGACTTTATGCGAGAGGTACCAATCGAAAAGATTCATCGGTGGTGACTTTGAAAAGACGCTATATTAATTTTCAATAATTGTGTTGTTTTGTCAAAAAATGAAAATAGATCTTGTATGTATATATATACTCTGAGGTCAAATAAGCTTAAAAGGAAAAAATATCTAAGATAAAGTCATTTAAAAGAATGTTATTTTTATTATAAATTACAATTTTATCATATGTAGATTTTTTGCTTGGTGATGATTCTTCTGCAATAAATATTATTATTATCGATGGCAACAATAGGTGAGTATTTTTTATTATTTTGTTACGTTGACCATATTTTCTATCAAGGTTATGACTTAACAAATTTTCTTTCTGGATGTCATCGATAGATCCATGCTAAATAATAGATTACTATCACACTTGAAAAAAAAGAAAAGAATATGTGTAATATAATAGTCATGCCATCGTCAGTAATCTACATAAATGGGAGATGTTTTTTTGGTTTTTATAGAAAGAAAGATAGAGGCAGCAGATGCATAAAAAAAAGAAGAAAAGAAACCAACCAATGATAAATAAATGACGAAAGCGAATAGACGCATAAAAGAAAGAAAGGATAAGCAATATCTATGACGAACGCTCTACGTCTTGACAGCTTTTCTACTTTAGTAAATCAAAAAAAAACCAACAACCTGTCTCTGTTCAATGAATCACGCATCTAAGACGTGTTAGATATTTAAATAAAAAGAACCCTTCATTACATGCTACTTTCAAAGTAGCTGACATATTCTTCATTCGTTTGTCTTATCTTTTCGTTTTTCTACTTGCCGTTTTTCTTTCGTCGTTCTTTCACTGACTGTTCGTTCTCGCGAATTCCCTCAATCAAAAAGACATAATAGTGAGTATCATATATTTGATGGATGATCGAGAAATAGTATTGATAGTAATACATATATTCTCATTTTTGCCATTTATATAATTGTTTTTGTGTAGTGCAACATGCCATAATGACCGATGAGTTTGGCGAAACAGAGCCAATTATAAAACTTGAAACCGATGAAAATTGCCTTGACTTTGACGATGATGTTCATGGAAATCAAGCGATTATGGCTCTAGGTATCAATTCGACAAATAAGAATACTTTTGGCAATAATACTGAAATATTAGATTGTATTGTTTGCGGCGATCGAGCTACAGGTAAATAATAATTTATTCAATTAAACGATTTACGTAAAAACTGTTCTTTAGGCAAACATTACGGAGCAATATCATGTGATGGTTGTAAAGGTTTTTTTAGACGAAGCGTACGAAAAAATCCTATTTATGAATGTCGAAATCAAAATAACTGTACAATTGACAAAGATAAACGTAATCAATGTCGTCATTGTCGATGGAAGTATGTTTATTTCATATAAAATTTTGACATAGTCTATCATGATTTGTATTTCTATAGAAAATGTATTAGAATGGGCATGAAAAGAGATGGTAAATATATGAAATTTAAAAAAGAATTTATAGTTAATGTTCTATTTCAATATTTTTAGCTGTACAAAAAGAAAGAGATCGTCTTGGGCGCCAACGCAATCATAACTATAATTCTCGAATGGGTACAACAAAACCTGCGACACGCCTACGCGGTGATGTTGATGAGGATGATGATCTTAGTATTATGGCACTGTTACGAGCTGAACAAACAGCTAAAGAAGTACGAAAAAAAAAGAAGATACAGTAGAACTTAAAGATCATTTTGTCCTATCTAGTATATTGGTCGACAAATTCAACTTGATCGACATCCATCGAATACAGAACGTGTTCAAGCTACATTAGAAACAATAGGTATATCGATGAATTATCAACTTCGAAGTTTAATTGAATGGGCAAAAGATTTAAAAGGCTTTATTGAATTATCCGATAATGATAAAGTAAGAAAAAGAATAATATTAATATTGAATAGATTTATTTGAAAATATAAACGCTTTTAGATTGCTCTCTTACGTGGCCATACTGGAGAAAATCTTGTTTTGGGTCTTGCGTGTCGTTCTTTAAACTGTGATGATTATTTACTTTTGGGTAATCACTATGTTATACCACGAAATACATCTGATCCTGGTTTAACTCGTGCAGCCGGAAGAATTCTCGATGAAATTGTCAAACCATTAAAAGAAATTCAATTAGATGAAAAAGAATATGCTTGCTTAAAAGCAATCGTTTTCTTTGATAATGGTTTGTATATTATATAAACAATCAAAATTATTATTTCTCTTGTTGCTCTGCCTAGATAATAAATCCCTATCAGATCCTATGCGTGTGAAAGAATTACGTAAACGTGTACAGGTAAATCTTGAAATATATATAAATCAACAGAAACCTTTAATGCGTGGACGTTTCGGCGAATTACTATTATTATTGCCTCCATTACAAAATATAGCTCGATTAATGGTTGATCTAGTTGCACGTTATAATCAAGATACAAAACAAGTTGATGATCTTATTAATGAAATGCTTTTAAGTAAGTTCAATGAAAAGTTTGCTTAAAACTTCTAACGTCATGTTAAAAGAATAAGGCATCAAATAAAGAAAAATTAATTACAGAATGAACGTCGCAACATTTGTAGTTCTATAAGTTCAGATAGGTATCGTGATGATTGCCAAGAGTCGGCCAAAACAACTACATTTAATTCAATACCTATGAATACAACTAATACATTATCACCAAATAAATCAAGTAAGAATAAATCTATGTTAACTCTTACGCAACAACAATATAAATGTACTAACACAAATAAAATTTATGTCAATATTATTCATATGCACTACATTGCACGACTATTAAATATCGTTTCTGTTTTGCATGCATATATCTTCAACTAATAACAAACATTATTCTATTCCTGATGCTGTATTGAGAGAGAGAGAGACAAGAGAAAACATATGATCATAATCATTCTAAGAATACTTTGCTGGTTTTTATTTATTAGTTGAATATTAACTATATGTATTCATATATTTTATCGACATGTTTATTTTTAGTTTCAAAAGAGAACGATCTAGATTCTAATGGATCATCGCTTGACACCGATCTAGAAGATAATACATCTCAGTCTCAAGATAGTCATCAATATCCAGATCCATCACTAGCTACACCAGTACCAAATTCAGTTTTGATCACTTCACAAGCAATGAATCATGATGATATTCGTAATGTTTCATTCACTGAACCTGGTGATTATCTACCAAGTGATCTATCACATTTTCATCTTCATACAAATTCTATTACTGATCCAAATTTAAATCATCACAATGCATCATTATTTAATAATACGGTTAATAATAATAATATTAATGAGCTTCATCATGAACAGAATTTTTCGTATTGCTCCGCTACATCCAATGATCGATTACTAGTTCGGAAACGTTCAAAAGCAATAAAAACACCATCGTCATTATTATCAGCATCTAATGACCCTACTTATGATCCAAATGGTGATATTAACTTTTTATACGATCTCACCACACCACCAACAGTAAATCGACAATCTCTATTGTCACAATATACTCACAATCCTAATTATTTCCATACCGATTGGAACGAACGACCATTATTACCGATTACATCAATATCCAGCGTATTTGATCATACTAAACCTGAAAATGGGCAACAAAAGCTCCTACCATGAGATTATATATAGTTATGTATATCTCCGCCATTTGTTTTTTTCGCAATGTACAAAAAGAAAAGAAGCAATCTGCATCATTTCCTTTGTTTCCGATCGTATCTTTTTTTCTCAACTCTATTTATATTTGCATGTCTTTCCATGGTACCACCATTATCATAAAAACAATAAGAGATTTTTTTGCAGTTATATGTTGTTTTTTTTTGCTCCTGTTTCTTTCTTCTTTTTATGGTTAACACTATTATTATTGTCGCCGTCATCATCCATGTACGCTCGTCTGCATATTTTTTGGCAGATGTATTAGAATGTGTGCTGTATTTTTATTTTTTATTTTTTATTTGTATAAGCGTGTGTATGTGTGTGAAGACGATGTGATTTGATACTAGTAGGCATTCATGTATGAGTATGTATGAAAAAAGAGAGGCAGTATTGATGAAAATCAAAGAATTTACAAGTAAAATTTGATTAATTAAGATTTAAATTACTTAACGATTTGACACATACGATTCACTATTTATATCTCATAACTCAATAAATGCGTAAATCGAATTGATCGCAGTAATACAAGAATTATTTGATGAGAATTTCATTTTTGAAATATTTTTGTTTTCAAAAGAACCATTCTCAAACAGATTTTATTTTTATTTCAAGAATCACAAAATCGTCGATCAAATTCTCATAGTAATATTTTGTTCATTACGTTGTACAAATTTCAGTCGAAAATAAAATCGAGTCGTATAGAAAGAATAAACGAAATGATAGGTCTGTTTCTGTTCGTCAACAAGCGACATATACTTTTTTCGGACGATTCATATTTTTCTTCTCTCGTACTCATAATACACACCTCTCTCGCTTTCAATTTTACCTTCCTGTCAATAGCGGACATTTTCACGAGTACAATCGTTGACCCTTTCCTCTATTTTTTTTCTGTTCATTGAAACAATCACATATATTCGTTGATGGTCTCCTAGTTGAACATGACTCTCATCAAGGTCATAATAGGTACGCCCTATTTTTTTCCACTTAGTTTTTCTTTTTATAATCACTAAGTCTTCTAGGCCTTATATTGATAAATGTTATATTTGTGTGTGATGGTCAGCATATAACACCTGAACAGCTCAGAAAACAAAATGAAATTAGCAATGGAGCCCGATCTCATTACGATATAACCAGTGGTCGACGAACTGATATGTTCAATCGTGTTAATCCGGATTATTTACTTCGAGGTTTTTGTTTTATATTTAATTTAGTAAAAGACGACATACACGTATTTCTTTAGGCTTTTTCCCATTCTGGTCAATAGTATTGATTGGTTTTGCTCTTATGTTTTTGACATTAGCGATGGTTGGAGTTATTGGTTATTTATTAGGATGTCGTCGACCAACACTGGAGGAACTCTATGGAAATGATTTTGAACAAATAACATCCGACAATGAATTTTTATTAGGTACTGGACCAATACTAAACATGAATGATACTAAAATATCGATTCAAAATTCTACTAATGGATTATTTAATAATCATAATCAAAGAGATTTTCAATATGAATCATTATTACTTATTGAACGAACACGTATTGGACAAAGTCATGAAGATATAGTGTAAATAAAATTGTTGTTAAATGTTCATTCTATTATTCATAATTTCAAAAAATCGTTTATTGACTATTAGTAGTCAGTCATATAGTAATCACAAAAACAAGAGCAATGTATAGAAACACGACTTGGTATTATTTGATAAAAGTTTTAAAAAAGCAAAGAAACTTGGAAAAAACAAACTCCTGAATTTCATGTAAATGTAGAGATATGGAAGAGGCTTATTCTTGTTTTTTTTCTGCACCAACTGGGTGATAATAAATTTATTCTTTGCTGGATCACAATGAGTTATGATAAGAATATTAATAAAAAAATTGTTTGGGCCAAATAACATTATTTATTCAAGTGACAATGTCATTGTGTGATTGTCGGATAATAGAACAAAAATAGGTTAACAAAAAAAAATAATAATACACCAACCTAGAATGATTCTGTTCTTCAGAACTTTGTGATTGTTGTCAAACCCGACGTTCAATTTTTTGGTTGTAACGTTTTTTATTCCAGAAAATGATCACTAAAGAATCTGAATTTAGTATAGATGTTCGATTTTAATTATTCCATTTCATTAGAATGCTCTTTTTATTAACTTGTTGTCCGTAAGATATTTTGAAAATGTCCAATAAACCTATTCGCAACAAAAAGATGTGAAATTTAACAAAACTTAAATATGTTCTAGTTATATTTAAATTCACAAGGTTTCCTCTCTATCAAACCACAGATTTTTATCTTGAATAAAGCAATTTATCTACTAGTAAAAATTCGATGCTGTTAGCTTGATCTCTTGACGAATGTTAATCATTAACTCTTGTTAATCGAATTGTATGCCTCGTAAAATAAATTTGAAATAATAATTTATGCTTTTCGTTGATAATGATTTGTCTACATATTAATGAGTTGATCTCTTTGTCACTGAGAAAATGATTCAAGTATTTTGATATGATGACTTTCATTCGTATTTGAATTTATCTATGGATATTTAAACCAAATGCTTTTGATCAAACATTTGCGGAACGATCATACATTGAATTACTAAAAATATTTATATCATTACACATGAGACTAATTAGAAATGTTTCCTTTTAAATTTATTATTTAATAAAACAATCAATAACTTTATTGATTTATTCATGTGATCTTTTCGCTTTGATAACATATCAAATCCATTGAAAAGTGAACATAATAATATCAATATTATATTTATATCATTCGTTGTTTTAATGATCCATAGGTGAAGAAAAGTATTTGAAACATATTCCCATATTTAGTCAAGCAACAAGAAAACGAATACTTTTTTTGCAACTTTTGTTTGTTCATGAGAATGATTATTCGATTTAGTCAGCACTGAAACAAATAACGGTTTGAATACGAATTTTATGTTAAGTCGTACTTATATTGCTGAAATAAGTCTACTCTGGCAAATAGATATTTACGTCATATAATAATAATAATAATAATACTTGATTTGCCAGTTTCGTTTACTGCTGTGCAAGCGTGTTTTTGGACAAATACAATTGAAGAGAACCAATCGGTATCTTCTTCATTATAAATAGAAGGTTTTAGCATACACTATAAAAAAATGAAGTCAATGATAATGCATGATTAAGATAAACATGATTCTCTTATGATGAATTGCAGAAATTTGTTTTTCAATTGATTCCACAAGGTTTCTGCTATGGTTTACAAGAAGTTCAAATTGGTATAACAAAAGGCTTATTTCGGAGAGATTTTCGCGTCGATCATTTTGGTTGTAGAAAATGGATAGTTTTTTTACCCTAACTAAGAGCAAAATCAGCAAAATATCGAAGAATGTACTTTTTTTGGAATGTGATAATCATTCATCGTATAGATGTCTTCTCAATTGAAATATTTATTACAAATTCAAGTAGGTCAACAAGAAATCTTTAGATAAAAACTTCACGACTAAAACTTCCGTGCAACACGATGCATCTAGTTTATGTATTTTGTAGAATTATGTAAGCAAGTTTTCTTGGACATATAATGTCAACGGTAAGACTACAATGACTTTTCATAGGTTTTTAATCGCATTTTGAGATTTATTTGTATATGCTTCATGAAAAAAGATCGTTGTGACATTCATAAACAGCATGTCAAACAGCATGAAATAAGTCTTTTTTTGTGTTAGTTCTCTTGATCCTAGTTACTATTTTTACGTTCTATTATTCTTTCAGGATTATGTTATTCTCGTAAAGTTCTGTCTTTTGCCTTTCGTTCGTTCTCAATTATCCTGATATGACCAGACCTGCGACTAGTAAGTGAACAATACTTCAAGTAAATCAATCAATTCGATAGAGCAGAGCCACTTTTATTGAACTACATATTAGAGTCAGCAGTATAGCATGAACTTTTAGTAAACTTATGAATCAGTGGTTTTCATTTCGATGTTACAAATTGTCCTACTCAAATTCTTAACGATTATTTCCATGAAGAAAACATTAATTCCAAGTAAATTGATTAGTACAGAAAGTTTCACCCCGTGACTCTATTTGTCAATGATTTAAGTGTGCTCATCGCAACAATGTAAAAATTCGAATAGAATCATGTGTCTATTATCTTTTGAAAGTGGTAATTCCATGATTATTCTATACGACATCAAGCTGATCTAAGAATTTATTTGATAGCAAGTACAAGATTTTGTTGTTAGTTACAACGTGACTCATTGTGTCTTAAAAATAGATTGAGAAAAAAATCTTAAAGAAAACAAGATTTACCATGGCGATTTACTTCAAGTCTTACTGATTTATTAGTTTTAAGTTTTTGTTTTTATAAGATCTATTACTTACGGTGGTATCTGTCAGCGAAGAAATTCAACTAAAGTATTCATATCGTCAACCTTGTTTATTTTTTATTGTAAATCATCTTGAAAATTAAATTTTGCCTTGATCAAATAGAACAGGATTTCAATATTATTGCAAGTTTTTTTTCTCGAGACGACTTCATTCATGTAAATAGAAATTAAATGAAAATGGTCAATATAGAATTATTATAATTTTTTAAACAAGTAATGTCCTTCGACTAGGTCATAGGTTTGGATCTATATTTAAAGCAAAACAGAAAAAGAAACATTTAATATTATTACTGATTTTTGTTTGTCATTTTATTGATTAAATCAAGTGAAAAATAAAATAAATTCTTCATGTTCAAGTTTGTCATATTTCTTCAAGTTATTTAAAATAACAATACCAGCTATATGGGATTATCGTACAAAGAAGGAAAAAACAACAGCGGACTTTCGCGTTTGATTCAATCAGCCTTGTCTAATGGAATATAGTTTACGCATGACAGAAAACTTGAGCTTTGTCAATATGATGAGTGCGACAAATGAAACTATTTACTATTTATTTATATTCTAGTTGTTTATTTTAATTTCAGTAGGAAAAAAGAGCTTGAGATGAAATTCGACTAGCCATTAAATTCATTAAGAAGTCATATCCTTGATTAATGAGCAAAATAGAAATGTGTGTTAGATACTCAAAGAGTACTTTTTCATTTACTATAAAAACATAACTCATTTTGATGCTTTTTTTTATTGCATATACGTATATAATGACAGATAATAGTGATATTTGTTTATTTCCATAAAAAAATCTTTAATATTAATGTTAATCCTAGAATATATTGATATGCGAAATTTTAATTTTTTTTAACCTAGATTATATGCATCAGTTGAATGTACTGTTTTCACTTGTGTAAGTATTCTTGTCAATCCTTACCGGATTTGTACTCTTTGGAAAGACTTATTTATATATTTATATTCTGTGAAAAATCTAGTTAAATTATTTATAAATAAATTCTTTTCTTGTATTCACTTTCTCAATATTATTGATATTCAAATTTATTTAATTATTATAGTTATATTTAGAAGAGCACAAAAATTTTTATTCGACATCTTTTCTCTCCTATACATACGTCTATAATCTATTACGTTATGCGTAATTATAAATATCATTTTATAGAGTTCTCTTTTTCTATTCTTGTACACATGTTTAAAAATAAAATATACAATTGACAGTGAATAGTGTATAATGATTGAAAATGTTTGGCTTTGACGAAGGTATTTGAGAAACTATAAAAAGTACATAAAGACATTTCTGAAAATAGAATGAACTCAAAAATTGATAATATCTACGTCCAAGAAATCAAACGTTTTCCATTTTTTACTTCTCTTCGATGATTTCTTATTTCATATTATTAAATAAGAAGAAGAAAAAACGGTGAGACCTGAACATTGAAGAAAAACATCGCATAAGAATTCGTAGAAATGCTTCTCAATTTGTTTCGAATTAAAAGGTAATCACGATTGTTGCAGTTACTGCAGTGTAACGCCCCTCCTTTCTTTTTCTCAATTTTCTTTTTCACTCTCTTTCGGTCTCCTTTCACTTGGTATTCTTATTCAGTTGGTCGTGTCGACGACGACACGAAGGCAACAACAAGCATAATATGAATTTCTCTTTTTCATATTATTTTACGGCATCACAATGCCATCGATTCTGACGTTAGATTGACGGCAAAGCTTGCAAACAACTTCGACGTTGGCACTTTTTTTTTCTCTTTCTTTCAGATTTTTTTCTCAATTTTATTGTTTTTCCGTGTGTATTTGTATCTCAAGTTGAAAGAATTCATTCTCTCCTTTTCTTTTATTATTCTTCGTCTTCTTCTTCTGTTCTTTAAACTTGCTCTTTCACAGAACTCAAAGTAACAATGAAGAAGAAGAACGACGACAGGTAAGTATAGTAGGTATGCATGAATATGTATTGAATTTTGTGAGAAACTACGAGTGAGAAAAAAGTTTCAAGTTCACGATAGACACCATCGTTATTTGTATGTGAGTGGTGTAACGTTCATAAGCCCATGTCCATATATATATATACTCATTTATCTATCCACTTGACGTAGATTCTCGACTTCTTACTGGACAAATACTTCAATCTAAGCTTTTACAATAGGAAAAAAAAGATGATGAGAACTTTTTTCTCTTAATTCTTAATTTTAGACTAAATCATAATTTTTGTGCGCATGATATTACATACATCGTATTCGCTGTATAAGAGATAATGACCAGTGTATTAAAAGATAATGGAGGCGGTGGACAGCCATTACTATTATTACCCACAGGCGAGCAACAGATTGTTGTATGTATTTTGAAATTTTCTCTTTGCGATTATTGTACTTATGATTGTTTTTTATTCCCGTCAAGGTTGCTTGTCGTATTCGACCAATGACAGAAGAAGAAATTCTGCAAGGTGGTACCATCATTGCACATAAAGTAGCCGATGATAATGTAAGTGTGCGTATTATAGTTTAAAGAGCGAAAAACAAATCTTTAGATGGTTGTTCTGCTTGATCCTGAAGAAGATCATGATGATGTTTTACGTGCTAATAGATCTCGTGAACGAAAATACGTTTTTGATGTTGTATCCGATGCTCGTGCTGATCAACAAGAAGTTTATTCATCAACAGCTAAAATGCTTTTGGGTAGTGTTCTAGAAGGTTACAATGCAACCGTATTTGCTTATGGAGCTACTGGTAGTAAAACAGAAACATTGAATGAAGTAATTTTGCACTGTTTTTGTCTGCTTGATTTCTAAATAGGGGCTGGAAAAACTTATACTATGTTGGGTACAGAAAATAATCCAGGTGTTATGTATCGTACATTACATGATTTATTTGTTGAAATAAAAAAATTTACTGGTAAACGTGAATATCAAGTCTCAATGTCTTATTTAGAAATCTATAATGAATTAATACGTGATTTACTTGCGACATCTTCGTCTTCTTCTTCGTCATTTCTTGAATTACGTGAAGATGCAAAAGGTACAATACAAGTTGCAGGTCTCAGTGAAGTTGTTGCTAAAACTCCTGAAGAAGTTATGGAAATGTTACATAAAGGAAATCGTGCTCGTACACAAGAACCAACTAAAGCGAATAAAACATCATCACGATCACATGCAGTTTTACAAGTTAATATTAAACAACGTGATGTAACTAGATCACATACAGAACAAGTTCGATTCGGTAAAACATTTTCTACTTTTTAAATTCCAGCAAGATTTTTATTTTATCATTCGTTTTTGGTTTGGTTTTATTTTATTTTAGCGAAACTTTATATGATTGATTTAGCTGGATCAGAACGAGCAGCACAAACACAAAATACAGGGCGTCGAATGATGGAAGGTATTGAATTGTTCTGAATTCGAGTGCAGAATTCTTTTTGAAATTTGCAATGATATAAAATTTTGTTTATTTTTTGATTCAAATTCGATGAAAAGAAAACAAATGTTAACCTTATGAATATGTCAATAAAACCAAGATAAACTCTTCAAAATTTTCTTATTTACTTTTCTGTTCATAGGTGCTCACATCAATCGATCATTGCTCGCTTTGGGAAATTGTATAAATGCTCTAAGTGAAAAGGGCACTACAAAATATGTTAATTATCGTGATAGCAAATTAACACGAATATTAAAAGATTCTCTTGGAGGCAATTCTCGTACAGTTATGATTGCACATATTTCACCAGCATCTGTACATTTTGAAGAATCTCGAAATACACTTAATTATGCTGATCGAGCAAAATATATTAAAACAAAAGTTTGTTGAATTTACCTTTTTCTTTAATTTCTATAAAATAATTGAAACTCATATTGATTATTAGATTCGCCGAAATGTGATCGACGTATCCTATCATATAGCACAATATCAACAGATAATACAAGACTTACGTAATCAAGTTCAATTGTTACGTGATCAACGAGATGAACTTGAAATACGTCTAGCAGCAACAAATGAAGCTCGATTCAGTAGACTCAGTGGTATGTTTTATTGCCAGACGAAACTATTCTTTATTTGATATTTAATCTTTTTTTTTGAAAGAAAACAAAAAAGACCTCGTTCATCTTACATTGAACTAGACCCCATTGAGGCATTGAAAAGTCTTGAATTCTTATAAACAAAATCACACATGATAGAATTTATTTCTAATTTTAACCTTGGAAATACATTAACGTACCAGGAAGCAAATGATTTTTTCCATAAACATCGATTTTCCACTTATTTTACTTTATTGAGAACAAAGAAAAAATTCGCTTGTTCTACTAAAGTGTAAAATAGTCTTGAAAATAGAAACAATCAATTGCAATTCATTTACGAATAGAATTAGAAATGAAATCGATCGTGACTCAATGAGTTCATTGATACTCATCGGATTCATGATCATAATCTCTTAGTAATTTGATATTGCGTGTAAAATAATAGAGATAAGAAGATGAATAAATTCCAAACAAAACCGTATATATATATATATATATTTAATCATTGACAGATATCTTGTTGAAAAAATCATGAAATAAAACAAAATTGAATTATTCATTTCTCTTTATTGAAATAGATAATAACACAACGGAACGTCTTCGTATTGAAGAAGGCTTAAAGTTGAAAGAAAATATTCTACAAGTGTATCGTAAACAAATTGATGCTCGCCGAGCATTATTGGAAATAGATACTGGACTCATGGATGTTGTTCATGAATGTACACGAAATGAATCAGTTATTGAACAGTAAATTGAAATTGAAATTGAAATTTTGAATATGATTTCTATGAATTCTATTCTCTAGTCATGAATCAAATAAAGAAAATAGTCCACGTAATAGTAAAAAATCATCTGAAGAAATGGCTGCTGATGCTGCTACATCGGATACTGCTGTACAACGAGCACGAGCTGAATTGCGTGTACTTGAACAAGAACGTTCAAAATTAGACAAACAACGTAAAGCACAATTAAAAGATTTCGAAGCGTCAAAAGGTGATGCACGTCGACTACTGGAAGTTAGTAGAAGATTATTTATGAAAAATAATTGTCATTATCTTGCGGATTGGTTTGTTTTATTGTAGAAAGTAAGAAAAAAAATGAGTACTACCGAACAACGTGAATTATTGAGATTATTAACACAAAATTTCGAATATGAAATGAAAACTATTGAATTACAAGCTGATATATTTTCTCGAGATTATTCGATTAAGCACAAAGATTTACAATTGTTACGTATGTCACAACATCGTAGTTTATGTGATACAATAATTTATCAACAACGTAAAATTATTCAAGGTAAGTCAGGTTTATTTTTATGATTACGATTACCAACGGTTTCATTAGATAGAAAGCTGAGAGAGAACACAATTTTCCCAAGAGTCTTTGACATGCAAAAAAAAGGATTATTTTAATGTTTTGAAAGAGATCAACATTTCTTTCAGACATAAATTCCATTGAATATTTAATTGGCTTCAAGTGCCTTTCTCTTCTTTTGAAAGAAAAGAAAACGTTAATCTACCGTATTTATTCTCTAAACGTGTATAAACATTCATTCACCATGACACGTAGTTACTGACAAATCTTGAAAGCTGTTGCTAAAACATTTACTCTTATACCAAAAGAAACAGATTCGTCCTGCCTTTAACTGCATTTTCCCATGGTTTGCATTAGACTCTTTCTAAGAAAAACAGTACAGTTTTTTAAATCTTCATCTTTTAATGCACTTTAGCCAACGGTACATTTTTAAAAATTCAAATAATGTAAACAACAGGGTACAACAATGTCAAAATACATTCTATCGGACTACATTATGCCGAGATCTTTGAAAAATACAGAACGCTCACTTACACCATATTAGAAGATCAATAATCGCGAGGCACAGAACTAAATGTCGAAAATTGAAAAGTTTCAGTCACTTCTAGTGAATGACTTAGAAGAACACGCTTATTATAGTGTTTTCGTGCATAATGCTTTATATACAATAGACCTGAATAATTTGCAAATGTGTAGCATCAAGTATTTTTTAGTTACGTTCATACATATGTTTATGCTAAAATTAATCTTTTACTTTTTTATTCCTATAGTCAAAATCTAGCGCTATGTTTTGATGATCTCTATGAATTTATGCTCTTACTATTATAATTTCTGCTGACCATAAAAAATTAAAATGCTCGATCGCAAGCATATTGAGTTTTATTTCTATCATTTAAATAGGCAACTTTTGTTTTGGCTTATCAGCTGAGATAAAATAAACCACTTCAAATAGATGTCGATAGATATTAATACTAAAAAACTCCGGCATATAAAAGTTTTGTTTTCTACCAACAAGTAGATTTAATCTATAGACGATAATCTTTTGAGTTTTTGGTTATGAAATGAGCTCCTCAAGATAATTTCTATTATTTTAGACAGTAAAGTGTTGATTCCATATGATCTTGGAGAACTTTATCGGTTATATTCCCGAGACGTTGATGAAGGTCTACTGATGCATGATCTTAAAGGTATATTAAAATGTTTTTCATCTTCGATTTGTCTATACAATGTTGAATATTTCTAGTTCATTCACCACATTCAATAAACGGTAGTAATAATTCTAATAAATTGACTGTACCAACAACATTACCATTTCTATCACAAATTGCCGAAGAAGATTTAACAAGCGCTTCAACATCAGTAACCAGTTTTCATTTACCAACTAATGTTTCTTCTCGGCGTCCTAATCCAACAACATTGTTTCCACATCGTACATTATCCGATCAGGACTTGTTTACACATGTTAATGATTTTACAAATAATCAAAATGAAGTAGGACAATACTTGTCGTCTATTACAACGAATAAGCCAATATCATATGCGCATTTTAATTTCGATCAATCACCAAAACAATTAACGAAAGGAAATTCAATGGTTAGTATGAGTTCTGAAAGTGTTGATGTACCATTATATAATGGTGATGCAACGAATAATAATGCAACACGTCGTAAAGTTCATACAACTTCACCGCCCAATGATTCAGCTGCTGAAGCATCTCCATCATTATTTAAAAATAGTAATGTTAGAAATAAAGTTAGACTAAGAAAACAAACACAAAATATTGCTGCACGTGCTGCACAACGAAGAGCAAATCTTCATCATAAAGAGTTAATGGAAGATATGGGTATGCAATTTTAATGATAATAATAATTAATAATAATAATTCATTAACACTATTTATTAGACCCAGCTTTTCCTGCTGAACCTGTTGTATCCAAAGAAAGCAATGCTAGCGCATTTGGTCTTGAAATTACCGGTGTTAAACCGAAAAAAACAGTGACAATTTATGATCCAACAGTGGTGTGTAACTAACGTTAAGTTTTTCTTTAACTAGGAGATTCCATCGTAAAAGTTCAATATTAAAGTCGAAATAGATGAACAAAAAACCAATTAAGTCAATCCAATCAGAGAGTAAATGCAATTCATAGTACTATCTACTGAACCATTGTTGACAAAGTTACAGGCAATTCGTTGATTATCTCTCGAAAAATCATAGAGCATTTTTTAAATATAATGTTCAGTTAGAATCTTGACAAACTCTATTTTTTATCATCGTTCACGTAAATAATACACATCTAAAATCTAAATCAACACTAGACTGAGCAGTTTCCTTAGTATTTCGTTAATGCATAGTGATATGTAATGTCGTTAATATTCAACAAAAATCAATTCCTACTGGGACTGAGATCAAGAAGCTAAAGTTGATTATTTACATCTCTACTATTGATTGTTTCACATTCATCATATAATTGCTTTTTCTAGTCTTCATATCGAGATGAATTACGTCGCACGAATTCGGATTCACCTGATCTTATTAAAAATCAAACGACAACGAATGGTAAAAACACACATCTATTACTTGTTTGAATATCGTTTGTTGTCAATACTCTAGAGTCGTCCAATTCAACATCGTATAATCGTACGGCAAAGAATATGAATAAAAAACGATCGATTTGTAAGTTATTGATTTTAATCGATTGATATTTTCTTAAATTTTGCTTTTTAGCTCATGGTTCAACAACAAATAATCGTTCAAATATGCCAATGGCTAATACTGTCGTACCACGATAAAATTACAAAAAAATAAAAAATAAAGATATTTTGCATTTTTTTTCTTTTTAAAAAAATTACTACTTGTACTATATCCATATATATTTTTATTGACGAATGGATAATTTCTTTAGAAAAAACGAATCATTTGCTTTTTTTGTTATTTTTCCTTTTTGATTATGTAATAATTTCTTTTGTCTGATTGACACTGAAAATTTCACCATCGAAAGAAACTATGATTGATGGTCGTTCCTGTTTTTTGATTGCGATTTAAATATTTTAAACATTCAAATAGTGTTTTTTGGAAAAGAAAAACATTGAATGATTTAGCGTTAATAGAAAGACTGCGAAATCCCAGGTGGTACAAATACACTAAAAGAAAGAACAACTATGCCTTGACAAATTGTTTTAGTGATTGATTATTAGTTCTCTGAGACAGTTTCATCAGTAATATAGTATTGGCTATCGAAGTCTTTGAAAGTATCTGATTATTAGATTAGATAGATGCTATTAGTCCCTTAAAATAAACTAAAGTAAGCAGTAAGAATTGAATGGAGAAACGAAACATTTTTGTTTATTGGTAAAATTATATATGAACAATTATGATTGAAATTTCAATATCATCAGAATAGAATAAGCATAAGCACATACTACAGAATACTAGAGATCCTTACTGATCAGAGGTTGGAATATGGAATTCTTTTTCTCAATCTTGTCTAACATAATCCGAAGACTTGAACAATCAGAATAGAGTAAACTCATGGAGTATTTTTATTAGATTCATGAAAACAATAGCTGAATATGTATCAAGCATTTTTCCTATTCACTTATATTAATCTCAAGCATGTGATAAGATATTCTTAATTCAACTGTTGCAAGTATAGGCTCGTTCACTAAATTGAAGCTAAAAGAAGTAGAATTGGAAGAAACATAAATCCTTATTTATATAGAGAATGACACTTTCAAATCTTCTTTTATTGCATTTACATTGTACGGCAATTTAAAAAATCTATGTGATTAGAAAGAAATCATAGGAATTTAAAAAAACAGAAAACATCATTGATAGCAATCAAAAAAATAGTTTCATATCTTTATCCATTGAATGATTCCTAGTTGAATTGCAGTCCCATTAATTATATAGTCATCTTGCGTATTGAAATGCGTCCTGTCTGAATTACGAATCCATGCGAAATTGCTTTCATATTTAAGCCCTTTATTGAATCTTCTCAAGTGATGCTAAACTCGAATGAATGAGAAAAAAAGTTGATATATTCAAAGCAAAATACTAACATTCATAATAGGAAATTCCTATATGATGTATCCGCAATTCTATTCATGAAAAGACTTTCATAAAGTAGTAGGCATCGAAACGTAGAACAGGTGTTTATCTTTGAAGTAAAGCATGTTATTTTAAAATTCTTTATACCATATAAAGTAAAATTTTAACTTCAACAAATTTACTCAAGTATTTCAAGTTTCTAGTTATGTTTTTCATCAAAGTAATGTACAAAACCTAACAGAAATATGTGTCATCCAGGTCTTAAAATTCGGCTTTGCACGCGTTTACATCTGCTAGCAGGTTTGTGCGGAATTATTTTAAAGAATAATAGTATGTACTATTGCAGAGATGTGCTCGATAAGAAATGTTTAGGAGCGTGGGTCTCTTGTCATTTGCATTGGTACAGAAAAAATCTTATTCAAACATATCACCGACAGTCAATCTTTCGTTTTCTTATTATTTACTGAATTCCCGTTCCTTCAAAATTCTTAACGAGGTAGCGTCATTATTTCATATTAAATATCTTTTGTGCTAAGAATGACTCGTCCTTTTTTGGTTGTGCCAGTGTTGTCGACCTTTGTTTGCATACATGTTGCATCTTTTTTTCATTCTACTTCTTTTTGTCTACTGATGATGCAACACACTATGTATTTCCCCCCCCCCCCCACCCCTATCTTCCTTTTTCTTTCTATAAATTACTATAGTCAAATCCCACTGATTACTGTCTTTTCCATTTTCTTCCATAGAGTTGCTATAATGTCTTCGCACGCATCGAAAACTATTAATTCGATTGGAATTATTCGCCATTGACGGGATTGAAAGATTTTCTGTTTGCTTGGATTCAATTTTGTTCACATCTATTCAAAAGAAAACTAGCTCTGATTCGAACTCGGTCCGATTCAAGCAACCCTTATTCTATCGAATCAATACTAAATACTAAATGAAAAATTATCTCTCCTGATTCACCTAGTTTAAATATTGCAAAGGTAACTAGATTACCTGATTCAAATGATATTAAATCGCAAGATTTTTTTATGTGAATTTACAATACTTTAAATATTGATAGCCGCTGTTTTGTTTTTGAATATATATTTGGAGCAAAAACATTCATTCTTTTAGTTTAATTTAATCGGTCGTTTCTGCATGAGTACTCATGATAATTGTTTCTTTATGTCTCAGTTTCCTACGGAGCGCATTCTGTGTAGTTGTAAGATTTAATAAAATAGCATAGAATCATCTTCAAATGAGCTACGATCAGATTGACTTATTCTAGATTATTTAATTCAACTACTTCTGCAAAGCGTTGTTAGGAATTTTCAACAAGTTGACCCATCATGTTGTACATAGTTTTAACGTGAACATAAACTGTTGACAACCGTGTTAATCAGTCTAAAAGTATAGGCGCTGCCATATTACCGATTAAAACTAAGGTTTATTTTTGTTCCCAGAAAAAAGTTCTTAGCATAATCATACTCATATTCATTCAGATATATTTAATGTCAATAAGAATTGTACTTAATAATAAAGTCTGGTGTGTATTCTTCGACGAACAACCACTTACAATTAATAAGTATGCCGTCCTACCCTTCGTACTTGAAAACCTATCATGAAGGTTTTATAAATTTATTTATTCATAATAATGAGTTCTCCTTTTTATTTTTATGTTTTGTTATTTCTAGTTATTTAAGTTGTTTTATATTTTATCATGATAAAAAGTTTCAGTAATAAAACATTCTTCGGCAAATTTTATTCATCATAAGAGTTATCATTTTTTTCTAGAGCGACATAAATGAGTTTACACATCATGAAAATTTGATGTGTAGTCATTGAGTTTATAAAATAAACTTGTCTAAAACAATTTTCGCTTTTTGATTCATTGTTTAAAAAGTTCTTATTACGTTTACGAAAGATAGAGGAAAATCATTCAAATAAGTCTTTATCATTTGATTATAGTAGCCTATTTCTTAACTACCAATTATTTATTAGCTAAGATGTGATTTGGATAACAATCTGTTCTTTTTTACTAGAATCAAGAAAAATCATCTTCTGTGCAGAAGCTTAACTGCATGATAGATGTCATTAATGATTATTCTATAGTATACGAACATTGAAAAAACTGTTAGAAAAACTTTTATTTCTCATAAAAAATATTTTGCTATCAAGCATCGAAATTTTAACAAGTGTTTGCTAAGAAAAATCCTGATTGGTTCTTTTCGAGTTTCCTATGAAATTTATTTTGTTTACTTGTTTTGAAAGCTGATATCTAATTTTGTTTTTTTTCTGTTGTTCCGTCCTGATGTTCCTATCTTTTTGACTAATTATCTGTCCTACCTCTATAACCCTATTAACCATAGCTTTTAATAATCACTTCAACGCATAATACACTGCGATAATAGCTTCTTTTTCCTTGTAAGATATATGTAAGTCAAAATTTGTAGTAATATCTTGTTATTTCTGCATGGTTTTTCCATTTGAGAAAACATCTTTTTTTAACGAAAATCTGCAACAATTGAATGGAGTTAAGACTTCAGTTTCTTCAACTGCAGCTAGCCTATTAGTTTATATGCATATTTGATGCGTACATTACTCAATTCGACTTTTTGACACTCATTTCAAAGCATAATAAATGCCTCCCGCGAAATCTTAGTTTGGATAAAGAATTGAAATTAATTTACTGAGAACTTAATCAAAACTACAGTTTCTCAGTAATCAACCAATGTAGATACATACGGATAACTAGTTGAATGACTCATGGCCTAAAAATAGAAGAATGTCATGCTTTTAATTAGTTGCCTGCACCTAACAAACTGAAGACTTGAAAAATACAATTTGTCAAAATAAACATAGCGTTAGCTCAAGTTATTATTTGCGATCATGTTATTGCACTACGATTATAATGGCGAAGTTGAAGAACAAAAAATCTAGTTGTACAAGTAGTGTAAGCTATAAATTAAAAAGATTATATTTCTGATAGAATAGAATAAGTTCCTTCTATTAGTGGACGTCTAAGAAATAAACAATTTGCTTTTTTTTCTTTATCAGCAGCTTAATATGTGTAGAACTGTACAAAATAAAAGATCTTTCGAAAATTCGACTTGCGCACATTTCAATAGGTTACCAAATGGTAGATATTAAATGTTATGGGTAAATATAAAAGGATCAACTAGAAACATGATTGTTCTATGAGATTGATATGTCTTTTTGTATAAGAAATTAGTTATTTCTGTAATGTTAGTCATATAAATAGCATCGATAAATTCGTTTGAATGTTGATATATAACCACGTCATGACGCTTGTCGTCCATTGATATAAACATATGAGAAAAATGTACTCAATAATATTCAAAAGTTGAACTAAGTTTGAAACTCCATGTGGCATGTTTGCTGGGTACTATCATTAACATACGTAGTGTACATTGTATTCGGTTTCAATCACATAGATTGCTATCAGTTTTCTTTTCTTATTTTGATAATATTAATAATCGGCGACATCGAGCTAGACTAGATCAATAATCTATTACTTGTTAATGATCGTATTTTCTATTTTAAATAGATGATGAACAATACTGATGGAGAAAGTATCACCAGTCGTATCACAGGAATGGTTGCTGAATTCGAGCAATCACGTGACCCTGAGTCAACTGAAATTGGTCGACAATTTATAGTAAAATTTCGAGATGTTACTAAATTATCTATCTTTTGTCTTTATCTCTTTCAGCAATTACAACGAATAACGATGGCAAATAAAGATATCCTATCTTGTTATGAAGGTGCCAAATTAATAAATCGTATAAAAAATCGTTATAGAGATATCTTACCGTGTAAGTTAGTATGTAACAGAAGATTATTTTTCTATAAATAATGATTAATTTTTAGATGATCGATATCGAGTCATTCTCCCATCAGACGATGATTCGGACTATATTAATGCATCTTTTATTCAAGTAATAACTGTTTATTTTGATTGAGTAATATTTCATTAAATTAAATTATTATTTTCATTAAGGATTTATATGGTTATCCTCGATATATTGCAGCACAAGGACCAATTGATGCATCATTAAAAGATTTTTTTCATATGATTTGGACTTTTCAAATAACATCAATCATTTGCACAGCAATTGATAATGAAGCTGGACGAGTAAGGATTTTCCGTATTTAAATCTTTTTATTGCATGATTTCATTTGGGTTTTAGATGAAATTTCGTCGTTATTGGCCAGATGATGAAGAAACACTTCAATTTGGTTCTTATCAGATTACTAAAGTAACTTTATTTTTCTTTCGAATTCCATTTTACAACCGATATTCTTTATAGGATCAATCCAGTAATAAAGCCTATAGTTGTAATGATTATGAAGTGCGTCCACTAATAATGATTTGCGGAGAAATTCAACGACGTATATCATTTTATCATTTCCTACAGTGGTTCGATCATGATACACCTGATGATGAATCAGCAATATTTGAGTTACTTTTACGAGTATATGAAGACCGAGATTCGTCAACAAATTCACCTATACTAGTACACTGCAGGTTTAAAAAAATGAAAATAGCTTTAATTTTTATCACACTATTTTAATTTTTCTTATTCAAGTGCTGGTTGTGGTCGAACTGGAAGTATAATAGCAATTGATCTTTGTCGTCTGCTTTTAAATGATGAGGTATATAAGCAAAGTCTATTTGATTTTGAGATTTGGATCAAATGAATAGTATCTGTTTTGTTTTGTTTTCAGCAATTATTCTGTAGTAAAGAGTATCAGTTATATCCGGTATTTAAAGTAGCGACCCATATTCGTCAATTTCGGATGGCATTGATTCAAACACCGGTACAGATTGTTATTTTATTTTTTCAATTGATTATTAGAATATAAATATTAATAGAAGCAATACGCATTCGTTCATAAAATGTTTTTGTTTATTATGAAAATACATGGAAATATTTTATTGCGGTCTATATTAAATAATGATGAAGATGAAACATGTAAGTTTATTTTATTCTAGAACAATGAGTTTTAAACTCGATAATAGAATTTCTTATAACAAATGTGTATATTGCGGCAGAGAGAAAAAAATAATATTTTCGTATAATTAAATAGAATTTGAGTTTATTTTTGATTCGCACGCAGAAAAGATCCTTTTGTATTGTCACTCTTTGCGAATGATTATATCGATGAAAAAATTTAATCTAACTTATATGTCCGTTCTTTTTCTTTTCGTATATATACTTGTTGTTTACTATAGTTACTTATATCATATCTTTCGTTCTGTCAAGTATTTTACCTCGTGATTTTGTTAGGTTTTTTCCTTTCGTGCAATGACTTTCGTATTTTATAACGTTAATTTATCACTCAAAAAAATTTTCCATTTTCCTTTGAGATGTAATGCATATTTTGACGAAAATTTTCACTCGATAAGTTGTAAATGATGATAGAATTGATATAGAAAAAATCTTCAATCACTACCATTTACATTCGTCTGTATGATTATATATTAATTTAATACGAAACTATTTTCTTTTAGCGGATTCACCATTTGATGCAAAATTATCACCTTCGCCTAGTATACCATCTGTATTACGTCGTCAATCCGGACCATTTCAGATAACACTTCGTGATCCGCCCATACGCCGTCGGTTATTAGATGATAGTAATACCTCATCGCCAGTAATGTCACCATCCGATATGTTTTCATCCATATCGAAGTCTTCTTCATGTATGAATACATCACAAACATCTAAACGATCACCTGTTTCAACTCGTTTTTCTCTGATTATTGCAAGTGAACAAGACAGTACAGATGTATTTATGCATCCAAACGAAAGATTCAATAGAACAATATGTGATGATATGCAATTAAATAATTTACGACGACATGAATCAACGCTATTAAGACATACTCGTTCAGATTCGACTGATGTTTATTCAATCGCACTTTCACAACATTATCATCAAAAGCAAAACTCAAACGACCACGAAGCTTATTCAGATTAAAACTGCATCTATTTATTTTTCTTCGGTGCTATATTTTCATTTTTTGGCAAATATATCAAAACAAAAATGCATTTCAAAAATTAAAAACGAACAGTAATACAATGATTTTTTTTGAGCAAACTTTTTATGTTGCCGTCCTTTGTTAACATTTGCTTTTGTTTCTTTTTGTTCGATCCGGTGAGCATTTATGTTTCTGTGTTTTTTATCTTTTTGTACATGTGCCTCTTTCATCAGAACATCGATTCTTTTCTTTTCCTTCGTATTTCTATAAATATTGAAAAATATCGATTATGAACATATACATAAACATATAAATATATATATATGTTTTATCTATAGATAATATTCAATGGGTAATTGTACAAATTGTGTTCAACAGCAACAATCTCAACAAACTACAAATTTAACATCTGCATCATCACTTGATAATAGTTCACGTTCACTTCGTCGAAATTTATTATCGAATCGGTTTCGAACAACACGCACATTTCAACCGTATACTTTAAATGCACTTATTGATGAAACACTATCAGTTATTCGAACTGTTGTTGATACAGATCAAGAAGCACCACGTGCAATGGTTGCTGTATCACGTATTGCTAATCGTGAAGATCAATGGTTAGATGTGATGATTGCATTAATTGAACGTATACCAATTCATGATCCGTTAGGTGCAACTGTTATTGCATTATTACTTGATGAATGTTCATTACCATCAAAAGAATTATTACAACAATTAATAAAACGCGTTTGTTTAGATAATCGTTCAAGAATGGCATTACTTGAATCGATTATTGATGATTATATTCAAGTAAATAATCAACAATTGCAAAATTCAACTAGTGAAACATATGTGAATAGAGATGAAAAAAATCATTTAAATGAAACAACACCTATTGTTAATGAACAAGAACGAGAAAAGTAAATTGATTTATTATTTGTAACAGAGATAGTTTACTTAAAATAGGACTAAGATTTTATGGAAAATGAAAATTAAGTAAAATAATTCATTCAATATTCTTACAGTATGTCATGAATGTTCGATTTCAGAGACGCCAAAGAATGAGATTTTTCGTCAAAGACAAAGATGAAAAAATTGATTTGATATAGATTCTTGATGAATATGTTGCTTAAATTGTATCAGCACAATTACACATACAACAATGCCAGTGAATTGTCTTTTAGTTATTACCGACACACATTTTAACCGTTTCTTACCGATATGTTACATATATAACGATTACCTATTAGATCGGTGATTGTCAGAACTGCATTTCTAACCACCGTACTAGACATTAGCTATAAACATCTCAAACAAGACTAAGATACCAGTAGAGTGAAATTAGTATCAGCATGGTTCTCGTCTGTAGGCTTTATTTAAAAACAGATATTAATGAAAATAGTTTCAGATATTTTTCATCTATTCTGAAATATGAATAGCGGATTTTCCGATACATACGAGCAACATAGAAACAAAACGCGCTTAATATAGTCATGCGATTGTAACAATGAAAAGATTTCAGTCTTTCATTATACAATAGGTCTCTGTCTAGTTTTTTATTGGAATTCGGAAACTAGTTGTTTTTGTTTTACTCAGACAGCCGTAATGTTTAGTTCAAAAGCATGATATCTTTTTATATGCAGCTAATAGCCTAAAAACGTTTTACAATATTTGCAGGCTATAACGATTCACATAGATTTGACTAAACAGTAATAAGTCAGCTGTTGAAATTTCATCGTTAATATGTTCGTAATATAGATCAGTAATATCGGGTGGTCCAGGTTAAATGTCCTTCTCAGTGTTTTTTTTTCAGTAACTTCATCATTTTCATTTTCTAGGCCTTAGTTTTTTTCCGAAAGATTCACCATTAAATTCTCTATAAGATTAATACGACAATTTTTTCTGTTGAAAGTTGAAGAAAAAAATTAAAAACAGAATATTCAACTAGTATAAACAAACATCAGCTTTCAAAGTGATTTTTAAAACAAACTTTTGCAAATTTTTTATAATGGCACACACAACGAAACAAAAGCAAAGATGTTACTGAGTACTTTGAAGTGTACTCTTTCTCGTCGTATAGCTCAGAACTCGTTGAAATCAAACAGAAGATCGAAAATCTGACTTTTTGAAAATTCTCTTCAAAATAGCTTAAATCAGATATTTGGCGCAAGCTGAATTAAAGGAAAAAAAATTAAAACTAAAATTTCGTGTTTGACTTTGGTACAGTATGCCATTTCAATCAAAAATGGAAAAAAACGAATGCAAAAAATGATATTTTGGCTTAGTTGCGCTTCTTTTCCTAGGAGTATCGAAATTGCAGATTGAAAGAGCTAAATTCTCGCAAAGCTGACAGAGAAGATACTTCGAGTGCGCATTACAAGATTGCGTGTGGAAACTTCTCGATTATGATCGGAAGATACAGCTTTTCATAGGCTACAAAATACCGACATTGTTTAATCTTTATAATCACTGACCAACGAAAAAATTTGCAAAAACTATTTTCCAGCTTTGAAAGTTAATGCTGTTATACTAGTTGAATATTCTGTTTTTAATTTTTTTCCCTCAACTTTCAACAGAAAAAATTGTCGTATTAATCTTAGAGAATTTAATGGTGAATCTTTTGGAAAAAAACTAAGGCCTAGAAAATGAAAATGATGAAGTTATTGAAAAAAAACACTGAGAAGGACATTTAACCTGGGCCACCCGATAATATAGCTATTTTATAACATATATATATATATATATATATCAGTATCATTTATTATTATCATTCAATAGTTGATCGAATAAATTACTATTTACTCTTTCAGAACCAACAAAATACCATCATTTTCAAATATCTATTCATCAAAATGTCCAGCATCTGCAACCAAAACAGTGAATACTTCTAATACACAAAACCAAAACAAACTTGATAGTACTTTACATCGTGAACGTAATACATTAGTTTTGCTTGGTTGTCTAGCTGAGAAACTCGGTTAGCTATCCTATTTATCTTTTTGCTTGTGTCAAACTGAATTCCGATTATTTTCTAGTTGGCCCAATGAGTGCATCAATGTTGAATACAATAGCGTTGGAATTTATTATTGATCGAGTTTATTTAGGTATATATAATTACAGTCAGTTGTTGTCGTTAGATTGTGATAATTCAAATTGTTTATCAAATTATTCGTCTACTTTGAAAATAATTTTATTTGCATTAATTGCTATTGAAAAGTTCTCTCACTCATCAGAATCAAAGCATATTTTATTGAAATCATTAACAATTAATAATGAACAATCAAAAATGAATGTTTTAGAATACTATGAGCCATGGTCAAAATTCAATAATTGTCTTAAACGACAAATTGGTAAGAAGATTAGATTTCAAAAACAATTTTTTTGTTACTTATTTCTTATTAAGGTTTCTATGCTCAGTGGTTACTTGATAATGTATTCATTCTTGATTATCGTCGGCCATCATATGAAGTCATTGATCATCGTTATATAAATGTAATGCTTAACGATAAGGATGTTAGTGAATATTTAAAAATTGGCCCTGATGGACTTGAAGCACGTAGCGATACGGTTTCATTCGAAAGTGTTCGATGTACATTTCATGTTAATACAGGTGTTTGGTATTATGAAGTACTTATTATTACCGATGGTGTTATGCAAATTGGATGGGCTACAAAACAGTCAAAATTTATGAACCATGAAGGCTATGGCATTGGTGATGATCAATATTCTATAGCATACGATGGCTGTAGAAATTTAATATGGTTTGGAGCTAAATCTATACCACATAGTAATCCAGCTTGGAAATCTGGTGATATTGTTGGTAAGATTTTTGTTATTGTATTTAATTTATAAATAGAAGTATCTGTCATGGTTTGTTGATAAAAAGAATCTTCTAACGATCTTGTGATAGATTTTCGATGTTTTCATTTCATGCTCATTGATATTTTATTTCAATATTTTATTTTTGAACGAAGAGAATAGTATCGTTTCTTATGATGACTGTCTACTTGAAAACGAGAAAATACTTGATTCTTTTTTGTTATCTATATTGATCTAATTTCTTTATCCATAATAATTGTTAACTGAATTTCTTCTTATGAGAAGACCTCAGTACTTTATGCAATCATGTAATATTCCATGTCACGTACATGTTTAAAATTAGTGTTGTTCGCATGACATTTTTCACTCTTTTCAAGCTTCTCTAGAAAATAATATGATTATATAATCGGGTTATTTAATATAAAATAAAGCGCTGATAAGTTTATGGGTACAAAATATTCTAAATGCGTATTACTGAAAGTTTAATCTTTGTTTTATGGATTATTCATACCACTATTTCGAATAACAATATCAATATTTTGTTTTTCTAAAATCTACACAAATTAAATCAAATACAATCATAAAATTCTTTCACTAATAAGCGAACAGTGAAGTCTTTTTCTTACACTTCTTTTATCTACAAAGAAAAGGTACACTCAATGTTTGTATGGTCTAAAATTGAATGATTGATGCAACAGTGACTTTCCAAAATATATTCTCTAATTGAATTATCTTCTATTTATAGGCTGTTTAATTGATTTTAATCAGCGTGAAGTGATATTTTCATTAAATGGGCATTCATTAGATCCATCGCGTAAATTATTTACATCATTAAGTAATCCTATAGTCGATGGTTATTTTGCAGCAGCAAGTTTTATGTCTTATCAACATTGCCGTTTTAATTTTGGTTCAATGCCATTTCGTTATCCTCCAACTAATGTGTCATCCTACAAAACATTTAACGAGTATGGTCAATTATCAGAGGATGAAAAATTAATTTTACCAAAATATAAAAAATTAGAATTATTACGTTCAATAAAAATCAGTGAACAAGATTGTATATTATGTGTTGATGATCTAGCGAATGTAATGCTTAAACCTTGTCGACATACTGGTTTTTGTGGACAATGTGCTTTGAAACTAGATCTATGTCCTATATGTCGATCAGAAATTCAAGAGAGATTTATAATAACGGAATAATTTATTTTTCATCGTTTTTTTCTTCAATGTATATTCGAACAGTTTAACACATTCCAAACAAGAACTATCATGAACGATTTTTTTCATGTGAACCTAGTCGTTTGTATTTACACATCGTTTAGTATGAATGTATAAATTTTCCTTTTCAATTTTATTTTGCTTTCTTATTTTATAAATATTCACGATGTAATATAATTAAATGATACTAATATAGTATCATTAACAGTAGCTATTTTATTTTCAAGCTAAAAAAGCTTTGCTTTTGTTTGGAATGGATTCAAATATTTTTATTTTGCCTTTTCTTCGAACAAAAAGATACTACTACCGAAATAAGTTTAGCAATGTTTTTTGTTGATCTTCGAGAGAAATATTATTATTGATGAAGAATAAAACAAATATTACAATCCTATGTAACGTGAATGAATGATGATGTTTCATCGACCCATTAATATTGATAACAACGGATTTTATATAATCATATTTTATTACTACCAAAACTGTTCGAATATCTACAAGATTGAGATGGGTCTATAATTCAGGAAGGAGATCAGAAACAATTTAATATATTTGATCAGATTTGACATAGAGCATCGAATTTCCGTATGAGAATTAATGCGTAATTAAATGTTGATTTTCGAATCAATGATATTTTATTTAACTTACTCAGAAGTAAGCATACTGGTCAACAGTGAAGAATATAAGAATATTTTCATCTTCTGTGAACTGCTTGATTAGGCTCATAGGTGGTAGATCAAAATTGCAAAATTTTTGGAAAATATAGACTCTACTACACCTTCATATCACCATCAAATTTTTCTTTGTAAGAACAATTCGAATTCATTCAATTTGTACTATACGCCATGAACAAATTAAAGCGCATTTCAGTGATAGAATTGCTATGAAAGAATTTCTACTACTGACTAAAATACTAGTTATTATTTGAGACAAACAAAAATCCAGTTGACTGAAATAAAAAATTGCACACAATTGTCCACAGAAATAAAGAAAGAAATACATAATGCGATTCCTTATTTATTGTGATACTTTTTTTTGTCTGTAGAAAAGAAATTTCCTATCTGAATAAGGCATCAGATATCATCCAGTACATTTCTTTTCATTTTCCATAACCGAACTATTTTATAATTAAATTGACTAGAAAGGTAAAAAGATCTGCTTCTCAGTGCATTACAATATAACTTGTGATTGACATTAGAACTTGAGTCATTCGGAAAATTTTCTATTTCTATGAGCGTCATCTGGTTGTCTTTCTTTAAATATTCATATAAAGATGAATTGTTTTGATACTTTTCTTATTCCACTTTAATGTATTTTTTTTTCAATCAAAGAAATAGTCATTAGATCAGTAGAAAAATCTAAAAGCCAATCATTATTGAGAAAACTACTTGCAGGGGAAAAGAAATTGTGGCGATTTTAAAAAAATTTATTTTTTTCATTGCAAAATATATGACTAATAATATAGGATGTAACTAAGATGCCTGCAAGGTTTCTATTAATGTTCTCTGTGGTATACGTGACATCAAACATATGTTTTGAAAAACAGAAGTAATGTTTTTTTTATTTTCCTTTCTTTTATTCATTCTTTTATTTAAACGTTTTACACCTCTCTGTGAATAAAATGGCATTAGATTCATCGTCATTGAATTCATTTAAAACAAATGAACGTGATTGTTATCAATGTGAACGATCACCATATTCATTTGTAACTCCAGCAGCCCTTATTTATCATGCAACAGATCGAATTAAATCATTAGCAAGACCAAAAATACGTAAAGATACCACTATTCGAGAAGGTAAAACAAAAATAATCAATTGAATTTGTCCTTAAATTCAAACATTATATGTAGGTTTTTCTCGTTATATAAGTGATCCAACATATTCCGGTGTTAGTAAAGCAGCAGTTCGTGCTCAATGTTCATCGCATCTGAGTGATTTGGCGTTACCATTAAAACGGCATCAATCGTTTACGTATGAATTACCTATTCCACGACCTGTTTCACGTGCGGCACTTCGATATGAAGCAACAGAAAGAGTTCATGAATTAGCTGTACCGAAAAAACGGCACAGTGCTCGATAGAAATATGAAAGATCGCTATATTTTTTTCATTAGTTACACAGATTTTTATAATTATGATAAAAAACATATGATAATTATTAAATAAACAGTATGAGTAAGTTTTAGTATCAATAGCTAATTCGAAACTATTGCATATAAACGTGATTTTAAGTTCACATCTTCGTTATCAAATAGCCGAGAGAGTCTAATATTTTCTAGTCGGTTCTCTCTGTTCGAGCACATTAGTTTCTCATGAATGGGTATCGCTGTTGTGGTCATTTTATTGTGTTTTGAGCATATCACGGAAAGCATTCATAAGAACGCGTTTCTCCATATACAAATCTCACTGTACTTATAATATTCTGAAAATTATCAGGTCAAGATATTGCTTCTTCTTCTTCATGATAATACTTTTGCAAAGTATCGACGAAGAAGCTTCCAAAATAATATATTTTCTTACACATATTCTATATCTTCGAGAAAAATTCATTTATTGGAACTGAAACTATCAACATACAATCAATATGATGAATTGTATGCTTAGAGAGATAAGTCTTTTATTGCAGTTCTTTTTCATAATAAACTGAATGAATTTTGAGCGAAGTATACCCATCAAACAATTCTTCTCATACGACTTGAAATGGCAGCTAAATGTTCTATTATATCGAATGATAATTGTAGAACAGCGTATTCTGATTCAAAATTCAATTCATGGAATTATCTTCTTTTAGATGTGTGAAAATGCATCATGATTGATCTTAACTTCAAGTTCTCAGTTCTTAATCATAGCTATAGATTGTATCATATTACTTATTTCATGAAGTATTCGTTTAATTTATGTGCATTACAAAAGATATTCTGTAACATTTATATCAAATTCGCACTATTTCTTTATCACCCATTTATACATTTCAAAAATTAGGATATTCCTCGTTCTAACATTATCATTATGATATTTGGATTTTATGTGAAAATTGTAAGATTTGTAACGTATTTATTTATTTATTTATTTGAGATAATTAACTTCATATAAAAAAAACTAATTAAGTATCACAATATAAATATTAAAAACATTCCATTTTTCATACAGCAAAAACAAATATTAGAAGTTGTGATTAACCTGACTAGCCATACATGAAATACGAACTATAGAAGTATACGTTTCTTTTCTCAAGCGACCAATGGTGCTGTTTCATCATATTCAACATCATTTACATGATTATTACATGGCATAGAAGTAGTCTTTGTTTCTTCAGTCATCTCATGACGATTCCCACCAATATTGACTTTCCATATACTTACTATCATTACAACTGTTAGAATAGCAACTATACCAGGTATAATTGATAATATTTGTCTATAATATAATGCACACTTCTGTGTCGCATCAGCTTTGCATGGATTAAATTGCTGTATAGTAGCAATCAGTATACCATTAGCAAGTTTATCTGCAAATGACATAATTCCATAGACAAATGCTCCACATTCCGTATTTAAACCAATTAAATCAGATGTCAGTGAAAATGAACATATATTTGATGTTGACGTTCCAATACCGAGTAAAACACATGCAATTGTTAATGTTACTTCAACTCTCACAATATGCTGTAATTTAAAAATAAACCAAAATAAAAATGTACTAGCAAGTACAAACATTATACCAATAATCATTGTGACTTTTCGACCTAGACGTTTATTTATTGCACGCATAGGAAAAGATGCAATTAATCCACTAACATATGAGCATAGGGGAGCAATGGCAACAAATACTCGATTCAACGTTGAGATTGTGTCAATTATATACAATGGTAGAAATACCTAAAAATAAAAATTTTTCAATAGTATATGAAATATAATTCAATAATCTATCGAATAATACAGATTATCAATACGAAATGTTTAGATACATAAATTAAGCGAAACAAATTCATTAAGCTTGAAATAACAAAGTTAGAATCTACCGGAAATTCATTGCAATCTATGTCTAGAAACGATAAGTACAGACCAAAGACATCCACAGGGCTGGGTTACCCTGCCCTGCCCTGAAGCAGGACAGGACAAAAAATAAATTTTACTCTGCCCTGTAACAGGACAGGGTAGACCAGGACAAATTGCAGGGCATTGCAGGGTGGGAGCCGTACCCTGCAGGGTAAAAAGTCAGCTGTTCAAATTTCAGTTTTGAAGAAATACTTTTAGTTTCGAAGTGTCACAAATAAAAAATAGACTCCAGAGAGCGACAGCAACTGATAAACAGAATTTCTGATTTATATTGACCACCGTATGAACACGGTAGAATCAAGATAATTATAAATAGTGACCATAAAAGACGTAGGATATCTTAAGTAAGAATGGAAAATTCGAATATTTTCAGAATGGATTACTCCAAAGAACTACCGAACAAGGACAAACTACTTTCCAAGTAGAACTCGCTGAGCTCTATTCAGTCCAGACACCAATCGTACTCAAAATCTTCCTAAAAACACTGAAAGTCACAAAAACCATACAAAAGCCAATCAAAACTCAACCAATTTTGCTAAATCTCGTCGTGGTTGACCAGGAAGAATTTTTCAGCATAGTTGCAGTGGCTTCCAGTCGATAGAGCGGGTGAAAATCTGTTTAGAAACCACCGTGGCTACGTCGGGAAGTTGCTATTGTGCAATCACGAAAGGACTTAGCAAAAAACCTAGATATTTGAACCTGATTTCTATGGGTCTGAAATGTTAAATCGAGCTCAAAAAATGTCTAATCGATAGAGTACGGCAAGATCTACATGGAAAACAGTATGAGTCATTGTAACGTTCTTCTGGGTGAATCACTATGGATGTTACCAAAATTGGTTCAGTTTCTTACGGTTTTCTGGATTTTAGCTTTCTGTCAGGTAGTTTTTCAGTAGAATTCATATACGGGCTGGATAGATCCTGTCATGTTCTGCTTCAGAAATATTTTGTCTTTTTTGGAAAGTTGTTTGGAACGAATCCATTCAGGAAATACTCGGATCCGGCTCAAATATATTCTCCGTATGCCAGTTCAGCAGGGTACCGTGTCCTACCCTGGTCAGGGTTCATTTTAAATTTTTGCATTTTTTTCAACAGGGCAGGGACAGGGCACAAAAAATCACCCTGTGGACATCTCTGGTACAGACAATAACTTTAATTCTGACTTACATTTGCAGTCCTTTGTGAGCTCATACTGGTTATATATCGATGGGACACATAGAAAATATTGCATAAGATTTGCGATTAATGATACATGTCGTATAGGATGGTACTCAACACAGTAGATTGAATATTTGTGTTCTACTAAACAGGATTGCTGTTGATGCGCAAGAATAGTTTATAATTGTATGAAGATGCTGTATAATATAGGAAATAGGCTATAGAAAAAAAAATCTCTATTCTATTTAGTCCTCCTACTACAGTCAGACTTTCTCTTGAAATGATAATATTTTGTTTATCAACTTGTGATAGATTCTCCTATAATTTTATTTTGGTTTGTCTAGAATCTAAATGAAACTGCATCAAAGATCAAATTTCTCCCAATTTGCCTACTACGCTTAAAATGCCTGTTTGTGTTTTGATCGAACAGCCTCTTTTAAAATTCTGCGCATTATTTCTATTCTACCTGTGTCACATTAAGAATAACACGCGTAAACATCCAAATAAGTGCACATTGATAAAATTCTTTTTCAAGTAAGAATTTTTTCCATGTCATTCGCTTTAATTTTCCACTAGCAGTCAATGATAATTGTAAACGATGTTCGGTTTCTTCGGCTGGTAATGTCGATTCTTTCAAGCCAATATGAAACATAATCATACAGAAAAGACCAATGCCAACAACAGTAAATGTTAACGTACGAAATATATGTGCATCAGCTGGTGTTATATCTGTTTTATCATTACCAGAATGAACACCCAATAATACACTAGCGATTGCATAAACAAATATATTCGATGCTACTGTCCAAGCATAGCGAAAAGAATTAAGTGCAACACGTTCACCTTCTTTATGTGTCAATTCGTTAATCATTGACCTAGAAGAAAGAAAACAGGCCAAATTCAATCGTCTTTTTCTGTGAATAAAAATAAAATACTTACAAATGAGTAATTTGTGAACATGACCAACCAAATTGAAAAATAACAATAAACATTGCATAGTAAATAAATTGTGCCCATAAATCACTATTTGCACATCCGATGCATAGATTGAAACAAAACGGAAATGAGCCAACTACACAAATAACGCCAATAAGATGCCAAGTTTTTCTTCGACCATAACCAAATAAACCAGTACGTGTTCGATCGGATTCGAAACCAATGAATGTTGTTGCTAAAGCATCAGCTATTTGTCCAATTAATAGTAAATAACCTGACGATGCATTGGTAAAATTCACAATACGATGATAGAAAACTAATAAATAAGAAAACCACATGGATGCAGTGAGGTCATTCAGAACATGACCAACACTATAGGCAAGTTTAGCTGGTTTTGAAACAACGTCGGGTTGTGATACAACTGGTTCCATAACGATTTAAAATAGCTAAAATGAACTGAACTGATATCAAATCAACAAATCTTTTATGTCAACTTAAAGAAACACGCCACATACACAAAGATTATTATTATTACTATTATTATTATTATTATTATTCTAAGAATTTTGTCATTCTTATTCTACTTGTTTTTCTTTAGTTTACCTTCTATTTAAAACAAAGAAGTCAAACACAAATACTATGTAAGAAAAAAATAATCTAAGGAAGGTAAAGTAAAAAAAGAGATAAATTTACAGTTGCTGTTAGACAAGAAAAGACTGATAAGCATTCAACATGAGCTCAAGTTGTTTCACAGGAAAAATGTGTGTTTGTGACGAGTTGTAAACAATGACAAAAAATATGCATTATCATTGTAAATTCCAAAGAAAAGTTTCTCATTATTTTATTATTAGTCCATGACACGAATGAAAATCAAAATTGACTCATTTTATTTAAATTGATTCAATATTTCGATTGAATTTGGAAAAAAAACTTATTCAAACGTCTTTGTAACGTACCAAAGAACTACATCAGTAATAGAAAGATTTTTGAAATCTAATGATTGAAGTCAATATTTTATAGGCTAGATTTCATTCATTGGAGAAGATTATGCCATTTTGCACCAGAGTATTTTAATCTGGTTTATAAACTTATTGCTGAGTTTGTGTACTGAAAGAAAAACACTCCTTCAACACCATTTTTAATAGAAATATTGGTCACGTCAAGATTCATAATAGATCGTTGCTAAAATATTTGCGACAGACTAAATGAAAGTATATCCTTTTTCTCTCTATTTTCGATAATGTTTAACAGACAACGTAGTAATCATTTTATGTTATCGATTAGTAGCGAAACAAAATTATATTACAGAAAATTAATTGAAAACAACCTAAGTCAATATTGATAAAATCAATGAATAAAAAGGAAATATTAAATGTTAGATATATTTTATTGTATTGTCCAGTTCTTATTATTCGAGAGAAAAAATTAATAACTGAATGGTCAACATACATGTACTATGAAAAGTAGATCAAGAAGAATAAACTGTTAACTCTTGTTTGCTGTTGGCTAAGGATAATCCTATAGATAATCCCGTTTGAAACATTAATTATTCTAGAGTTGAAATATTTTCCTTTGAACTTTCTCCCGCTTGCCATTCAATATTCATCGGACTGTTGCGCAATGAGATATATCATATCAACATTTATGATAATAACTCTTGATAATAAACAGAACAAAGAAATAATTCAATGCACAATAGAATTGACTCACTCAGGTAACGCCATATTGTTTGTTTTTAACCAAGTTATCCTGATAAGATAAAAAATTTGTCATGTCATCTCATAAGATATTATAAAAATGCAATGCCTTAGAACAATATTTTCTTTTTTTTTCTAAAAGACATCTAATAAAAGAATGACAATTATATTTATTTTTTTCGCTTTGCTTTTTAAATCAGATACCGATGAATTCTTTTTAATAGAAGTTCTGCTTTGTTTCTTTATCAAAAGCAGAACAGTCTGTTTACGTGTGCAATGATTGTTTAATTATTTGTTGCATAAGTGGATTTATATACAAGTACAAATGAAAATAATTTTTAATATCCATACAATGACGTCATACTTAAATAGACTATATTTAACTTTCTAATTCTTTCTGAATATTAAAAATATCGTTTTGACTGATAACCATAGATGTTAATAAAATATACAGAAAAAAGCAACAACTGAACATATGCTCATATCTGTTGATTGATAAAGCTAATTCGTTCGTGGTGTTGATTTTGTGCAAATATGGAATAAAATTTGTACTGTTTTTTGCTATTTTCAGAAGTAATTTTCTCTTTATTGCAGTAATGTCAAAATTATTTTAAATGGAAATAAAATGACCGGGAAACCTTTTTGTCTGCCATAAATAGTTATATATATATATATATGTACATATGCACAAAGAGGCTGTCTCCTTATCATGAGTTCATTAGAAGCAGCGATTGAAGAAGAACAAACAAACAAACAAAAAGAGATAAAAATATTTAAAAAACAAAAAGGAAAAAAGATGAAAATACTGTCTCTACTATGATTAAGTTAATCGTAGTGCTAATCAATAAATGTCCAAAGCTCAATGCTTGCAATAATAAAATCTTCTTTTGATGATAATCTTGTATTATTAAATGTTTTACTTGGGCATGTTCGGCCATGATATAAATCAGCATCAAGCCATAAACCATAAGTACCTCTAGAATAAATTTGAAATATAATGATAGATCGAAAGACAAAGAAAAATCTATGATTCAACATACTCTCCACTTCCCAAACCAAGAGCTTTGACGTCACCTTTGATGAAAAATTGATTATTACCAGTCCAATGAAACACCTAAAGAAAAATAAAGAGATTTCATGTACTACGTCGGTATGATGGAAAAGGATAGTCACAAGAGGCCGCTTCAACAATACCGTTAAGGTATTTGTCTGTCGACTGGCGCGTGCCGTTAAATGTGTTCATTCTTCAGATGAAGATATTGCAGATATACCAATTCATTTTTCGTTATTTTACACATGATAACTACTTTTTCTAATAAAATACCCGATTCTCAATTATTTTATATTCCAGAATCATACACAAAAACATTGAAAAATCTACCTTTCTTAGATATTGATCAAATAATAAAAAAGAAATCACGAATTTTGGTGTTTGCCTCAAATGAGAAATTGAAATTATTATTCAATAGTTTTGAGTTATTTTAATAAACGAGACTTTTCATGATCGCCTTCGATATTCAATCAAGTGTATTGCATACATGCAATAAAATATGAACAATGTAAATATAGATGTTTTTTCTAAACAAACTTTAATATTGCTATATTTTATTGCGTTCATTTGTGTATTTGCTCTCTAGCCTGGTCGAAAAACGTCCATGTACAAACTTCAACTTCATGAATTACATAATAAAGCTGCTCAATTAAATACAGTTATTAATCCAAGTACTACTGTATCGGATTTTGAAAGGAAAAATTGCCATTCATTATCTTTTGCGAAGTGACATGCAGTCTAAAGGTTTATTGTAATTTATATTTTCTTTTCATTTACTTAATAAAATTCTAGCAGCTTCATAAATATTATTTCTTATACAGAGATATGAACTCTCGATATTTTTCTCTTTCGTCATTTTCTAGTCGACATTTCTTCTTTCGCTGTTTTTCCATTCGATATTTTTCTTCGAAAGTTTTCGTTTCGACATTTTCCCATCCATTCACTACGTCACCCTGTAACACAATACGAAAATCTTCCGTCACATTAAAAGTAATATAACATCCTTCCAGAGTCATCGAAGAGGCTAATAACTTCAAATCTTTGAGTAGGGTTTCTTAGTAAATAATATTCGAATACAAAAGACAAACCTTTTTTCTTTAGAACAAGAAATATGAACTTTCAAGAAAGAAATTCTCTTAGAAAATTATTGGTAGTTATCAGTGGAACTATGAATTCTATGTGACTCTAATGTATGTGCTGTTTTCAATCTAGGCAAATTTTTCACATCGATTTTTCTATTGTAAACAATCTCGAAATCTTTCTAATAATAACCCATTCGTTTTGTTCTTTACATGCATGCAAGTTAACTAAATCGTAATAGTATAATTCAATTGATAAAAAAAAGAAGATAAGTCTAGCATTAACTTATTGGAAATCCTTCGTTTTTTTCTACTATTATGATTAAAGGTTAAACGGAGCAGATTTATTCAAATAAAAAACAAATTTGTTCTTTTATACTATTATCTATTTTTGTGACGCATATCTCGTTTCTAAGCTTAACTTACACGAAATTGTGGATGAAAAGTGAAGAGAAATGTTTCTCCAGTACCATAAAAACCTTCACTAATCATTAATTGTTGTGAAACGTAAGCACCGAATATCTAATAATCAAATAAAAAACAATGACAATAAAAAGAAACTACATCAGATTGTTATAATTTACTTACATTTTGTTCAATATCTTTTACAATAAGTAATGATGGATTATCAACATCCACTTGCATCGATCGACGGTACAATTGGTTTAAACTAAATCCATTTGCCTCTGTACTAAATAGTATTTGCCAATTAAGACCATGAACACGTGGTGGTAATTCAAGCAAAATCTGAATTAAAATTTCAAATATTTTTTTTTTCGAAAAGAACGTAAATAATTCTACTGATTTAGATTTTTCTTCATCGATGAGTGTTGATGGTTGAAGAAGTTTTGGTGGTGGAATACCAAAATTAGATGAATTTGCATTATTTGTTTGTGTTGCATTGATACGTCGATAAATTTCATCGACACTAATAATCTAAATGAATAATTGATAATTTTAGTTATTATTCTTTTCTTAATTAATTCTTTCTACTAAATTTATAAAATAAATTTTCCTTTTTTTGTTTTGTTTTGACTATTCATACCTCATCGAAATTCTTTCTATCAAATGAACACTGATCAGTGAATGATGACGATAACAGGCTCTTAGCACGTTTTCTTAACTTCGTTAACTTTTGTTGATGATGAGGTATTTGATCAAGAAAATGTTTTTTTGAATCTGATAAACGCGATACTAATAAATCAAGTGTAGGACGACGTGAACGTGTTGGTAGCGATTCAGTGGAGGGATATGACGTATCCGATAAAGTTTTAGATAGTGTTCGAATCATTGTTGTATTTCTTTTTGTTCGTTTGTTACATTAATATAGTTATAAAACTACTAATAGTGAATAGAAAATATGCGAAAGAAAAGATGCTTCTATTTTTCTTCATTTTACTATGTCTAGTTTCCACCAATCCTGGAAATAGAAGTAGTGAGCTATTTTTTTTATCTCACTGTCACGTCTTCATTGACAAACTACACTATAGACAACATATAATTGTGTCGAACAAAACAAGGAAACAAGACAAGGATTGTGTTCGACGTAGATCGGATTCGAAGTGCAACGCAAAATTATAGTTGTCAGCGCCAATTCTTTTTAGTTTTTTTATTGAAATATCGAGAAAACATGTTTTTGGTTGAACATATAGTTTAATCAGATAGTAGGCATATGCCGATAAAAACTGCTCTTTGAGTTTTTTCATGTACTAAAATTTGAATTTTGAATGAACTACATACTAAAGAAAAGTGAACTATTCGTGAAGAGAAAGAAAATTGAGGAAAACAAACTAATACATTCCGGAAGATGTTTTCATGATCATCATAGAAGCTTTTCCAAATAACCGAAACATAATAAGAGAGCAACACGTATGATCTCGTTTTCTTTTTGTTTCATATAGAAAAAAAATTCATTAATAAGGTTTGGCGCTAATCGACATAATACAAAAAGAAAAGTGCCTCATATATTTAAAACAGCTTCTTAGCTGTAGAACTTCACATATAAAAAGATCAATCGAGTTTTTCCTGGAGGGTCATTTAATTGTTAAAAAGATTTTACTTTTTTTTTCTTTGTGGTCGACTGTGCTTCAATTTTTATGAACTATAAATATAGAAAATTCTTGAATAGGTTACATTTGACATGTATAGTCCGGTTAGAATAAGGTAATTATTTTTGTATCTGATATTTTCTACGTTAACAAACATAAATATATTCAAGAGAAAAATAATTCTATTTAACTCGTACACTTTTAAATAAAGCATGGCAATTTAGAATAGTCAGAATTATACAAGTGACTCTTATAATGAATATAATTAACTGATGTTTTTCTTTTTTTCTACATGAAAAATTCTTCATGATTTTTATAATGAAAGAGTACTACTTGAAAAAACATTGAGATCCATTCGTGTTCTATAATCTATACCGCCTCTTGACATATCTAATGACCTTTTACTCATAGCCATTTGTTTTAATCTTATTTTGACTGTTCATGACTTTTGATGACCTATAAAATAAATCGTGTTGACTTCTTACCTCCCATTCTTTAAGTAATGTATTTTGTCGTTTTAAATAATGTTGTTTTCTTGATTGTGTACTACGATCATGTGATGTTATTGTTGTTTGACTATTTGATGTATTCTTGTTTTTGTCATTAGATAATAAATAATCATCTGTTAATTCAGGATCATCATTTGCCAATAAAACAAAACCTTGAGCAGACGAAATTACATTTTGTTTCGATTGTGTACGAGATGAATAGCGATTAGCTTGATTTAATGAAATATTATTATCGGAATGACTATCGTCGGATAACGAGCATATAGCACGTTCAGGACTCCAACGAAGAAAAAATGCATAGAGATGATCAATTCTAAAATTTAAAGAAAGACAATAACTTCATCAAGCGTGTACTTGTATTATCTTGATAAATCTTGTCAATTTATTATTTATTAATATATAATGACATCAGCCCAAAACGGAATTCTTATGTTTTTGATAAAAAATATCCTATCAAAAATGTCATATGCAACGTTCAAATTATTTTATATTTAAAATAAGTTTTCTTTTATGAGCTAAACTCTTTGGCTAAAATAACAATGAATTGTATCCATCTATGATCATATCTTAGACTCTCACTTTAACGATGATAAATTATTGATTGATAAGTCTGTAAGTCAAAAATAAATCTAACTATTAACATTTACAAAACAGAATATGATATTTTATATAACAAATTTATTGAAAAGACTCATTATTAGACATGTATAAAATATGGCAAATAGATTTTTTTTTCTTCATATTCTATTTTTGACAGTAATCTTGATTTTCTTGTCAAAAAAAGTCATTCCAGTTTTGCAAGCATAGAAATTGCTTCTATCACCGTATGCACATTTTGCAGTTAAATGATCCAAATCAATGAACAGTTTTTGGCATTGAGACGGTGCGAGAACAAAAATTACATATCATTCGTCGCACCTCCAAAAATTAATATAGAATACCTAAATTATCTTTCCTATAACACATTTCTGTATACACTATCGATACTATAAGCGTATCAAACAAGTATAACATAATATACTTGTTTTGTAGTCGAAAAGAAAGGTTTTTCTCTCTTTTCTAAGATGTCATACAAGTTGATTGATAAAAACATTAATAAATAAATTCCAAATAGACTAGTATGACGTGACTCAAAACGCATTGCTGAGGTTTGAGCTTTTCTTTCATACATTCTTTTGTTTTATTTTCTATATAACTATTGAACGAAGTTTGATTAAAAGTCTAACGAAAAAAAATGAAACTATAACATATTTTACTTTTTACGGAAATATGTCACTTTTTCTTTCTATTTTATTTGATAACACATGCAGGAACAGAAAAGAGTAAATTAACTGTTTTTTAACCCTTGAAAAACTTTTTATTTTGTTTACAATAAATAATTTTCCACATCAAAATGTGAAATAGAGGAATAATCAACGTCTTCTAGGGTTAAAACATTCAAAATTTACAATTATCTATTTGCACTGTTACTTATTTAGAGATATTTACAACAATCTATCAATGTCAAATACTTTCCGAATAATAGCAATAAACACCTCGGAAAAGTTACAATTCGTATTTAATGATTTCTAATTCTTCTGAAAGAAAGCCTAGAAAAAGTTGAACCTGCTGAATAATTATGAGTGTTGTTTTGCCACTTTTTTTTCGCAGAATTTCAGATGGAACGAGCAATTATGGTGAAGAAAACTTCAAGCTAAAAGAATTAAACCTGAAAGACATATTAACACCAAAATTGTATACATACTTTCAGACATCTAAGAAGATAAAAATTTTAATGTTCTTCTCAAATGAGTTTTCAAGCAATTTATATTTTATCTGTTTACGCAGTCAAAATATAAATTAACTTTCGAGAAAACTTTAAACAGATTAAAAAAATCCAAGCCGTTGATTCAATTTGGAATAGCTGGCTTTTATATTATAAGTGAAATGTCTATATAGCAGTTCTATGAAAAGCATCCCGACTCATATTGATTCCGATATATCAATTCTGATTTTAATTTATTGTTTCCACGAGGAGAAATTTCTGACAGCTTATTTAGTTTTTTTTTCATTTGAATAATCAAAAGTGATTACTTTCTCATTGAATTCAGTAGTGTCAAACTTGAAACTTGAATTCAGTTGAAAATAGAAAATTTCAACTTTCAACTCATAGTGATATATGTGTGAGTCACGATTCTTCAGAATGCTATTGGTTTAAAAGTTGAAAATTGAATATGATTATTGATTGCTCTAAAATATCTTTCGTTCATAGAATGCCATACGCATGAAGTTAGTCGAATATGACCGAGTTATTATTTGAATATTAACTTAGCTTTGAAGTATCTACAGTTTAGTTTCTACATTACAAACAATACACAACTTCTATTGCGCTATTATTATGCCTTTTGAATGATAACTTATTTGAAAAAACCTTGAATTAGTTTGTGCGAGGCAGTTTTTAGACTAATTGCTTTAGCTAAGAGGTCCCTTAGGGTCATAAGCGATGAAATATTGTAAATCTAGAGTAAAATCAGGAATGATTATGTAATTTCCCTTCAGAAGTCAACAGTAGAAGGACAAATAAGAGATTATATCTATGAATTTTATTCAGATGAGTGAAAGATATTTAGTGTTACTTATTCTTAATTTCCATTTCACTCAGTACTAAGCTGGTATGCTTCAGAGCAATTTGTAATGAAAGAAACATGTTAACACTTTTCTTTTGATAATTTTGAATCGACTTGAGTCAAAAATCAGAACAACTTTACCGTCAGGCTCATTTTATTCAAACTATATTTAAAATCTCGCAATTCAATTGTCAAGAGGAAAGAAGCTTCCAATAATTTGTAAATGAACTAACTTGAGTCTCGTATTTAGTAAAATTTCGATAGTAACGAAAGAAAACAATGCCAAATCGTTAACAAACTGATACACACTGTTTGGTCAAAAAAACTTGAATCTATTCTCAGGAATAATTTCCAAGGCTGCTACAGTATGATGATGTTACTGTTTAGTCCCGTTGAAAATGGAAAATGTTTCTTAGCTATTTATAAGCATTGGGATGCACTACATCAACCAAACAATTTAACGATGAGACAGACTCGCGGCTTCATCATCTGTGCTTAACGTTGATATGTGCAAAGAATCGTTTTAGGCTTTTAATCTACACTACCATGGGAAAATGTGTCCTTTACGGGTATTCTGATGCTCACCAAATCTTCGAATAAGTATTGAAGTTACGGATATTATTAAAATAGATTGTAATTCATTTTGATTCACACTTCGTTTAAGACTGAAAAATATAATGCGTTCGAAAAGTAATATCATTTGAATTTATTGTGAATGTTTGATGCTTCCAATCAGTAAAAATATTTAGCTAAATCACAGTTAGCTTAACTATCCGAATATATATGTGTTGAGCCGCTGACTCAGGTGCTTTAGAATGGGCTAGAACACATTTCACTAATACACGAAGCTACCAAGACCTGATGCTTTTAGAGTATTCTGAGCTTGAAGGTTCTATACTACTTTTGTAGTCTACAGTTTTGTCACAAAAACATCATAGGGAATATGTCGAACATTTTTGTAGGTATTCCTCGAAGAACTCTGTCAAGTCATACCAAAATAATGAAATGACCGAAACTTTGAAGCATGTAGCTAGCGTAGGATACTCCTTCAATGATAAAATTTATCCTTTCTATTTCACCAGACACTTTGTCTGAGAACAAAAATCGTAATAAAAGCTTTTCACGTGATCGTCAAATTAGTGAAGAATATTTCGAGACTATCCGAATATGTGTTGTTGTTTTTTGTTCTTCAAAGATACTCAATGGATGGAGAAGTGCTTAGTAAAAGTGTGTGAAATAGAATGGAACAGTTTTTTTTCCTGCATACATCAAAGAATTAAGTGAAACAGAAAATTTGATTCTTACTTTTCTTTTGGTACAGAAAACCAATATTCATGTTCAAGTTCTTTTTTTCCATAAACATAATCAATACTTGTCCTATCATTCTTGTCTTGGATTGATAAATTATCTTTTAGAAGTATACTTGTTTTTATGCATAAATAATATGGATTTTCAATTGCATGTGGTGTTACATGCATATCATGTTGTTGTTGTAATAATTCTAAGTTTTAATAGATAGAAGGTTGTTTATTTTTTTGTAAAGGACAAGTCAAGTAGTCTCACTATCAATTTCACCGAAGCGTTTGTTATATTGATCAGCAGGGATACAATTTTCCAAATGACATGTATCTATAGAAGAAAAAGACGATACATAACTTGTTGAGGTAAAATATAAACTATTCTCTTGTTTTTGTCACAACACTTCCTTTTGCCTTCAATAAAACAATCCTACACCAAATAAAAAACCTACTCTCTGATGTAATAGCATATCTTAATTGTGTGCAATTGAAAATTCCTTTTATTTTAAATGTATCAATTAGACTTTAAAGAGAAAAAAAACGAAAATAATACTCACGTAATGGGATATCGTCTATATCAACTAAGATTCCTATGGAATGCTGATGATCATCGGATGATTGAAATAAATCTTCATTTTTTAAAATTTGTTTTTCTGATGATTTGCGACGAGACGAAATAGACGATATATCAAATAACACACGAGAAGGATCTGTTGGCGCATCTTCTAGTTCTTTTTCAATTTTATCTAATAATAATGACATTATATCATGTATATCGTCTTCATCATTATTTGACACTAAAGTTGCAGCTTGTTCAAGACCTTTTATACTTGTTGAATGGCACATCTTTCGTTTTTCCTCTTCCCTAATAAGTTAGAAGTTTTTTATTTTCCTTCTCGAAATTTGTTTAAAAAAAACTTTTTTGCTTGTTTACCTTAGTGTCGCTTCATGTTCATACATTGCGATATCTTCATATAAGGCAATGCCAGCAAGCAAATCCATCCTAAAAAAACGAAGTGAAAAAAACATCCCGGCTAATATAGAGAAAGAGAAAAAAGAATGAACAAACCGAATTATTAGTCCATATTTATCGATACCATATTCTTTAACTAATTGATCAAGGACATCAGGATCAAACATGACAGCATTTGGTGTAACCAGTAATGTACCAGCCACATTTTTCTACAATGAATATATTTTATGGATATGTCGCCCAGTGATCCTATGTTTTTATTTTTGTGATATAAAAACATCCGTTGACTAATCAAATTCTCAAGCATGGATTCGTTGGCGTTGCAATTATTAGAATATTTCAATGATTATAAGAGCTAATTGTGGATAAATTTTTCTATGAATAGTTGACTCATTGATCGCATGCTACTCAAAAGATCACCATTATAGATGAATCATTTTTGGTTCCGGAATATTTTTAGAGTTTCCTACTTTTATCAAGTCTTGCCCAAAAATAAGCGATGGAATCGAACGGTACATGACATTCCCATGTGTTTACTATTCTTGTCAAAATGATTTAATTTATATCACCGATGAAGATAATATTTATCATCAAATTTAGCTTAAATCATGTTTTTTTTTTGTTGATGACCCGGTCAAATGAGATCTATGTTACGATTACTGTTCAACTCTTGAAACAAACATATTGAGAATTAGTATCTGAACAAAATATTTCGTATGTCTAACTTCATCATATTCTACAAGCTATTATTAAATATCATTATTCTTAAAGCTAATTTTCAAAATATTATCAAAGTACAAATGATGTCAAGTGCCTACGTTTTACGTTTGTACTGTTGACTTATTTTACATCATTAAGTTTGACTTCGTCTATTCTTATTACTTACATGATCTTCTGTCATTAATCGAACATTAAGTTTAATAAAACGTTGTAAACATTCGTCATCTAATTGTTGATTTTCTTCTATAGATAAAGATTTTTTTATTTGTCTAACTTGTTTATGATTATCTTGTTGAACAGTTTTTAAACGATCTTCAATAGTTCGTGATGATGCCTCACATTCTGAACTTGGTTCACTTTTTAATCGTTGAACATGGCCAGGCTTTGCTGTTGGTTGCCGTGTCATCGACCAAACTACATGACCAATATCTTGTTGAGAAACTGAAGGAGAAGATTCACTTGATAAACGACGATCATTAAGAACAAATGCATCATCATCTTTAGCTTTTAGTGTCGATGATGGAGATTTAATTGTAATTGCAGCAGATACTTGTTGTTTATTATCTATGCTCGAAAAGGATGCTTCAGGTACATAGATTGTCTAGAAATAGTGAACTATTGATGAAAATAAAAGCAAAAATAACTAGCACATACTTGACCAGGAAAGACAATCCGTGAATTCAACTTATTGAGTTGAAGTAATTCGGACGGTATTAAATTAAAATGAAGAGCAATCTTTTCTAATGTATCATTGCTGCCTACCTGAAATATTTAAAGAACAAAAAACAAATAATGATAATGAAGTTTTAATTTCTATTTCATACTGTATACGCTGTCGTTCCTTTTGGTTGATATATTGTTCGACCGCGTTTCGAATCACGATCTATATATAAATAAATATGATGAGTACGTTTCCGAGTAACTTAGATTTCTACTAAAAAGTGACAAAATATCAGAAATTCTTCGCATTTTTCAGATTTCCTATAAAACAATTACTTGTGGCTCAGTGAGATGCTTCGATAGTTTTATCAATAATATAAATGAAAAATTTTAATAGTATGGGAAAAAATCAATCCATTAGAATATATTGTCTAGACTGGTGAATAATAATTTCTTCTTTCAATATGTTTTTTTGCTCCTATTGCAATAGGTGTCATGGCATGAAAAATTATTGAGTCAGACATTTAATACGCCGAGTATTATCAAAGATCGAAAACAGTAGGTCTAAAGAGAGAGGACCGGTGCGTTATAGAAAAGATATAAAAAAAGGTCAGGACATGGTTGAATTTTAATTATGAAAAAAATTGAGTTTTATTCGAAACAAACTTAATATTTGAAATCAACATGCAGAACCATCCCGGAAAATAAATATGTTTCATCGAAATTGTACCCTTAGAGTATACAGTTTTATAGACACTTGGCAAAAGACAAATGCAGTAGAATCTAAATAACACACGTTCCAAGACGAAAAAGTTATTTATGTGATATAGTTTTACCTATTGTTTGCAAACAGCAGCTTCAGTAAAAATGTGATAATAATTCTTTTTGTTAATGTTTATTTTGTATACAAACACACAATTCTCAGAATGTATACTTGTTTTGTTTACTAAAACTAACCAAGTTTACCGTCTGTTCTAGTAATTTTTTTATCATAACTCTATCCGGAATAAATAAGTATGCGAACGATATAACTATAGTCCAATATCTTAAAATATGTTTTTTCTATAAAGCTTAGAGGAAAAAAAATGATGCGAACTAAAAGTAGTTGATTTTTCTCATTGTAAAAAATATTTAACTAAACTTAATGGGAAAACATCAGTAATATCTGAAATATTATTATCAACATATTCCAGATATACTAGAGTGACTCATATTCGTAAACATTCACTCTTAATTATGTTTATTATTGATGTTCTTGTTCTATCATACTTGTATTCGTTTTTGATGAATTCATAAGATTTTGAATTTCACTCGTAGTATTTGCCAATAATTTTGTTGAAGAATGAATATCATCACTTGTAGGTGTAGCCATTAAGGGTATATATGATGAAATATTCGCTATAGACGATTGTTTCGGAGCAGGATCTATCGTATTTCTACGAGAAAAAAAATGCCACGTAAATTATTTTTATCATTATCTCGATATTTTTATCTAACCGATTTCGATACATGTGTTATAAGTCTCACTGGACTTAATTCATGTTGATTGATGTCAGTAAAAGTTTTTGTATGATAGATAAAGAATGAAAAAGAATCAGACAATAAACAATAGTAAAAAATGAAGTAATCTAGAAAGAAAAGAAGATAAAAATAGTGTTATATTCAAAAGTTCTTTTTCTTCTACTATTATCCTCGATAAAGCTATTAGTTCACAATTTAATAATGATCATCTTTCATATTATATAAAGAGAATTAAATTGATTATTATTTTTAATTCAAAAAAAAAGACAAAACAAAAAAACATTTATATACTGATAAATATTTTCTTTCCTTTTCCGCTAGGTTCTAACGAATAAACTAATTCAATCGGCTATATTAGACATTTTTTTAGTGCAACCAACAAGGAGAGAGAAGGAAAAACTACTCGCAGAAAACAAATAAGGAGCTTTGATCGACACAAATAATAATATAATAGTGCGTGTATACAATAGAAAGAAACTTTTCGTTGGTGAATTGAATCAACCAATAAAAAAACGATCAAAACTTTAAGGGCTTACTCTCTTTTTGAAAATAGAATATTTTGTGAAAATAAAAATGAGTAAATTGATTTTAAAATTAAAAAATAAGAAATTTATCTATCTACCTATTTATTATATTCTGTATGGTGATGGTGACCACGATGAACCATGAATTTTTTATTCATTACAATTAAATAAAAATACTCGGTGGCTTAGAAAAACTAGAATTGTGTATCAAGTTTTAGTATTAATAATCATAAAAGAATATCAAAAGTTTTTGAGAAACCTATTCCTGAATATAATTCAAGCAAAGTCAAGCTGTTATATTACATCGAAAATAAATTATTTTACAAGCTATTTGTGAGAGACAGGAAACAACATACTATGAAATATATAAGGTTATTAAAAAATAAAACAAATTGCTTAAACATGAAGAGAATACAATGAAAGCATTAAAAAAAATAGCGATAGCAAAAGATTATCTACAAGAACATGATATTCATTGAAGAGTTAATTATGAAGAACAAACCGAAAGTAGAATTGCAAGCAGAAAAAAAATATTAATAACCTTTAGCTTGTAGATTGAATCATTAATAAATAGACGATAGCAAGATTGAAATGTTTCGACTTTTGTTCAATAAAAACAATCTTTTTTCGGTTGATGATATAGATCGATTAAAATGCTTTTTCTTCAAGTGAATAATATAACAAACATACTTCACTATTATTAACTTCATTGAGGAAATATTATCTATTGTGACGTATGAAAAATATATGTTGAATCATTCATAGGTACTTTTTCGGTTCTTACCAAGGATAGTAATAAGAGGAAATCAAAGTTAACTTTTTTAATGATTTTACATCTACAGGCAACATTTCAAACAACTTAGTTTAAAAGTTAATGGTTAGTCAATTTCTATTGAGAATTAAGTCAAAAATTTTGTTAGCGGAAGCCAAGAGTAGTAAAAATTGGATTGAAGGTGGTACAAGTATCTTTTTCAAAAGAAGGAAGATTTATTTTCTAACAGAATAAAAGATGAAATTCAATTCTGCTAGGAAAACATGACAATCGTTCCGTCATTAGAAGCTGTTAAATTCTTGAGAGTCCCTCATAAGACCATCACTATATTTGTTCTATGTATATTAAAGCGTTATCATTGATCAAGTACTCACTCATTGTCTCAAGCAGTTAGTCATCTGTCAATTTTCTCAAGTACCTACTCCCCTAGTTGTAGTTTACCATGTAGGTATCTTAGGTGAAGACTAATGATTATCCATGAATTAAAGTAAATACTTTGCTACGATGAAATTAATGATAATTTTTCTTTCTGTGGCAGCACTTTCATATATAATTTGTATGAAAAAAAATTAACTTGCTTCATAGAATACAAAAATAGATTTTCTATTTAATTTGTAACTGGTCTGTCCTCTAATGTCTACCTAACAGGTAAAAAAGAAAACTTTCTGTTTCTACGCACTTTTTCGATATTCTATAAAGAAAACGACTGGTGTCATTTGATTATTTGACTCTTTTACGTGATGCACAGTCTATCATTCATTGAAATCTACATTCCTAAAAACTTGTAGTGATATACTTTTCAGTGAATAGAAATGTCTAATAAATGCATAATGTAAATTGAGCAGATAGTTATTCTGAAAACTGTAACGATCATTTTCTTTAGATTTTCTGTATTGAAGCTATCATATTAGATATTAAGATTAAAATGCTAAAGAAATTTAGCAAGTATTGAAAGTAGATAAAAGTGACAGAACATTGAATGCTAGAACAAAATACAACCAAGAATTTAACATCCCGTTGATTTTAATTAGCCTATTATCCAATGATGTTTCAAACATTTTGTTGGAGCATCAACTTAAACCGAAAATAAACTGTTGTCTATACTTTTGATTGTGAAGAAAAGTATTCACACCATTCCTGTGACATAAAAACATGAAATATGATGTAATCATTGTCAATTTCAGGGATATTGTTATATGATAGATATTTTTTGCAATTATTTGATTTAACCATCTATAAATCTAATAAGAAACTAGTCATGAACGCATGAACTCTGATCTTATGTCGATACCTGTGGATAAATGATCCAAATTTTAACTTCTATAATCAAATACATCTTGTTGATCGTCTTTCACAAAAGTATTGTAACTCTTAGTTTACTTTAAAAAAAGATAAAGCATCGTAACACTATACTGAAAAAGTAGAAAAAGCACTTGGCTTGTCTGTTGTAATATTATTTAGATGTTCATCGTGTTATTAAATTTATCTTCAAATTATTAGTTTTTTTTTCTTGTTTCTAAAACATAGTGTCTTGATTATGTTTTTTCACGTCAATTAAATTAGGAATCATACTTGTATCAACTGTATGGCTTTGCAATTTATCCATTAACATGCACAAATGAAAACAATGATAAAGCCTTTTATCGTATTCGTATGTAAGGTTTTGTTATAGAAAAATATTTTTCATGAGACCGACAAATAGTAATCCATTTATCTTTATTTATTAGTCCTTTACTTCATATTTCTGTTACAAAATCTGTTCTACTATGGTTGATTAAATAAATCATTATTACACGATTTTTCTTTTTTTTTTAGTAGTACAATCTATTTGTTAAAAAAAAGGAAGCGTACAAATGTTCGATCTATAAGGGCGTATAAAGGGACAACAAGAGGAAATGTTCTATATTTGTTTTTACCAGTTGGGTGTTTTCATTCCACCAACTAATTGACTTCGATTGCGAAAATAATCTTGTCGAAGATTTTCATGTTTGTGAACGAATATTGAATAGGCAATAAATGGAAATATATACCAACGTTTAATGCATACTTCTTTCAGCCAAAAACGAGTTACTTCGAGTGCCATTTGAATCTTGGTTTGATAAACTATGTTCAAAATTCAAAAACGTTGATAATTTTATGAAAAATCAAGACCAATAATAGATTGATCAATACGGCAACGTGTTAATTTGTCGTTGTTACTTTTGATGAGTCATATCAACTGCGTTCCTAAAGGATTTCATATAATTGGATACTTAATTTTTTTGCTGAAAATGACTTCGAAAATAAGAATCGATAAGTTTTATAAAAAATGTTTTTCGTTAATGTTTTTCTCAAATTTTATCATTGGTTCAGCATTTGTCCAATAAATATCCATTTGAATCCAACAACAATGTGTCGATCAAGTACGTTCTAACTCATGCATTGTTGTTTCTTTTCAACTAAATAATGGGCCTTTGCAAATGTCCTCAACGCAAAGTGTCCACTTTATTTTGTTTTAAACATCATGTTAACGTTTGCGAATCATGTCTTGTTAATGAACATGCTCAATGTATTGTACGCTCATATGTATCTTGGTTACAAGATAATGATTTTAATCCAAACTGTTCTTTATGCAATCGATCATTAAGTGAAACTGATGAAGAAACCATACGTCTTGTTTGTTATGATTTATTTCATTGGTCATGTCTTAATGAATATTTTCGTTCATTTCCAAATCATACAGCACCTGATGGATATACATGTCCAACATGTCATACATGCGTTTTTCCACGTGCAAATCTTGTTTCACCGGTGGCTGATCATTTACGAGCAAAATTATCGACAGTTGATTGGGCAAATCGATTGCCAATGTTGTCATTGAACGATTCAAATTTAAATCAAGATAAACAACCATTATTAACAGAAACTGAAAATAATGGTTATGTTATTGTTAATCCTAAAGTTAGTGGTACAAGCGGAGGAACAAGTGGATTATCACATCATCCACATCGTTCAACTGATATGCCACCAGGAACAACAATACTAACAACAAGAGTATGTTAATTAAAATTTTTACAGATCTCTTTTACAGATGAGTTAGTTGTTTCTATGATACAAACAATTTGTAGGCATCACGCTTTCTCAAAAATATTCTTTAACTATTAAATATCGAATTGAGAGTAAAATTCATTATAATATTATGAAAGAACAATATAAATTAAGTAAGTGACATTTCGTTCGACTGCCCAACAAAACTAAATTAATGAGCTTGTGTTGAGATTGATAATGCTTCGTTTTCATAATTTATCAATATTAGTAGAAAAACTAAAATATTTATAATTCTATCGAGCTATTTATTTATTTAATGATAAAAATAATGATTGTTTTAGCCATTTTTTCATCATGAAAAAAACCAAAAAACAAAGTTGTTCATGTCATTTGTTTCATTGAGACTGGTTGATTAAGTTTCAGTAATGCTCAAAGAACATTATATCGAATTCTTGTTTCTATAAACACTAGATAATCAATGCTTTTTTTTTTACCATTTACATCCTTTCAGCTAGTGATCAGTGTACAAAACAAATATGCCTATCTGCAGTGACACCGTTCATATAATTTTTGTTGTTGTTGAGATAGACAATCGAATAAGAGAAGTTTTTTTTTGGTGCTCAGCTACTATATCTTTTCGGAGTTGATTATTATGACATCAACAGATCGTATTTAGATTCATCTACAATTTTTTTCTAGTTACATTACTAATTGATTCATGCACAAAACAAGATCTATACTTGACATATTGGATCTAATTACAGCTTCAATGTTAGAAGTATGCTAGTTTTTATAAAGATTTTTCTCGTAAATTTCAATTTTCCTTGTAATTTTTTTTATAATCTTTTATCACTTGTCTATTTTAGCCATCCAATATGGATTCAGAAGACGAAGATAAATATAAACGTCGTAGTATTTTTACATGGTTTGCTCGATGGTTACGTTCTCGACAGCCAACTAATCGAAAAGGTGGTCTATTAACCAATAATCGAACGCAAATGTCTCGTACTCGTTTTACAATCTATATGATATTAATCATTTTATTTGTTTTTGTTACAATTATAACAGTTTTATATCATTTAACACGTGGTGATGATAATGAACATTTAGATCGTATCAATGATCCACAATTTAATCCATTGAATAATCCATTCATTCGTGTTGGAAATCGTTTATTAAAAAATCCTTTAAAAGATTCCGATGCAATAATCAATAAAGATCAATCACAGTGAAATATTACATAAACAATATTTATCCTTTTTTTCTCTCTTGATCTATTGGTTTAGTTTATTTCACATTTCACTTTTTTTGTGTATATGGTTAAATTTTGTTTTAAGAAGAAAAAACTGACAATATTCATCTATCTCTCTAAGAAATCAGATATATATATATATATATATATATGTTTCTAGATGAATATCATTCGTCGTTTTCTTTCAACTTCAACAGAAAATAGTGCATATACTATTTCATCACGTCTTCTTAATCGAAATCCACGTACACTTGAATGGCAAAATTTGCAATGGCGTGCAACTGGTTGGCCATTACAATATCCAACAAAAGATTATTTACATCGTGCACGATTACTTTCATCGGGTAGACATTTAATAGCACAAATCAATCATTATTATACTGGAAATGTTTGTGTACAAGTATCAACACGAGAATGGGCTATAAGGAAACATTTAGCCACATGTAAAGATCGTTCAGTGGCATATAATCTTGCATTGATACTAGCACAACGTGCGGAAGAATGTGGAATATCAAAGATACATTTTGGCCATCCACATGATCAACGATATGAAAAGTCATCAAGATTGCAATACTTTTATCGTGGTTTAATTGATTCAAATATTGAATTCGAACAAACCGAAGATAATCAAACACAAGCGACACGAGATGCAATCGATGGAATTAACTATGACGAACATGAACGTGATGTTAGATATGCACCACCAAAAATGCATTATCCCCCTGATGCATATCAAGAAAAATTACATTATTTTCAACTTGGGTTGAATAAAAAGAATGAACTATTATCAAATGATGACACAAATAAAGAAAGAAAAATTTCATCGTAATTTATTTTTTTGTTCTTAGATCAATTTACAGATAAAAGAGTTTCTAAGAAACGTGTTTTTTTCTCCTCTTGATAGTAAAATATTGCACAGGTACGAATAAAAACGATTACATTAGACAAACTATATCAGTACATGTTATACTTTTATCTTGAATTCGAGTCAGATGAGAAACTCTCATCAATTATTTTCTGCTTAGGGGAATTCAAACAGGTTTTGTCTTTTATTAACAACTATCAGAGTCGACGAGCATTGAAAACGTTTTTGGGAGCAAAAGTATAGTATATTTATCAATTTGATTTGGTGCAGAATTGTACTATTGATAACTATTTTGTTTTGTTAGTCAATCAACCATATTTCCAATAGTATTTTTTAATGAATACCATTGATCCATGTCAAAAAAAATGAACATGCGAATTTTAAACTGGAATTCTGCTTAGATAGAGTCCTTCGTGAGAATAGATTCTTTTTTGGGATCCGATTGTTATGATCATCTTATGATAAAATATCAGATTCGATATTGTTACTTCAAAATAATTAGAAGTAATGCTGAATATTAAAATCTTTCAACATAAATTACCCTCCTTCTAGCTGTTTTTTTTTCTATGAAATTTGAACTCGAAAATTTATTTGAGTCTACAAGATACAGACTGTTGAGATTCACAAATCGTTGATAGGAAAGAATATTCTCTCTAGCTAGTTGAAATCAAAGGAAAGAAGTTTCTTTTGAATGGTATGCGTTTTTTTTAGTAAGAAAACAGCTTATTTCTTGAAGTATAATTATTAGTTGCCATTATCATTTTTTTCTCTTTATATCCAATCATTTATTAGATTATATGATTAAATAAATAAGACTCTACTGTGAGTAATTTCTTAGTTTTCAGATTTCTCTCTGATTAACAATAGTTTCATTATTGATATAGTTCATTTTTTAAATTCTATACGTTAAAACTCAATGTGTACTACTATTGGAAATGTCTTTAGCTTTGTTTTGTTTTTAAATTTCAGATGCTAAATCGTCTTTTTTCTCACTTTGTTCCTTTATCAATATCAACATTTCAACAATCTCTTCGTTTTCTATCATTAACACCTATTAATTACAAACGCACACATTCTGATATACGCGATGGAGCCGTACGCGAAATAAATTTACGTCCTGAAAATCTTCAAACACCATTGAGTATTGATGTTGATAAATATTATGGTGGTATTGGTCAAGTTCGTGAAACAGATTTTGACAAATTAATCGGTGATACAAATAATCCCGAAGTTCTACAAGTCAAATATGAAGATTTACCCATTGTTCATATCAAATGTACACGTAATAATACACTAGTCGATGTTAGTGATTGTACAGGTCAACAAATTTTTCGTACATCATGCGGTGTTGTTGGGTTTCATAATGCAAAAAAAGGTACAACAACAGCAGCACAAGCTGTTGGAATACATATGGGAAATAATTTATTACGACGTAACATGAAACATGTACGAGTGGTGGTTAAAGGTACTGGTCCAGGACGTTTAATGTCAATAAAAGGTTTACAATTAGCTGGAATTGATATTGTTACTATAACTGATAATACAAGTATTCCAACATTACACGTTGGATTACAACGACCAAAGAAAATGAGGCGTGTTTAGATAGATTCTTCTTCTGTTTTTTTTTGTTTTAGATGTCCACTCAAAATTCCATTAGTACTACGACGACGTCGACTCGTCAAACTTCTTCACGTCGAAAATGGTTTATAGATTTGCAAATGCGTAAAAGTGAACGTTTAGCTGTTGCTAGTGCAGCAGCAGCAGCCAGCTCTGACAATACGTTAGCACCATCACCACCACCGACAACAATAGCTGCTGCAAATACTCCTTCATTATCAAATGTTGGTTATAGTGAACAAAGAGTAGAAAATTTAGTATCAAACGATGATGATGATCGTTTAATAGCTAGACGATCATGGGATATTGCATTGCAACCAATAAAACAATTACCAATGAATATGATTTTTGCATGGATGGCTGGAAATACATTTTCTCTTATGTCGATTATGATTGTTGTTATGTTATTTATGAAGCCAATACAAGTGAATAGATCTAGTTTTTGTTTATTTTAATGCATATCTTACTTTTCGTTTTGTTTAGTCTATGTTTTCTCTTGGTTCTGCTTTTGCATCATTAGGACAAGAGGGTTTATCTGGCAATATATGGTTACATAAAATCATCTATCTTTTGGGAAATTTAACACATTTAGCACTAGCTTTATATAAATGTCAATCGATGGGTTTATTACCAACGTATAATTCTGATTGGATTGCATTTGCTGGTCAACAAGCTCAAATGGAAATGACTATTGGAGGATTGTCTTATTCCTAATTAAATTGTTTTTTATGCTTTCCACTATTCTGATGTTTTATGCAAACAAATAAAGTGAATCAGCTAGAATTTTGATTTATTTCTCCTCAGAATAAATGAAGATATATTTCAACAACAAATTATTAGTAGTAAAAATGTTTCAACATCGAAGTAACATCATGTACAATGTTGAACTACAGCAATATATCTGAAAAATTTAATGAAAGCAAAAGTTTCATTTACTTGCTTTTTTTTGCAGCAGCAGCAGCAGCAATGATTGGCAGAAATAGAAAGTAGTAGTAACAAGTTCATCAAAAAGAATTGCTCTTCTGGATAAACTATTTTCGGCTACTGCTCATAACTAGGAACACAGTTCTTTTTATGATAGAAGTTTTCTTTTACAAAGAGTTATCGTCACATTACATCCAAATAAGTTATTCAGTAACTCTTTATAGGTTCACTAAAAAGCAGGTTTTTGTTTTAACTTCGACAACACAAGCTGCTAATTCACTGATATCATAGTATGGATCAACGTTCTATAATGTTAATATCATTTTCTTGCCTTGAAATCATATAATTCTGTTTAATAGATTGTTATAGAAAAGCACATCCTAGCTTAGCATATTGGCATAAGAAATTCTTCGGTTGGATAAAGATTCAAATTTGTCGTTCTTGGGAACCAATAGCATCTATCAACGTAGAAAATTTCAGATAGATATCCGGAAGATGTATACTATTTACGGAATTCAGTTAAATAACTTTCTTACTGACAAATAAAATTAGAACAGCCTTCTTAGTTTTTTTTCTAAATACACTAAATAGTGATAATAAGTATATAGACAACTGATAAAGCAACACCAGTAACTTATCTCGAGTTAGCTTATCGATACAAAGTGTTCATTATACTAATAAATTGTTGTTTTTTGGAGAATCATCTGCTGAGAACTACCTTTAATCGCACCAAATAACACAAGGCCTTCATTTATTCAATTGATTTAATTGATGACCACTGAAGAATTATTCGAACGTTAGACTGAAGTGGTTGAAGTATCGTCTAGCAAAAAAAACTATTTATTCTAATGTAATATCGAAAATTTTGTGTTGATTTCTCGAATCATCAAATTCAAATATTAACAATCGCTAGCATCACACTCATTATAATAATTTGATTGATAACATTTACAATGAATGCATCGTATTTTATCATATCGAGATAGTTTATGTTTTGAATGAAACCTTGATGATTTTCTTCGATACTGATTATCCAATAATGAAGATCTTGATGATGGTGTCTCATGATAATGAGGGCGTGCCAATGTCCGATCTCTATAATCATTCTTTATTCGTTGTTTTGATACTGAATAGTATCGCTTATCTAAATATGTATGAGAAATATTGATTGATTTTGTCAATATCAACGATAAAATTTACCATACGGTCGTGAATCCCGTTGGAAAATGGGTGCTCGATTAAAATTTGATGATCGCTGCGATGAGCAAATAGTATATTGTTGATTTGAATCTAAGGCAGGGTAATCAGGTGTACGCATAGCAGATGGTATCGATCTATTGTATGCCTCCTGACAATCATAATCATATTTTGATTGTTTTTTATCACCATCGCCTGTTGCTTTCATTGGATGCTGACTTGTCTCAGTTGTTCTTTTGATTATTTCAGATATTTTCAAAAGTGCATCAATAATAGCTTTTTCAGTGGGATATCGTTGCATTGAACGAAGTTTTTTCATTGGTACAGCAAAAAAAGTATGATGCGAAAAGTAAAAAATATTTCAAAAGTTTACATGAGCGCCTATCTTTTTTAAAATAGAGTTCTAAAAATCTTGCTATAAAAATAAAATTTATCTACGGAAGACAACAATATATAAAGGATTTTTTTAGCGAGGGATCGAATATTTTGCTTGTTATTTCCAACATAAAACTAATAAAAAAAAGTATTTTGAAGTTAAAAAACAACGAACTCAAATGCTGTTATTGAGATTCTTTTTAAGAGAGAGATCTAAGTTTCTCCACCTTTTCTAAATAGGCCGCTCGACATGAATAAATTATCTGATCAGAATAATTCAATTTATTCTAGTACAATGAATACTGATTCGATTATATGATGATAAAAAGTTTGTTTCCAACTTTCAGAACTTAGTTAAAAGTCTGACGTGTTCTCAATCATAATTGGAGCTAATAAAATAAGATTTGCATTCGTCACACTTGGTATCATTTATTCATTTTTATTTGTATATAAAAATTAGTTTTTTCTTTCTAAAGAAAAGCAGATTATTTTGATGTCATTTGATTTATACACATGTACTACTCGTGCTATTCCATACTGTTGGTGAAGGACAACCACAAGTATTCGCGGTCACATTACCCCATGCCATATTTCCTGGACAAATGCAATGCCCTAAATAGCATACCAGATTGCTTGAACAAGCATATTGTCCTGGACATGTTCCATTAAATGAATGCTGGCCTGTACATCGTTGTCCATCCCAAAAAGAACCCGCTTGACAATCACACATGTATGCGTATGACGTTGAATAGCAATTGCAACCAGTACTATTTGCTGGGCAAGACAGATTAACCGTTGTATTACATTGAAAATCATATTGACAAGAAACGGCGTAAGTTTTCTAATAGCAATAAAAATAGAAACAGTAAAAAAAAGAATGCACGAATAGATCATTTTAAAACCTTTTTTTGACACCATGATGTTGTTACATTATCCCAATAATTATACGGATCACATTGGCATATACCTGATCCACACGATAGACCTCTTGTAGTGTCACATGGTATCGATGTGTTACATGGTTCTCCGCCAAGAGCATCTTAAAAATTTCATAATATTATTAAAACACAACCTGAAAATCAATAACGTTACTTTGTACACATGTAAGTCCATTCCAATAAGCTGTTGAACTACATTGACATTGTGTGCCTGTTTTATCAAAAGAAAATTATTAATTTTTATTCCTTAAAATATTCTAGTTATACCTGCAGAAACTTCAGTACAAGTAAGACCTAACCAATCTTGGCAATCAAAGTTAGTCTTACAATCAGAGTTATATGTTAATCTAGCAATGCATTGACCTATAGTTGCACTGCCAGATGTTGTGTCCAAATAAGTAGTGTTATCGCAGGAACATATATCCTGACTTGTTGTACAAGTTTGATTTGTAACAATAGTACATTTTAAAGTGGGTCGACAAGGGATGCTATTACACGGATCACCAAAATAGCCATAACCTTGACATACGATACCATTCCACCTTTGATATTGACCACATGAGCAATTTTGTGCTGTTGCATTCCACGTAAAATCACCCAGACATAAACATGTACCAGCAGGACACCAAAGCATACGCGAAGCATCACATGAACGAGAATTCATATAACATGACTCACCCCAAAGTAGATATGGTTGCGTTATGACTCTAGGTGATGCTATCCAATAAGCAAGGCCACCTGTAAATATCACAATTAGAAATATCTCACTTTGAATATCGATGTATACTTTCACACTTTTACTCAAGAAGATGTTAATTTCATTTTTATTTCTGAAACTCATTTTACAAGATCGAAAATTTAATTCATTCTTTTGTTCAACATTAAGTTACCATCGATCATTTAATCTCTATTTTTGCTGAGATTCACTGATAGATATATTGTTTACAAATAGTAAACAAATATCTATCTTCTTCTCTATAGATTTCAATAATGATTAACAATCGTGTTTCTATTAAAAGCATCTCTTGGTGGTTGATAGTCATCTTTCAAATGGCCTAACATGATCTATTTTCTCAATTGAATTTTTCTTCTCATACGATTCTTTGTGACATGTATTGGTTCAAGTTTGCATCTTCTATGGATTATTTTTACTTACCAATCCCGCAAGCTAATGCTAGTAAAACTGAGCCGGCTACAAGTGCTGCTTGCCATCTTTGTGTTAAAAATGTACTTTTGCTGGCTAACTCGGAACGAAGCGATTTTCTGACTAAATCACTATTAACTACTTCCACTTGCATAAGTGTTTGCTCGTCGACTTCATCATCATTTGCTAATACTTTTGGAAATTGAATATCATTTGCTGATACACTTGATAGATCGCGCATCATTTCACTAACGGTAGGACTGACACTTTTGCTATCGTGATCTAATAAGTTTTGTTTAGAGAAGGATGGTGCAGGTGATACTCTCATTTCTTCTGTATTTTTTTATGTCGTTTGATGTTACACTCAACAAAAAAGAATCGATGTGTTTTTACAGTTTTTTTTTGAGTATTTTGATGGACCGTAGAATTTTTTTGACTTCCATCCAATTAGTAAATATAGAGAAAATATTGATTTAAGCATTAAAGAAAATGTAAAGGTAAATTGCTTGGTGGGATTACCATAATGATTTAAAGCGAAATAAAAAAAAAGTCATTAATGTTGGTCAGCCTTTTAAATGCATTTTACCATTACCCAGAAAGATGTTTTAGAGAAGCGTATAAATCACTTTTATATTGACATATTAACGAATCATTCCAGTTTTATTTTTGGCGTACGAACAAAAATTGACTTACGATTTCGTCAGCTGCAAACATTTATATAGAATCAAGAAAATAATAGATGTCTAACTATGTAACTTGTTTTGTAACTATGAAAAGTTATAAAATTGATAGTTTCAGTTTATAAGAAATAGAGTTTCATGATAGAAAAATGCTTTTATATGCATTCATATGTTCTTATTATTAAATCATCGAATTGTAGACTACAGTTCAGCGCTTTTTTATGTAAACATAATCAAGGTTTGGATCAGTTCTCATTGTTTTTCTGGCATAGATCATCACAACTCAATAGATATAGAAATAGTAATTAAACTGTGAATCAGTTGAAACGGATTCTAACAAAATTTGATACTAAAAAAATTAGATATTAAATGAAAGAATAAATAAATTGTTGTATTAACTATTTTCAAGACGTATAAGCCTTGCCTTTGTGCACCAAGATACGTTGAAGAAAATGTAAGATTAACAAATATTTCTCTTCTTCTAGCAATAAGATTACAGTACATGCACAATGTCTTTTTCTTCAATGTTATTAGCAGGAAAAATGTTTTTCTTATTAGTTTACGAGCAGTTTCTATTAGTTATGCAAATTAAGTGTTTTTCCGTAAATGTAAATGCTAGATGAATTTTTTTATTATTATAGAAGAAAACGTATTCTTAGAATAATGCTTAGATGTATCCTTTCTTCTTCGTTTATTAATGAAACCGAAAAGTAATACAGCAACGTGCTGCCACGCACACACACTCGGTCTAACACTGTAAACAAACAGATAGAAAAAAAAACGACATAGATCAACTATACAAATGTGTGCAGACGCTTGTAACAATCAACACTACAATGAAATTAATGTACTAACAAGTAACTAATAGTTGTTGATGTTGCTGTTGTAACATTGTTATCAGTCGATGATGAATTAGTGTCGACGGGTTTTGTTTGATTATGAAAATCTGGTAAAATTTTAAGGCGATTAAGGATTTGATCAATTATTGCTGTTGATAATGGTTCATTAGAAAACCAAAGTGAATTTGCAAGGCTTTGCCCAGCGATTGGAAATAAATAGAAAACATCAGCTACACCACGGACTTGTTCCGAACTAAGAATTTACCATTTTGAAACATAAAAATCATATTGTTTTATTAGACATCGTATTGGATCATTCACTTGCTCGGTTATTTCATAAACAGTTGGTGAGTTTCCTAATAGTTTCAGATCTGCATTTAAAAGAAAATTTTAATCGATACAATTGTTAGTTCAAGTCCTACGAGTTGAAAAAGTAAAACACGATGTAAACTCTGGTTGTTAATCAATAACAAACTATATTTTCATGTCTAATTATTTTGAGAAACATTTCTCCACCATTCCTTTACTTCATTCTCGAGATAATCTTTCATATACATTCTATCAAACATGGTGAAGTTAGTTCAACTTCTTACTCTCTTTTTAGATCGTGTTTTACAAAAATTGATATTTTCTACATGAAACGAACCAGTTACCAGGATTATGAGCATAGAATCTTAAATAATTCATTTGTTGTCCTTGTGATGAATTTGTTGATAAACGAACGCATTGGGAATATTTTCCAAAATTTGAAAATGATATAGCCATATGTGAGTCAACAGTCTTTAAATTAAAATATTTTGAATTTGTATAAATAAGTGTTGTTAGTAGTGACCATGGTGTCAATGTACCAAATTGATGTATATCATATAATAAGTTTTCGTCAATTAATGATACATATGAATTAGCTTAAAAGATTGGCACTTGCAATTTTTTATTGTTCTTATAAAATTTCTACTTACAACCTGTTAAAATACGCGGCATATAATTTATCAGAATTTTATTTAATGTTGAATTAAATTCAACATAACAGGGGTCAAATAAATCAATCTGACGATTATTTAAATTTAAATAAAATTGTATACCTAAATGTTTTATATAAGAGACATTTCGTAACATTTTGATAAGGATGAAAATGCGAAATTATTGAATGGAACAAGGTTGTGAAGAGTTAACTGTAGCTTTTCAATAAAGAAAATCACAAAACAGTGCGATCTGTGCATAGTTGCAAAATGGAGTAAAACACAAAGACAAGTATACGTTTTGATCTGATGGTTATCCTTATCCTAATCATCTATTATTACATTCAGACAAAATGCTGACAAGTCACAAAGTCATTGGACATAATTGTAAAAGAATATCAGTTCATATTCTTCTAAGAAAATATATTTCTGTGATATTTAATAAATTAAACTGAACAGCTGTTTTGTAGGACTAAATAGTATACTTATTCCTGTTTTGACTGAACAAATCTTGTGAAAAAAATCAAAAAAATCTAACAATCCTTGAGAATCGTGAGAAAAGTTTTTTTAGGGAGTAGTTATTTTTCTGTAGACTGGTTTTAGTGAATATTCTACTGCAGATATAGACTATTGCATGAAGTCTATTTTGAGATTGTTGAACTTTTCTTTATTGATACTAAACAGATATTACTGAATCAGAAAATACTTTCATTCATATCTACATGAAAAGAACCTGTTCCGGAAAATGATCTTCATAAAAAGATCGACCTCTTGGTAACATCTTAGGAGATCTAGAGAGAATTTTGTTTATTTAAATCATCGTAATCATATCGAATTCTTTAGCATACCTAAGCAAAGGTAATAGATGCTCTCTGATAAATATTGCTCGCCTGTTGGACGGCGAACGTCACGTATGAATACACCCATGACTTGTTGTAATTCATCTCCATTTGTATAGGAAAGTAAATCGGATTTAACAAGATACTATTTGACTATTGCGTCTTCTAGAATAATTTATAACTTTTAAAAAACAAACACATTGGATTGAATAAAATACCTTCAGGTGTATTTATTTCTGATGGATTTAAGATAGATTTATTACGTTGTGCACACCATTGTTGAAATGCTTCAACACCATAAGTCCATTTAAGACGATCACCAGCATCGGGTAACACTCGAAGAAGCTTATGTAATAGAAGATTTATATTGAAATGAAATTATTGTAGACAATACTTTTTGAACTTCAGGATCATTCGATGTTAAAGGATCAATGTAATGTGCTTCCACATCAAGTTCAGGCAAATTTTCAATAGCTTGTGATGTTGTTAAATAAGAATCTAATAGAGAAAATATATGTGTAAGAATGAACAACTTGAATATAAAATAAAACAAACCATCACGGGTTAAATCTATCATCGTCATCGAATCATTAATATGACTTGTTATTGTTTGCTGTGGTTGATTTTGAGCTCGTACAAGACTTTCAGCATACATAACAAGTGCTGCTTCATATGAATCATCTGGTAAAAGATCTCGCTGAGTCTAAAATAATATCGAATTAGAAACTGTTCTATTTATATCACCTCAATAATCCAAAAAGCAAAGTTTTTGCAACAGAAAAGTTGCAGTCGTTTTTATTTTGTTACACTCGTCTGTAAACTTGTATATTTAGTTAAAATCTTCTACTATATTTCATAGACCTACTTAGGATCATGTACACAATTTCAAATATTTTGCTAAGAGAAAAAGAGCAGGTGTAGATCTTCCGTGATGTTTTCCTCTTGTTCTCATACTAAAAGTTAGTTAAAGATGTTGTGATTTGAGAGATTCAGACAAGTGTATCTCGCTATTTCTTCTGCGAAAGGTAGTTTAACAAAGTTCATGATCTAGATATCTAGTGATAGGCAGAAGTTAGCTATCTAAGATAAGTTTATAAATTGATTCACAAGATAAATGAAAACATCGATCTTCAAAGTCTACAAGTTCATGATGAAAGTATATGATTATAAGTGATCTGTACTGTCAAAGCATCGACGAGCGACTGTACTATAGAAATATACGTCTATGTCACTCCTTTCTGTTGCTAAAAATGATAATATCGAAGTATTAAATATCTATCAGTAGTCTATCAAAATCTACTTTTAAATGTTGATTTATCTTATTTGAAGGCAATCTTGAATATTCTCATAAACGTTTTTTGGTACAGGTATCATAATTGGTACAAAAAAAAGGTGCAGGTATTGCCATTGCTTTCGGTTCAAATAGCCGATAGCTCGGCGCTGGTGAAGGAAGATAAATTGGTGCAGGTAATGTAACTAATGGTACATTGAGAATCATATATTCCATTTCTATACATAGGAATAAAGACTGTTCGAGATTTAAAAAAGTTGACATTTTAATCAACAGAAAAAAATAAAACCTGTTTGTGTAGCAACGGTAAATCGTGTTGGTTTAGCTTTAACTTCTTGTTCGCATACTAAAGGTTTACACATTGTCGTTTTATTTTTCATTGTTGATGGATTTGTTATTTGTTGTGGTATAATAAGTGGTACAGATGACTTTACACGATACAATTCATCATCGGGCCAACGCGGTTATTTCTTATTAGCTATTGGTGCTGCACGTATTTCAGCTACTGTACGTGGTTTTCGTCCTAGTCCAGCACCTGCTATTGGTAGTAATGAATTTGAATTTACATTTTGAGATTGTTGTGGTGGGCGAGGATAATCCATTAAACGATAAGGTATGTCATCTTCATCATCTTCTCCGTTGTTTAAAGGTATGGATGGTGGTGTTGGAGGAATTGGGTTACCATGTTCATCGCGATCCAACAATGGAAATGTAACAATGTCAGCGTTTTGTTTTGGTTTAGGTACAAGTGTTGAACGACGTGTTGGACCTAAATTATCATGACCACTCATGGAGTACGATGGAGGAGATGAATCACGATCTGAACCATTATCATCACCGGATGAATGATGTCGAGAACGATTTCTAAGAGAAGAAAAAAATTCGATTTCGAATAAGTATGTTACTTGTTTTCTTTTAAATATATTTACTGAAACCAAGAAAGTGGTCGTCGTTGAGAAAAATGTTGATGAGAATGATGCTCAAAATTGCTTGAGGATGTTAAACGACGTTGTTGTTCAAATGATAATGATATTGATTGTTGCTTATTAGACATTAATCCAATACGATTATGATATTGTCCTTGTCCAGCAGTTGTTGGCCGTTCAAAAAACACTCGATCATCATTAATAGCTTGTTGTTGTTGCTGCTGTAAAGGTTTACGAATGGTAGCTCCTCCACTAGATGTTATTGTTGATTTAACAGCTGTGCCTGGTTGACTACCACCACCACCACCACCGCCAATAACAGATGTACCACCAAAATTATTAGCTGTATGTGTTTGACGAGATCTTAATGAACCAATATGAATACTTGATTTCGTATCTATTGTTTGTGGAATAGATTTGCGTTCAATACCAAAATGTACAATATCAGCAGGTGTCTGTTGAATAAGTGATGTTAATTCTTGAAGAAGAATTTCAGCAGATATTTGAGAAACTTGCGGTGAAGGTAGAATAGATACAGTGGATGATACTGTTGATGTTTCTGGAGAAGAAGGTACAGTTAATAATTCAATAGTTTGACCAATACTGGGTAAATCTAGAATCACGTGAATAGAGATCATTTACGATAATGCGCAAAGATTTTTTTTTAGTGATTTAATATTGTCAGTTTCCACCTGTGGCAAAATAACATCAAACTTAGTTGCTTTTGATTAGTACAGAATTTAGAACTATGATCATATGCAGTTTTAGTTGGGACTCATAAAGGAAAATGAATATACTAGTTTTCTCTCAATATTTGAACTAAAAATTAAGATGTTATCGATCATATGCACGTTTCTTTATATTATCGAAATGTTACTTCGATCTGATTCTGTCGTATAGGGCAAAATGAAAATCGGATCGGAGGATACTATCGATTTTTCATTGATTTGAAAGAATTTTCTAAAAATTGTTTTCACCTGTTTCAAATTTTGCAGCAAAATGTCAAGCTACTTTGACTTGATCAATAATATCCCTTTTTTAATTCTTATTTATCAAACATAATCTGAAAGGAACACCACTTCTCTGCAAGCCATGATACACATCGATAAATGATCATAATTCCTTAAATGAATAGTCTATTGGTCTAATATGTGTTCCAATATAGGTAAAAATAGAATTTTATGACTTGGAAAAGCAGGCGTAATGTGTTTTACATTTTAACATCGTAAGAAACTTTGATTCCATATTTGAATGTCTCAAAATTCTAGAGCCAACACAAATACGGTCCTAAGCAGTTTTTGTTAAAATTTCATAAGAAAAACGACTCGAAATAGTATTGTTTTATTCGCATTTCAATGCTGGCCTGCTTAATAATAGATTGGTCAAATTTATCTTTTGGATGTATTTATTGTATGACTTCGATTGAAACGTGTGTTTGTTTACTTACAAGTCTTGCCTGTTTTATTGAGTTCTTCGAGAAAATCATTCACTTCTGGCTTTGTCACTGAACTAAGAACTGTTTGTAGTGTTGCATCATCGACAACATTCGTATGTTGTTCTCTGTTTGATGTATCCATCATTGCTGGCTCATTCAATGAATATGACGGATCGACACTCCGTTCTATGAGCACAAAATTGACTAATTATAACTGTGAAAAACAAAAGGTAACCTTTGTCATCCTGTTGATTTACTTCATCAATTGTTGCATTCTGTAATACTTCTTCGACCATATCTTTAACAAATACATTTAAAAAAGCAAAGAAGGAAATTCTTTTAACAAATTCTTTTCCAACAGATGCCAGAAAAACAACACGAAAAATAGAATAAATAACACTTAACTTTCTTATTTTTTATAGCATTTTTTAAATACACAACAACAAAAAAAGAGACTAATAGAATGAAACTGCATGCAATACGGTTCGTTTTGTTTTTAATTCAAATTCTGTAAGTATTTCATCAATTGCATTGTCTAAATCATTTGTTGCTTCCATCTAGCGAAAACAAAACAAGATAATAGAATTAATTCCGTGTTCTTGTTGTTTTTTTCTTTAAATTTTACTTTTTGTCCTAATTCACAAAGCATAAATGCACCAAGTGTAGCATCTTCAGGATTATCAATGACATCAATATTTATAACATGAACTATTTCATTTGTACGTTTATCACGATTTTCTAAATCTATAAAAGAATTAGAATTCTTTTTTGTTTTTAGTAGTTCTCTTTTTTTACCTTCCATAACTTGATCAAAGATTCTTTCTTCGACAGTAAATATAACGTCGAAACGTTCTCGACTATCTTGAAAACGTTCAGGTTTTTCTTTTATACGACGATTACGATCAAGCATATGAAGAACACCATTTTGTGTATATCTTAAATACATTAGAAAGATAACTGTGTGTTACAATCAAAGTCAATATTCTACTTACAAGCTTGCGTCTTTATTGTATAAATCTTTGTACATGAATTCATATGGAGTATCAAATGTGTATACATTAGGTTTTTCGAGTGATGGTCCAGGTAATTTAACTTGTTGACCTGAACCATATGATCTAACTAATAGACCGCGTTTACTAAAATAAAACAATTCATTTGTATAATATATGTGATTTAAAACAATGTTAATTTTTAGTCGACTTCAACCAGCAATATAAGTACAGAATGAAATATTCAATAAAGGAAGTAACAAAATAGAAAAGAAAAACGCCTTAAAAACAGTTGGTATTAGTCATAGATAACTTAGAATAGTAAGATGAAATATCTAAGTATATTCAGCAAATACTTGATTGGTTGATAGGACCTTCTAGATTATATGTGAATCGATTATATGTTATATCCATGAATTAATCAATAGTGGGAAATATAGATTCAGTAATCTGCAACATTAATATTGATACATCAAATAAATCTTTCAAAACAACATTTATAACTGTTATTTTTTGTTCTCCTGTTAAATATTCACAACTCAAAAATCTCAGATGATATCGTAGTCAAATTTATATGAACACTTTGTTAAATATGAAACAATGTTAAAAAAGAACTCTCTTGTAAATGCATTCTTTTACTTTGAAAACGAGAATGCTCAGAAAAACAAACTCTAACATTTCAAGAGGACTATTGTATAATAAACGTCATGATTTTAAACTTTTCTCCGTAGTCTCCTCAACGAATGCATTGAAAAAAACAATTGAAGTTTATCAGAGTTGAGCGATTGAAATCATGTTCTCACGTCAAACTATCATACTGACAAAAACCTTTTCGATGAAATGATTCTGTTTATGCGTCGATATACACGTATATCCCGAACTAGGGGTGGACCATTTTTTTTAACGGAACTTAATTAATGACATTAATTAATGACTTCCATTAGCCATTAATCTTAATGCTTAATGTTTTCTAAGAAAAACTTAATTCATTAATATTAATGATTAATGAAAAACATTAACATTAATTTTAAAATTAATGTTTTCATTAATCATTAATATTAATGAATTAAGTTTTTCTTAGAAAACATTAAGCATTAATATTAATGGTTAATGAGAAACATTAACATTAATATAAAATTAATGTTAATGGTCCACCCCTACCCGAACGAATATTTTTACCTCATGAAATTATGTGCTTCCATACTACGATTTTGATTCGACGAGCAGACGACAGCGAAACGAAGTGGCATTATTTAGATCTAGAAATGCAGGACTATCGATATTTGATAAATAAACAGTATAAAAGCTAGAATACAATTGTATTTTTTTCCGAACAAAACAAAATAACAAAATATTCCCTAAATTGTCTTTAAACCGATTTCACCACAAGCCACACGACTACCAGCATTACCCGTTTTCTTTGAATTTGGTGTACCATCACGACCTACATCATCTTCTTTTTCATGAACAACAATTGAACGTCCAATAATCGACGTTGGATCTGTTAGTTTTATTACTGAATCATTAAAGTTAAACTTCGCGATATTGTCAGCATCAGCAACGATATTGCGTAGAATTTAAATGTTAATATTCAACGATACTAAAGACAAATTAAATACCTAGATCACCAACATGGCGAAGTTCATCTGGTGGACCAGCATGTTCATTATTGTCTGGATTATAATGGACACTTAAAATTAAAATTTTATTAAGTTCAACTAGGTAACTGCTAAGTGAAATTGGAATTTCTAGTTTTACTATTAGATTCTTCACTAGTTAACTCGACTTTAATATACAAATGTTACATAAAACTCTCAATGAGTATTTCTGACAATAGTAATTCTCTTCATAATTCAAGTGACCTTGTCAGATTTCAAGATTAATATAAAAGTCAAAAATGTTTCCTACATCAATTTTAGATAGTTCTTGTACTATGTATTATAAAATATTAGAGCACCTATCAACGCTACGATTCATATATGTCTTAAAATCAACCTATTTTGACTTCTACTTAAACATCAGCTCGAAAGAGCATAAATTACTGTTGAATCTTATTTATTGGTAGCTCGCCTAAATGTTTCGTTAATAATAAAAATGAATCGCTTTACTCATTATCGTTGACATTCGAATGTAGCATGATTCATTGTACACGATATTGTGGCTAAGAACATGGCAGTACTAACGTGTAATTCCTAGAAATTACGTATGATCTAAATTTATAAAATACTGAATTTTGTTGTTGTCTGCAATGAAAAAGCGTTGCAACATTTCAGTGAATCTCCAGCGAATCAAGATGTATTGTCAAATAAGTATTAACGTCTGTTTCTCTGTTAACTGGCATAATTTCATCTCTTCTAAAACCACAAATTATTCGTGGCTCTTCACATATTTGAGAGTTTAAGGAACTTCAATAAATTTTTTTTTTTAATTTAAAATAGAATATCTCCATTTATAGTATTGAGTTACTGAAGAATTCCCTATCACACGAAACGAAGCAATGTTAATAGATCACCTGATCAATAGAAGAACATTTGTTTTCGCCTCATTTTACACAAAATTCGCATAATGAACTGAATAATAATGGCAAATTGATTTACCTTTAAGTTGAATGGACGCAATGGTTTAGTTTCTGACAAATCACTGTAAAAAAACAGTAGATTCAAGAATTACACAATTAGATTAGGTGAAATATCTGAAAAACTATACAATTGTATTCTCAACAACAGTATCGTATGTAATGAGCTGCTCTACAATCAAAATGTGAGCTACAATGGGAATAATGGTTTCTTCTACGTAACATGAAAGTAACGTGTTAATTTATCAAATGAACGAGATTGAATATCAACTACAACTTAATACAAATGACTGTTAGATAGAATTCTATATAAGCTGATTTATGGATATGCTAGCATTATAATGTTCATAAGTACCACAATAGCCATAGATATATGCACAAGTTCTTCTAATAACAAATCTTAGTAGAAATATAACTGTCTGCATAACATTGGGGTTACATTATGTAGGTGAAAATTCAATTAAAGATTATTCATCAAATCAGACAGCATTCCTTATCTCGGATTTTCTCATGTTGTCAGTTAATTAAATCCTTTCAAGAAGTATTAATTCTTGTAGAATATCTATAGCAATAAAAAAAAGTCTATCAAAAATAAAACTATTTCTACGAATGAGATTCTCTTAACTTCATTCATTACCCACTGAGGTACATCCATTCATTGTATCACCAAATTCATGTATATGAAAACCATGTTTCTGTGCAGCGGATATATTTTTAACTTCACCACTAACGGTGACTGCTCCATCTTTTTCTTGTACAAAATCAACATGTCCATAAACTTGTTCACTATTTGGATGTGAAAGTACCGCAACTGCCTGTATACTCGATGGGCCCGGAAAAGATACACCTTTAACTGTATCGATCATTTTTTTGTGTGACACCACCCATTATTTTATTTTAAATCTAGAAAACAATGAGAAAAACAAAATTGATATCTCAATGTATTTCGAAAAAACAAAAAAAAAACATAACAAAAAAGCAACCCTGAAAAGACAATTTCGTGTTATTAATTAAGTGCCAAAACGCTTTCGTTTTAATGCTGGTGGTAAACACTGTTCAACAATAGATGGTAATAATTCGACAACAAACACTTGTGTTGATGATAAAAGTGTCACATGTAAAAGATATTTAAATTGTTTACAAACATGTATAGGTGAACTTGTTTGATTTGTAGTATTAAAGATTTTTGTGTATGTTCCTGGCATTTTTTTACCACGTTCAATTATACTTAAATAAGTTGAATCAATAACAAATAATTTATCTTTTGTATCATAGAATAAATTTATAATTGGACTTCGTTCGGAAAACCATTGTAATGGCATACGTGTTAAATGTTTTCGTGTCCAATCAGAATATTCATTTTGTTGAATATCATATTCAATTAATGAACGATTTGCGTATGCACATGCAAGACGATCACTGCAAAATGACATTGCTGTACATTGATAGGTTTGTTGTGGTAATTGTGCTAGAATACTATAGGTTGAATTTAAATAAATTAGTACATGTCCATAACGATCTGCTGTAGCTATGTATTTTGATGAAATTTCACAACGAAGTGTAGATGGTAAACATGATATAATGTGATTAAGTTTATATGGTGATATTGAAAAACAATATAATTGACTACGAGATGTTAAAGCAAATAATGATGATGAATTGAAACGTAATTGAATTATATTAGTTATTGAAGAAAATGATTGTTCGATATCTTGTTCATCAGAATATGTTTTAATTGGTGTTACACTCAATTGAGATTGAGGATCAAGGCCTTAAAAGAACATAAATATTTTATGAGCGCAATCATTTTTTGACTAAAATGGCAAGCTCATTTGGAATTTTTACGGATCATTTTTACTCACAGTAAATATTTGTAAGGAAAATTTTCTAGTAGAGTATTACTGTCTGACAAGATAAATCGATATTTTAATAGTTAACTTAGCTAGAGATGTATCCATGTACCACTGACAATCGTGTGCGAATGTTAAATAGATTTCGATTCTTGAAACTAAGAAGATAATCTACAGAAAATAGCTAAATTCTGTATATACTCGCAAAAAGTAATATTGATTCTTTCGGAAAGTTATAACTTTATCAGTTCACACTTTTTGTTTTGCTCATATGAGAATCTTGGAAATCTAATGTATTTAATCCCATCATTCTACATATCTACATTACGAATTTCATTCATACAAAAAAGCAAAACTTTCACTATAAGTTTTCTCCAACATTCTGAGTAAATTGTTTTCAATACTTTTTCCTATTGCTAACAAATATCGACAAAGATGTCTGATACCTGCCTTTCTCGAGTACTATCGAATAATCGATAACATCATTGTTATTGCTTGAATATATTATTAGCTTCTGATCCTGATGAATTACGAAAAATTGTTGACTTAATCATTACCTTGAATAACATAAACATGTAGACCAAGAGTATCTCCGACAGCGATGATGACTTGTTCTTCATCTTTTATTTTCTTTACTTTCATAGCAACAGTATCGATTCTCGCTTGATGTTTTGTTTTAATTTGAACAAGATTTTTTGGTGCACGTTCAAGTATATCTTCACCGTTTTCATTTGCACAACCTTCTTTTCCAATTGACCATAATTCAATATAATCTCGATATGTAAATAAAAAATAATTGCCTTTTTGCAGAATTTTATTTTGATGTTGAGTAAAATTGAAACATTTTCGCCATAATACTGGCGGTTTAGAATTGTCACGAATTATATCATGCACAAGTAAACGTGCATCAAGTCCACCTGATATTAACATTAATTTATTACTTAAATTATTTTCTTTTTTTCGTATTGTTGCAAAACGTGATGGAATCAATGTTAATGAACGAACATCATGTGTATGAGAATGGATTGATATTGTTTTTATCCATTGTTTTGTTGGATCATTATTTGTTGTAGTTGTTGCTGTTGTAGTGTTCGTTGTTGATTTTGGCGATACAAGTTCAATACGAACAATAACAGAATCAACACCAGAACAAAATAATGTTTGCTCATCCGATGATAAGGCCATACAAAGAACATCAGCACGATGAGTTTGAAATGATCTAAGAGATGAGAAAAGAATATGTTTCGTTTTTCGAACCGAAAGCTTTTTTCAATATAGAATTTTTTTGTTTCAAAGTTAAACATTTATTCAATCATCCACATGTAATTTATGTATTGATAAAAGATCAAGCAAAACAATGATAAAGAGATGTTTCTCTAAATAGATAGAAGAAAAAAATATCCTTGGCAATAGTAACTGTATCGTAAAGTGATTGTGTGGGACTTTTATTTTCAAGGTGATAAATTTTCCAATGGATCTATGAATCATATGGTTTTTAAACTACGACAACGACGCTTTACTCCTCTGCTTCACGTAAATCTCAAAAGAAAATAATATTTTCTCCTGCCGATGGCTATCATAGTTTTTGAACAAATAATCGAAATCACTGAACACAATAACGTACCGAATAAGTGTGCCATAAACAGCATCCCAAACACATGTGCGACCTGATGAGTCTCCACTGAAAACTGTATAATCATCAGTAACAGCCAAGCACCAAATAATAGTATCTTTTTGTCCACGTCGATTCGATGTTGCAGATACTTTTCCGACGTTGATTTGTTGAATAGCACGTTTCTGTTTTGTTGAACAAATATAAATTCGATTAATACTTCCAGCAACCAGAAAATCATCATCAGTTGTATGCCATGCCAATGAAACAATGCGCGCAGCTTGTTTACATACAGATGTAGCTAAAGAAAATTGACTAGCTTCCTTTGAAAAAAAACAGAAAACAAAATCTCATTTAAAGATGTTTGGGAACATTTCGTAATAAATATATTTACTTCATCAAGTTCATAAATATTCACATGTCCAGTTTCAGTTCCAACAGCTATTCGTCGAGTTGCTTCGTGTTTTGCAATACTCCAAATAGCTCCACCGGCTACATGGCATGATGTTAGAATTTCGAAAGTTATCGGATCATATGCAATCAATTGCCCGTCTAGACCAGCTGTTATTAAATATTTCTCAAGCCAAATAACAAGTTCAGGTGAATGTGAAGCATTACGTGGTTGAATTGTACGCTCAAGCGTAAATGAATCATGAGTATTCCATAATTCAATAGAATGATCAGAACGAAGAACAGCTAACAAATGATTTGATGATGAACTTTGATGATGATGATGAGCTAAACTTAGTATGGATGACAGACGAGGTTTATATAAATGAGTACGATGAACTAAGAAATCACACATTGCTCAGTTTAATTAGTAGGCCAATTAACTTGAGGATTTTATATTAAATGAAATAGAAGATTTTCGCTTTGTCTTTTTGAGCATCAAATATGATTCGTAGATAGGATGGTCAGGAATATTCGTGATGTTTAAGTTTCTTATTTAAAAATATGATATCAAAGTTATTGATGAATAAATAATATTTTCGATATTATTAAAAATAAAAATTCGTAACTGAATAGATGCCACTAGTTTAAATTGAACTTTTCAAAACAAACACACAAACATATAGTAATTTAATTGGATGATTGATTTTACCTAATCCAACATTAGCAAATGATCAAAAGGTGGCGTACTACGTCGTCGGTAGGGAATCTAGGGATATTTTTCAATTAATATAATCAGTTTTGATCAGTGACGAATTTATAGTAATGACTCCAGGCCGTTCACCCCTATTCCAAAATGTGATTCACTTTTTTCAATGAACACCTCATAGTAATTGAACTGAGGTTAAAAAAAATATATATATATATTAGTAATTATGTTCATGATCGTTTCATGTATGGCATGATATTGAATCGGTCTGATTGCGAAAATTCTATTTAATCTACCGATTCTCAATAATAAAATCGCAAAATTATATTTTAGGCAATATTTAATTCTGCAATAGCTTGGCGAGTTGAATAATCCATTCTGTTTGGATTTGATAGCATTTGAGTGACTATTGGCATTGGTTTACATTTACAATATGCTATAATACGAAAGACAAGATATTATTCGAGAATAATCTGAGAAATTCATTTTAAGACAGTAAGAAAATACTGTAATCAAATGTCAACACAGCATTCTACGATGCAGATTGACTCACAAGAGACTTTATTTCGTTTCAAAATAGGCAGATAGTATATTTTCCTTTAGTACTATTGTGAAAATAGATTGTCAAATGTAAATGTTCTCGTCTGTTATCATAACTACCATATATTCCTTGCAATATTACTTTTATCTCTTTTTTTTCATGTTTCAACATGTTGTTTTTGCAATCATGATTATATTTTTATGATAATACGAACTAGAAATGATATAACCCAAAACATTACTTTAATTATCGATTCTTTACATGAAAGATTGTTTATAATAGATAGTTTTTTTCTTTCTTTTCATGAGGTATTGTTTACAATGAAATTGGGCATCGTTTTATCCGTATAGAAATAAATGAGATGAGCAACTGCCCAGGTAATAGAATCTTACTGTAAGATCTTGTAAGATCCTTGCACGATTTCGTCAGATCTAGTAAGATTCTTGCATGACTTTTATACGATGAGGCAGACTTTATGATCTTATTGTAAGATTTTATAAGCTGCATAAAATTGCCAGATTTCATAAGATTGATCGGCCTGGATGACAACAAAATGATATATTAATGTAGAGTAGTAAAACTAAGCATATTTTTGAAAGCGAAAACATCAATCTTTTACTTTTTACTTTTGCCCACATTTTGGTTCTTACCTTGATCTGGGTCTATGTCAAACCAGACCAGTAAAAAATGGTCTTATGGGACATCTATATCAAATGATTCACATTGACAAGAAATGACCGATATATAATTACATAGTTTCTCAAATAGTTGTATTCCAGAAGTTATACTGATCTAGTATTTAGAAGAAAACGTGATCGTTAAACAATATGACAACGTAGAGAGGTACCAATGGTTTTGTTGAACTGTTTTGAAATTTTATTCAAATTGAAAGTAACGCTTTTGATTTAGAATCAAATTATGATCAACATTATTCTTAGATAAAAATGAAAATGAACACAAAAAAGACTTTTTTTTAATGTATAAACGAGAAAATTCTATCAAAATGAATTGTATTTCAAATTGTTACGATTGAATAACTTTCTCATCAGTAGGTTTATCGTTAATTGATAGCTATTCAGAAGAAATAATTCTTTGAGACATTAAGGAAGAAACTTCATTAATCATCGAATGTATTAGGAAATTATAATCAATATGTTTAATTAATCAATTTCCATTGTCAAGGATTCTAATCTGAAAAAGCAATACAGAGTAAAGCTGATATGATTTACATATCTTTTAAATTTTGAACAGTTTTAGATTTCTGTAAAATCCTCTAAGATATAAGCAATCAAAAATGTGAAATCGAATAAAAGATACCGTCGGACATTTATCGACTTCGACACAACATAATATTCAAGGTCTTATTAGTGTTTTCTTTATTAGCATTTATTTTTATACTCAATCGTGTTAGCAGAGGAGACATAGCTATATATCATATTGAATTTGTTTTAATTGATCATTAAGTAAACTTATTTGTTTTTTTAATGCAACATAATATCGGTGGTTTGTGCCTGGATATATTCACATAGACAAAAAACTACAAGAAAATGAATGTTTACTTTTATTGGTAACTACGATATTATTATGGCTGACTTTTTTTGTGTGACATGACCATAGACTAATCTAAATTGCATCGATTTAGTTAATAACTAGAACCACGATCGATTGGATAAGTTACGGATCAAGACATACCGATTTCTGACTCGAAGGCCACTATGTCGCCTTTATAACAATGACATTCGGAAAAGAATTTGTATTGAAATTCGTATGAACATGAGTATTTTAACACAGAAGCATATTGTTCTTGATTATTCAATGCTTTCAATCGATTATTGCAAATACAGAAGTATTATATAATTATTTTACTCATTCGTGTGATCTACATACAAGCAGCAGCTAAAATAATCAGAAAAGATTTATATCTATGATGAATGATATTCTGCTTTAATTCAATTAATTCTTTGGCAAAAGAAAAAGACTTCTTAAGGTTGAAAAATGACTTGTTCTGTTATTTATTACAAATAATTTACATGCAGACAAATACAGATTGCTATCGGTCCATGTGAATAGAGAAGGTAACAAAAGGACGGACCTTCTGAACATCAAGCGAAAGAGGAAGGCGAACAGTGATAAATGTATTCCTTAGATAAAATTTGTTAGAAAAAGTTTCTTTTTTATCAGTTTGAAATTTGTATGTCAAGCATGACAAAAAAATAATAATAGAAGACCTAACAAAAAGATATTATCACAGAAGAACTTGTTATTGTCCATCCGATCAGCTATTGGTTTTCAATGTTTCAGCAGATGAAGTAGAAACTAATTGATTTGTGGGATATTGACGTTGAAGAATAGCAAGTACAAAAGAAACATCTTCACTTAATTTTGTTTCCAATGTTGATAATCGTCTACACAAAACAACATGATAATACAGTTGCATTGCATAATTCATAATAGAAAAAAAGACTATTTACTTGGTTAATTCTTGTAATCGATATTCTACACTTGATTGATAGGGATCAAGTGTTTGTAAGTGAATTGTCTAAAAAGAAACATTTATTTAAAAAAAGAAAAATGTATATCATTTTGTTTTGTCACTGACCGACGAGCTTAGTTCATCTGTAAATGATGATCTGTTAGGTGCTGAAGTAGATGAAGATTGAGTAGCTAAAATAAAATTTAATAATTTCTATTCTATTTTTAGATTTGAATCCAATCAAAAAACCTTGAAGACCCGATAAACCACTTAGAGATTTTTCTGGACGATCACGACGTCGAGATGATAGTGATCCAAATTCAAGATTAGCTGGAGTTATATCTTGACCAGCTAGTTGAGGATTGAATTCAAGTATACCTAGATTTAAAAAGAAAGACAGTACATGGTGAGTAGAACAACACGAAAAATATAGTCGCTTTCGCTACTCGATATTGCTTGTGTTTTTTATTCATAATCTCTGCTTTTAGACTGTTTTTTCATGTAAACAAATAAAGCATCGTTGATAGTCTTCGATGCTTAACTGACACTTTATATCAACGATCGTATTACTTCTCATAAATAAATAATTATTTAGACATCATTTACTATTAAGGCTTGCACAATTAAATTAATGATCAATTAGCTTTCGAAAAGCATCAAAAAAGCATTTCAGAATTTAAGATTTAATGATATCATTTAAGAAAAATTATCTGATCATTTTTTTTCATTCATCATTTGATTACAGATACAAACATTCCATCGTAATCACGTGCTTTTAAATAAGAAAAATATATATATGACAAAAATATGCTGATTGCGTCGTTAGTTTTTTGTGCGAGATGAATATTAAGAATAACAAGATGATAAGAACTTATTTGTTTTCTTTTATTGGCAAACAATGCTTATGATGAATGACTGTTGACAAGCATAAGAAAAGAAAAGACAGCATTGCTAAGTACAGAAGATATTCCGAGCCGTATCATAGAAAAAAAAAGAAGAGGTAGTAAATAAGCTCTCGCCTTTTCCTCTATTCGTCGACGTATATTACTCAGGTCATTCACGTCAGACGATCTATACCGGCTGACTAACGTAGGAATGTCGATCTTTTTTTCTTTCTAATCTACGGAGATATATAAACAGTACTGCAGGGGTGTGGATGTATTCGTTTGCATCATCACTATTGACACGATATCAGTTTGTATATCTACGATGTATTGTTCTCAACGCATTTTTAGATACATGACCGAGAACTATAGAATGCATAATGTTTCTGTTTTTCATGATTTTTTTTCCAGATCTTTTAATATCTAAACGCTACTTGCAAATATATCTACAGAAACTATGTCAGACAATCAAGAACAACCTGTGATTGCTACAGTTGATGCTATTGTTGATGCTCCAGTCGAAGTGAAAAACGATCAAGCACAAGGTAATTATTTACTAAGGAACATTCCTAATGTGTCAGTAATGAATTGTTATTGTTCTTACAAATAGGAGTTGCCAACAGTGAACAATTACAACCAGCAGCTGAAACAAAACAGGATACAGAGCAGAAAGGTAGAAAACAATTTCTGTTGTTACTTTTTTTGTTTTCTTCATTTTATATTCAATATTTTGCTTATTAGTTGAGGAAGCGACAGAAACAGTGAAAGAACCTCAGGAAAAATCTGCTGAAGTTAAAGATGCTGAACCAGCAACAAGCAATGCTCAAGAAGCTGGTACGTTCGTTCACCAAAGAGGAAACTAACTAAATTTATAATTTCTTTTAACGATGAAAAAAAGCCATGTTTACTTCTTCAAATTTGTATAAACTTTTGTTAGGAAATGTTTTCGATGCTGAAAAAACAATGTAATTTATCAATTGCTTAAGGAAAATTTTGTTTTCTTTGACCAGAGAGCTCTCAGAGCAGAAATGTTAATATATAATATGCGTAACAATCTACATCACTGTGATGTTTAGACATTTGTTAAAACAAATATATAATCTCACTATTTTCTTTTTAGTAGTCCAACCAGCTAATGAAGCAAGAGAAGTTGTAGAAATGAAACCCGAGCAAACAACAGAAGTTAATGCACAATTAACTGGTGATGTCTCAAAGAAAGTCGATGAAGCGAAAAATGTACCGCAAGAAAATGCCGATCAAGCTAAAGAAGCTACAACAACTCAATCAGCTGATGAAGTTGTAAATAAACCCGAAGAACCTAAAGATACAGCAGAAAAGAAAGTTGATGAAGTGACAGATACTAATCAACAAAGTACCGAACAAGCAAAGGAAGCGCCGGCTCCATCAACTGATGAAGCACCCAAACAAACAGATGTAACTGTTGAAACAGCACCAGAAGTCGGAAATGCCGTAAGTGAAAAAAGCTATCTTCGCTGCCTATTCCTATGAAGCGAATTGGTTTTTAGGTCGTTGAAACAAGTCCAGCCATTTCGGACGTAGTCGCCGATGCTGCGCAACCGGTAAATTTCAATACGAGGGAGTAAATTATGCTTATGATTTTTGTTATTCTCTATTTCGCAGGCCGCGGAAACAGTAGCCGAAGTTGTCACAACTCCTGTTGCTACTACTGATTCAACAGAAGAAGCTCCTCAACCGTAAGTTTCATTACATTAAAACTGCTTATCTAATCCTAAACATTTATTTAGTTCTGCTGCAGCAGTAAGTGATGCAAAGGACGAAGGTAAACTAATATTCTAATCCTTTCCAAAATATAAAAAAGATAAGTTTTCATTCAATAGCTGCGGAGCCGAAAGAACAAGCACCTGAGAAAACTGAAGATAAAGACAGTCAAGTTAAATAAACGAATATATGCCAAATTATATGCTCCTTTTTCTTTTGTAGAAGTACAACAAGATGTACAAGAGACAAGTAGGGTTTTAGTTAAAGGTTTTTGTCAAATAAATTATTTCTAATATTTAGTTGCTGAATCAAAAGAACCAGAAGCTGCAACAGTCGAAGAAGTAAAAAGTGCAGCTAGTGAGATAACTTCAGAGGAAAAACCAGTTGCTGAAGGTAAATATGTTCGTTTTTTAAGTGGAATTTTGTAATTTATTTGTTTTTCATTCGATTAGAAGTTAAACAAAATGTACAAGAGAAAGGTAGGCTTTTTATAAATGCATTTTCAAACTAATTTTTATTTCGCAATTTTAGCTCCAGAATCACAAGAAAAAGCACCCGAAAATGTCGAAGAAGCACAACCAAAAGCTGATGATGTCGTATCTGATGAAAAAGAGAAAGTCGAAAGTAAATATTATCGATAGCAAGAAAAATATTACATATCTTATTTGTTATCTTTCGGCTAGAAGTCAAACAAGAAGTCCCAGAAACAGGTAGACGTTTTATTTAGTTTTTAAAGTTTAGGTTTTTGTCATCCAATATTTAGCAACTGAAGTAAAAGAGGCTACATCTGAGAAAGTCGAAGAAGCAAAAGATACAACAACAGAAGTTGTTGCTACTGATGTTAAAGAACAAATTCAAGGTATATATTTTTCTATTTCTTAAAAAGACTTCTCTCAAATTTTCACTATTAGAAGCCCAACCAGTTGTTGAACAAAAAGGTAAGATCATCGTTATAAACAAGACAGAAAAACTTTACGAATAGCATTTTAATTTGTTTTTCTAGTCGAAGAGCCAAAAGAAGCAATGAATCCAGCAGTGGCTGATGTCAAGGACCAAGCTGAAGGTAAACTTGTTCTTTGTATGAAAAAACAATTATTATCTCTTGTTATCGTCTTTGTTATTCATAGAAGTCAAGGTCGAGCCTCAACAAATAGGTATTTTAACTTAAACTGAAACATTCTTTATTTAATTTCGTTGTAGTTGAAGCTGCTGCGCTTAGCAGTGACGTACAAGCAGCCCCAACAAACGCTACTGATGCTATTGTTGTAGCACCGACCGATCAAAGCGCACATACCAACGATACTGGATCGCAATAAAAACAACAAACACTATCAAATCTTTTGCTTGTTTACATGCTTTTTTCTATTTTAATTCGTTGTATACATTATCCTTTCTTGCTGTGCGTGTGCTGGTTTATTTATTTAACCTATAGTGTTGCTTCGAAGTACTTCTGAAACACTAGCGCGTACACTATACGAAATAAATAAGAATACTGCTGAGTAGAGTGAATCTGCCCGGAATTTTCATAAAATATCATTTCTACTATACAGTTGTTATTACTCAAACTGTATATCTAAGATTAAATACAAACAACAAGACATTCTCTTAATGATATTCGCCGAACTTTATATGTCACATTTTGATGTTTGCTTGTTCTTTATAACAATACGATGTAGTTTACCTGTTCCGCTAGGATATTCATCAAAATAGGATTGATGTGGAGCCATTATTGATACAGCATCATCTTCTAATTTAGTTAACGATGTACCTAATATATATATTTATATATATATATATATATATTTATATACATAGGAAAAACTGATGATGGGTTTTGTTTTCTACAACAGTTGATATTTACTTGTTCGATATTGTTTTGGATTTGGTAAATATTTTGATCGACATTCATTTGATTTTGAGACAAGGTCTTCCTTTAACAGCAAAGAAATTTCGCTTTATATAATTATACTATCGTTTGTTTTTAGGACCGACTTACATCACGTAATGTAAGAGTAATTTTTAAATTTTCACAAAAACTTTGTGCAAATTCTGGATACATATCAATAACTTCAAGTAAATCATCACGTAAGATTTTATGTAAGTCACAATATGTTAATGCACGAACATTATAAGCAGATTTCCCTGGTTCATTATATAATACAGGATTTTCTCCAAGAATATCATCTTTACCTAAGAAAACAAAAATTTATAGGAATCAAAGTTATGATTGCTATGAACATACTAAGAATAGCAACAACATTATCATCCTTTAATATTTCAATTGAACCACGTGAAATAAAGTATAATGATGTTAGAATATCACCACGATGTGTTATTATATCACCGGGTGGTGCATGTGTTGTTTTTAGTTTCATTGAAAACGTACGTAAACAACCTTCGCTAGCATCTAAAAATAATCGAATTACTATAAAGAAAGCACAATCAAATAAAGTCATATCGAACCTTTAAATGCAGGACAATTTTTAAGTAATACACTATTTAAATGTAAACATATATCAGCTTGTAAACATTCTGGGAAACCTTTCAGCACCATATTCATATCAATACCACTATATTTAATCAAACATATATAGATAGATAGAAATAAAACAACGATTTAGATTTACTTCGTATAATTCCATGCATGATTAAAATAATCTTCAAGTCTCTGCCGAAGAGGATTTGGAATTTGATGAAAACGAATAAATTCCTTTACTCTATTTATACAATAATAATATACACACTAATATTTATAATTAATATTTATACCTTAACATTTGTATTTGATAACGAGCTGTGCCCGAATATAATCTTTGAATTATAGCACTCACATTACCAAAAATACTTGCATACATTAAAGCTATAAAATACAATAAATTGAAATTACGTGACGATAATCTCAGTATTGTGATTGATTATCTATGTATATATATATGTATGTGTGTATACAAAAAGCTACATCAACTACATGCAGTTTTTTTTCTTCATAAAACTATCATGCACTCTTTCTCACATCCGATTAGCATGACAAAAATGGAAAATATTTTTTCCATATTTGTATTAGGACTGACCTAAATAGATATATGAAAAATAGAAATTAGAAAAATTTTCTCTTCTTCAATCTTACATTGCCAAATCCGACCGATGTAAGAGATGAAAATGTAAAATAAAGTGCTGTAATATATCTTGAACGAAGATTAGGTCCACCAAAACAAACTTCTGAATTCAATCTTTTTAATACTGTATCATTTGTAGATATTATTCGTGAACAATTATATGCTTGACCTGATGTACGTGCTAACTCATCAAGCCATGTTATACGTAATCCTAAAATAATAAGCGAAGCGGACACAAAAGGACAACACAACATTGACGATAATATAACAATAGTTTGACAGACATACGACTTGAACGAAGCAAAATAAAAATAAAAATGTAACTCACAGCCTACGAGCATAATTATTATTGAAAAACCCTTTTCACTATTTGTATTTGGACTAGATAAAGAAAATATTTTGAAAAAAAAAGCAAAATATTTCGAATGATACTAATCGAACCTCACGTTGCCAAAACCGACTGATGTTAGAGAAGAAAAAGTAAAATAAAGAGCTGTTATATATTTCGATACTTTCGTCGGACCAGATGTTGGATCCGAATCATTATAATACTGATGTGTATGATTAGCTAATTCAGCTAACCAACCAATCGTTCTTTCAGTACCTAATTAAAAGAAGAAAATTCTCAACTCATAAGTTAAATCAAAACTATACGTCCTTAATGTAAGAAAGAAGAAGGAGAAGAAGAAGGAGAAGAAGAAAAAATGTATTATTTACCATGAGTATTTCGTTCAAGCCGGCCAATAGCGTACCATATACAAGCAAGCCAATGTGCAATAAGTGCAAATGTAGCAGTTAACAAAATTAAAACTCCAATGCCATATTCAGAGTAGCGATCTAATTTTCTTGCAATACGTACTAATCGTAATAAACGTGCAGTTTTCAATAGACCCATTAATACGGTTGATTCACCACCACCTTTTGTTTGTATTAACGAAAATAAAATATCAAAAGGTATGGCTGCTGTTACATCAATTAAAAACCATCCTTTTAAATAATGCTTTGCAATTTTACTTGCACGCGTTACTAATTCTTCATTATGTTTAACATATGTTGTACGTAAATTAACCAATAAATCAATTATGAACATAACATCAACAATAAGTTCAATGACACTTAACGCACGCGATGGACGTGAACGTTGTTTATTAGGTCCATCTTCATGCATGAGAAAAGCAGCAATATAAGGTGTAACAATAGCAGTATAGATAACAAGTAGTAATATTAACCAATCCCATGCTGCTTTAAATGGAGAATAATGAAGAATAATTGTACGTGGTATACGTCGACTATCAGGTAAACGAAAATCAGGCACTATATCATCACCCAGTGATAAAATTTGGGCTATATGACGTGGCAAATTAGGTAGAAATGAACGTTTAACTTTTTTTGATTCTTTTGTTTCTTTTTTAATGACAGTTTCTAAAAGATCAATATTTGTTTTTGTTTTCTATAATGATTTATTTACCAGCTATATTACTGATACTTTGAGACTTCATTCTCATTATATCAGCATCATTGTTATTATTTGAACCCCAAGGATTACTGTCAGGTTTTAATAAATTATTTGAACATATTGATGATTGTTGACTTAATTTATATTCAATAGGGAAATTCTTTCCCGCTGCTGAGGTTGTTTCATCCAAATGAATTGTTGTTGTATTTTTATGATTCAAAGCTATTGAATAAATAGAATTAAGAAATTGTTAATACAAAAAAAAACTTGTAAGAAAAATTGAATAAATTTCTCATGAGTAAAAAATGTTACATTTATTTTATTATTGGCCAAGTCTTTATTTGAAAAAGATAACAGAAAAGTATTATTGATCAAAAACACGATTATGACATAGACTTTCACTATTGAAGTATTGAGTTCATGATGTTCTAACTCTAGTATATAAAATATATTCAAGTGAAACAATCGAACTTGCATACATGAATACATTATAATGTTCAACTACGAGAACTCGTTAAGTACTTAAAAACTCACTAGGCAAAAAAGATAAACTTGAATCTAATCAAATAATGACTGCCATTAAAAAGATAGTTTGACACATCATGCATGCATTTTAAAAAACTATCTACTAGTGATAAAATATCAAGTAGTTTGCTATTTCATTTTTTATTTTTGTCTTAAATTTCATTTCTTATTTTTTTATGTCACATGTAATCAGAAATAAAAAGAGAACAACGAAATTTGGCAGATCATTAAAGAAATTAATTTTATTACCTATGTAGCCGGCTGTATCAGGCGATGAAGTACGACTCTCAAAGTCAGTTCCATCTCCTGTTGTTAAATCATTTGTTGGTAGCGATTTATGTTTTCTTAAAGGATTAAACATTTGTAGCCATGAACGTTTACGAATGCCGTCTATAAATAATAACAATTAAAAAAAAGATATTTATAATCAAGATAATTATTCACATACTAGTTGGACTAATTGAATATTCATGAATTTTAGCTAGAATATTGTCAACGGAAAAAAATTAACTTTTGGTTAAAATAAAAAAAAAGAGAAAACTAAATATTGCATACGTATTCGTCGAGGCCGATTCGTATCAGAACTTTCAGTAAATTCAAGTATGAAAAGAATTATATCGCATGATTCATTTTTCACCGGTGCAATAAGAACCGAACAGCGAAGTTTAATGCCTATATATTTAAAAAATAAAAACTTACGGAAATGCATTTCCTTCCTTTTTGAAACTTTCAAAAATTAACAGACCATTAGTTTTGTATAACACAATCTCGACTTCTTTTTCATCACTTCCTTGTAATGCATGTCGAATTTGTTTAATTGATTTTTCATCTGTTTCATGGCCATATAAAAATTCACATGAACAAGGTTTTCGCAATATATCTGAACGTGAATAGCCAGTTAATTCGCAAAATGCATCATTGCAGTAAATTATTGGTTTATTAACCAATTGAGCGTTGGATATAAGAAAACGTCGATCTAATATGAATAAAAAAAGATATATTTACTATTATGTTGTAATTAAAAAAATGAACATACTTTGTGAGTCAAATTTACGTATAATTGTATCAATAAATGTATTTTGAGGAGCCGAAACATGACCCCGTTTCATCGGCATTTTTAACGGAAGCTCATAAAAGCGTTGTCATCATCTTAAAGAAAGAACGGAAAAACAAAATATATCACTGTCATTTGAATCTAGAACAATACAGAAACAAACAACACACAAAATGTGCTTGTATGTGTATATATTTGCATATTGGTGTAACAGGAAAGAGAGAGATATCTTAAGACAACCGGAAATGTTTGACGTCAGTACGACGATATAGAACATTGCGTCACTCGGACACCACTAAAAGTAACGATAGAATCAAGGCCACTTATTAGGTATATGTATATCTCGTGTCAAGCTTTCTCTCTCTCTCTCTCTCTCTCTCTCTCTCTCTATTTCTCTCGAAGAAAAAAATGAAAGAAAAAGACAGAATTACATGCCCTGAATAACTATTTTAATCAGATGTTGATACAATGCATATAATATGTCTTGGCTAGTTTTGTTATTGTCAAAAAGTCATCTCATACTATAGTTAAGAGCAACAAGAAAACTCTAAGACTTACTCTATATATCAAAGTAAAGTAAACTAATTTAGTTGATAATCATGTCGGTAGGCATAAGACAATATTGCTCAGTACAATAAAATATGAAAGTCTATCAAGGTCATAAAATCATTCTAGAAGAAAAAAAACGAGATGTTTTGATATGATCGATTTACTTACTCTAATGATTCACTTACACGATGGAAATAATACAAGAAAAACACTAGAGAAAGTCATCTTAACGATCTAAATACAATAAATGAATGAATCCTTTTACATAGCCGTTTTCTTCACGCTTTCTTACTATAGCTATCAGAAATCTTAGAGAAATCAGGCATGGTTCATAGCGTTCCATTATTGACTACGACTAATTCCGTATTATTGCTAGAATTATGATTGAAAAAAAGAAGGAACTTTTTTTGTTTTCTTTCTTTTTTTTATCCGCGCATACATGATCGGAAGACTCATTCGGGAAGAAGGAAAGGAACGCTTTGCCTTTAAAAAACTCATTTTGCTTTCTTTTCCGTTCGAATTTTCTATCACTTTCCTTTGGCACTCGTGCTCGTTAAATGATAGTTTCACTTATTCTCACTTAAACAATCACATAGACAAATATATGCTTTTCGATTGTCTTGTGACAATAGATCATATATCTATATAGATATGTGTCTTTTTTTATTTTTATAAATCACACTACATAGAGTTGCGATCTATATATGCCAGACCATGATAATTTGAATAGCATATGCTTTTATACGGTGAGTTGACGTCAAAATACCGAATGATCAATTAGTTATGTCACATTTAATATGAACGAGACGAAACGATTTGCCTTGAAATGATTGACTGATACTTAAGGACCTCTGGTCGGCTATCGGATAAGCCGATAACCAGGTCACTTCTTCAATGTTACATAGACAATGTGCTGATACAATACTCGACGCTAATAAGAGGAACAGAGATTATTGGCCTTATCACAACGACACAAAAAATAGAATTGGGAAAGAAACATCGACTCCTACAGAGTACATATTTCTCTAAATGTAAAAAAAGGCAGCCGAACGAGAAAATAAGATCTTTCTTTCTCTCTTTCTATTATTATCTTCTTATTTGGTTGTATATAAAGGGCGTAAATGGGCTAAAGATGAGCTACTAGAACATAGCACATATGAAGAAGAAGAAGAAGACGAAGAAGAAGAAAAAGAAGAAAAGAAACAACTTCTTCGTGAAAAAAAAGACCGAAACACATATAACAGATGTAATTGACGTTCGAGAATCGGATATATATGTAGATCAATAAACATTCGATTAAAAACACGGCATAAGACAATAATCACAAGCAATGGTATTTTAATTTTACAAAAAAACGTTTATATGGTTCTCGTTTGTGGGCGTTTTTATTGATCAATTAAATATTGGTCCAGTTTAGGTAACTAATACTATTATCCTGACATTCCTGAAAATGTATCATATGGCTGTAAAAAATGTAATTATTAACTTTAGAAAAGAAAGACGTAATATCAAGAAAAATTTTAGAGAATAAAAATCTGTTTAGCGCAAATGTTGAAATAAAAAGCAATTGTTTCACTTACTGATGTTTGAACATAGTATTTAATTGTGGCATGTGCTATCCATACACATCAATATTTTACTTGAAATAGCTTTTTTCCCAGTGGAGTATTTCATGTTTACGTTTCTATTGCAATATTAGTGCATGGGTATTCGTAACTCAATAGATTTGTTATATGCTAGGGCCTAGTTTTCATAATGCAAATCGATATTATGCTCTTTTTTTTATAGACGTCTTTTTTTGTTTGTTACAAATCAGATTCTCACGAGAAAGTAATTGAAATGTCTTGCTACGTTATCCAACACAGTAGAGCCCAATAATATAACACCATTTGTTTAAGCAATCTCTAACAAATTGTTTTCTTTGAACCATAATTTTAAAATGATACAATACTTGTTGAAGTTTGATGAAAACGTTTATCGGCGCGCGCCAACAGTTACTTCCCAAAACGTAGCAAAATACTTTTATCGTATTCAGACGAAATGTACGGAGTTCTATTTGTCATGATATAGGAAAATTGTCAATTTTTATTCGTAAACTTTTTATTTTCTAATAATTCAATCAATTGTCAATCATATGAAGTGTTCTCTTTGGCATATTTGATTTTGTAGAGCTTTGGCTGTTTGATAATTTCGGTCAATCGATTTTTGTATTTTCATTAACAAATGAAAGTGTAACACTCAAAGTACTGCATAATACCAGAGTATGTCAAGTTAATTTTAATAGTTTAAGATTAGCACGAACATAAATTGATGAAAATTAAAAGCTTTTCTATTACTAAACTGATCTAGCAAATGAATTTGTTCAAAGCATTGATGAATACTTTTTTGTCTCTGTAATTGATATTTATAACCTATATGAATACCGTCTGAGAGTATCAGAGGAAGAGATAACTAAACCAGCAAAAGAAAATGTCCAAGGATTCCATAACAGTGATTTAAAAACTTCAGTACTCGTAAGCAACTAATAAATTGAATGGTAGTCTCGACGTTTGAAATCGATGGTTGACAATTGGTAGATAAAATAAATTATGTTTTCTATTCGATAGTAATAATTTTAGATCATATTAAATAAGTTTTTTTCCTCATCAACAAATTCTTCAAACGTTGTTCTATCATCAGAAAAGAAAAAGCTGACGCGATATTTTTTACTTTGTTGTTGGTACACTCTTTCTTGGACATTCGGTGCAATTTCTGTCCCGAAATGCATTCCAGATGATTTCTAGTTTGTGATCCTTTTAGGTTTTTTTTTATGAAGCAATGCATTTTGCTACAAAGTAGTGTCGTAACTTCATCAATAGATGTTAATAAGTGCATTACGACGATGTTGATAAGTTTTAACTTTAACACAATGACTCAATGAATCAAAGAATTAAATGTACGGCAGTCTAAATATTTAATATGATTTGTATTTAGATACAAGATAAGAGAAATTCATTGACTTTAATTCAACAGAAAAAAGGATTGATTATGGGAAAAAATTGATTTTAATAGTCATATACAATCTTATGTTCACAATTATATAGTGTAGATAAATATTTTTTGATATTTAACTGAGAAATATATATTACTTAAACATTTTTAAAAGTAGAAAAACATTCATGTTTACATTGTCGTAATTGATAGCCATAACAATTATTTAATTTATAACGAGAATTTGATGATTGTCAACAAGATCTTTTATCAATTGGATTTTATAGTCGTGACAGACAATTCGAACTTGTATAATTATTATAAAACCAATTTCATTTCTCTTAATGACAACATCAAAGTGTATTCGACAATAACATTGAGAAGTCATGGCAGAAATTATTGCGTGTTATGTTCAGTAGATTAGAATTTTAATGTTCTAGCAATAGAGTCACAAAGATTTTGTTTTTGAAAGCTAAGGATATTATTCAATTAGTGAATAGACCTATCAAATGTTGTTGTTTTCAAATAATATAATAGTTTAATATTGACCTCAATATTAATTACGTTAATTTTTTTCATATTATTTAATACAAATTATCGGTGAAATACTTCTCAAGTTCGTGTTATTGTTGTTGTTGTTGAAAATGAAAAAGAAAATAATTGATGCGATATATTTTATGTGAAGCGTCACTTTTTTCCACATTATAATCAATCATAAAATGTTCTATTATGTGTAATTATTCGAGCTTATGACAGTCGAAGTGTAAAATTCGTTTGAATATTGTAAAGGCATTACTTACTATAGAACACAGGACAAAATCAATTTAGTTTTCTATTCGATATGTTTTATAAAATATAAACTTGGATTAATAAATGGTTTCTTGAAAACTTGATTAAGATGTGTAGGATAATAGTAGAATAACAAATGGATACTGCTCTATATGTTGTACGCGTGATGTGATAATATCTTTGATGAGCATAATCATCTGTCAAAAGTCAATACACTTCGTTCGACTTCTTGTGTCTAGTTAGATTCTCATTTGGCTTGACTTCTATTAGTCAATAAGGAATCAAACAAAACAGAAGTAATGTACACAATAATAATGATTTACAGATGTTATCTGTCGTTAAATACTTCGGGTTATTTCTTGGATGATAGATATTGTAAATAATTCTGTGGAATAATTATCACTTGTTCTCATTGAAATTCCAATAGATTGTATTTAGTTATATCGATATTATTATCATTAGATTTTTTTTCTTATTAAGAAAGTCGTAAATCGATTTTTTTCAGTTTCCTATCAATGATAATCGTATTTTTAGTATGATTTACTAAAGTAATATAATTCATTTTTTATCGCCTCATCAATTGTTTTCGCATAGAATCATTTTCTATGTTTTATCATTCAATTGAAAACAAAATTCTATACTATCAATTCAATGATGTGCCGTGGAGAAATGTTGGAATCTGTGAGAAAAATAATTTATCATAAACAAAAATCTATTAAAAGTGAAGCTAATTACGAGAGATAGAATTACTTTTGTATGGCTTATTTAATGATTTACATTTTGAAATTTATTTTCACGTAACAGCTATTAGTACCGTCAAAACAAAGATAAAAAAGTCTGTATTTTCAACTTATATGTAATATTTCGCCGTTATTGTTGCTTGATACTATCAACATAATTGAAGCGAATAATCGTCAAATTTTTCGAGTTATTGAGATGTGCACACCGAACAAGCGCAGTCGTTACCTCGCGTTATCAATCAAAGACAATCAATATTATATGTATTAGTTCAGCATTTTTAGTCTCTTAAAGGAAATGCATATGAGTATGCTGGTGCATGGCGCAGAAACTCAATTGTTTTCGATCATCCGTCTTGGGATAAAGCTGAACAAGTATTTTGTTTTGAAGATTGATTATTTAGGATGATTTTGACTAACAACGTAAATACTATTTTTTCAGAGAAAAAAATGAGTGCACAAGACTAAATGCTGTTTGTTGCGATCGATTGAAAAGTGAGACTTAGATGCTAGTTCCCTATGATCCCGTGTAGTTTGTTTTGCATTCAGTATATAGATACAATTAAACGTACAGCAGATTTCTGCATAATAAGCACCTACGTAGAGTGAGCAGCAGGCTTTTATTTCTGCTTCCATGAGCAATAACAACACCTGTAATAAGAGCAGCATGTGTCTATCATTTGTGCACAGTGCGCGAAAGAAAGTATCCTATGTGCATAACATTAGAATAAACAATCGTAGAATATATGTATAAGAAAAGGGTGGGTTAGTCTGACATAGTTAGACGAAAGAAAATAATATTAAACAATAGAAACAGTACTTGATATAGCATCGTGTCGTTTTCATGTTAACAGCCAGAAATATTGAATTGTGTTGATTGAATTATGCATGAAAAACTTAGATTCTGAAAAGAAGAAAAGCGTACTGCTTCGTAAAACCGAAAATATATTAATAATGATCATTTTTGGCTCGTCCGAAAGGTCCAAAAATTCCAGAAATATGTTTCAAAAATTCATTCCGACTTGTTTTTTTTTTGTTCTAACCGTAAGAACTATCAATAATTTTAACAAAATAAATTCATTTATTATGAAAGAAAAGTTATCATAAAATCAAATTTCACTAATAATTATTCTAGGATGATTAAATGTTAACCCTTTCCAGCCGGATGTTGCCATTTGGCAACATTGAGTTAACATTTCGTGCAGGGCTGATCTGTACTCATCATATTTAGTTCTTTAGCACATTGATAATTACGCCAATACATTTCTGAGTAAATCCATAAACGTACAAGATAAATATAACCTTTCACTGAATACAGGGAGGGCTCGGTTTGGGATCCCCCCAAAAAGGGTCGGAATAGAAATTCTGCGTTTTTCTCGTGTCTTAACTATCAATCGAAGAAACAATTAGTGATTAATTTTCTCCTATGGATGTATGATCTATTGAGTTACTCAGATGGACTAGGCAGTGAATTCGAAAAATTGACATGTTGGGATTTTGCTTGTAGGCCACACTCGACCGTTCGGTAACGTGTAGCTTTTTTTGTACCAACGACCACACTTTTAGCATCTCCCTGATAACGGAACTAAGAATTCGCCCGAAAATATTTGTTTTCTACCGGTCTTCTAGTAGCCGACCGGAAAGGGCTAACATGCTTTTCACATACGACTCGAAAATGCAAGTGAACAAAAAATGACAATAAAAGAATTTGATATTCTTTATAATAGTTTAAAGGTCTGATAATTAATTTATAATATAGAAATATACATTTAAAAAATTGATTAAAATGTTTACATAGAGAATCACTAAAGCATGTAAGTCATACGTTCATCTTGACATAAAATTACTTATTTTAAAATCAAATATAAGTGTTATCATTTAATGAAAAATGATCATAATAAGACATGAAAACATTGTAAGTAATTAAAGCTGCTATGGAGAGAAAAGCAACACCAAACAGAAAATATTCTTGTGGTTTTAATCTAATTGAACGCAGTGTCTCTCTGCTATTACGTTGTCGTAAAGGTGGATACTGTTCAGGATTTGTTGGACCATGATGTTCTTTTGATGATTTTCTTTTATCAGATGTTAGACCATATGTAGCAGGAAGCGAATTAAGACGCCACCTAGACATGCAGAGGAACATGATATTCTGTAAAGAATATACGCTGTAGATGCACACTTATCAAGCAATAGTTTTGTTTAAAGAATCCAGTTAAAGAGTGTAAATATTTAGAGCATTCTGATATGCAAATAGCACAACACAGCATTCAAAACCTAGCTCACATGTTTATTTACTGTAAATTTCTCAACACGAAAAATACGATCTGCAATAAAATGATTGAATTGAATTTTTTCGCTATAGGATCTATATAAGATCCAAATATGCAGTTTATTGTTGAAAATGAATATGACAAACACACACATACATATACAAATTTAAGTTTCAAGAATGTTTGTTCTTTTTTTTTATAGATAGGTAGTTCAATTAGAACAATATAGAGAAGACAAGAAAAACAATTTTTTAGTAAAACGAAACTTGAAATAATCACTTATATGTATACTAATGAGAAGAAAAAAATGTACAATTTAAGGATAATGCTCTTGATTAATATGCGAAAGAGAAGGACTAAATAGTCTTTGTAGAAATATTTACAAAAAAAAGATCCAAAAATATTATACTGAACATCAATGAAAACCAATAAACTAATCTTCATTGTTATCATCGGTTAATAATTCAATAACTTTACTTAAGTTATTATTATTTTCTACCAGTAAACGTTGATTCTTTTCACGATTACAAAAGCCCATTTCAATTAATATCTCTATAGGATCATTTGATAAACTTAAATGTCTATTTCCCATGTCACTAAATTCAACATGTTCAAAAAAGTCATCAACATTTGAATTTTGTGTAGAACTTCGAGTTTCTTCTTGATATTGAATCTTTCGAGTTTTCTAAAGAAATTAAATGTTTTACTTTGAAAATCAACTAGAATATCTAACCTCATCAGTTGCTTGTAACGTATCAATAATTGCTTTTGCTGTTGAACCTGCTTGTTTAGCAACACTGAATATATTTGCCACAACGGTATCAACCAAATCCAAAGATTGACTAGAATAAAGAAAAGCGATTTTCAATCTCTTTTCGATTTCTTTAGTAAAAAATTCTCAGTTTATGTTTAGTGTTATTCGTCGTGGTTCCCTTCAATGCTTCTATTCACCAAATTGACTATTTATTTAAATTGGTCGAACACACACTATATCCAATCTGAGGATTTTTCTGTTATAAAACTAGAAGCTTACTTAGATCGTGGAGATTGTTGAGACTCTTCGTAGTTATTTGTCGGAGGAATTGCAATTTCAATCAATGGAATTTCATTTGATTTTGATAATATTGATAATGATGAAGACGCAAAAGTTGAAATGCTGTCATTTTCATTATCAGGTTGGTTTTCTAAAATGTCAATTAATTGTTCCGATTGTGTATCTGTTGAAATTGAACGACGCATAATCAAACTTGGCTACAATAGAAAAACATAACAAGGGTTAGTGATAAACAGAATATACACACATGAAGTGAACTATTGCTTGATATTGCTTGATACGGTTTTGATAAATCGAAACACGATGGTAATGGTACATCGACCAATTCGAATCTTTCTTTTACTTCATTGACCGATTCTAAATCGGAGGAAAATATATTCGCTGTGTTTTTAAGTGCTCTTTTTTTCAATAGCAGCAAAGAGCCAAAAGAAAAAGAAAAATTATTTATTAATACGTACGATTTGATGTTGACGAGCCAACTTCAATTGTACACCATATCATGGGGCCAAATGTTTGATGACGAAACCTAAGAATCCATTTACTCTCATAAGTACCTGGTTCATTAGCACATATAAAATCAACGGTTATAATTGCTCGATTGTGTGGTGCAGTTACAGGGACAACAGGCTGTTCAACAACTTTGATACCATCAGATAAATTGATGAGTTGAATATCATCACTAGACCATGGCATTGAACCATCGTTGAGAAGTATCCAACTTTTACGAAATAGTTGTCCTGGTTGCATGACTGTGCCATCAGGAGTATTTTTATCGGCAACAAATCGAGCCGAATATGGACTTGAAAAAAAAAGATACATATTGATTTATAAGGTAAAAAGTAATGTTAAATATTATGAAGACAGGGAAAATCATGTATAAATACTTCGCAAGGAGTTTGTTTTAATTGTTAAATGTGAACTAAGAACACGCTAAAAACAGTACAAGTTCTTATTTTTTTTTGTATCTAATATGTTGTAATTATTTTTTGAATTTTGAATCAAAGCTATCGCAATAAACCATCTTTAGAGATGCCTGTTTCTATACAAAATCTCAGTCGAATGACAGCTTTGCCGGAGGCAACTATAGTGTTTCTTTTAAAGCTGGCAAAAAAATTTCAATATCTTTTAAATAATAAGCTAATGACTTAGACTTATTTTGGTTTATATAATATCACTGCACAAATGATTTAATAGTTGAGTGACTTTTCTCGCTAGTCTTAGTATAAGAAATGAAACTAAGAATAGAGATCAATGATATATCCAACATGAATTCTAAATTAATTCAAAAGAACCTGATTCCTGACGCGACGTAAAACTATCTTAAAAAATATTGAAAAGGAAGAAACTAAAGTTTTTGAAAAACAAGAGTTTCTGAATTTAAACTTAAACTTCCATAAAGTTAAGTTAACAATTTCGTTCATACCGAAGTAATTTAAGTTTTTCTTCAATTTTTAAAACTTCACGTATATTTCCATTGCATGTAGCCATTTGAAGTTGATCGTAAAGAGCTTCAATTTTAACTTTCATTGGTGCAAAAAAACGAAGAATATCTTCTGGATTCGATCTGCAATTGAATATAACAAAAAAAAATTACGTTCTTGAAGAAGTAAAAATTCTATCAAAATCAATTTACCGATCGTAAGTTTTAACTATTGTTGCATGTGATCGTTTATTTTCTTTTTTAGCAATAAGACGTTGTTGTTCACGGCGATGTTTTCGTTTAAGCGAACATTTTTCTGATGATGATAATAAATCCTACGAAAAAAGAAAAGTTTGATTTTTACTTTTTGTTTTTTATGCTTACATCAGTAGTACATTCAGCTGCATGATTACGAGAAAATAATGGTAATGCTACTTGTTCATTGGTACGTTGTTTTTTAATATTCTTGAAAAACAATAATACTATTTAATATTTTGTCGGTAACATATAAGAACAGTTCCCACCAATAGCTAACATACTATCATGGCTAAGAATTTTGAAGCTTTAGACAATGTTCCGGAAAAACTTATGATAAACTCTGAATAATCTAGTAGAAACTATTGTGCAATTCATTGGAACACAGAATATGATTCATTTCGTACTTATCGTCAAGCTTAAAATTGATTTTCTCATTCATACTATTGAAGATTCTTAGCAAAAAAGAAAAGGATAACTCAATTAGACAAAAGCATGTTTCAAAACATATGTATTACTATATAAATTAATCAGATGCTAACATGTTTGAATTGAAATACTACATCAGCTACTAACTCTGAAGTGGTTAACATTGTCTCTCGAAATGAAAATTGTAACTTCAATTTTGAGTCAAAATTTACACATAAGAGATCATCCTTGTTTTGACTTAATCTTTGAGGAAACTATGCAAATCTAAATATTGTACATTTTAAAAAAGTATATCAAGCTCACTTTGCGTTCAACATTCACACTGTTCATTGTTAATGAATTCATTTCTTCAGCAAGTCGTTCATATTTATCATGAGTTTTAGATTTCTTATTTATTGTCAAGTTTTCCAATGGCATAATTAACTAAAAAATAAAACAAACAATTAAAACTATTTCAAATAAAGTTTTTTTTTATTCATAGCCTACTGGTGTAATTGATGTTGGTAATAATGGTGTTTCATCAGTTTTTGGTATTGATGCTAATTTAAGTATTGCATTAATTTCATCATTCATTTCATAATTAAAGCATATTTCAATCAATGTTTCATTTAATTCATCCAACTGTAAAAAGACAATAACGTTTCATTGAAATGAAAGATAAGATTAGATTTATTTACGTGTGTATTTGATCCACTATTAGCATTCTTTGTTTCTAGAAAATATTTAATTACTTGGCGAATTGATCGAGTAAATAATACACGAAAGCGACCTAATTCAATACATTGGTAGCATTTCGAAAATAATTTAAGTAAAGCATTATATTCCTAAATAATAATAAAATAAAAAATAGGAATAAATGCAATTAGGTTTTACCATTGCTGTTGTAGTTGTTGGTGTTGCATTTTTCATCAACTCAAATTGACCGCGAAGATTTTTTAAACCATCTTGTGCAATGAACTAAAAATAAAGAAAATTTCGCTGAGAAATATTTTGTTTATTTGTGTTTATGATCATACACGCTGAATGAATGATCGAATCCAACCATATGTACCAGTTTGATTATTAAATTTTGTTCGTAAAAATTCTTCATCATCCAATTTATAAACGCGACGCGATGGCAATTGTTCATCTTTATGTTTTTGTGAAAAAGTTGTATTGATATCAAACGTCTAAAGAATGTCAATAAAGAAATGAAAACAAAACACAAAATTCATGAAACAAACTATTGCAAGTGTATTTAATAATGTAACAGGTACAGGTGGATAACGAAGACGAGTACCAACTATATCAACCAGTAATTCAATCATATCAAATATTCCATATTGAATTTCACGTGGCCAAGAAAATACTGAATCAGTAGTTAGCAACTAAAATATAAAAATTATTTAACTAGGAATATTATTTAAAAGTTACGAGAAGATTTATAGAACTTTAGATTGTTCTATGAACTAGTCGAATATTCGTGAATAAGAATTTTAACAATAGTTAACAAAATTCAGATACTTCAATATTTATCTTTGAATTACAAGTCAGTCGAATGTGTGAAAATATAAGTACCATTTTTGTTTTTAGTAAACAGAATTATTTTTCGAAGATAAATTTAAATCCATTGTCTTATTGATAACTATGGAAGAAATTCGTTTTCTCTTGAAAGATTAGTTTTGCCTATTGCTATTTCGCCATTTATTTTTCTTGAAATATTTTTGGTTTACATTTATTAATAGATTACTACATATCGAATCCATTCTATTCTTAAGTGTTTGGTATTGAATTAAGTTAAAATATTTATCTAGTCAATATGAAATCTCATTGAACAAAAGAGTTTGAAAGATACTCGGTAAATTAATAATTAGGAAATAATTTATATGAATGCCTTAAATTTGAAAAGACAAACTATCATTACTATTCATACGACCCCATTCACATTTCGAACAATCGGATACCTGTTCTTGAGACGATGATTAACGTTTTCAATATACTATCTGTAATCTTCTCAATAAAGAAATCAGCAGAAATGAGCTGTTTGATAGAGATTTACCGATTAGTAAGATCTACTCATAATAAAAGTTTCAATTCGATACAAAGAGCGACGGTTATTTAAAAATCACTCTGTCTTAGCTACAAAGTTTTCCATACATCTATCTCTTTTGTAAGATATATTTATAAAAATTTTATTCCTTTATTTTCAAATACTTACTTTTCGAAAAGCTTCAGGGACAATAGTTTCAATGAATTCTTTACATTCCGTATTTACATCAAGTTTGCCTATAAATAAATAGAACTAAATTTTAGAATAAAAATTTTAATATAAAATACCTTCTTGTACGAGTTTAATGGTTGATGTAAGGCAAATGCCTAATGCTTCATCTAATTTAACTGGTATATACCATTTATCAACAAGAATATTATCTCGAAGACTCTTAAGTTTATCAAGAGGGAAAATATTCACTTTCAGAGTATTTGATCTTTCTTTTGATTTATTTAAATGATAAATTCCATCAAAGCTATATTGACCATCAATATAAATAATAAGTGTAAGTGATTTAAGACCATGATCTCTAGCATACTATAAAAGAGATTAATAATTAATAGGTAAAACAAAGATGATCGCAGCATATTTTACTTTAACATTTGTATCGAATTCATTCTTATTTTCAATGCGAATTTCTTCTTGTTCTTCATCAACTATACAGATTTTGAACTTTTTATCTGCTTTGAGACATAGAAATTGTGCCTACAAATATGAAATACAATATTAGGCAACAATTGCTCTTGATTAACTTACATATCGAACTAATTCATTCCAATCTGTAACTTCCACAGGTGGTCGTTCAGTATTGTTACAAATTGCACCAGTCTGTTTAGACGACATTTACAATATTTATTTAGTTAAAATTTAAATATCAAATGAATATCTAAAAGTATTATCTGTATGTATCAAAAGGTACGTATGCACAATATGATTAGTAACAAGTTATTACTAATAGCTGTGAGGAAGTGTTCGTTGCAAATCACAAATGCTGTGTAAGACTGACATAGACTCTTTCGTCAAGCGAGAAAGAGAAAAAGTACATAATATTAAAAAAAGCTACCATTAAAAGCCAATGTGAGAAAGAAACAAGGTAAATACATCAACCCACACGATGTCGTGTCCTTAAATCATGTGGTAATTTAGATTAGGAGGACGGAAAAAATAGAATAAACAAAATTTTCAACAGGCTATCATATCTGTAAATCTAGCGAAAAGTAAATATCCTCTAAAATGATTTGACTATTATTCTCAGCAAAGATTGACTTGTGAATCGATCATATTTGAAAGTGAATTCTAAATTTTCTTGGAATTTTCAGATACAATGACAAATCATAGTATCCAATCGTCCTTTCTGCCGAAATCGTCTTTATTTTTGGCAGAACAAACGAAAATCACGCAAATAAAAACTCGAAGGCATGTCAAAAGAAGGTACTACTTTCTTGTATCTTGTTAATACTGTGTCTCATCCCCCTATAGACATCTCACATCCGCTTAATCGACAATTTATTCAAGTATACATGATGAGAATAACAAATAAGAAGTTTTGGAATTCATATTTGATTTAAAAATGACATTTAATTGATAAATATAAGTTAATAAAAGTGAAACAAAACATACCCACCTTGTTTTTAACTTGGACGTTTCTGAATAGGTTTTTTTAACATAGAAATATGTCTAGACATTGTTTCTTTAACTGATTATAAATTAATTGAAAAGCAATATAATAATTTCCACAAAAGAAAGGCGCTCACGAGAAAATTTTCATACTACGCAATCGAAGATCGTAGATTTTCTAAAAGTGTTGTTCGGAGAGTATATCGGCTGAAATGCCCAAAATTAGGTTTTGTTAATAGAAAGTCAAGCATTTCGGTGTTAAGAATTTCTGAAAAGTTCGTTATCGCCTAAACAAAAATAAAGCAGCTTGGATGAACACTACTTTCTTAGGCATGATGCCAATTTTTATAATAGATGACCAGAATCTTCTAGTCTAGATTAAAAGATCTCTGTAGACATAAGAACAAAAAATAGTCTGAAAACTTTACGACTAACGCTGTAGCCCAACCATTACATATTGTGAAAGTTTTAATAAGAGAGAACTAATCCTTAAAGCTGATTTTCTATAAATCTTCCGCAAAAAAAATTCTGTCCTCATCATGTAAAAATTCTAAAAAACGATGTATTGAAAGTTTTTCATTCGATTATGAAAGGATCTTTTCAATTTCTTTACTTCTACTCATTCGCATCGCTAACGAAAACAAGATCAACATTTTCCTCAAAAGTTTTAGACATGCTGAGAAAAACAAATTTTCGAATCTTAGAATACACTGAAGTTATCATACATCAATTCTTTGATTGAAGACCTTAAAAATGGATTCTTTTCAGAGTATCTAGAGTCATATAACGAATATATATATTTAAAGCAGCTCTAAAAAACATTAATATCATTGCGAGATATACGATCTTTTAATTTCTGAAGTCAGATTGATACAGCAAATGGTTTTCACGATTTCAGCATGTAAAATAATCTAAAACAGAAAAGAATTGAATAGATACTGTTTGTTAAGTTGGTCTTTTATTTTTATTTATTCTTATTTCCATCAAGAGATATGAATAATAACGATAGACAGCAAATCAAAACAAACAAGAAAATAACAATATGTTCGTTGCCGTTATCGTTTTTTTTATCTTTTGTTTAGAATTTTTGAAATTGTTTCTTTGAACCGGCTGCTTTAGCGACCTTGAGTACATTGAATCGAACTGTTTTACACAATGGACGACATTCACCAATAGTAACGACGTCACCGATTTGTACATCACTAAAGAAAAACATTATTTCTTTATGGATGATTTTAAATGAAATAAGCAAAACGATTACCGGAAGCATGGACTTAAATGTACGGACATATTTTTGTGACGTTTTTCAAAACGATTGTATTTACGAACATAATGCAAATAATCTCGACGAATAACAATGGTTCGTGTCATCTTAAGTTTCATTACTGTGCCAGTAAGGATACGACCACGAATGCTTACATTGCCAGTAAATGGGCATTTTTTATCAATGTATGTACCTTCAATAGCCTAGCAAACATTGATAAGATTCGGTTAACAATTATTATTAAAAATTTTAGTTTTACTTCTCGTGGTGTTTTGAAACCTAAGCCAACATTGCGTGTATATCGTTCAGCACGACCTGTTTTACTTGCTTTTCCTGCACCTTGTTTCTTATTTAAGAAAATTGTTGGTTGTTTTTGAAAAGAACGTTCCTAAGATAATAAATGAAAACAAAAATTGTTGTTGGAAACGATTGTCATTCTTTAACATACGTGTTCCATTGTTGATCGTTAATAATGGATTAACAACAGTGAAAAGGTCTACAATGAACAAAATATATTGCAAAAACAAATATGTTCAAGACTTTTTGAAATGAATAGAGCCATCTACCTAACGAAATGGTGCATTTTGATGTGGCTGTTTGACCTCACCAATGCTCGCCATGAAAAATCAAATAACGTCTCCGTTTAATAATTGAGAGAATGAAGCTTTTTTTAGAGATTTAACCTTATAAAAAATATTTAGAATATTTTTAGTTATATTTCCGTATCTTCAATAATGAAATTCTAATTCAATCAAACCGTTAGATGTCGCTATCAAACACACATTTTGTGGAACTCACATATATTTTCGAAGAAAATAGTGAGTGTAAGTTGAATTGTTAGGTTTTTGCGGCTCCCCTGTACCCCACTCCCCCCTCTCCATTACAGATATAAAACGTAANCGTGATAATACAAAGAAATATAAATTTCTCAACAATATTGATAGCTATATCATAAATACTGTTTAAACTATTATCATTCCCAATATTTCTCAATGAAACCACTAAGCACTTCAGCATACTGACATATTTTAAACAAAAATTTTTTCATACGTTCTCTCTAGTAATATTCCCTATTGATAGATCCAATAAATTTCAAATGTTAAAAAGGTTTTATTATCTTATGTTCGAACAAAATATATCATCTCACTACACTGAAAAATTAAAACTTCTATTTGATCAGTATCTAACTAGCCGAAATATGTGAGTTCCACATTTTAGCCCCAACGGGGTTGCGCTAATAAGCTTTTACTTATACTGCGTCATGGGACATACACTTGTCGGTACTGACTGCATTCGTTTATAGATTTTTTTACTTTTTTCAATCAACATTTACTACTTGTGTATGTTGATGAGCTATATTCACTTAAAAAAACTGTTTCATCGAACAAGATTTCAGTGACACAGCTTGATACTTCATAACTGCAACTTGCGAGACATATACAGCTAAAATCCAGATGTCTACTATCTTCTATAATATAAAGTTTGAAATTGGATGATCTTTACTGTACATTTTCCTTCCTCTAACGTAGTTTAATCGTGTTTGTATCTCCAGAGCCTGATATTTATAAGGAACTATGTAACGATAGAACTCTGTCGACTGGTAAAGTATATCAATAATTACACTACGAACGAAATGATTTTGTGCAATATAGAGGTGTGAATGTGAATATGAATCGTTGTATTGACGTTAAGAAAAACTATACGCCAAAATGTACAAACACACCAATCAATATTGAAGATGTACGAAACTACGTCTAGTTTCAATGATCACTGTGGATACTGGAGACATTCAAAAACTAATTGAGATCATTGATAGTGTAATTTGTACATGATCAAAATGTGAAAAATAGTGAAACTACTTTCTGAAAGTCATGTATCACTATCTCTGTGACAATCTTTGAAAACTATTGATTTCATTCTGAAGATGATTACTAAAATTATTTAAAAGGATTATCTTCCAATGATTTACATGAGTATTTTCAATCTGTCTCTACTTTATATATATATATTTTTGGTGATAACTATGCTTCTTCATAAATTGTAGCAAATAAATTCATATGATAAAATGAATAGCAAAATAGCATATGCATGCTAGAAATCTCTCAAAACAGTAAATAATCTTTGAAAATAGTTACGAAAAGACGATAATTTTTATTAATGCTACTGTTCTGATCACAGCTAAATCGTATCAGGCGAACATTGATGGCGACGATGTAAATTCTAAATACAGATTTCTATGAAATAAAATTGTATTTTCTGCTTTTTAATATTTGATGTTATTTTTCGTAGTAGCATCACTGATTCTAAGCAGAATGATAGAAAAAAACCGGTAAGACAACAACAACAGTTTATATTTCTCTTAGCTTAATAAACCTAAGTTTTCAGCAGAGGACTTTGCAAACTATGAAACCAAGCTATTTTTCATTATATATTCGATGTGCATAAATCTTTTAGAGAGCGTTGAAAATAAACTTTCGCCATAAGTCTATGTGAAGCTGGTTTCCAATTATAAATATTTATGCTTTATCTCGTATTTCATGAAGTATCTAATACAACTGTAACTGTTCAATTTAATTTATCCAATCAACAAAGAATATCTTCTAATTATAGAGCAGAATTGATTTCAATAACAAAGAAAATCAATTACATGTTCGTCGATCATAGCATATTTGATTCTTCAAAATTAATTAATTTTACTTTTGATTTGTTCAAAGTATTGAAAAATTATAAATAATCTATAGTGAAAATCTCAATCTAAGCTATTTTTACAGAGAAAAAATCCTGTTTTTTCAAACAGATAATAAAACCATAACATTTATTGAATCAACATTTATTCTCACTAATAAAATAAACAACATATAGTTTTTTTTACGATTGAAATCAACGCCTTAAGGAATATTCGTTGCATTAGTACTCTATTAGATTAAGTAATAAAACAGTAACAAGTTGATATCAAATAGGAATATATTCATCCAATTTATTAAGTGAACGATTTTTTATTGACTATTATTATCAATTATCTAACTTATTGATATACAAATGATATTATTTGCGTTGAAAGAGAAATTTATGAAAAGCAGTTAGTTTTTGTGTTATCGTGTTGAAATTGTACGTAACAATTGATCATTTCGATGAAAGTCATATGTACCAAATTCTCACTACTCAAATAAGAAAACTCAGATTATGTATCGCTTCCTGGTACCATTTTCCCAGAATTTTCGATAACCATATTGATATTCGCTTTTCATGCGTTCCGTCTAGACTGAAGAGAATTCAATTTGTGACAAAATCATCACTTTATCATAGCATATCTCTTTGAAACAATAAATTTTGATTGAAGGCTTTTTCTCTTGATGATAAGCATTACTCCATGGCAAACAGATTGTTCAATCTTTTAGAAAGTCTTCAGTTGTATATGCAATAGAGATTTGATTATTATAGATGTAATTACAAATCCAACCAAAATTCTGATACAAAAATTTGAGTCTATACTCAGTGAATGTAATCTTATTTCTGAAGTATTTATGTTTTTTGCTAAGACTGAAAACTTGTCACAACAATTAGAGCTAATGATGAGTCCAGTTAGATATGACGAATCCTTTGTAAATCTCTGAAATATCATATATGTTTTTCATTTATAGGTCATGGTTAATATACTTGAGATTATAGGCAATGACATGGTTAATAATGAATTCTTACTCAATTACATGTTGCTTAACCGTATTGGATATAACGAACAAGATCATGTGTTACAATATGATGATTCATATGATTATGCGGTAAATTTGAATGATTATTATATACCACCTTTATTAAGTGATTAAAACCTTGAAACATATCTAATTTTGTATCTATTTTCACAAACTGATAAAATTGCAACAGATTTTATGCGTTTAAGCAATGTGAAATAATGTTTGGAACATTTTTCGACGATGGATAGTATCACTGACTTTATTGGACACGAAGCAAGAACTTTGTGAATCAGATAAAAGTTTAACAGGTTAGAATCATATCCCTGTTTATCATGAATATGTATTCAATATATAAACGATCAATGTACTAGCACTGTTCAAATCAATAATATTCGAATCATTGTATATAGAGCTTTGAAGAGATCTGATCACTTCAGATTTGAGGGATTTTATTTAGATTTAACTAATATTATTATGAAATCAAATGTCGAATTTTATTTAACAATAAATATAATACCTCTTAATTCAGGGTAATTTAAAACAATTTTGGAAGAATTCGTGTTGAAACATAAACTTTGTTTTGAAGTAGTGTTGTTTGCAAATATCATCGAACTAAATATGCTGTCGATAACTATAGAAATATATTATTTATTTGAATACTTCTATGATATTCGAACAAAGAAAATCATCCGTCTATTTTTATTCATATTGCTTTAAAATTGGTCTAATCAACCAATGATGAGAAATACGAAAAAAATAATGAATTGAAATTTTTGATCGTGCTCTTCTTTAGCAGTATTGATAATGTTCTCGGCATCTTCTCCCTGCTACAGCAGTACAAAATTATCGAATAGGATCATAGTAAGCAAAAAACACTCTCAGAACTAGAAGATTGTGCCAGTAAATGAAAGACCTTCACTGAAATTAACAGACAGTATACATTCACACCCTTAAGAGGTTTTACATCGTACGAAAGTTTCTTTTAAAATGCCTCATAATTTCTTCATCTTTTTCCTGCTTTTATTTTGTACACATGAACAGCTTCGATCGATGTTCACCATGAATGTACTCGATATCCATCTACTTTTTTTATTTAGAACGGAATAAGTCATGACAATATTTTATCTTGTTTCGACAAAACCAGATAAAAAAAGTTAATGGTAATATTTACAGTATATTTTGTTCTCAAACAATTTCGTTTATCTTATATAACTCGACAAAAAGTAATTCAGACCTCCAGATTTATTTAATAGATGAAAAATCTGAATAAAACACATTATGATCCATGATCAGAACAGAATATATTTTCAAAAAGTTAAATGCATAAATGTTACGGAATATTAGTCGTAGATAATTCTAAAGGAACAGTTTTTTCAAGTGACGCTGATGATTGCACCGGAGATGAATGTATGTGAATGCCTGCTGAACTACTCTTTGAAGATGAAAATTTTGTAGGCTGAGAAAACGAGGTCAATATATTGGGTTGTATTTTTGTCGTATGTATATACCTACGATGCCAATATACGGCAACAGCAAGTAAACAAATAAGACAAACAGTAAAAACTCCAACACCAATAAAGACAGTCGTTTTCAAATGATAGTGATTGTGATGGACAAGTTACGTCACGAGGAGAACATTCTCCATTGTGACAAATATCGTGAGCTAAGAAAAACAAAAATATTATTGATATATTGCTAAAATGTTTCGACTATTTACGTAGATAGCATGCGTAACCAGAATTATCTGAGTTATTGCACATCTTTCCTATTGATATAAAGAAACCATTATTGTTTAATTTTAGATGCACAATCGAATGAACTAACTTAGGTGAGATGAATAATAATAACAGTCATCGGAACTAGCAACAATCTTAAATTCGAGGATAAAGATAAACAAGAGCACAATTATATTCATGACTTTTATGTTAAATAAATTCAGTACGAATGAAACTTACAAGTATTTATATTTACAAAAGAATAGAAGATAGTATTACATGAAATGTCTTCGAACAAGAAAACTGGCAATACTCATATTATGATGATTCTTGAAACATAAATTAGCAGACTAGAATGCAATTATAAATCCTTTAAAACAATACTGTAAAAATTATTGGATAGTGTAAACAGCAGTGTCATTATTCTAAAATTCTAGAATTCTAGAATAGATATATATATATATCATTTCATTTCATATTAGTATAGATGGAATTTTAGAATTTTCAGAATTCTAGAATTTTCTTGAGGGTGTTAGATGTGAGTGCATCTATCTACCCAGGTCGAAAAATCTGATGTAAGATCTTGCAATCCGAACGAAAGCATATAAAGATCAGACAAAACATCGTCGTCTCTGAAATCTTGCATCAGATCATACTATATCGCAATGAAATAGTCATGTGCCAACTAGCGTTTGACAGTGAGCTCGAATACGATAATCATATCAAGTATATTTTTTTCTCCTTCTTCTACTGCCATACAAATGCCTCTGCACGCGGAGCACAAACCACATATCCTCTCAAAACTATTCGACATTTTGTGGATCAAAAAAGAACGGTATACGCATACGAACAACATCGAACAAGGTTTTTTTCTTCTTCCATTCTTTGATTTGTTTTCTTTGACTGTTGGCAACATAAAGAAAAAGATTTGGTCAACAAGAATATATACACGCCAAGTGGAAATAACACTCTAATACATAAATTGAGGTGATTTAGTCGTGCATGTAAAGAGTATTGATGATTATAGACAAGCAGAAAATAATCAGCATGAATAGCTGTTTCATACTTTTATTGCTAGTGCCATTGGTAACCAGTTTCCACCATAAATTTAAACAACGATCGACGATATTTTCACAGCTTCAAGGTAACTAACCTTCGTAATTAAAATTGTAAAATTAGTCATAATTTATTTTAGATTTACTAGATGACGATGATCAAGGATTCGATTTGACAAGTCGCAATAGTAAGTTCTTTAAGAATTAATCATCAGGAATATTTATGTTGATAAAGATTGATAACAGAAATTTTTGTTAACTACTTCTTTTTCGTTATTATTTTTCAGTGAATTGTCCCTCAGATTCTGCCATGTAAAACACACAATTAGCTAAAATATTTACTGAATAGGTTTACCATAGTCAGTGGTACTATATCCATCTAAATGTTGAAGTTTATCATATGACACTAATATCACAAAATGTAACTAAATGAAATTCGAACAATACTAATAAAAACCAGATATATATAGCTATCAGAATTGAAAATCGGTTTTGATTCCTTGTTATCAACAAAATAAGATCAATTATTTGATTTTCTTGTGTCATCTAATCTTTTATCAGCAATGGTTGTATGTAGAAAAAAACAAGATTTTATGGGAGTTTGATTGTAATATCATAAATAAAAGCATAATATCAATAAGTCATATAATGGTGGACAACGCATATGTTTGTGAGTTTTGTTGTCGATCACTACACATCGTAATTCATAGAGTACAGTCATGTACGCTTATTCAAAATTCTTGTGGATGGCACTGGAAGACATTGCTGAGATGCAGCAGAGTCAAATGAAAGTTGAGCGCACAGTTTTGTTCTAAACAAATTCTCTTTCTTACAAAGAACTGACGACCTGTTTATCAAATTTTTTGTGGATTGAAATCCTGAGCTCTTTTCTATAAATATCCGACATCTTGCGTGTACATGAATTGATAAAGTTTTCTTATTTTGGTTATATATTGATTATCTTCAACCTATACGTACTTTGTGTTTGCTATTTAGTTTTTCGTGTAGAAAGTTACGAGTACTGCTATTGCAAAATCAGCTTTGGAAGAACTCAGGACATTAGTATACAAAGGGCGTTTCCTATTAGGATTCATATATTTTTAAGTCACCACAATAATTAAGCATTATAAAGTTTATGTCAATCTTTCTACTTTGTATATCTATTTAAATAAAGATGATTATAGTGATATAAATCGTGATAGCCAATCAGGTATATTTATCAGTCAAACATGTAATTCATATTATTTATTTCGTACAGATCGTCGACTTCTTGACAATGGTGAAGAGCACTACATGGAATTACGTGCAACTACACCATCAAATGGTACAAATACTGGTGCATATTTCTCTTTTTTTTCTGTAGTCTCTATAAACCAATATTTTAAAAACATTTAGGTTTCGAGATAACTCTCCAAAATCGTGCTATGATGAATACTCGTCTACGTGTTCTCTATACCGATGCCCAAGGTACTCCAGCAATAGCAGAAACTGGCCGATTATGGGTTGGTCAAACAAAATCCGTAAAACTTCCAGTTGATGCTAAAAACATCAATATCATTGTTGAAAAAGATTTATTTTTTGAAAACTGGCACGTAGCATATAAAGGTACATTAACAAATGAAAATGAATGTATACGAATTGTTGGTGTAACACTATTTTCAAAAATTCATCCATGCAAATAAAAGACTTGAAAACAACAACAACAACAAAAAAAGAACAAGATCATTTACTACATTATATTTTATATATTTTTTTTTGGCTCAGTAACATTACAAATAAAATTGCAATGAGAAAAAAAATGTAAACATTCAATAATAGATATATATGCATATATAATATATACAAAGAAAAATATGAAAACAGACTAAACATATAGATGTATAAAAATTAGTTATTTTTTATGATTCATTTTGAGAAAAGGAAGCATTACGAATGGATGAATGCTAAAATAAAACATAATAATTAACAAATCTTTATGATAAAAGTGATTACCCATATATCTAGAATATCAGTTACAGTATGTTGAGTGGGTAATTTAAATAAAAAATGAACGAAATTTCGAGAGATTAATTCAAAAAAAGTATTACCATCTATACAATATGAAGAAAAAAATCAATATTATCGTATTTTAATGTCTCAATTTCTTACCTGAGTTTTCCAATTTAATTGGTGTAACATTCATTGGTGTAGATGTTAAAGAGAGGATTTCAGGTGGTTCATTCGGATATTGAATTGTTAATTTCATTTTTAATGGTGGTACTATAGGCATATTTATTTCAATCATACGACATGTTAATTCATAATCATTAATAATTGAATCTTTATTTCTAGGGATTGATGATGACGACGAGATTTTATCATGCAAAGGTTTTAATTCATATGAGAATGTATCCATTGATAGATTAGCAAATTCACTGTCGATTATATTTTGTAACAATGTTGAAGAAGAATTAATTATAGAAGATTGATTTTTTTCGGTGATTTGTTTTGAATCTGTATCCAATCGAATAGTTCTAGAAGTTTTATAGAGAATAAGAAAAAATATGTTCTTGTCCAATTGCAAATAAAAATTGATCAATAAGAGTTTCTTTTAATTCTGAGATTTAATAGAAATGAATTTGTAGTAAGTGGAAAACTTTTTTGATTCAATGGCATCAGAAGCAAAGGAAATTAACTGTTTTCTTCGTTCATTAGTCTCACTAAGACATGCTAAATAAGTCTTAGATTTTTTTATATATGAATGATATAAAAAAAAAGTTTGATTAACATCCGGTTAGCACTAGTGAATTTACGAGTTTCGCACGGAAAACCTACTTTTTCAAAAAAATTACGATAAATTCTCGAATCGAATTCGAGGTTGCTGAAGTTAGAGAATTTAAATACCCGATTTATTTTTTAACCAGCAAGTTTCCAGCACTGGAAGTCTCTACGACTACAATGATGAAGCATAGTGTAACATTGATTCTTCAAAGCTGAAGAAGATTCCTTTACATAAGATACAAAAATAAACCTCATGTCTTTCTTATATGATAGTGAAGAAAATCCTTTTCAATCAATCATGTTTCCGCAGGAATTTTCTGTTACCAACCTATCATGACCTTTCCCACTTGGCCAAAGACACAATACCGCTAGATATTGATCAACTAATACGAGACTTCTAGTAAAACCTGATTAATCAAAGAAAGACTGTAGCATAAGAATCTCTCAATCTTCTTCAATTAGTCGGACAATTTGAAAACACAAGATATGTTTTCTACTTGAATAGTACTATTATTTGATTTTGTTCTTTCGTATAAATCTATGCATTGTTTATACTTTTCAAAAGATTAACATACTTATGTGCCACACCATTGAGAACTTCACTTAATGGTTCAAGGAATCGTTTTGCAATATTATATTTTAATGCTGGATCTTTATTTAAATAATCAGCAATTGTACGTTGACATTGCTCAAATATTCCATTTGTTATTAAACGAGTACTGCTTGTATTAGTTAGGGCTAGAGTTGATATATCGTTCATTGGTGGCATCATTATAGATGCAAGAATACGATCAACATGTTCTTTGAGGCGACGTGCAGCCATTATATGTTCGGGAACTAAATTTCGAACAAAAGTTGATATTTGATCATGTAATTGACGATATTTAGCTACTTTGTCAGATTGTCCTGAGAAAAATAAACAAAAGTAAGAGTTGCAGAAAGAAATACTTATTTTTCATTTATACCTTCTTGTTGATATCGAGCCATGATGCGAGCTAAATATTGAATACGTTCAGTAAAAAACTTATAGAGAAAATGCATTTCTTCATCGATCATTGTTGTTGGACTACCAGCGTAATCTAGAGACATTTTTTGACATTCCTATTTATATTGAAAATATTTCACTTGATTCTTACTGATCATATTTATCGGAGATATTTGTGGGCGATACACACTATTTTGCGGTGATTGAGCCATCATATAACGTGCCAATGGACTTTGACCAGGTGCTCCTACAGGCGTTTGTTGTTGTTGTATCATGCCAGGATGCGAATGAGGTGATTGAATAGCACTAACACTGTTAGAAGTCATAATTGAATCCGGTCCCCTGAAACAATAATAGTTATTAACGATAGAATAGAAGAAGAAGCAAAAGTGTTGACTAACGGTGTCATTGAAATAAGCTGTTGTTGTTGTTGTTGTTGTTGTTGTTGCTGCTGTTGTTGTTGTTGTTGTTGTTGTTGTTGTTGCTGCTGTTGTTGTTGTTGTTGTTGTTGCTGTTGTTGTTGTGTGACTTGAGTCACTGGTACTTGTTGATTGCGAATATTTCGATTCATCTACAATGGATATGTTTTTCAATTTAGATATTTCCATTTATTTTGTTACATACGGCACGTAGTCTAACTTGACCAACAGCAGTTGGTTGTTTAGGTGGGTTAGGACTGGTAAGAATGTGTTGAAGAACTAAAAGCAAAAATGATGAGCTACGATTATCAAATTTAGAAAGATTTACTTTCATCTTGACTGCCAGATGATATTGATGATGATGATGATTGCGGTAGTGCTGAAGAATTAGTTAATTGTTGTTGTTGTTGTTGCTGTTGCTGTTGTTGCTGTTGCTGTTGTATTTGAGAAGCATTAGATGATTCTTGTTGTTGATTCATTTGATTCTGTTGACGAACTTGTTGAAGATGCTATACAATCAAATTTACTTATAATGTCTGAAAAATAATATGCATTCAATCACCTGAGCAAGAGTACGCTGTTGAGGCACATTAGGTGTAGATTGAGAAGGTAAAACGGGTGTGTGCTGTTGTTGTTGTTGCTGTTGCTGCATATATTGTGGCGGTGGAGGCAACAGTGGCTGTTGTTGTTGTTGTTGTTGCTGTAGTGGTCGCATCTGTTGAACTAGTAATCCAGACTGTTGTTGTTGCTGTTGTATCGGTGGTGGCATCAATTCCTGTTTGATTTGCTGCTGTTGGATTGGAAAATTTTGTGTTGGTAATTGTCTTTGTTGCATATTATTTAGGGAATGTTGTGGTTCTTGTTTAATATTCATCATCGACGTTGACTGAACGATTGATGATGGCGGCTGTGGCACTTGCATTGTGTACGAGGGTTGATGTGACAGTGGTTGTTGCTGCTGTTGCATGATATTCATTTGTGTTTGTTGAGATTGCATATAGATTTGTTGAGGACCTTGTGAACTCATCATCGATTGTTGTTGTTGTTGTTGTTGTTGTTGTTGTTGTTGTTGTTGTTGTTGTTGCTGTTGCTGTTGTTGCTGCTGCTGCTGCTGCTGCTGCTGCTGCATTTGTTGATTTCTTTGTTGAAACAATGTTTGTATTATTCGCCGATAGAGTAGCTAAAGGGAATAAATAGATCAATTTTTAACAGACAAGAGAGATTTTATTTACTGATTTGCCTCCACTTCTATTATAAGCAATATCATCGAAACGTATTGCCATATCACGATTTCCATTAAAATGGGTTGTTCTAAATAGATAAAAATGTTTCAGTTTTCAATTAAATTTCAAAACATAGATTCAATCATTTACAATCGTGTTATATAATTTTCCCGATCAGCAACGGTCATCATTAGCTGATCATCAAGTTGTCCTGTCGCACCTGTACCATCGGCATTCATCATCGTTATCTAAAAGATATAATATTCGTAAGTCTTTCAACAGATTTTATTTTATTTTTGGGAGTATTATGATATTTTCGTATGGAATTTTGAAAAAACAAAACAAACAAGAGAAAAAAAGTAGAAGCACCAAACGAAAAGTATAGGAATGATCAGAGTACAGAAACAAAAGCATTTATGTTTGTGTTGAATTGTTTATACGTTTTTTCCAAAACCATTTTTGATATTGATTGTTTGGCTCACAGTTAGACATATATACGTCTTTGTCATTTTTTGATGATAATTCCATACAGAAACCTGATGCATGTCGAAGCATATCATTCTAAAAATATAAAAAATAGAACGAAATGCTTTTAATCTGAGAAATCTACTTCATATGTCCACATTTGATTTCCCTGCATTGAATGACAACTAAATGAAACAATTTTTTTCGGCTGACCCAATCCGGAATGCCCACCAGCGTAATCTAAACATTTATCTTCACGACGAATTTCAAAAGTTTTAGACATGAGAAAATATTGATTGCCAGCTTGGCCATGGCATGGATAACCAATAATTGGTTTATCACCATCATCAATTTCTTGAGAGTCAACACATATATTTGTTTTACCACGACTTCGAATCTTTGAAGTATGCAAAAGAAATATTTTCTTAGAAATAAAAATAAGAAAACCTACTTCGCCAAAATATAAACTTTCACCTGGTACAAACTGTTCAGGATAAACATTTTCGAGGAACCATTTAAATGATTTACATTTTAGACGTTCACGGATTTTTAAACGATCTGATACATCACCAAAGTCACCCTTAAAAATAAAGTATATATATATATTCATTTCTAAATTGATGAAATAATTCTAACAATATTAACTATAGTGCGAAAATATTTGACAAAACTATATTCTCCAATTTTTCAACTGCTTCTTTAAGTGTTACAGAGAATCAGTTAGTTTTACGAATATATTTTCATTATTTTCGTCCCAGTCAGAATAGAATAATCATCAACGACTAGTCGTAAAATTATGGTTCTAATGAATGATGTTTTATGCAAAGGTAAATATTTCGATGGAAGCCTCTCAAACTCTGAATGTCAAAGCGTTTTTATTTCATATGTTACTTTTATGGAGTAAATTTTACTATACGAAATTTTTAAAAGAATCGATTTTTAGACGCGTATTAGTTTCTATTGAAACTAACTCTTTATCATACAAATTTATATATGTGTCCTATAGTTGGTCAACATTTTAAAGCTTAATTTGTGCATAACTTATGTATCAGACAATTTTCTGTTTCTCTTCGCAAAATGAATGTCTCCAGTCTTGTTTCATCTTTCATTTCAGAGTTGTAAACAAAGTATATCCTCTAGACATATTGCCTATATTATGCTATAAGGACAACATGGTAGTGTAATAACATATATTCTTATTTGTCTGTTTCTTTATGTATACAGAAAGTGCACTAGCTGTGTAATCATCATCGAAAAATCAATAGAGGAAGGTCATTGAATAATAAGGAAGATTTGCGTAATACATAGTTTCTGCTTTTACGAAGCTTTTCCACGCTGTATTAGAGCACTTGAAGATGAAAGAAAATCTTTCAAGTGCTATTTTTTACCTGTAAAATAGTTAAACTATAGACTCATATCGACACTCAAATATTTTTTGTTACTAGACTTGACCAAACCATCAACAGAGTCAAATACTATAAAACTTTCTATATTACTATAGACCATTTTGAATCAAATTCTATCTTCTAAACCAATATTAAATGTAGAAAATTGAATCCAAATTTGGTCACTTCTTCTCAAAACACTAGCGAATGACTGTGCGATAGTCTCTATTTTATTGTAAACCGACAGAGTCGAGAAGTAAAATCTCAGTGTAAATTCGAAAAAGTAAAAGATCCTAATTTAAGTAAGTTATCTTTCAATGACCACACTATGCATTATTTAACTTAAAATTAAAACAAACAAAATTTACCAATTAATGTTTGTTAGGTAGAGTTAGTGTTAATATGATATTCTCCGTGATCTTTTCATATATTGATATTTGATATGAATGAAATGTACACAGAAAGAATGGTAGTATGAAGACGACAAATCACTATGTAAATACAATAATGAAGTGCTAACAAATCATCTACGAAGTGATTAACGTCAATACTATCATAATCTTTTATTAAAAGGCACACACATTTCGATATGTTTGACTGTTCCATTGACTATGTGGCCGTTATATTTATAGGTTAGAAGAAAAAAATCCTATATGTATAAATGATCACGTTCAATACTAAACTGTTTGATATTCTAAAGTTATATCATAACTATTGACAATAATCAAACGATATCCTTTTTCTAGTATTAATTATATCGCCTGAAGTATTTGTTTACAAATACTTGCTTTTACAGTTGTTGATTTATCTGAGTTTTAGCAAAGAAATCGAACATTTATGTAACATATTGTACGTGACGAAAACTTATTATCCTTTTACATATTATCCAATCAAAACGAAACACTTGTATATTTCTCTGACAGAAATCATAAATACTTACAAGGTCATTTGCAATGCGTTCGTAATAATATTTCTGTAGGAAAGAATAAATAAAAATGAACATTTATTTTCTTTCCCTATTCTTTTACTTTATAATCATCAAGCCAAACTTCAGCGAGGCGAACTGTGTTTTTCTTCACAACATTAATATTTTTCGGCCATTCATATGGTGAGCGTTTGCGAAAAACATGGCCAACATGTGAACACGGAGCACACAAAAGTTCACCACCACATTGCCAAACCTATGAATACAATAAGACATATTTTACTTTGAATGCATCTCTTACGTTTGTCTATTTTTTTACCTTGAAAGATAGTTCGAGATTTTCCCCACCCCATATTTCCATGCCTGGATCGTACATGCCAAGTTGATCGAACCATTCACGATCAATTGCAAACAAACCACCAGCCATTGTAGGACTCCTAAAAAATCGGAGAATCATCATTTTGACTTGAAGATTTAATTTTTGAATTTGATACCTGATCGGATCTGTCTTTTTCTGTCTTCGTTTCATTTCTTTTTCTGGTGTAACATGCCAATTAAAAATGAGATTCCAATCAAAACCACCAACTTGTATATTTTGTATTGGTGTACCAGTTAATCGAAATGTAGAATCATCAATAATTTCAATCAATGGAACAACTGCTACCTTAGGATTTCGTGCAATAGGATCCAAAAGAGGTTCGAGCCATCCTTTAAGATAAAAATATTATTTAAAATTCAAAGATATATTTCTAGAAGAAAAAAAACACAATTCGATCTATACTTCAGCAATGCTAGATCTGACATACGTAGGGTTAAGCATTTTTCGTACCTGTCTGAAAATTTGCAGTAGCGAAAAAAGTTAGCTTCCTATATATTTGGGTCCTGGTTAGTTTTAAGTGAATTTTCTAAACAATCTCAAATTCATTTTTTCTATTACCTTCAGCGCATTCACAATGTGAATCCAAGAAGATCAGTACTTTTCCTTTGGCATCATAAGCACCTTTCAAACGAGCCCGTATAAGACCTTCACGTTTACCAGTACGAAGTATTCGAACATTGATTAATGATTTAATATCATCGTCTAGTGGTTTTTTTAAATGATCTACCAGAGGAAAAGAAAATCGAACATTCAATTACATATTTTGATGGCTAATTTTTCTTCACTTACCGATAACGCACCTTTATCGGAAAAATCGTCAACAAGAATAACTTCTTTTAATAGATGAGCTGGTGACCGATCAAGTACAGAATAAACTGTGCGTAGTAATGTTGAACGTGCTTCATTATGAAAAATAATAATTACTGATGCATCAGGTAGATTGGGATGAAGATCAACTTTTTTACATCTAATTTATATTAATATGTTATTCAAAGTAAAAAATATAAAATTTTAATTACTCCTGATCTCGAATATCAGCTAAACTTCGTCGTAATGAAATCATATCACTAACATATTGATTAAATGCATTATTTTTCCATCCATCATCATATTTTTTTCTTTCTTCTTTTGATAATTTATCCTTATCAATACGAACTGCATTACCCATTTCACCGGGGCCACCAGTTTTAGGATCATTATGTTCTTTTTTTGCTTCTGGTGCAGCAACTTGCACTTGAGCTTTCATTTCACGAGCTTGTTCAAGAGCTTTGGCACGTTCTTCTGGTGGATGATCATTATCAGCATTGTGTTTAAATGGTAAAACACCAATTATACGATCAACAAGTGATGGTGCATCTGTTTTATCAACAACATTTATTTGAATATCATCTTTTGATTGTGAAATAGAGTCTGTACGAAGTGAAAATAAAATAATAGCAATAAACCACAATGTTGGAATTAAAAATAAATATTTTATAAGTCCACGCCTACGTATCCCCATATTCAGGACAAGAAATAAATGTGTTGTTTAGAAACAAGTATGTTGCTGAAGCACCATCGAATTTGATTAGGGTTGGTTTTTTTTTCGTTAAGAATGTTCTGTTCTCTTCCTTAAAGTTGACAATTCCGTGAAGTGTATTCTATGGATCGAAGTGCATAGATGAGTCGAGCATGCAGTACGGACGACTGTTGCTATGCTTTTATACAAAAAAGATATACAATGATGTGTCGTAATGGTATTTCTGTTCCTATTTAAGAGATTGTTCGAGATTGAGCAACAGTGTGAATTGTGTCTAAAGTAAACAAGTACTTAAAACAAGGTGGATATCTATAGAGAATATTTTTGAGAATCATAGTTTTATTATTATTGAAACTGATGATTAATTTTCGAAGATGGGCAGAAATATATGGAAAATGTTTTTAATATAATTATTATTTGACAATATCTTATCGAGTCTTTTTACGTGTATGTGAACAAAGAAGAACTATTGATTTTTGTGGTAACTTCACAGTTCTCTATGCCCTATATATGAAGTTTTTTATTTTCAAGAAAAAAATAACAGAAACGCAATTAGCATTTCTTTTTTTCAATTCAAGTGAATTCTACAGTTTCTTATATAAAAAAAGTCTAGATTATCTTCTGTGTTATTCGATAGTACACTTTATAATTAGTTCATTATTCAGTTCGTGCTGATTCACTCATCAAATTGAACTATCGTTAATTATCTTACTCTATTCATTTTTATGCATGAATTAATTTTTCAAGATTACCGTCAAAAATCAATCTGGACTGATTGCACAAAATTTTTGGAATAATTTACGATTGTGGTGAAAAGCTATGTCACGAGCTTTTTTCTGAAAGGTATGATGAAGTTTGTCAGGAGACATCGAACAAACAAGTGTCAAAAATAGATGATTTAGTATGCTGCATTTCTTAAATGGCCATCAATTATTTATTTTAAAATGCTTTTTTTTATATGAGAATAAATGAACTGTGACAAGCATAGTTTTCAAGCAGCTAGTGACAAAAACTATCAAAATTTCTGGAGAAAAGATAAAGTATCGCGTAAAAAAAAGCTTTTACATTCCAAAAACTTATCTTTTTCAGAATGCTTTCAATAAATGTAATTGCCTTCAAATGCACAGTGTCGCCGTTGCCCGTATTTATATCGTTTCTACTTGCGCTAACTCTCTGTAATGAAAAAAATGTTCTACACTAAAGTCATGTTCATGCTACATATTAATTTTTAATCATGTAGAATAATGAGTAGAAAGAGCGTTGTGCCGATACAAAGTTTTCCCATGAGCCTTCGTAAAGAAATTGATGCTTATCAATAGGTTGCACATTCTTCAGTACTTACTAAAATGACAAACTAATGACCACAATATTGTGTATAAACCAAATGAATGATTTCGAGAAAATGCAATCGTACTATTTGCAAAATAATTTCCATCGTAATTTAGTATCTTTTTAGAAACTCCTTTTCGTATATTTTCTTTAGACGATTTCCTAGTGATAACTATTTTTAATATATAAATAATGTGTACTGCTGATATAAATTTCAGCTGAGTTCAAAATCTCTGGTATCCTATCGACTATAGATCAAATTCAAAGTAGACTATATTCTTATAAAAAATCTGATTGAATTTTCTGATCAATAAGGACATGGAATTCCTCATGTTGTACATTAGTGTTAATATGATTTTCTTTGCAACATAAATTTATTTTTCTGCCGAAATGCTTTTTTTTTATATTAGAACAGATATATTTTTATAATTTTGTTTTGAATTTATCAATGTATTACTGTATACTTTTCTTTTGGTTTTATCCTATCACATCTAAGATCATTATTCACCCATCGACGCCTCTTTTTGCGACACAATAAAATTTGTAGTGTGTTGACATGCAGGCTACTCCAAGTTTTCAAAACAAGGAAAGAAAAAAATAACGAATCATAATACGACACGAAGATAGTATCTATCCTTCAGTTATTTTTAAGTTACAATTACGTTTTATACAAATATTTCTGCATTCGTGTTTTTATGTATGCTTTTAATTATTGTTCGGATGAATATTGTATTTTAATTTAATGAACAAACACGATTCCCTTGATTTTTATATGTTTTAATACATAGTAGAAGTTTCAAGATGTTAATTCATCTGTAAATGTTCATTTGTTAAACATTCATTTAAGACTGATTTTTAAAAAGTAAAATGACAAATACAATAAAAAAAGCTGACATTGACTTTCATTACCAACGAATAATAAATGCAAAATTTAATAAGAATTATATACATATATTCACAGTTTTAGTTTGTCTTTCAACTAGATTATATTTGTCTATCTGACAGAATTTCTGTTTTTATTCTTCTTCTTCATATTATGTTATTGCTTTGAGTCAAGATTAATTTAATCATTATTATCTGTTTCAGCTTTAATACTAGTTGCAATCGATTGATTTTGATTGACATGTTCTGTATAATGTCGTTTACAATAAGATAATTTTTTTGCTCGTTTTGTACATTGTTCATGTATACATAATGGACGCCAATGGCCAATACCATCATATTGTTCACGAAAACCACGTTTGTTTAAACGAATTTCATTTCGAGTATGGAATATTGATTGCGATTGATCAGCTAATGATGATACAGATGTATAAAGATATGCAGGAGGCGGCATTGGAATTTGTGAAACTGCTTGTAAATTATGATAATGTGGTTGATGAAATAGAATATTTGATGACAACATACTATTTGAATGAGTAGATGTAGTCAGTGAACTAGGTATTGATGATACTAATGATTGTTGTGGAACTTGTGTAGAAGTTGTTGTTATTGAAGACTTTTGTTTATGTTCTGTATAGTGCTAAATATAAAAGAAATTTTAATTATACATAGATGATTATGAAAAAGATGTATTGAGAATTTCTCAAATATTTTTCAATGAGTAACCACCAAAATAATTAATAAAAGAACACAGATTCTCTTTTAGTGAAAAATATTCACGTTTTTAGTTCAAATGATAGCTTGGTGAAATTTGATTAAAAATGAATATTTAGTTTTAGTATCAATCAGCACATACTTTTATATAACAACTCTTGTAGATAGTCAATCAAATAAACCAAATGATCAGTTCGATTAAGCACAACTAAAAGCTCACATGAACTGGCGGAACAGGTAAATTAAATTATTTTTCTCACAAAGTAGTTTTAAATATTCTTTATTAGTCTACCTCTGTTTCTTCCTTTTAATTATTCAAACAGTCTTCGTTATTGCTTCTAATAGTTTACAATATTTCAAAAACGAATAACCATATCGCTGACTGATTATTTTTTATATTATAGCAAGTAAATCATGGCTTCAATTTCACAAGCACAATACTTAATTTGGTTGTCTTGTGAAATAAGCTGTTTCTTTGTTATCTATGTGATTTATAGAATTTTTCGATCTTTGATCTACGTCTAATGCTCTTCATTTATTAGTCTTAGGAAAAATAGACTCTTTAATCAAACAGTTTTATTTCCATTTAAATGATAATCTTCATTTATAATTTTCTTCATTTGACATAATATTTTCATTTTCATTAAGTTGAGAAAAAGCAAACTCTCTGTTTATGCCCATCAAACACAATATAGGGAAAAAAAAGAATAAAATGAATCACCTTAAAACTTATTTCAATTATTATTAGTTACCCTTGGGCTTATCGATCTATTAGTACATACTATTATTTGACCTTGAAATTTATTAACAAGAGTAATTCATCATGAATCGATAATGCCATCTATTTGAATGATTATACATTAGTCTCTTTATTTTCTATTCTCTTCAATCACGATATCAAAGTTTTATACGCTATTCTCAATCTTTAATATTACTCTATAAATTGAGGATTTCCTTTCTCTACAATAGATTTAACTTACTCGTTTACACCAATTGAGTACTTTTGCTCTTTTCATACATCCTTCAATAACGCATAATTTTCGCCAATATTTTTTTCCATCGAATCTTTCAAAGTAACCTTTTTTATTCCATCGGATTTCGTCACGTTGATGAAACGACATCAGTTACAAAAATCTGAAAATTAAAATATTATTGTATTTTTACTACCTAAAGAGATTGCGTTTTAATTGAAAAGAGATTCTTAAAAAAACAAAAGAAAAAAATATATATAAAATGAGATCACAATTCCAGATTATCGAAGAATTTGAAAGACTTTGTGAGTTTAAAATTTTGTATTGCGATTAGTAAATGAGTCGGCACGATTTCGAGGTTCGTCATCGAAATCATTTTTATAACTTGTGGCATAATCTCCTTGTTGAACTTGAGAACTATATCGACGAGGAACTTTTGTTAACAAACCATATTGACGTTTATATTCCGCTGTTTGTTCAGCTAAACGATTAGCAGTAGAATAACGCGGAATACTTAAATGAGACACTAAAAAATAAAACTAAGTTTTATCACACAACGAACTCTTATGATAGTAATTATTGCTTACTATAGCCTAGACCTTGAAGAAAAAGTCGAATAGCTTCAGCTAATTTTGATGGCTGTTCAATTAAAACAGCGCCACCACAATCAGCAAATTCAGCATATGAAGCTGTCGCTGAATCACATCGATCATTAGTTTCCATAACATCGTCTTTGTGTGGTGATGTTGCACCGGTAATATTAAGAACTAAACATCTATAAAGATAATTTTCTTGTCTTTTGATTTTTATCAAGAAAAATCCACTTTTTCGTACTGTAGAGTTCTAGACGGATCAGCTTTTTTACTTGCATCGTTTTGTCGATCAATTTGAATAGCTGTACGTCTAGAAAAAAATTGAAACAATGAACAATCAGTTTTTTTATGTAAATATTTCTTTACTGAAAGAATGAATTCAGAAGTTTAATAACATTTTTAGCTTTTACATTGTCTTTTAGATGATGTCGAAGCATATGCACGAGTTCTTGATCTGAAGACTGTGTGTCCTAAAAACTTAACGATGATAATTTTATTAAAATTCATGATTCATACGTACAGCACCCAAATGATACCAAATAAGGTAGTCTAATAATGATTCCGTCCAATAATCTTGAGTTGCATCTTTCAATGCTCGCTATAAAAGTAAAATACATGGATCAACAAGAGAACATTTAAGTTTTGCAAAACTGAATACTTTAATCGAAAAATTTTCAAGCCATTTCATACTACGTGAAACACAGTTAACCATAATAAGACCATTGATTTTCGATGGATACTGTAATGCAAAACGAGCCAAAATATTAGCACCAAGTCCAATACCAAATCCAATAGCGGATTTAATACTAAAATAATATTCAATTAAATAAATATCAGAGTTATTAGCAAAAGCAAATGAACCTACTCTAATTGCACAAAAATATCATTGACCGATACAGCTAATTGATCCAGAGTGGGATACTCAAATCTAGAAAAAATAAAATAAAATAAATAAAATAAATCTATTATGAAACATTTTCATACGAAGTAGGTAATACATGAGCTTGTTCGTCTTGACCGGGTGCATTAATATGATAAATGGTAAATTTTTCAGTCACCGGCATCATTTCTGGAAAAGCAAAAAATTGATGGAATTGAGATGAAGCTAAACAGAAAAAATTATATATTTCTCATATTATTTAAATACAAAAAATCTACAATTATATCCAATATCATGATAAGTAACAATAGCTGGACGATTTGGTGAACCCTGTTGTGTTACAATAATAAAACCATATTTCGTTGAAATTGGAATCGTCTATAGAAAGAAAAAGAAAAAATAATCATAATAATATTTCATCGATAAAAAATAACAATAGAAATGTACCTTTGGCTTAGTAAATTCATTTTCGAGAATGTCTGGTTCAAGTAAACGATTTTCAGAATCAGCGACTGAGCAATCTGTTGTCATCATCTATAGTTTAAGAATAATAACACCCACGACTTTATGATCAAAAGAAAAAGCACGAGACTAAAACAAGTCGAATCTACATCAAATGAGAATAAGAAAAAAACAGAAGGTGAAAAGGTGAACTAAACAGTATGAAGAAAAAAATGCGCATATAGAATAGAATGGATATGTGCTTGAATAAAAATTGGACAACCATAGCAGAATTTGCCCAGAAAGAATAGTTTAGTCAATATCTCACGCCATCTTTCGAAAGTTGAAATATATAAATAAGCGTATGTAATCCAGTTTTAGTTTAATCGCTATCTTTGTCGAATATGGACGGATTTATAGACACAAATAAATATTAAACTTGAGTTGATGAATTTGATAATAATTGAGGATGATGCTGGTCAAGACTAAGATAATTATTTTCTTCTAGTCTTACCATAGAATCAGTTTGACTCTGATGTGATGTTCTTGGTTCTATATGATCGTCGCGTGTTAATGAATAGTATTTCTTATGTTTATATAACCAAAACCAAAGAGCAATACCAACAAGAAAAAGAATCGTTGTTGTCAATAAAAAAGTAGGTAAAAAATATTTTTGAAATTGTTGAAATTGTTTATTGATCATTCGTTGATTATTTATTAATGATGCACTTATTTCATCAGTTACAATATTACTAAATGTTTGAGAATGTTCCATAATATTATTCACATCAATATGAGGTCTACTCTCGAATGAATACTGATCAGGTGGACAACAATAATAATAGTTATCTGTGCCGCAACAGAAATATTGAATTGAATTTTCAATGGGACATGCGAAGCCTGTAAAACAAAAAAGATACTATCTAACTATTTTTAAAAATACCAATGTTAGCATTCAATCTTAACTCGAATTTGCTTTAGATCTATCTAACATTAAATATCGATTTATCTATACAACTAACCATTATTCCATGCACCATGGATATCAAGAAATCCGCTACAAATTGTACTTGGCGTTTGATCAAACGCTATTGTTGTTGTCGTCGTAGTTTTGATCATCATTGTTCATTGTGTAAAATACTTCGATGATACTATAATTAGCATTGATAAGAAACATACGTCAACAAGACATCGAAGGAAAGACGCGAATAAATTAAGCTTCAATATGTTTTTTTTTGTATGATAATAAAGACAAGCAAAAGAAAAAGAATTACAGATGAACCAGAAATAGAGGAAAGGAAATCTCATCTGTTTAGTTAATATTTCTATCGTATGTAGACTGAGGACATTCTTCTTTATTCATAAGAAAACACAGTCAGTATGATGTATCGATGAGTATCTCTTTGTCAATGTTTCTTCATCCGAAAAGAAAAAGAGCTTGTCATGGATGATTATCACTAATGCATTGCAGAAAGAATGAATCCAAGTAGTTGCATTTATCGATAATGTCACTGAAGATCATAATAGATAATAAAAGCTGCTAAGCGCACACTAGGATTGATACATGCTTCTTTCTTCTTCTTGTTCTTTTTGAAGCACTTATATTTTTCGTAAATGTTAATCGCAAAAAAAACAAAAAATATACAGAAACAGAAATTGGATTTTATTGATAGGATCGTTTTTTAATGTTTTTTTTTTCATTATTTAAAAAGTTGTTTGACCCATACTATCGTCATTTTCAATTGTTGTTTCTACTTGATTTGAAAACGAAGGATTATCATATATAAGAGGTGTTGCATGGTTTGATCGAGGCGTATTAGTATTGTTAAGTGGAAGAAGAGCAGTAGTCGATTTTGAATTGTGTATATTAGTATCATCATCAGACATCGTCTTATTGTCAAGTGCATCTAGTTCTTTACGTGATAAATGATTCACAACAGCACAACCAATAGAATCACCAAATACATTGATAGCAGTACGAAATCGATCACTGAAAGCAAACAAACAGAAAAATTTATTTATTAATAAAACTATAAATATCAGCATAACGACAAGTTTTCTTTTAAACTTACAGAAGCCAATCAACAGCAAAAATAGTTCTAACTTCTTCAGGTGGTAAACCAAGAGCATTAAGAACAAGAACCAAAGTTACTAGGCCAGCCTGTGGAATACTTGCAGCACCTATTGATGCTAATGTCGATGTAAAACTAAAGAATCACAACATGAGTATTTATAAGCTTTCAATTAATTTCTATTTACGTCGTTACAATAACTTTGGCAGCAGTCAATGGAACATGATTAAGTTGCGCTATATAAATAGCTGCAACTGCTTCATATAATGCTGTTCCATCCATATTAACTGTAGCTCCAAGAGGCAAAACAAAGCGTGATACTCTTGGATCAATACGATTTTTTTCTTCAACACATCGATATGTTACAGGTAATGTTGCTGATGAACTAGCCGTACCAAAAGCAGTTACTAGTGCTTGACTCATTCCACGAATATATTTAAAAACATTCATACGTGTTACAATAAAAAGAATTAAAGGTAAAATAATGAATCCATGTATAAATAAACCAGCTAAAACAGTTGCCATATAAAGACCTAATGAACCAACAAAATCATTTAAACTGTCCATTGTAAGTATTTTAGAAACAATGAGAAAAAAAATACCAATAGGACTAAATAACATTGCAATGCGAACAAGTTGCATTACAACTTCTAGCATTGCTTCAAAAAATTGTTTTAATATAGTCGCTTTTTCTTTCAATCGACTTATAATAATACCAAATAGAATACAAAATAAAAGCAAACCAAGAACATTAATGCCATCTCTTTTTTCTAATTTTGCATCATAGATAGTTCTATTATATGCTAAATTTATAGATATATACACACAATTATGTATACTGATATTATATTATATAATCACAAATAAAATCTTACTTGCATTATTTGCATCTATTCCAATTGTTTTATTGACTGTAAGTTTAGTACCAAGCTATTAAATAAAACGAATGTATTTGATTATCTGATTATCTGATTATCTGATTATCTGATTGCTTTTGTTAAATACATACTGTTTGAAATGCAGCTTGTACAATATTATCAGGAAATAAATTTCTTAAACGTCAAATTTGATAAAATAAATAAGGTTCATATTTTTACTTGAAATTTTACCTGATTAAATCCAGAATAGTATCAATAGTTCGACCCTCAGCTGATTTTGATTCTGCTTTGAATGCTTCTTTGGCACCACCACGTTTTCCAGGTTGTATGGTTAATACAAGAATTATGCCGACAATAGCTGCAATAATAGTTGTACCAAAATAATAAACCAATGCTCGTAAACCCATTTTTCCAGATGATTGGGCATCTAGTTGAGCTAATGATGAAATAATACTTGAAACAATCAATGGAAGTATGAGCAATTTAAGTATATTAATAAAAATAGTGCCCGGAAATTCAATGTAGGCTATATCTTCTTTAGTAAGACGACATCCATTTATATATTGTTCTATAAAAAAAAAAATATTTGAAGAACCACCAATTGAAAGAATTTATCGTGTTTTTTACCTGTTTCACATTTAAGACCTCGAAGACCTAATCCAATGCCAACACCAATTATTACTGAAGCAATAGTTGTCATAAGTAGAGCTTGTTCTTTAAGACTTTCTTTTGAACAACACCGCTGGTGAACATTACTGTTGAAAGTACTTGTCCTATGTGTTGATAATGGTACCTCGACAATGTGATGTGATGTTCTATCAGAAAATGAGACTGCATTCGAACCGTTTTCGTTTTTTATTTCTGATGTAGCAAGTGGTGTTACAGTTCGGACCGTTTTTTTCTTGAAGAAATTCATGAACTTTTAAGAAATTTAATATACAAAAGATTGTATAAGGTTTACATCAAACTTACTTTATTATTTAAAAGAAAAAAAGGATATGTGAAACTTTCGTATAGATTAAGAAGTGTGCACTTTATGAATAACGACTGAGTAATGATGCCTATGAGAATAGAAGAATAGATTAAGACTACATAGAAAAAGAGAAAAGAAAAAGAAGACATACCTATTTCTACAACAGTTCTTCTTGACAAGAAAAATACTAGCAAAACAAAAGTTAAAACAATCTTCTACATGTGCATGTGATGATCCATTGACTAATTCAGAAAAGAAGATACAAGATCACGTCTAGAAAATTCGTGGAATATGAAATGTTTTTTTAAATTAGATAAATAAAAAGAAGATTTTATCTCTCATGTGTCGTATTAAAAATGCTGACCTGATATTTATTGTTTTTATTCTTTGTCTATTCGAAAGAGCATCATTTTATCTCAATGATGAAAACATGAGTGTGATCATGATTTTTTCATTATTTCATAAGGATCATTTTGTTTTGCTGTTTTAGTCCGTCTAATCCTGACAACTACATAATATACAAATCCGAACGAACGTATGAAATGTCATTGATGTGAAATTTCAAAATATAAGCTCTAATCAAGTCATCTGTTCGTTACAGTTGATTTAACTGTTAATGCGCCAATCCAATTCTAGTTCGATGAATTTGATAAAATAAAAAATAAAAGCATATATGCATAGCTATGTGTATGATCAGTATATGAACAAGAATGATGTCGCTCAAACGTACTAGAGATTTTGAAATGTATCAATTGATTTGTTAAATACTGTAGTAGAAATCGCGCATTTCTGAAATAGTCACAAGTACATGAACAAAAATTAAACCAAACTCACTGTTAGAAAATTATACTAATATATTTTATGTATAATTTTTCACTAGTACAGACAGAAAAAAAAAGTATCTTTGACCTCTTTTCGATAAAAATAATGACTACAATAAAAATTGAAGGCACGGTTTAAAAATAAGATCACCCAACGGAGAGAACATTATTTAAAAAAAAAGAAAAAGATACTATCATCAAGTTTTTCATGGTACATCTCTAGTGAACGAACAAAAATTACTATTACTACTGTGCGTTGAGCTTACAAGACGAGTGTATGTTATTGTTATGAAATTTATATGAGTTTATTGCATTTTATATTTTAGGGATAGAATCTTTTGTGGAACGAGTACGATTCGATGCCAATAGATTATTGAAAGCTCAGTAATAAACATTTTATTTACAACATGAAATATTGTGTAGACTTTTCTCATAGACCTTTCACACACAACTATTAAAGTTTCTTTTCTTTTTTGTGTACTCAAAAAGTGAGTACACTCTAGAATCGGTCAGTGTGTTCGGCCGACCGTAGGCACGATAACTTTCGAAAGGAGAATCAGACCGAAATGAAATTTTCCACCCAGCTCAATTTCATGAATATCTCGGTCGAGTTCGAAGATGAGAAGGATCCCTCAAGAAATGGTTGATTCATCGAAAAAATTGTCATTTTTGACCAGGCCATCCCTGAGGAGGATTACAGGGATTTTTTTTCAAAAAACAAATTTTTCTCAGAATTATTCACAACATATATAAATCGACTCAGTTTTTAACGCTGATTCCGAATCTGATATTAGTTTTGAACTAAACCGTAGCTTTCTAACGAAACATCACCTGAAAAACGTCTCAAAATGCACAAAAACTGCATCCAGAAATCAAATTGGCTAGTTTCTCATGATAATTTTGGTGTTCAGACATTCTAGAATGACTCATATGTCCCATGTACTTTTTGCAGTACACATAAATCTCGGATGAAATCCGAAGTTTCCACATTTATTTAAAGTTTCGTTAGAATTTTGAAAAGATTCCATGTTGAAATTCTTATTTGTATTCATTATAAAAACTATCGTTGCGTTTAGTTTTAGTTTTAGCATTGAAGCAATGAGAAAGTAAAGCCTGTACACACTACTCATCTGTCATAGTCATAGATGGGAGATTATGATGATGATCCTCTCCACTTAGAAAGTCTAAAGTTAGTTATTGTTACTGCATAATAATTCATTTTGGATTACTCAAATAATTTAAAAAATTCATTTTATTTATAAATAAAAAGAAAAGAAAGAAAATTAATTCTTAAGTTTCGACATATCAGGTTTGAGTCTTGAATTTTGTCCTCCAACATGTTCGTCCCATCCTTTTCGACACGTACGAATAATCCATTGATGTTCATCATCATCTATTTTCAATGCAAAAATTTAATGTATATAAAAGAGACACAAAACAAACTGAATTTTATTTCTTACCAGCATTTCTCACGAATTCTCCATTATAATTTGTAACAATGCGAGATGTTGGATTATAAATTCCATCACCTACATCGTAGCAATCAAGAGGAATTACTTGAGATGGTTCGTTATCTTTTAATTGAGATCGTCCAGCTGGCTTTAAATCATGAAGAGTTTCAGTATAGAAACGTCTATCATAACCATCACAGTATTTCCAATCGTTAGCATCGAATGTTAGACCATCTGGAAATGTATATTGACCCTAGAGAAGAAAAATATTTCAAAATATTTGAATGACGAAAAAAACACAGAATTCCTACTTGTTGTGCTACACCTTTTTCCCAAATAGCTTCATACTTCGCACCATTACTATAATGAAGTATACCGTGTCCATGAAATTCGCCATCCTTAAAGTCGCCTAGGTAAGTAGTACCAGATGGAAACGTAAATTTAGCATTTCCCTCAAGTCTAAATTTACAGGTAAAATATTCATTGAGAAATCTTCATCTTTAATTTTCTACCTTTCATTTCGAATCTCTCCGTCATAATTACTGCTTGTCCAATAGGTTTTGTTGATATGTCCAGTTGATGTTGTCATTATGAAATAAAATAATATTTCAAACAAACTTCATCGTCATCTTCATAGTTTCACCCTTAACAACAGACTCTGATTTCATAGATGTCGTCATTCCGTGATTATAAATATAATGACTCATAGAAAAGTAGGACGCAACCGTGCTTCTTCAAGCTGTTGTTATTTATTTCATATTCCCTTCCACCATTGATGTCGTTATGGTTGTGATCAATTTTTGAAAATGTCCTACAATAGAGAATTATCCGACCGTTTTATCGATGATCAAAACAAACCCTATGAAAGTCGGATTCGTTCGAATTCATATGATCAAGCGATGTTCGATAAAGAATCAATAGTGAAAAATCCATCCACAATAAGGCGAATAAATGATAATCTTTATTTAATTAAATGGATCGAATTTAATCACCAACGAACACCTATTCTTCTACAAAATCTCAATGGACCTTGTCCACTTATTGCCATTGCAAATATTTTACTTTTGAGAAACAGAGTAATTAAAATTCCTTTAGCGTTTCTATTTTATTTATTACAATAATTAGAAGAATTATGTTTACGTAATATAGATTCATCTGAATTCAAATGCAGGTGAAATCAGCACCGAACGACTCATAGCAATAATTGCTGAATATATGCTTCAAATCGATACAACAGTGAATAATTATTGAAGAAAAAACATATCGTTTTCTGATTTTGAATTTGTATTAAGAAATTTTCCGCTGAAGATCATGTTATTTATGAGCATAATGTTGAAGATGCACTTGCGGTTCTTCCTAAGCTTCAAACAGGAATAGATGTTAATGTTAAATTTAATGGGTAAATAGAAAATTTGGCATTTTGAATAAGATCTATTCTCATGTATTTCCAATTCAGTGTTGATAAATTTGAATATACGCGAGAATGTATTATTTTTGATTTACTGGGTATACAATTATTCCATGGGTGGATTATTGATCCACAAAACTATGAGTTACAAAAGATTATTAATTCTAATGGATCGAGTTATAATCAGTTAGTTGAAAAAATGCTTCGACAAAAACAATCCACTAACGAAAAGCTTGCACGAGAAAGTAAAATGATTCAGTCTTCTTTTTTATCACAATGTAAAAATATTCCAAATGATTTTTAAGGCTTCCTAATTGAAGAATTTCTTGAAGAAAGCCGTTCACAATTAACGTATTATGGTTTATTAAAATTAAATGAAACAATGCGTAATAATCAATTAGCTGTTTTATTTCGAAATAATCATTTCAGTACAATATGGAAAAATAATGTACGCATTTTTCTAATGAAGATATGATGATAGAGCTGCATTTTTTTCATTATATAGAGAATTCTTAGAATACTTTTCGTCAAATTGACGATTATGTCTTTGTTTATATTCTAATGAAATTGATTCAAAAAAATGATTGAATTTCAACTAATACTTTCTGACGCAATTTCTAAATTGGAATCTAACGATAGATGTTTTGACTTAACATTTAACTAATATCAGTTTGATTAACTCTAGTCTGCGCTACGCCAATACAAGAATGAAAAGCTCATTTCTAGGGTGAGATAAAGTTTCTAGAAAAGCAATTATGAATTCTAAGAAAGCTTTAACGTATCAAACAATATCAATGAAGTGTTAAATCAACTAATATGTTTGCCTTTCAGTCCCCATCTAGCATGTGGATGATATTTATATTTGATGTAGCTCATAGAATTTGTAGGTTTACAAATCTTAAAAATTTTATATGAGAAATTATATTCAAAAAGAATATAGGCGACTAAAATTGCAGCTTGTGTTGCACTAGATTAATGTTTTATTGAACAACTTTTTGTATCTGATTTCGTTTATCTTAGTTTTACGTGCTGATTTATCATAGTATTATCTGCTTTGATACACATAACTGTAGTAACGTGACTATATGTTATAGATTTTAGAAATCTGCAACAATCTAAAGTATCATATCGAAATGAAATGTGATCCTCGTGCTAGTATCAAAGATTAGATGCCAATAAAGCCTATAGCAATTGACTTTCTTTCATAAGATCATAAAAATCCTTATATGTGTATTCAGAGTGAGAGAAAAACCCAAATTTTGACACGTATTACAAAGATCTTTCAACTATAGATCATGCATTGATTTTTTTTGATTTATTTTATTAACTAAATATTCTGTTTTCATTTTTGTTTCATTTAATTTTCAGACACAATTACTTCTACTTGTTTCTGATCAAGGCTTCTTAAATCAATCATCTATTGTTTTTGAAACATTGAGTAATATTGATAATAATAGTTCATTTACTGATGGTTATGGTGAAAAATGGCAAAAACCAGTACCAGTGAATGAAGCTCAAGAGTTTGTTTGAACTATAATAGAAAAAAATTCTTTGTTCGAATTTGATTTATTTAGCCGCGATCTGGCTATAGCCATGCAAAATCAAGAACACATTCGGTATCAAGAAGCACAATTACGACAACAACAGCAACAGCAACAGCAACAACGACAGCCTAATCGAGAACATTATTACGAAGATGGTTCGAAAAAACGTAAAAAGAAACACAGCCAGTACACGAATGATGAAGACGATGGAAATTGTGGCTGTGCTTTATTATAGTTTATTTTCTATTTGAGACACAAATTTTCTATTATTTAATTTAATTTTTTTGTATATTTTCTATATGCGATCAAAGAAACACCCAGCTCCAAATCTCATGTACAATGAAAATTGATGTATTCATAACTTTTCTCTATTTACAAAGCTGTTCAAACTCATTCGGAAACATATAATATGATGATAATGTCGAATTGCGACTGTTTGCAGTTGGATAAAGATTAAGTGGCGTACTAAATACAGTTGATGCTTCCGTACATCGTGATTTAGCGTCACTTGGTGTACTACTTATTGTTGATATACGATTTGGCACACATCGATTATGTTGAATTAATAGTGGTGAAGTAATTGGTTGAGGTAATTCAACAATAGACATTCGTTGCTTTCGACGGTGTCTATTACGACGTATTGATATTAAACATTGATAGATCATAATAAAAATGAGTAAAATAATCGCAAGAAATATTCCAATTGTACATATTTGAAAGAGAAACCATTTTTCAGAGAGAAAACTATCAGATGTACGTAGAACAAAATCATCTGATGATTGATATGAAGTTTGAGATGATAATAATGATAGTTTAGATGGAATACAACAATAACGATCAGTTTCTGTACCACAACAAACTCGAGGTAATGAACAATCGAAACCTACAAAATAAATAATGGAAGCATAGATTCTTTTACTTTTTCAAGGAAAAATCGACATGATAACATAAGAAAATAAGAACATTCCTTGAATTTGTCCTTCTGTTTATCAGTTACTATCTTGCAGAAATATGTATCTATAATGATACAAAAAACAAAGAGATCATTAAGATGTGCTACAAGGCGAAGAGAAACAAGCTGAATAATAAAATATCTAATATTGCATACGACACACAGGAAATCTGACTTTCTTGCAATAGAAATAAATAGAGAACTAAAAAAATTATTTTTAACTATAAATTATTTTTTCTGTAGATGCAGTCAGTTATATTGTTAATTTAGTTTCATATGCATATGTTCAATCATAACTACAGTCTACTATCGAGGTTCTTAAAAGTAATCGAAATGAAATTGTCGTAGAAATCTATATTTTTCTTTTTACAAAGTCTTATAATCAAAATAACTTCTAGTTATCAAAATAGAAGAAAAGTTCAATTTTCAATACCATTATTCCATATTTCATATCGATCAAGAAAACCAGAGCAGGATGTAGTCGTCATATCATTGATTGATCATCGTTAAGAATGAATATAGTTATATATTGAAGAAGGTTAATCGTAGACGTTATTCGCTTCGTTTTTTCTTATTACTATCAAAATGTTCTGTCTGTCGTCAGACAAAAAAGAAGTGGTAGTAGTAAAACGAGTCTGTATTTCTTATTCTATCAAATCAGATAAGTGAAAGGAAAAGAAAAGCATCGTTTTCTCTGAAGAGAGAAAAGAATAATTAATCATGTATAGTATAGTGTAGTATAGACGATGATATCGTTCAGTCTCGCGTCTCAACTGAACGAAAGTCTATTCCATCTGGCAGTATAGATAATTGATGAGCTGGGACACACACACACACATATATATATATATACGGATAGATAGAAGAATCAACGAGTATTTTCACTGTTTATAGATTCATCTCTGCAAAATACAGACATGTCAGTTTACATTTTTCAATTAGACAACGACGAAGACCAGGCAACATATTATCGACAAAGACACAACTTGTGTTAAGGATCATTAACTTATATTGACAGTTGACTGAAGGAATCGTTTATATACTCTGCATGATCTTCTCATTACGAAATATCCATCGAAGATAAGAATAACTCAAGTTCGATATCTTTTTGAACATGTTTCTTTATGATAATCTTGATCTTTCTGTTTTCTTTTTGTTATCTCTAGAAACTATCTTGAATATCTTGTCTATTGATTTTTGCTATGTTTACATAACTATCACGTTTACACATTAGAAGCAACAGAAATAAATTCTGTATTTTCTGGTCTCGCCAGTGTTATCTCATTTATATAAATTATCATTACTGTTATTGTTTATTTATTGTACAACATATATCAATCGATGCATATTTAGAAAATGATGTTGCAAACATAATAATTATTATTATGAGATGTTTTCTATCATAACGTTAATTAATTCTACAGACAAACATAAAACAATAGTTAAAGATATTTTTTAATAAAATCGAGTTTTGTTAATATCGATGAATAAACGCCAGGTTTTATCGTTTCTGCATTAACACCGTGGGATGTAACACCAAATAAATACCAACGATCGTCTGTTTTGTTAAGTACCATTAATGGACCACCACTGTCACCTTCTATAAATAGGAAAACATCGATAAAAACAAAAAAAGAATTCAACAGAATCGTGTAAATCCTTTATTTTTCATTTAATTATTGGAAACACAAGAAAACAAGACTATAGTATTTAAATTCAAGTCTCGATTTATTTTCAAAAAAGGTTAAACAACTCAATGACTTCTGAGTAATCTGAGAATTAAAAAAATTCTAAAATGAAATCAAATTTGAAATCATATTTATTCAAAATTGAATTCAAACATCAGAATATGTAATATTTGATTCTAGAAAAAAAGAGTCAGCTAAAAAGTAAAAGAAATTTCACTGAATCGAATCGAATCAAACCTACCTCTTGAATCAACATTATCATATGTATTTGTAGCACATATTTCATCATCTTCATCGAATGATGCAAAAATATGTTTACAGTAATTATTTGATTTAATATAAACTAAACCTTGTTTCAAATGAAATGAACCAAATACATTTAATTCACCCGTTCGATATTTTCCACCCCAGCCTGCAATCAAAGCTATTGTATCATCTTGTAATTTTTGATCGTTCTCATTGGGCAAACAAATTGAATTGATCATATCAGAACGTTTTAATTTCTTTTTTAGTTTTATGATTGCTAAATCATAATCACAGCATAATACATAATTGGGATGAAGAATTACGTGAGAAACAGCATAATAATTAAATAAATTAAGACGACCAAATAAAGTTGAAGCACCAGCAATAACAGTTAGAAACTTTGGTTCGTCAACAATACAATGTGCAGCTACCAAAAACAAACAGGAAATTTTTGTTTTGTTGACAATTTTATATGAGTAAAATGTAAAAATATTTACCAGTTAGTATAGTGTTCGGACCAATAATGGTTCCACCACACGATCTTAATGATTTATAATTGACAACATTAACTACCCATGGAAACGAATGATCGCTTGCTGATAGACCACCAGTTACACGTGGCGTATCAAATTTAGCTGGTAGAATTGGTCTTATATCTGATTTACCACAATCAAATACACGTTTGTATTTATTTGAATTAATTTTATTTTTAACTTTATTCTTAAGCCAACTGAAAAAATGATTTTCAACTGGTTGTATACATAATATGAACCACAGAAAGTATGTAATAGTTAATAATTTCATTTTAACAAGAACAGAATAGCTACACTTCTTAGATTTCAAATAAACTTTCAATTTGTTTGTATGAAATAGACACAGAAATATGTTTGTTCTCACTTGAAGATTAGTTTAAATGTTACTTGTTCCTCTTTCTCGCTCTTTTTGCCCTTCACATATAAACATACTGTATTGGTCCGAAATAAATGAACAAAGAACAAACGTATTCAAGAGAAATGATATGAAAGAACTTTACTTTCGTTCTGTTGCTGCTATTTACATCAATATAGATCTAAAAATGAAGGACTAAATAATACAAAATATACTTATTTTAGAAAACAATAATCGACATGTAGAAAATATTAGCGTATTTATGTGGCACCATGTCAGGCACGATTAGTTTTCATATGAGACCTTTCTCAATCATCAACGAGAGATTACTTGTCAATTATAGTCATGACAATCGCTTTAGTTCATTTGAACTGCATTATATTCTATATATCTAAATCTTAATTTAAAATAATCGCAGAATTATTAAGCGCATAATATCAACATTCACAAATATTGATGTTATTGTCTGATGCATTGATGATATTTGAATAGGATACATCTGAGCATTAGCTATCTAGTCAATGAATCTATTTCGAAAAAAGATACTTCTAACATTATTTGTTATCATGTATTTGAGATAGAAGATTTCCTTCAGATTGCATGCAATGTTCAAATAAACATGACAGAATAGAATAAAAAAAAGTTAAGTTGAATGATGTAACTGACTTTACTTAGTTCTTTTGATTAATGTAGATTTATTAATATAGCGTTCATATGAGAGAGACCAAGTGATTGATGAGCATTGTTTTTTTTTATTTTGAAAAATAAGATATTAAATTAAATAAAACTCATTAGCCTTCAATGTGTTGAATGAAGGATATTATAGAAAAAGTGAGAGACGACAAAGTTACATTCAGACAACTGTGACCATTTGTAATCGTCTTTGAACCATTTTCAGGTCTTTTTTTTGTTAAGACAATATCTAGAAGGAGAAGTCAAACTTTTAAGGTAGAAATCTAAATTTTCTATCTCGCTGATAGGCTCTGACAAATGCTGGTGACCCTTTTTGTTGATTTATGAGCAACAAACCTCGTGTCCATTAAATCTCGTTGTAAGATATATGAACTTCTTCGTTACATTTCTATAGGATTGAGTGAACAGACGATGAAGCGATTTTCTCCACAATAGATAGACTATATTGCGCTTCATATTTTAGTTCTATAGAGATCGTGTCGAAATATGAATGTGCCGAATGCGTTTTTTCTGATATGTTAGCATTACTCATAAAAACTTTTCTAATTCTAACTCTATTCCATTCCGTATAAATCTCTAGTTTTGGAAAGTACCAATTATCTGAATTGTATGTTATATATTCCACTTGTTTACAACGAAGAAAAACATTTTCTTTGAATATTGTTGCAAACTGAATATTTACAAGTAGGAAATCATTCAAAATCTGATAGAGAAAAAAAACAATATTAAATGATCTTATTTTATGCATGTGTTAAGAAATCAAGCATGATTCAATTCTATTCGTACTCTTTGTTTTATCTAGAAGAAAAGTTTGGGAATATTTTTGTAATTTCATAATCATAAACAATTGCACTTAAAATTCAAAGATTGATCATTATTTTAATATTAAGAAAAAAATATATTGATATTGAGTTAAAATATCTTTGAGGGTTCTTAATTACTGAGTAGATTGAAAAAAATCAATCAGCTTTTGAAGATTGAAATTTGATAGTATTGATTCGCGTGAACTCTTTAATTTATGCAATCATATAGAGCGATAGAAATCTCCAATAGAGAAATTCACTGTAGCCGATGAAAAAAAACCTTACTATCACACGAAGTCTAGTAACATACAGCTTTTTTTTCTCTATTCTATTCTATTTATTTCAATGGGAATCTTAAATCGAAAAATTCACAACAAAAAATGAATAATTAAATTCACCTGTTGTATTTTTATGCGATTTTCTCACAATTCAAATTTGACTAGTTCGCGTTGAAACAAACAAATCCAATTGTAATTTTTATATTCAAATAAAAATCTATTGACTAAATAAATAATGTCAACTATTCTGAAAAACTATCGAATTACAATAATTTTATTCACTGATGATATCAAAGAAAAATTACACATCACCATTCGATATGTTCTATGCTCAAGTGTTGAGTTATAATTTATAAACTGAACTGAACTCTTACAATTTTGAGTCTCCTAATCGAAAAATTTGAAGTTTTTCTTTTGTTATTCTCGAAGAGAACACAAACTACTTGCCAATACTTGTCAGTTAATCAAAAATGACAAGAAAACTTTCTTTCGAAGTTTCTCATAGGCATGACTTTGTTCTCTGTCAACATTATTTATAATCGATTGATATCATATAAAACAAAGAACGAACTTCATAATTATCTAATACATTCAATTTAAAGAAACAAGAACATGTATTTCTTTACGGAATCCTATGTTACAATCAATGATACCTAAAAGATGCATGCGTGAATAAGCGAAAAAGAAAAACTCTTGACAAGCATCATCAATATATGTGTACGTTATTCAAAAGCCCATCAAGTGTCCATTTTTTAATCATCATCATCATCATCATCATCATTATTATTTCGATTTCGTCACATGTCGAAAATTACATGGCTATATGCGTAAAGAATAACAACAATTCTGTTGTTCTTTTTCTTACCAACGTTTTCAATATATACACAAGAGAGAAAATTGATTAAACAAAATCATTACATTAGATTACTGTTTACAGGTGTGTGTGCGTATATGTTTGTTGAATGAATGAAATTGAATTATCAACCATTCTTTATTCTGCTCCTATTTTCTTACAATTATACTCAATAGGGAAGAAAAAAAGCAAAACTGTCGACTTCCTATGATTTCACTTCGTCGGTGAAAATCGATTGAAACAAAACAATCATCGCGCATATTTGCATTTCTCTCAATCGTCTGTATTGAATGTATATATTTATATGAGAATAGAAGAATAAAAGACAGGCAAAAAAAGAAATAGGAAACAAAAAAGAAAAAGAAAAAGAAACTAAACAGATTTGTTCGGACTAGTTACAGTAGAATTTAACGATTCACATGATGATTTATTTGTCTCTCTTAAAGATTTTTGTTGAAATGTAAAAAGTGCATCAACAGCTGAATAAGATGGTAGATACGGAGAATACCATAGAGAAGGATGTGTACTACCAACATTGCTCGCAGCATGTGTATGATGTTGAAATAGTCGATGAACGGCTGCAAAATTTCCCTGGTGTTCAAGAAATTCCAAACCTACAGTAGTTTGTCGTTTCCATTTAGTTCTGTAAGCAGAGAACAAATCGAAATAATTTTATATAAATATCTACATGACAAAAATTCCAATACCTTCGATTTTGATACCATGTTTTTACTTGAGTATCAGATAGACTAAGACAAGCAGCAAGTTCCATACGATCTTGAACACTTAAATACTTTTGTCTTTCAAAACTTTTCTCCAAATAATTTAATTGTTGATCTGTAAATGCTGTACGAGCTTTACGTGGTTTTTTATTTGTTTTCAATGGACTATGATTTAGGCCATGACCACCACTATCTGATGTACTAGTTTCTTCACCAATATCTGATTCTGTATAAAAAAAAAAAGAACACACCTTTCAATACAATGATTGGTTAAAAATATCTATTGGTTAAAATTATTTTAGATTTAATATAAATTTAACTCCACAACATATATATTCAACTAGAGACACATACCATTATCATCACTTTCATGTAACATTGTATCATCTTCATCGAGACTTTCATTGCCATCTTTATCTATTGTTGATGTTCGACGAATTTTATGATTTGGTGATGATGAACGACTACGATCACCAAGTATATCAGTAATAAAAAATGAGGGGAAACAACGTTTTTTATTTGTTAATGTTTTCGACATTGTTGCTTGCCGAATTATATTTGGCGGTAAGTAAAAGAAACTGGTTGTAGAAGCCATTCGACTTTCTGTAATCGGGCGTGACATGAAATATAATTGCAAAAATTAAAATGTGTGCTCTGTTGAGTTTCTCTCGTTCTCGATAATCTCTTTGCCGATTGGTTACAAACAATAAAAAAAATTGTAGAAAAAGAAAGTGAATGACTTGTTACCTTGTCTCTCTTTCTCTCTTGTTCTCATTGTCGATCATCTCTCTTGAGATTTTCTTTCGGTCGCAAATTGTTTTCTTTAACATCGATCAAATGCTCTCTCCGGCGCTCTCTTTTTTTTCTTTATGAAAATGTGTGCGATTTTCTTTGCTTCTTTGTGCACGCACTAAGATTGATGTTCATTGTTGTTTCAATTGACTCTATTAAATATAAGAACTACAAGAACAAAAGAGAAAAAATATGCGGAAAGAGAAATATATAAAACTAATTAAGATGATAAAATCATTTCAAGTGAGACAAAGAGACGAACGAATTTGACAACAGATTCCAAATGATGATACGAGTGGATGGGATAGCTGAACCGTGCCGATAATAGTCTCAAACGATAGACATTAGTAATGATGTTCAGCATAAACAAATTAAACTTATAAAACCGATAATAAAATCTCGTCTGTTTTATGTATATACAATTCTTTCATCTTTGAAAATGATCCTTCGGTTCTATTGTATTATTAAATGAATCATGGTTAAATTAGATTTCACATTAATTCGTTAATTATTCTTGAATTGGACTATGCTTGAACTATTAGAATAATAGCATACAAATTAGTTGCTATATAATGTGTTACCGCCTATCCATCTGCTAGAACTGTTCGACTTCAAACATATAGATAAAAAACCTTGAGGCAACAATCATGCTTAAATAAAAAAAAAAACCTGAAAGATATAAAGAAGAGAAAACAACAGCAAAATTTATGATAGAGAAAGTACACGCGACCCGATCATTTGTAATGAATATGAGCTGCTAATCTGTTTAAAGCAACACAATTTTGTTTTCTCTTTGGCATATACAATAAATAAGTTTATATACACACGTCCATCACCTCAGCAATGGTCAATTTTGAGGTGACACGCTATCTCTCTGTCTGTTTCATCTATTGAAGTGAGGATAAATTGAATTGGAACGAGTCATTTGGGAAACAAGAGAAATAAAAACGAGGTGAGGCAATGACAGGTGCGATGATTGTTCGCATTTATATCTTACTGTAGTCAGTCTCCATGATAGACTACTTCCGATGTTCATGTGCACATTAAAACAATGGAATACTTCTTTTTTAATTCGATAACGATGATTGATCGAATTTATATCAATATCAACTACTTAATGTACTTTGTTTTTCGTTATTTTTTTTTTTAATTTCAAGATTAAACAATGCTTATGTCTGACTTAATTTCAATTACAACACAGCATGTTTTACTTAGTTTCTCTTTTCTTTTTAACTACAAATAAGTTCATGGTGACAATCGTTATTTTATAAATAATGCATCATTGAGCTTGAAAATTAAAAAAGACAAAGAGAAAAATAATTGATTAATTTTTCATTGTTAATCACACCATAGAAGTAGACACTTACAAGAATAGATTTTGTCTGTCTTCATTCATAGAAAAAACACAGAGCGAGAGACGAGAAAAATAAACATTCTTAGAAGTGAATTAAATTAAAAATAAATAGAAAATTCTAAGTGGATCTATTCAGTTACAAGAAAAGAAACGACACGCATTGCTATTTCTATATTTCTTTGACGGATAGATTGATGAAAGTCAAAAATCTCGAACAATTAAAAAATAATATTTATACTATTAGAAGTCATTGATCAAAGTTGTATTCGTAGATCTGATCTCTCTAATTCAGTTTCATCGAGCTCTTGCTGAAGATTTAGTGCAAAAAAGAACTAACTTTGTAATTGAGAAGAGACTGCTTGTTTAAAAATATGACTTTATTTTTATTTACTATGCCAATCTATTAAGAAAACATATGAATATAAAATAATAAGAATAAAAACATAGAAGTCAATATCATTACAATTACTATTAAAAAACATATTACGAATGTAGAAAATAAATTTTCAATTATTTCATTTCCTTTTAAAAATTGTCTTTCAAAATTCGACGAAAATTTGCCTTATACAAAAGCAAAGAAAAATAAAATATTCATATACATTAATTACATGTCTATCGTAGATAATTCCTTATATTAAATAATGAGTTAAAAATTGAAGTTCCTAATGTTTTAAATCAAATTGAAATTTTTACTAATCGTTTGAATTTTTCTTGCTCATTTTTTGATCATACATGTCATTGTGTATTTGATCTTTTTACAACATATTTTAAAACACCTCCAATCAATTATGCTCAAGGCTTAGGTTATAGCCGGCTTTAGATATTTATGAACTGAATTGAATTGAATTGAATTGAAACAAAACGAAACGCAAAAAGGTGAGACATAAAATAACACCTTATGGTCGATCATTCGACCGTTGAACGAACAAACGACATAACAGTCAACGTGTGACATTAACTACGAATATAGACGATCAGTAGACATTAAAAGGAATAAATACAGGTGACTTATGACCTTGATTACAATCACCTGTTCTATGAATATCAATTTAATATTTGGCAATATCAATATCATCAAAGACAAACAAAATAAAATCGAAACGTAATGTATGTCTATCTCATGATCATCATCCATTGAACATTTGTATAAGCACGAGCTAGTCTACCGATCGATTATTATTATTATTATTATTGAAACAAGCACCTTCAAAGTGTCAATCCGATCGGTATTGTGCATACACGCTGTGTAAAGAACATGATGATGTCGATAATGATGAGAAAATTATTTTCTTTCAAACAGAAGTAAAAGAAAACAGAAGGATGTAACGTTGATTTTTCTGATTTGCATATCATAAACATACGTAATGATGAGAACAAGAGAGAGAAAGAGCGTTAAGACGAACAAGTATTGATTAACTGATCAATCAATTTATATTCATGTTGATATATATATATACAGTTTTGTCACACGATCTCATCATAGAGAAGAAACGCGGAAATAGAAAAAGCAATTTTCAAAGAAAATGAACTCCTTTCTTTTATATTGAAATTGATTTAAGTTGCTTCTTCTTTTCTTTTTCTTCTTGTGTTACTAAATTTAAACTGCCAATCGCTTTGCTCTATCTCTTTGTTTTTTACACCAATCGAGTGCAAAGATGTGTGTTTGATGAAGGAGAAAAGGGAAAAAGAGAGAATGTGCGTAAAATGTCAATTATCTGCTCTTTCTCCTTTTCCCCTCTTTGTATGCCTTTGCAAATGAAAGAAATCCCGCTTGTCATAGAGAATAAAGAAGAAAAAAAAAGAACAACAATAGAAGTAAGAGTAAGAAGAGGAAAAAAAGACAACATTGCGTTACAAACTCACAATTCTTTTAAATATTTTATTTGATTGACCGACTCATTTTCACATTAAGAAAAAAAAAGGTAACAATGACAAAGCAACGACGCTCATTTTTCGTCGATGATATCCTCCATATGGTGATGCCAACTAATAAAAATGAAAATTGTTCAAATGAGAAAAATGATTTAAAACGTAAAAAATCAACAACCTCCGAAGATGGTAACAGAGATGAACATGAACAAATACTATTAAATAAGAAATTTCGATTTCATAATTATGAAAAAAAAAAAAAAAAAGAAAGTCATGATGACGATGACAATGATGACAATGATGATGATGATGATGATGATGATGATGATGATGATAAAAAAGAAGAAGACAATAATGAATCAAATCATGCTCAAATAGTTGATATGATGAAAGATCGTGGTAAAGTTGACGAAGAATCTTATTCAAGTGACAATACCAACAACATTGATAACAACAGTGGTAAGTCACAAATGGGGATGTTCTTGACCGAATTTAATGTTTTCAACTTCAGCTACTTTATCTATGGGCTTTAGTATCGGTAAATTTAGTTCAATCTCAAGTTCATCCTTGACTTGATTCCTGACTTAAGAGTTTTTTTAGCTTTAGTTTAGGCCTCTGTAATGGTAGTATAGGCAAAGCTCTTTCAGATAGAGTTTATTTGATTTCAGTTTATCTTATAAGAAAATGATCTATACGATAATAGATTAAAACCCTACCTTACAATATTGAAGTAAAATCATCAGTAATTATTGGGAAAAGTTTTTTTCCACATGGTTTTCGATCAAAGTCTTAATCATTTGTAGTAACGAAATAGACTATAATAGAGCATAAAGAATTATATTAAGTCGAACTGTTTATTTATTTATGTTGATCAACGATTAATCAATTCTAGATTAATTTTTTAAAATTTTACTTGAATAGATGATGAATTATGTGCATCAAGTTCTTGTTTGACAGCCATTAATTTACGACCAAATAAAAAACAACGTAAACCACGTACAGCTTTTACTGATGTTCAATTAAATACATTAGAGAAAAGTTTTGAACGACAAAAATACTTAAGTGTACAAGAACGCTTAGAACTTGCCAATCGTCTTCATTTATCTGATACACAAGTGAAAACATGGTATCAAAATCGAAGGTTTATTTTCTATTTCTTTGAAGTTATTTCTTTTGTTTATGTTGAATTATAAATATTCCTATTGTTATTATTAGAACAAAATGGAAACGACAAGCATGCCTTGGCCTCGAATTATTTTCTGGTAATACATTACAGCGATGGATAGAACGACAACCACATTTACTTGCTGCGGCTGCTGCCGCTGCTGCCTATCGATCTTCATCAGATGCAACCAATGTTATCGGTTCGTTTGGCCAAAATTTTTTTAATGATAGCAAATTATCAATAACTCCCAATCACAATATCCATAGATTTATTCCTACAAGTTTGAATTTACATCGTCAAGAATAAATAATATAAATTAGCAAAATTATAATTATATCATAAGAAAAACTTGACAGAAAATGTTTTTGTCTTTTATTGCTAATAAGGAAACGTTCTCCTGTTACTTATCATTTGAGAGTTGTGAGTCACTGCATAAGTTAGTTGCCAATGAAATATTCAATACTGTATATGGATTAATATCCGTAGATCCTTCTTATAGACTGAAATTTTAGTAAAATGATTATAATTTTCGATGAAAGGTGCATGGAAACTTTGTCGTTCAGAGTATTTTGATATTGAATGCATATCTATTGTATGCAGTGCAGTCCGAACTCAGAGATAATTAACGACATGCGAACTATTTCTCACAAATGATTTTATTCTTATTCGATTCTACACGTAATGTGTTTTTTTTGTCTGTGCCATATCTGTTTGGATTTGGATTGATGTTCTTTTTAACCAAATATGATTTGTTTTGCTTTGAATATTTTTCATGTAAAGATTTATAAAGCCTTGTGCGCGTGTACAAAAGACAATATATTTAGTTTTTTTTCTCCAACATATTACTAGTTTTTTCAAGTACACAAAGGATAGGGGAGTATAAGATACCCTATCGGCCCATTTCGATTTTTTCAACTGAACATAGTCAAATTATATGTGAAATTAAAGCAGCCGTTGAGACAAGCGTTTTGATACTAAATCCGTCACGAAAAAATGAATTTCAAAAAAGTTATGAACACTAACAAAAGTTGACTATTTGACTGTTTCCTCATGAAAACAGTCTCCCGTTTTCGGCACAAATATATCACAATAGAACTGTTCACATACTGACCAGTCGATCGACATTTTTAAGCTGTACAAAATAGGACGATTAGAAAAGTAAAAAAACATTGGTCACTTGATGATCATTGCCGAAAAACCTTCATAAGCCATCATTTTTTCATTTTTGTTCATATTTCGACGAAAAGTTTTGGCGAAAATTGAAATGAGCCATTTTTCTCATGTATACCATTCGATAGACATTTTTACGCGCTACAAAATAGGATGATTATGAAAGCCAAAAAACATTGGCCACTTAAAAATAGCTTTCGGCATACACTATTTTTAGTGCTGATTTTGTCGTTTTTTCCTACTCTCTACTGAATTAGTGCCAGAAAGACTTTGGTTGTTGTAAACAATTGTGCTATATTCGGAATCAGCATCCAAACTTGAGTGGGTTTAGCTGGATTTCAAATCTTTTCAAGTAATTAAATTTTAGTCGAAAAAATTCCCTGCACTCTCCCACAAGGCTGGGTAAAGATATTAATTTCATTAAAACACGATTTCGACCATACTAATGACGTTTTAAACCTATAAAATGATATTAGAGCTCGAAATAGCACAACGTTAAAAGAAAACGAAGGGATTCTGGTGAAATTATTGTTTTCACCCAACCTTGAGGGCAGGGACGGTGCGAAGCAACAAAAATATAGGGGGGTTACTTGAAAACGGGAGATTTTCTTTCAAAAATCGGAGTAAATTAATAAAAATTTCTTCTATTTTCTTCAAATCGGAGTAAAATTGAAACAAAAATTTCCAAAGTTGGGGGGACCCCTCCCCCCGTTCGCGCCGTCCCTGCTTAAGGGGGAGTGCAGGAAATTTTTTCGACTAAAATTTAATTATTCAAAAAAATTTGAAATGCAGTGAAACCCACTAAGGTTTGCGAATATAACATAACTTTTTACAACAAGTATAGTCTTTCAGGCTATAATCGAAATGGGCCGATAGAGTATCTTATACGCCCCTGTCCTTTACTTTGAATAATTTTCAATATATTGCTTCGATATAAAATATTTCAAAATATTATCAATTATTTTAGATGCCATTTTGTCTGTTAGAGAAAGAAAAATCAAACTAACTAAATTCTATGAAAAAGAAATTCATCACATTTTTGTAATGAAAATGGCAAGTTCTATTTCTAAAAGACATGATACAAATGATTTGTTTTTATCAATCGTAGACGTTGCACATCATTTCAAATGGCCATAGAATTAACATCAATCCATCTGTGAATAGATTCTGGATAAATCATTATATTTTGAAAACATGTACTATTGAAATTATGATATTCACATGATAAGTTTTCTGAAATGAGATTTTGTCTTAAAAAATATGAATAAAAAACAGGGTCATATATTTGTTTACTAATAAATATACTATATATTGATAATTCAACTTACTCTAATAGAATCATTTTTTGTTCAAAAATCTACTGAATATATACTTAGATTGGGATATATTTCAAAAACAAAAAAAGAATAGATTTTTCCCTAGAGATCTGTTTTATTTAAAGGTATTGTTGAAAAAACCAATTGGTTCTGGCACATCGATTTTGGTAAGCATGGGTATTTTTCTCTTGATTGCTAACTATTGAACTTTTATTTGAGGAAACTGGTTCTTTGTACTATACTTTATTGATATTATGAAATGTCAAGTACGTTAGAGATCACGATAAGGCTCTACTATTCATATAGACAAAAAAAAGAACGTATTATTGTATTGGGTTTAAAAATATTTGAAATGGTTCAACAGTGCCACTCAGTGACAATTTTTTCACTTTATATTTATCATCATGTATCCTATTGAAGATGAAATTAATAAACGATATGGTACAACAGATGAAGTTCGATTCGTATGATGTTCTATCGATTCATGTGTGACGAAATCACAGATACGTTCATTAATCCATCCGACTGTTTCATTTTTAATAAGAAAAAAGCCTAACTTTTGTTTACATTGAAATCCTATTTCTCTATTGTACCTTTTTCTTGTCTTAGATGATTTAAAAGGGTTCATCCGACTGTAAACTACAAGACTTGTATAGTGTATAGCTAACTTTGATCCATCAAGTATATGATCTTCGGGTAAGAGAAATTGACGATGAGCGAGTATTGATTAAGCTGCAAGCTCAGATGTACCATGGTAGACAATGATTCACGTACTCCACAGATCGTCACCACGAAATGGATCTACAGCAAGTTCAAAATCAGCTCAACCTCGAGGCACGATCTCGTCTGCTTCCGTCACTTGTAATGTCTTGGATTAATTACGTGAATAGCATGATTGACAATAGCAATGACTATATTTTTTGTTATAAAATGAACTGGACCAAGCGAATTTTTTTTGATATATTCATACATTCTGTGAAGTAAAACCAGGAAAATGTCGTTCTCGGACGAACAGATAGGCCTCTAGTAAGATGACGTTCTGCTCTATCATCACGATGTAGACTAGTTGATGATAGCATTTCTCTCGCCTGATCAAGATTCAAATGGGTTAGACTTCTTTGGATCTGATTGATTGAACTATTCATATCCATTTTTCACCGAAAGCATACGTTAGAAAGTGTAGCGTTTCATGAATTTTTTTCAGAAATTGACTTTCTCATAGTATGGACAGCGCATATGTGCAAAAATTCGTTTGCATGACCAACATGAAGCTATATTACCAGGAATACAGTAGTAATTTTTCCATCCTTGACCTTTCTGACAATGAGGACATTGAATTTATTGTTGCAAGTTTGAACATGAACGACTTTTGATTCGTTGTTATTGAGTGGATGTTGCATTCGTATAAGTATGTGTCTCATGACAGTATGCACAGGAAATGCATTGAAAAGATCGAGTGCAACTAATACATTTGTACACCAGACCTTCTTGATAGTGCGGATTCGACCCGACCACATATTTACTTCGCGACAATGTGGAAAAGATATGAATTGAAAGAATTTGAGTATTTTCCACAATTAACTAGTCTTCATTCTACTGACGCATTGGGAATTGATCAAGTATTACTAGAGGAACAACGAGGACAAAATATTTGTTGTAATCGAGTCGAACATGATACACATGTGACGGGTAGACCTTGTTTGTATTGATGATTGTTCCATAAATTATTCTTCTGACAAGCTGGAAAAATAAGTGTTGTTTTCATAGTAACGTAAAATCTATGCGTTTGAAATGTTGTTTGTAATTTAACTAATGAACATTCTCAGAAAATAAAATAAAAATTCAAAACCTGAGTTGAAACCTAATTCCATGTTAAACATCATCATCAGATGTGACTGGATTTGAATCAGATTTTTACTTCTTTTTCTAATCAAAACGGCATCCTGCTACAGCTTGTTGATGTATGAAAATGTTCTACTTATAATACTATCTTTTCTACGTAGAGCAATATCAAACTTCGCCAATGTGGCTACGTATAAAATACTAGGTTTCAATCATAGTTCCTATCCAACATCAAAGACTTACGTAAAGACGTAGAGCACGATATATATATATATATATCCGATGGTAATGATGAGCATCAGTAATATCTTACTTCTTGTACGACTATACAAAAAAACCGCCCGGTTTTAGATAGAGAGCTATATATTTGTCGTCGAAAAAATTATAGACACTGTACTAAATATGAATATAATTTCGAAACAAATATCTTCTGAACGACTAAAATTGAACTTGTCAGTTTTGAACACTTTCTTTGTGCAGAAGAAATTCATGGGCCCTAAAAATCTTTAGTTAATTGTTACAAAATTCAGTAATTTTCCCCTATTACCCTTTATGTACACATTTAGATCAGTGAAATAGTTACTTACGACAGGAATATCATCATTTTACCTATGTACTAAGTGCTAGTGCATAGAACTCTGTCACAACTGCGAATCTAAGAGAAGAGATTTTTTGATATTCTATTTATCGTTTGATTTAATTTTAATTCCTTGCTCTAGGTGCATGTTACCTATTTATTCTACTCTGCTTGTAGAATATTATGATTAATTTTTATTCATGCCTTCAATTTTATGGTCTTAGATTAGTTTATATTCTATTCATAGATTTATTTTACATATATTAAAAATCCATCATCTGATGGTTAAATTCATGCTATTCTCAGTCATTGCCAGTAGAATGGATCTAAATATTCAAATAGCTAAATTAATAGGGTTTATTAATTGAGATATTGCACGACTGGTAGATCTAAAAAAAATTTTACTTTACTGTCATTTCAAAATACACCTCTTTTTAGCTGCGTTTTAATGTTTCAGACCAGTGGCTAATCAACTAGCTTAACTATGTCTCAGACGCAATAGTTTAAACCAAAACTGTATGAATACGTTGGCTATGAATGGCTCCCATCATCATCAGTGCTTGCATTCCAGAAAATCATTTCTTCATCTACCTGTTTTATAAGAATGAAGCCGTTCTGTATACACTTATTATTTAGAAAAAGTGAACGTGCATAAAATAATCGGATTTTCTTTTCATCAAATAGACTTGCAAATTGTTTTTTTTCTCCAATTTCTGTTAAAGATAAGTAGCATTTTAGTCATCGCAAATGAAGTAAACTGCAGTGAAACATAAGTATTAAAAACAAGTATCATTCGTAAAGGAAAAAAACCAAAACTAGTTCACAAAATAGTGAGGCTGAATTTTGACGACATTATCAAATCTCAAAGAAATTCTCACGGAATTGCAATAATATTACTTAGACATGTTTGTTTTACGGCATGTTTTAGGGTGAGAATGCATGTGAATGAGTTTGTTTTCAACCAATCCATTCAGTCAGCTACACCATCAAAACTATGAATTGCATTGAATCATGTATAATTGACATGTATTACTAATATAGAAAAGTGACGAAAAATTAGCTAAATGATGATATTCAACATACAGAAATGAATTGATATGCATTCCCATTTTATTTCAAAAATATTCTTAAGATTGTAAAACAAAACTGAAGACGCTATTAGATTCTACATACTATGAAACATAATATTTCGTAGGATATGCTTGAAAGCTCATCAGAATCAAATGGAGAAATTTTCAAATAAATTCGTATCAGTTGAAATTTTACTGCCGATTTTGTTACCACCATTGTTTTTGGTGAAAAATACAAGCACTTGAAGTTTCAGGTCGATAACCTTTTCGTTTCATTTAAGTATCACTTTTCAGAAGTTTGGAAGTTTTAAATCTAATTTAAGAGAATGTTTTTTCAGAAAAATCATGTCTTTCTGTTGACTTTTAAATTCCACCTATCTAGTGAATGGAAGTAACTCAAATAGGTATTCCATCGATGCAGTACTTTTTTCTTCTTTGACTTGGTTCACAAAACTGTTTTATCAAAATCTTGAAAACAAAAATTTTAATTCAAAGAGGCATATAATAATTATGTCTACTTCAGTATGATCAATCGTATTTTTTGTTCTACTGTAGTCAGAAAATTGCACAATATTTCAATATATCTTCTTGACTTTCGAAAGACGTCCAGAATTCTAAATTGAAACGCCATTTATTACTCCTTCGGGTTATTTCTCAACTTTATACATTGACTTTTTTCCAGTCTGTTGTGACACAACTACTTGTTTCGTTACTACTTCTTTATCATACACTTACTCACACATTCCTAGAGGTTGCGATAGCGTGCAGAATCAGTACTTCGTAAGAACTGCAAATTATTTATTAAAACATAATAAAATTGTTGTTCATAAAACTCATTGTAAACTCTCATTACTAACTGACAAATTTTTAAAAATTATGAGATGAAATTCATTGAAAGCATTTTTTTAAAACTTAAATACACTCTAAAAACTCGATGTCTATTTCTTGTTCAGCAATGGATTGATGGCGACATCTTTTTCTTAACGTTTTTTATCAATTCTTTCCAAGTTTCTAAATCTTTTCTTGTCATTTCATATTGTTTTTATTTTTTTGATCCGTTTTTGAAGAATTTTCATAAAGACTAAACAATTAAAGAAAAAATCTTTCTCATTCATGTCTCATGCATGAATCAGAAAAAACATTGCATCAGATTGTTTGAGTTGTAGGACACAGAGTAGAAACGAGTGATTTACCAAATAATTTAACCATCATTTTATGCTTTTTTTGACAGATTTCATCATGATTCTAATATAGCAACATTGCGACCTTTGTAGGCGCTTTAGCTTAGGCTAGCAAGCACGCTCTTCACGTGCCCATTACAAACAAGGTAACAACAATAGAATTAACTTGAATTTAATTTTTGACAAATTAATTTCCTTATTTCTTAGCTCTTAACCATGGAAATCAAAATGGCGTTCGCCAAGAACTTTCTCTTGATACCTCTCCTAAAACTTAATAAAAAAGACGAAAACCATGCTATTCGAACAATACCATCCCCAAGATCTGTTGACGCCATCGGTCAACAACGATGGCGTTCCTAAATTAGATTCTAGTTTAACATCACTTGATTTTTATTTACTTGATGACATCGATCTATATCTTAATTCTGTTTCATCCATAAAGGCAACGAATAATGATTTAATTAACGATAGTATACATGATATTAGCCAACATCCAGAAGACTTTTTCTTTGACATTGATTTTGATAATTTAAATACTTTTAATGAAAAATCAGGTATGAAAAAAAGCTAATAGTTTCATTTAATTTATGAAATTTTTCTGGATTTGAATAGATGCTTTTGCTGAATCAGTACCAATAGAAGAAATCGATATTGAAAAATGGATAAGTCAAGCGTCCTTTCCGTCTCCTCCAATGGATACAAACACTTCTCCATCATCAAATGCTGACGATGCATCATCGATACTTTCATGGATTGGTGATGAATCTCCAGTTAACACAGATATGATTGTACCACCATCACCATCTTTGTCATCCACAGATTCATCTTCAATGCCATCAACAAAAAAACAGAAACTTACAACTACGGAACGAAAATTACGAAAAAAGGATCAAAATAAATCAGCAGCAGAAAAATATCGAATTAAAAAAAAATCTGAACGTCATGAATTACTTGATCGACAATCAAAATTGAAGGACATAAATCTTGAATTAAAATTAGAATTGGAAAATTTAACATACCGTGTTGAACAATTTAAACAGTTATTTGCCAATCTATCTGAAATAAATCCGTCAATATCAATTTAAATAAATATTTTTTCTTTAATGTTCACTAATATGATCATTACTATCGTTCTTTATTTCTTATTCGTATATATATACATAGAAGTCTCTTGTTCGTACTTTTGTTTTCTTTTTGTGCTGTTCATCCATTTACTCAATAAATACTTTGACTTGTGTATGCGAGAAAAAAAACAATTGTAGTGCGTTGATGAAATGAGATAATGAATCGGGCGATATCATAGACTCAGAAACTACTAAAAAATCAGAGCATCCGCCAAACACAAAGATCCAGAAACCAGATTTTCCCATCGTATATGAAGGTTTCAAGAATGATTTTATACGATCATGCAAATAATTATAAGAAAACTTGGTCATCTTCGATCTTTTTTCACTAAATTACATTTAATATACATAAGGTTCTCGAAGTATTTTATTCTTTTCTTTGTATTGAAAATTTTGTCATCTATGATGCTTTGAGCTGCTCTGTTGATTAAATGTATAAGACTGATTGTTTTTCTTTTTATAGATCGTCGAGAACTGTTTTGAGTCTAACGTAAGGATCCGTTAAACAAAAAAATTGCTTTTCTATAGTGAAACTGCTTTCAATTCATGCCCACTATTACGTATATGCAACCTATGCTTAATTACAAAAAGCAGTATGCTATTCATTGAACCATGAAAACTTTTCTTATGCAAACATTACATTTTATCAGTATTTTATATATCAATTACATGCGACCAAGACGAAAGATATTTGTATACCTATTTTACAAAAAAGATACAGTCTCTAATATTTTATGAATATACTGTAAAATCAAGCAAGCAGTGGAGAACATCATGTAAAATTAAGGATGTAAGAGAACAGCGAAGAAGAAAATTATTTCTGTACAGGAGGAGACCTCCATATGTGAAAATAATAGACGACAATGTTGTTCTGCTTAGAGCACGACGATAAAAATGAATTCGATCTTCACTTTTGGACTTGATTGATTCTGCATCGCAATCATAAAAGAACGAAAAGACACAAATAAAATGCAACAACCATCGAATAGGATATTAAGTGTTGCTGTACTAGGGGTTGTTTTGGCGGTTTATTTATTGAGAAAGTGTAAGTATATTATCTTAGTATTGTTTAAAAATTTTCTTCGCTTCTATTATTGATGTATTTCATGCAACACTCAACAGTACCTCTAGTTTGAAAAGAGTAGTGATGATCAACTTTAGCATTCTTCTTTCGTGCAGCTTTCGTAATTCTAACAGTTTCATAACAACCTTCTTGATAGCAGTTAGCATTGCTCTATTTAACAAACATTAACAAAATAAGAAAACGTCTCGACTAACATTGAGATTGTACAAAACCTACGATTTATGAAGGCTTCTCTCTTTCTATACATTAAAAAAATAGAATTCATCGAAAGAAAGCAATGAATCTAAGTTTCACCATGGTATTGTTTACGATCTGGCTAAACTATGTAGTACTTTTTCTTTTCTTAATTTTAGCTAAGGAAAACAAAATTGATAATGAAGAAGCGTCAGTATCTCTGTGTCAAGTACATGCTCAATTGGATGAATTTGATAGATTTGATGATCAAACACTGCTTTCAGTATTAGCTGCTCTTAAATCACACGATTTTCATATTGGTCAACCTGTCTGGGGACCATCAAATAATATTCTTTATCTATGCGAACATCAACTCAAAGCAGGCCTGAAACACTCCATAATCGATCAAGAATTAAAAACTGTTCTAAAAAATCATGGCGAATCTAGAAAACATCTTGCCTGGACGTGTGTTTGACTATTGGAATAGTTATTTAACTTAGACTGTCTTCGAGAGATGAAATAAAAGCATCTGGGCAATAGAAAATTAGTTGTTGGATTACTTTCGACTAAATGAATCAACTTTAATTTTGTTTGAATTATTTTAATTCAAGTAGCTACTACTCAATATATTATTGTGAAATGATAAAGAAATTTACATTTTTTTTAATTTTAAACGAGTTAAAGATTTTTGAATTTGGATATAGAAAAAAATTCTTCTAGTTTATTGAATGTTGTAAACAAATCAGAGTAGTTAGATACGATATAAATAAAATATTAGATGACAATATGGTAAAAAATCAATTGTGTAACAATAACAGATTTGTGATATATATATATATACACTAAACTATTTCAAACGCTCATTTAAAATATTCGTTTGATCTTTGTATTGAATATTCAAATTATGTAATTTTCTTGATCGTGTTTTTTGGTTTTTCAAACGGATCAAACAGGTATGTTTGATATAATATTGTTATAGGAGAAAATAAAATGGCCTTTCTTGTTTCCCCGTATTTTGGTTTTCCCATCATTGAAAATCGATCTACTATATGAATGAGATTAATGTAACTTTCATGTAGTCTTAATATTTCATCATAATTTTACTAATTATCACGTATAGATAAGCATTTGTTCAAACTTGCCGCTGTTAAAACGCAGCACACCAAACTTAATTTTGTTAGTCAATCTATTTTGATAAGTTCATTTTCTATAGGTCATTTTATAAGATCATATTATAAATCAACGAAACAAAAAAAAACATCAGAGTAAGAAATAAAGCAAGCGAAAAACAAATTTAATTGTCAACTATCATTTGTTGTTGTCTGGTCAAATATAAACACAAAGAAAAAAAGAAAGAAAGAAAAAAAAAACGATTAAAACAAAGGCAAAAACAAAAATACAGTCTTAAGTTTTATTCTTAAAAACGTGTTTCAGCCGTAACACTTTCATTATCATCATAGATATATATGTCTTCTGATGGCGTTTCGACACTAACGCATGGTGTATAATAGGATGCTTGTTGTTGACTTTTTCTATTACGACTTACGAATTCATTTAATTTTGTGCGTGCTTGCCAAAGCATAGAATTTTCTGATATGTTATCTTCATCATCAGATTCCATTTGTCGTTGTTGTTCGTGTTTCCATTTTTGAATATTACTCAGATGATGATCTGCTGTTTGATAATGTTGACGATCTTGTGAATAGGCACGTTTATTATGTTGAGAATTCAAAGGATGTATATGTGTTATTGTATTACCACCAGGATTAAGTGAGTTATTGCTTGTTGAAGATGAACGAAAACGACGAGAATAATGACGTTGTACAGGCAAATTTCGAGGTATATTTGAATCATAGAATGATTTACTCATTGCTGAACAGTTGCCACCAAAATCAGGAGTTTCTAAATAAAGAAATAAAAAGATGATGCTATCGAATGTTTAATTTATATACATGTATATATATATATATTGACGCTCATCCATGCTAGTACTGTCTATGCTCATGGCAGATTGAAAAACGAAGAGTCAATATTAAATTCGAGACTCAATTTCTTCGATATGTGATTATGATGTTTTGAAAAAGAAAACTAGATGACATTGAATGTTCGTTTATGAGAGAATAAACTTCGAAATGATAAGAAAAAGATTGATTTGAATCTTGATGGCGACTTGAAGCGAAGAGATTATACACATCCGCATTCATTGTTCTTGGTGTTATTTACTCATGACTAGGTATTTTATTATGTTAGAAATCAAATTTGATGGGTCATGGTTAAATTTTTCTTTAATACAATATGTTTATTGATTCAAAGCAAGCCTAAGTTAATATCCATCTAGTGTCGAATATGAATCAATAGAGAAAGATACAAGATCTTTATTGTTCTGTTTTTTAGCAGATAAATGATCATGCAGGACTGAAATTTCAAGCTTCTTAGCTTCTAAATTATTGTTCAAATATCGTAGTTCAATAATAAATTTGAATTAATCCTACCATTTGTTGCTCTTGAATAAAGTTTTTTCTTTTTTAAACTTTCTAGTACTTTATTCATCATTTCTTGTCGTTGATCGCATTCATCAACTGATCTTTGTTCTTTAGCTAATAATGGTCGATCAAATTTTTGTTCGTTGTTTGTTGCAATTAGTTGAGTGCAAGTTGTTGTTGGAAAACTGGATATAGGTCGTTGAATAACCATTTTTGTTTCAAAAAATTTTTTTAACGATTTAACTGAATGTAAATGATTCATTATTATTCTTTCTGTATTATCTTCATTATCAATAGATGTTATTTGTTTGTGAACAGTAAATATTGTGCTTGCAGTTGGTGAATGATCGTTTACATTAGTAATTGTTGTTGTTGGAAGTAAGAATGATTTTAGGAATGGAGGTGCATTTGGTACCGTTTGAATTGTATCAGGTGAAACATCATAAGTATCAAATAGATTCGATGATGTTTCTGGATTTGTTGTAGTCGTGAATGACTCTGGTGGTGGTGGTGGAGAGAAACGCTGAGTAATATGTTCTTCTATAGAAATAAATTAAGAAGAAAAAAAGCAAGTTTATCTTTTGAGCAAATATCAAGAAAAGGTACAAGAAAAAACATTATGCTTCTATACAGTATGTTAATTATCAACTGGATTAGTCAAGCTCAAAAATGATTTATTCGACTGAAAGATGATATTTCTTCTTTTCACTAAATTTGTCTTTCTACTCGTATTATATAGTTCAAAGCAATATAATAAACGTGTAAGTAGTAAATTGAGAGCTTGCAGCTTCTTGCTCATAGTAACGAAACAAGTCTAGCTTATATTAGACATGTTGTGATAAAAACTGAATACAACAGTCATCATGTGTTCAACTTAAAATTTTAGGAAGAAGTCAATATTAGACATTTGTCATCTTATAGGCATGTAGAATAGTGTCCAAAGACCTACTGTAGATCTAATAAATTGACTATTCTATTAAAAGCTCAACTATAGTATGATAGAGATTTCATATTTAACGTATTTTGACTTAGTAGAGATAGACACTCAATGATACATGCGTGAGTTCTATATTTTAGCTTCAAAGATAAGCTGTATTGATAAATTATTTCCAAAAACATTTATAAATATCTAACCTTGAAATGACACACGTTTTGCTGCATTTTTCCATTTTTGTTGATTTGAATTTCTTAATTCATCAATGATTAAACCACTTAATTGTAAATCATCATCATCATCATCTTCTTCACTTTTTGTGAGTAAAATATCATCCATGCTCATGTGTTCATCTTTTTGTTTATTTTGTGAATTCTCTTCTGATTCATGCGTATCATGCATTGCCGTTAAACTTTCAAGAGTTTGTTCATCAACAAAACCAGAATCGTATGTTGACAATTGTACTGATTGTGAACAACGAAAAAATGATTGATTATCAGTTATTCTTTTATCTGTTGATTTCAGTAATAATTTCGGATCAAGTGCTTGAAATTCTGTTTGACAAAAGCCAACTGTCAATGGGCTATGTGTAGTTGGTTTGAATGTACTAATAGATGGTTTTGTAGAAAATGGACCTGTATTTGTATTTGGTTGCATATAATTTCGATGAGAATACTAAAAACATAACAAATACAAGTATTAGTAGTAGTTCAATCTATTATTATATTTTACTTCATTATAAGATTGAATTGAATAATGTGGGTTATAAAGCGAATCACCACCATCTGTTATTGTAGCAGCATCATCATCTTGTCTTATCATAGTCGGTACACTCACAACAACTGGCCCGCCAGCATCAATTTCATTGCCTAAACTTCTATCTGTTTCATGATCAATTAAAGATGAATCTCTCATAGGATTTCCTGGCGTTGTCGAATAGCTTGAATCGTCTCCACCAATTCCAATACGCTTATAATAATCATCATTTTGTTGTTGTTGTTGTTCAGTATGAATTAATGCTTGAACAGTTCTTATCATCTAAAATTGAGAACAATCAAATAAAATCTAATATATTAAATACTAATTTTCATTTACTTGTTGTTGTTGTCCCTGTGAGGATAAATCATGTTTACGTTCAGATTTTATTATTGCTTGTTGCTGCTGCTGCTGTTGTAGTAGTTTATTTGAATTATTGACTGCTGCTGCTGCAGCTGAACCTCGAATCAGCATATCAGATAAACTTAATTCTGACGATTCGTAATCATCTGCTTCTGGTACTGGTGAAAGAGTAGCAGCTAAAAAGAAATCAAATTATTCATAGTGTTTGCTTTTTTTTGGCAAATTGTATCCAAAAATCTACATACTATCCATAAGAAGAGGAAATTTGAATGTTTGTTGTTGCATTTGATGTGTTTTCGGTGTTATTGGTGGTTGTGGATTATGATGATGATGATGATTATCTTTCTTATCGAAATGACGAATAAAACGAAAACGGGATCGAAAACTAGCAAGAAAAACAGCAATAGTTCAGGTTTTCATTAATATTAAAATTATCAATCAAAATTATCGAAATTCGAATAGAATTCAATAAATACATGCAAATCTCTTTATATTGACATGGAACTAATGGGTATGGAAACGAGAAATAAGAATATTATGCTGTTTGCAAAAATATTGAGCTTTATTAAGAATGATTAATTCTTATTTAATTATATTTAGTAATAACACCTTAGGTTAGTCTTTAATCATCACTTTCGAAAGCAAAACTAATACGTTTCGAACAAAAAGCACGTAGCTGTTATTTACAAAAAAGAGATGCGTCGATTGAGGGACATAGGTCATCTATTATGTCACTTCTCAACTATGTCTTGATGAATCATGATTGTTATGTTGATTGATAACTCAAATAAATAATATATAAATTTTAAGATGGGTAACCTTTTTGCAAGTGGTGTCTTGGTACAGTGTTTGAATATTTGGCTACCAAACCATTGACGTCCTTCTATTTTAGCCCATGCTCCATTATTATCAATCATATAACCACCTTGATCTTTTTCGTCCCATATAACGATTTCACCTATGAATATATATTTTTTTTTCAAATGACTTTCATTTTTTGCTCTAAACTTTTTCTACTTACCAACAGCTGGTAATATGTCATTATTATTATTATTACTATTAGGCGTATTAATTAAACCGTTGCTTGGATCAGTGAATATTGGACTACGTAAATGTGCATTTCCTCCATGTTTTCTATTATCCAATGTCGATGGCATTGAAGTACTAAGTAAATGTCGACCTTGTACTCGATGGCGATGTCTAAAAATTATTCTTTTAGTTTTTGTTTTCGTTTTGGTTAACAAATCTGGATTCACTTACCGCCGAACAGCAAAAAGAATTATATTAATAATTGCCAGTAAGATGACAAAAAGAATCGACACAGCAACAATAGTCATATCAGTTTTACTTAACCATCCATAATCTGTAGAATGTTTATTTCTCTGTTCAATAACACGACGAATCATATTATGAACATTGGAAGATGTTGTTTGTTCTAAATAAAAATTTATATTTCATTTTATTACAAATATGGTTAGAAATATAAAAATTATTAGTATTTCTTTCGAAAATTTCTACCCGGTTTATTTGATGAACAATTGCAAATAGGACATAATGTACGTCGATCTAAATATCTCATGATCAATACCTAATATGATCATATACATCATAGCTATACATTATAAGACTTAGATCAACAAACAGAAAAATGTACGCCTCAATCAAAGTGTCAATAGGATTGTTTAATCAAATAATTTATTGTATAGTTTTCTTTTTTTAGATAAAATCATTCTTACCATTGGTTTGAACGGCAACAGCATTTCTTTCACTAACACCAGGGTGTGGTTGTGCATGATGTCGTTTTGATGGTGGTGTATTAACAGTTATAACTTTCCATCTAGAATTTGTTAGTGGATAATCTACTGGTGAATAATGTTGCACAGGTAAAACAGATGCCAATGTACTTGTTCGCACTGTTGATTTGATGATTCCTTGAAGTTTACTATCAGTAACATAATCAAACCAATCTTTATATTCATCGTCGAAATCATTCGATGCATACTTCTTATTTGTATCTAAATCTTTTTCAGGCCAGCGAAACCAATCAACAGTTGTCTTATGTTGAGTCGTACGAGTTACTTTACTTGATTTTTCCATTAAACGAATAGTACTTTTTGTAGTCAACATCATTGTAGTAGCTGTAATAGGAGTAATAGTACTAGTACTAGTTATAGTAGTAGTAGCGGTATCAGTACTTGTACTGATAATAGAAGAATTAGTGGAGGTGATCGAAATAGTACTAGGAGTAGTAATCGTATTAGTGGAGGTGATCGAAGTAGTACTAGGAGTAGTAATCGTATTAGTGAGAGTAGTAGATGTCTTTTGTGTTGAAAGAGTGAATTGTGTTGCTGCTGTTAGCGGTTGTGTATTATAGTAATTTTTTTCCGATGTTGATAGAGTTTTCTTTGTATGCCATTGCCACTGCCACCAATCAAATGGACCTGCTGGTGAATACCAAGGAGTTGGGAATGGTACAGTACCTGCAGCAGTGGAAGATAATGATGGTGTTTGTGTAGAAGATATAATGATAGGCTTGGTTGTGGTTGTTATTGTTGTCGTCGTGTATGATAGATAACTGTTCGAACTATGATATACCCATGGTTGATGAGTAAATAATAAACGTTGATGAGCAGTAGGGGTTTTAGCTGTCGATGTGGAAATTGTTGTTATGGTAGTTGTTGTTGAAATAGCAGTAGTAGTTTGTTCCAGTGTTATTGTAGAAATATTTGTTGGTTCTAAAGTTGAAATATTTATTTTTATTTCAATTAAAATAGAATCTTCGTTATTTACGTTTCTTTGTATCTGTTGCATATGTTGCATTTTGTATACTTGTTATATTTGCTAGATTTGTTATATTTGTTGTTCTCGAAGAACTTGCTGTTGTTGTAAATAATTTTGTTCGTCTCGGTCGAGTATAAAACCAAGTAAAATTCCATTTTGAAACTGATACTTGAGGTGCTGTGGGTGTTTTTGTTAGTAGAAAGTTAAGCAATGTTTTATTTAGTGCATTAACTGGATGCTTCAAATACCACCCATTCGGCCCATAAGCTAATTCAAATGTTGTCAATGCTCCATGTGGATATGTAAAAGCTCCGACAGCTGTTGAAGTATTTATTTCTAAGAAGAATATTAAAAAAATCGAAAAATTACTATTCACACTTATTTAATGCATTTTTTTTGTTCTTTATTTTCTTAGCACACCAACATTTAATCTTGATATTTTTCACGTGCCACACCTCTATATCGTATTCATTCGAAAATTGACAAGAATGTAAGGACGAATAGCTATATATATATATATATGTACTCGAAAGATTATCACGACGCCACGAAAGGTAAGGTCGTTCTATGACATAAGTCGAGGTGACAATATGTATGAATGTTTACCTTCATTAAACATTAGAATCTATGATATACTTACTATAGTTTGCATTTATATTTGATTGAGGCGTGATGTTGGTGGTGGTAGTAGTGGTCAAACGCATACCCATCATATGACTATTGCTATTGATTGGTGTTGTTGGATTTGGTGGATTATTAAATGCTAAACGACTCCAACCGTGATCAAATGGAGTTGATATAGAAGGTGATAAGAAAGAATTCGACAATAGTGGTGCACCAACTTTTTCACGTGGTCCACAATGTAAATGAACTTCTGCATTAGGATGACTCGCTTGAATGAATTAAGAGAAAACAGAATTATTCGATTGATTATTGAAGTAAAAACACTAGGATGCAAACCTTCATAAATAATCCAAAATCCACCGCGTACAGTCGGTGTTCGACTGTAAAAATTAATATAGAGTGTGTTTGCATCACTTAAATAATTATGTCCTTGTTGTAAATATGTACATTGAGTACTTCGCTGTTCATTACTACTTTGTAAATAAAGACCGGCACCAGCACAATGTTCTATAAAAACAAAAATAGATTGTAGAAAGTTTGCTTTTGTTAAATTTTATTTATGTATATTTAATACGAACTATCATAAGGTATTAGTTGAAATACAATAATAGACAGCAATAGACGATGTTGTAATTGCGTTGATAATTTACACCAACAATCATCACTTGATGTATACGGATTTGGAAAATTCGGTGTTTGCAATGTTCCCCAAGCAGACGTGATCGCTTGCGGTGAACATACATCATGAATAAATACATCTAAATAGAGGATAATAATAGCAAATTAGTTTAATTTATTTTCGTTTCCGTGTATTATTTTTGTTCATTCTGTGTTCGGTCATTGATAATTGTCATTAGATAAGTTATGTAACGTTCGATTATTATTGCTTCGTGGTCATATAGTAGAAAGGTGTTGTAATCTAATCTTCTCGCTAGTGTTTAATTGCCCTCCCGTCTGATCTCTTTAGTTTTCTCTTTTTTTTCTCGTAAGTTTTTGTTTTTTATATGAACGTGCTATGAAATATCTTTCTACTTAATCCATGTTTCATTTGAACCTGTCTCAAAGTTTATATTTTTATACCTGATATGCATTCAAAGAATGCCATTGTATAATCAGCTAATTCATTATGACAATTATCTTGAGCACTATTTAAACGTATACGTTGCATATGTAATGTACAATTTTCACGCCCGGAACATGCCGATGTAAAACTTGTATGAACTTTACAATCAGCAGCATTTACATCTTCATTTGATTCTCTTGAAAATAGTCTCCTTTTTAAACATTGAATCGGTAAACGTGATCTATGTTTTGCTGTAGCATCAAATGCGTCTAGCATTCGAATTTTTTCGTTTGGTCCACAACGTATTGTCATTATGCCGGGTTCATCCGAATTATGACAATAGATTGCTGTTAAAGCATCTAAATAAAAATAAAAATCATGATTGCATTTTTTTTGTTTCTTAAATAAAACTTTCAATCTACTTGTCAAAGGTACCACAGGAGGCATTTGTGCCAGTGATTGTTGAATAAAAATCATGAATAAAAAAAGTAAAATCATGTTAAATTTCATCATTATTGATAATAAATCAATACTGTCAATCGCTCGTATCAATAAATAAGTTTTGTATTAGAATAAATTCGACGTGTATAATAATATTAATAATATATGACAATAATAGAGTGAAGGATGCATTTTTTGTTTCCGTTTATTTCAGTTGATGTCTCGTGAATGTAAGGAGTAATAATATATTGCGCATATATCTTCTGCAAAGATAGACAAAATGTAAAGTCGATGTTCAACTGTCTTTATTTGATATATATTTTTTAGGTCGTTGACTTCATTTCAATAGAAAAAAAGAAAGAAATACACGGCAATTAGAATGAGGTCAAGTTTAATGAATTGACTTTTGTCTTTAGTTAAATATATTTACTACTTGCATCTTCTCCTAAAACATTAGAAAACAAAAAGAAAACTTTCATACCAAATGAGAAGCGACGAGACGATAACTATATGCTGTGTCAACTTGGCGGCATGTTTAACAGGGCAGTGCGATGAAAAAAAGATGTACAAAAAAGAACAAGAAGAGAAGCATGTCATCACCAAACCACCATTGCTGTACATATTAATCCTACACACTGACAAAAGGAAGAG